ATGGCAGTGCAACAGTGTGCTCGATTTTGCAATGATCCAAAAGAGTCTCATGGTACTGCAGTCAAAAGAATCTGCAGGTACTTGCATTCGACACAACATCAAGGGCTTCGATTCAAGCCAGATCCTACGAAAGGGTTGGAATGTTATGTCGATGCGGATTGGGCCGGCTCTTGGCAAGACCGCACATCAACTGATCCTTTGTCTGCAAGATCTCGAACAGGATACATCATTACCTACGCTGGATGTCCCATTATTTGGGCATCAAAGCTTCAAACATTGGTTGCATTATCTACGACTGAAGCTGAATATATTGCATTATCTACGTCTCTACGTGAAGTCATTGCTGTTATGAATCTGGTAAATGAATTACGTTCGTTGGGTTTCAACTTATCTATGGATACCCCAAAGGTTGTATGCACTGTTTTTGAAGATAATCGCAGCTGCCTCGAGATTGCAACAAATCACCGAACAAGACCAAGGACTAAGCACTTGTCTGTCCGACTGCATCATTTTCGTTCTCACATATTGGCGAAAACCATAATCATCAAGCATGTCTCTACAAAAGAGCAGATGGCCGATATTTTCACCAAACCACTTCCTAAAGATCAATTCATCAGACTTCGCAATCGTTTCATGGGTTGGGACTCTCTTGGCGAGAGGGAGTGAGAGATTTATCACCTTCGAGAGTCATATCATTGAATCGCTTGAATCGATCTTTAATCCGAGTAAGGTGAGCTTTCGAGTCGATTGCAAATGTTGATCGTTGGCCGTGGCCGTTTGAATATTTTCAAACAAACAACAACCTTTTGAAAAACAACAACGACAATCTGTTTTTCACAACGACAATCTGCTTTTCGTAACGAAAGCTTTACACACAATATTTAAACTAAATCCATCGAAACATCGAATAGATCACAGGTTAGGACTCATCGATTGTCACATCAAACATTCATGGACTGTTACCTCGTTCTAAATCTGTCTAAATCCTGGTTAACGCCAGGGGCATACGTATGCCATCTTGCGACGCCATGTGTGAAACCAGCACTGTGTTGTAGAGCCCCTTCATTGCAATCCTATTGCTTTCTCCTCTTTTCTTCTCTCTTCGTTTTTTCTTTCCTTTTCCTTTTTTCTTCCTCTCTCCCCTTCTTTTCTCCCCGGGGGATCTAGTATAAACTGCTCCACCAGCATAAAACAAAAACCCACTGAAAAAATCTCAAAACAAATAATACCGGTAACCATCAACGACACAAAAGACAAAATGAAGTTTTGTGAGCATTATTGTTGACACTCACAATCTCCTCTCCAACCCTTTCCAGTATTGCTCTACGTCTCAAGCCAAGACTTGGTTGATTGGGGATAAAACATCGCGGATGAAGATCATGGGGGGTAGGACTGAACAGTCCGGGGGATATTTTTGTGGGACTTCCAGAAACGATGAGAAGCCACCAAAACGATGAGAAGCCACCAAAACGAGAAATAACTCACATTGCAAAGCGAGTAATTTTTATTCGGAACGAGTAATTTTTATTCGGAACGAGTAATTTTTATTCGGAACGAGTAATTTTTATTCGGAACGAGTAATTTTTACTCGGAACGAGTAATTTTTATTCGGAACGAGTAATTTTATAGAAGTAATGAGTCGCGACCTGAAAGCAGTTTTCCCATCATTATGCCAGTTGTGCCTCTAAATAAATTATTAATGACTAAAGATTTGAAAAAATGTCCCTTTTGGTTCTAAACTATTTATGAATGACAAGATGTTCTTATATCTGAGAAATGTCTTCTTTGTTATTTAGTCATCTCGCGAGAAGGAACCACAACGAATTCTAAAGTCATCGATCTGCCGGGTGTTCCAGGTACGATTGTACCGGCCAGTTCGACGGAGCAAAAGTGGACGGAGTGTAGAAACAACGTATGTTTGCGACATTTTCTGATGATGGTGCATACACTATGGAATACTGTATGATACTGTAGCGCGCTGAAAAACATCAAAACGATATAAGGATTGTCACTGCTGATTGTTCTTCATACTTGGGAGGATTCTTGACATAGAAAAAGTACGGTATACCAGAAGAGACGGGTTCCTTGGTATGGCCAGCCGGTAAGAGAACTTGCTACAGTATATTGAAGCTTGAGAATCGCCTTCTCTGCTACTACTTGAGGTGCATTATCTGGTCAGGTCCTGAACGAGTACATTAGCTACGCTACGACGGATCAACGTGGAAAAAAAACAGTACCGGTACCGGAGACATTATTCTGATGGTGCTTATGATAGCGTTCATAACTCCGACTTGAACGAACGAAATAACCTCAACTGCAAGCAGTAATTCAACACAACATCACTTTATTAGGAAAGAAGCTCCTTATCGCCATAGGAGACGGAAGGCCAGTTTTCACTTGGAGGATGCCAAACGCGAAATCAACAATTCGTGCGCTCGATTCTTTTCTTCACAGAAATGAAGGAGCAGGCCATGCTGAAGAGGAGATGATTATTGTCGGAGGTGGGATCAGCAATGCTAGACAAATTTGCAATATACAACAGGAAGATGCAACCGGTGATGCTTCTTCAACGACAGCTGGTTCCCTTGTCGATGGTTACAGTGCGAAGATTGCCAACACGGGCAAGTTTAGAGCGAAAGTGCCACTGGACTGATCGTTCAAAAAGTAAAGCACTTCCACGACCAAGCGGAGGTGGAATGGTAAAAAGAAAACATGAGACATGAGGAAGCTCCGAGAGGCACAAAACAAGCTGCGCAAGCATGGACAACAATCTCAAATCCCGCTCAGCAAGCTGCCCCAAAGTGGCTTCGCTTAGTACATGTGTGAAGCAAACACCAGTGATTCAGCACATTGCAATCATCTATTAGTGATCTCAAGATAGTATATTAGGAGGGTTGTTTTTGAAGTGCTCACCCATGCTCATCTCAAGCGATAGACTGGAACGACCGAAACCTTTGACCGCGCTATTGTTTATATTGCGAATGCGAAGACTATGATAGGCATTACTATATCGTACTTCCTCGTGTCAATCAATTAACTGACTACCGGGAGTAAAATTGTGAGAAATCATTCGGGACCCGCGTGGTGGCGCACCGAAATCATCGACCGTTTTCAAGTTTTGCGTGTTTGCAATTCGATGTTCAAACCCACGAAAGGAAAGATCCAAGATTTGGGGTGATGCGTCAACGAAGGAAGCCATAATCTCGATCGATCGATTGCAGCAACACCAGAGACGTTGACAAATTAAATCCCTGCTGCGATGAAGAAAAATGAAGTCGGGGCAACTCTCGAGGATGTCCGTAAGGCTCTACTGTCGAAGGATTTTGGATCCGCTGGAGACATATGGAGTGGTGGAGAAACCGAGTTGCTCCCCGTCGCACCTGGTCTTTGCGTAGCCGGTGTCGGCAAAATTCCGTTGCCTCTCACAACGACGACTGTAGATGAGTTAAAGAGCGTATGTCTTCCTATAACTGGTGGTATTCGTGCCAACAAGATGGAAGGAGCTAAAAACGCTGTGCGAGAAGTCAATGCTGACCAAGTAACTTTGGAGAATCCATTGTGGGATAATGCCATGCATCAGCTCACTAGAAAGGTTGCGAGTGATCTAGGTGCCAATGCAAGCTTTGTATCTGCAAGATTGGAGAAGCTAGTTTTGTACGAACCGGGTGATTGCACCCACCAAAATCAACATTCAGAATTGGAAGCTGGGAGCTTTGCATCACTGATGGTTCAGCTTCCCAGCGATTACGTCGGTGGCTCGATTCTTGTTTCACACAATGGCCGGGAGAAAGAGTTTACAATGGACTCGACAAATCAAGCACCCAATCAGTGTCATTTCGTTGCACATTACTCAGATTGTGACAAGGAAGTCCTTCGCATCGAATCTGGCTATCGGCTTGCCTTGATCTATTCTCTTCGGTATTCTGGCAAGGAAACTTCAGAGCCAAGTGCAAAAGACATCAAAGAAGGTGTTTTCATTTCACTTCTTAGGAAGTTGCGCAAACCTGAATCTCTCTTTGCTGTCCCATTGGACCAGAAATATGACAATTCTTCTTTTGAGCGCCTTGCCACAGGTGCACTTCAAGGGTCCGATCGAGCTCTATCAGATAGAATATTGCGGGTAGATGGTTGGGAAACGGCCATCTGCAAACTAGAAAGAATTGGTACATATCATGGTGAAGATGGCGATCGTTGTTTCGAGTGGGATCAATATGGTGCAGAATATGAGACGTCGCTCAAAGAGATCATTGACGACGACGAAGCTTACTATTCGTATCATGATTTGTTTGTTGAGCAGCTGAAGCTTGACTCTGTTGGTGAGGATTGGGCGATCTTGGCTACAGATGATGGCATAGACAAGATATGGGAAGAAGTCGATTCGACAGAACTTGAGTATACTTCAAGAACAGAGGCTTCCATGGAAACGACCTATCATGCCTACGTTCTAGTTGCGTTTTCTTTGAATAATCTATTCGAACAAGTCTGTCGACATGATTTAGACAATGCTATCGAGCTGATCGAGGACGATCCCTGTCTTCTGGACCGAGCCTTGGCATACTTGGAAGGAGAAAAACCGACGCTTTCTCAGCGGCACTTACTGCCTTTCCACGAGTTGGTTCAACGTAATCATAGTGAAAACGGACGCTACTGGCCAGACATCGATGTCATGTTTCGGCGACTTGACACCTCTGCAATCCCGCCTGACGAGGTTGTCGAATTCATTTCCTCGTTAGTCAAATCCCCTGGGAGGTGTGACAAGACTAATGCCATCTACGACTATGTTGATTCGCTTTGCAGCATTGCAAAACACTCAGATTCCTTGAAACTCTGGAAGTTGAAGAGGTCCCTAGTGTGGGAACATCGACAAGTACCACAGCCGGATGGCCAGCCAGCTCCAAAAAGGATTCGCCCAGCTTCCGAAGTGATCGTGATTGAATAGTGATTGAATGGCCTTCACCGTTGTAGCCGTTCGTGCTGGAGTGCCCTTATTAATGACCCATAGTTTCCACACATTTTTTTTAAAAACGTCACTCCAAACGCATTATACAGAACATTGTTGTTCCTTAGAAACGACCAAGACTGTCTTCAAATGAAAGATATTGTCTGTTCGTAAAGTCAGTAATCTTGAGATTCAGATCAGCCCCCCGCAGTTGCGGCTGGAGAAATTTTGTCACTTTTCTCTGAACCATGTTGTCAGTCCCACAACAGTTTTGCATGTACGAGTGATAGCAATAGAGACTCAATTCTGGTCCTGTTCCATTTTTCCTTGCAAATTCGTTCTCGTCAATGAGCTCACAATAGTTGTCTCTCAACTTTCGTTCAGATTCTGGCCGATCCAACACGAGATACATGGGAATAGCTTGCGTAAAGGAGGAGTATTTCACAGCAATCAGAACATCCGAATGACTCAGGAGAAGCATATCTTGAAACATGGAGAACCACTTTTCGTAGACCTTGTTGCCGCCATGCAGGACCACTCCCTCCTCGGCAAATTCTTGTTCCAGAACCACTACTGGCCAATTCAAACCTAGCTCTTGTATTTCATTGGCAATAATGGTCCGATATTTGGGGTCATCTGTTGCCAAGAAAATCATTGGCGGTTTCTCGAGAGTATCCATCGGAATTGTCTCTCGCATAACTTTGATGAGGGCTGCCACGTATTCCTCGGTATCGTGATGAATCCCACGTTTCTTGTAGGTGAAATCCTTTTGTTCCCCATTACCAGCTCGAATGTGAATCCCAAAGACGGTATGTTCCGAATACTTGTGTTTCTCCATAAAATCAGCCAACAGTTGTCGTCGGACATACCTGTCACGGAGTGACCTATAGAAATCAGTGTGGACCTGAATCTCGTCAAAGGTACAACCACATTTCGGACCTTCCTTGCCTTTTGTATTTGTTTGTTTGCAATGACCAGTCTGCCGACTCGATCCACACATTTGATAGGGACTCGTCATGTGATCCACTTCGTTGCCAAATTTGATGGTACGATTGGTGGAATTGACAAAGAAAAAGTCTTTCCTTTGAAAGGGTTCAAACATTTCGGAAAAAATATCCTTGGTGTGATTGGAATATTCATTGTTGGACCAATATCCTCGGACGCCAAAGCCAATCAGACGCCCAAGGTAGACTGCCGACGCCTGCCGCACCAATCGATGGCCCAACCCCGAGTGTGCCCCATATCGAATATGTGAAAAGTTGGTAAAGGGAGCCATATCATTTAGCAATGGCTCTTTTGCAACACCATACTTTTCGTAAGCCGCTTTTCGTGCTGCCTCGATGGCTGCTTCCTCCGCTTGACTCAATGTCGATTGTGATATCCGTGTGGAAACATGATCCTTGGTTTGTATTGCTCCAGCAGCTGGTATCGTCTTGGTGGGATCTTGACTTGAGGGTGTTGAAAAAACTTTCGACACTTTTCCGAGAGCCACAGAAGATGATTCCTGATGTCCTTTGTGGGCAACCATGGCGTGCTGAACTTGCTGGAGGACTGACGATTCCTGCCGGAGGATTCTCCATGCCACTACTAACACGGCTGTAAAGACTGCCAGCGACCGATGGGTGCAAACCACACGCATTCGAATGCGTTTTCTATCTGTTGTGTGATTGAGATACAAGCTGAAAGCACACCAACACAGCCTGGACACTGGGACCCAACAGCGTGGCGGGTGAGTGTATTGTAGGTATTGATGGCACTACTGTGCGCTTTGAATTTGAATTTCGAAAAGGGGAAGGGGAGCACACAATAAGGGGATTTTGGTACCACAAGTAGGGGTCGTGATGATGGAAGATGCGACAACAATACTAATCAAAACGGCGTGGTACCGTATAGTATGAAATATGGTACCATACCACGTACCAATAATGAACAAATGTGTTTGTTTTCTCTACCGATGCTGCCCGTGCGCTTTCTCCGGTTTTGCTGCCTCTCATTGTACGAGACGTCGTGTTACCACTTTTGAAAGCAAACGAGGATCTGGCGAATCATGTTTGCTGCAAACTCAGGAGCCCTCACTACGACCTTGTCGGAAAGCAATAAATCTTGTTTTTTCATTTCGCGACTGCGCTGGTGCTGAACAGTCGTCGTCGATCAGAGGAAAATTTTCTCTGGTCTTTCATCATCAGCCCAAGAAGACACGCAACGAAAGAAGCAAAGTTGAAATGAAACCAATTGAGGACTTTCTTGCTTCCGAAATGAATAAGCTTTCTGTACAAGAGCGCTCCAAAGCTCTAGACGCCGTTCACTGTGCCGGAGATGCGCTCGACGAGACTCCTGAGATGATACGAGAATCCCTTGCAGAATTTGACAAGGTGCTTAAGAGAAAAAAGAATCTCCAAATATGAAATGGCAACACACCAAAATAGGGTGTGTGTCGAAAATCCAGCCTTTCGATTGATCTTCCTGAGAGCCAATTTGCGCGATGCTGGTGAATCCGCTCATCAAATGCTGGACTTCCTGCAACATAAGGCAAAGTATTTCGGAAACGAAAAGGTTGCTCGTGATATTACGCTTGATGATCTGAATGAGGGCGACATGGCGCTGTTGTTGTCGGGCCTCTTGCATATTCAGGAAGGACGAGTGCGAAGAGGTAGAGTCATTGTTTACCTTTTCAGTGGCCTCCATGGCATCGGCACGATTCAAAACCATATACGAGCATCATATTACTTCATGTTCAACATTCTGGCTCAGATTCGTGAAGTACAAAAGGAAGGGGTAAGGGAATTTTACTTTTATAGTTCGGTTGCAGTGGTAGATTGCTCCTATTGCTATTGTTGCTTACCATCGCTCAAAATGTTCACCTTACTTCTCACAGATCGTCAATTGCTACTACGGTATCTCCAAGCCAGGAGACAAAATCCGCAAGTTCGGGCTCAACTGTATGACAACGATTATAAAGTTTCTGAACGCTGCTCCTATCCGTACTACCTCACAACACACCTGCCTAAAAGATGACAAAGATTCGAACGTTGCCTTGAACAAGTTTATTCTTGGAATATCTTATCTTACAAACTCCTCCCGACAAATCTCACGACTAGAACTCGAATCCACTACGGTACAGATTTGGAACTCCAATATCAGCTCCAATCATACAGAATCCCAATACATACATTCCCTGTCGATGCACATGGAAATTTGCGGAGGGGAGAAAGTCAGAGTGCTTGGTTCTTCAAACATAGGAATCAAGCCATGGAAGGTCCGAACAAGACAATGCCGACAGCAAATGCACATCAGAACTGGCACGACAGGCTAGTTGAATCCAGTGATGACAACGACGCTTCCGCTGGCTACTCGTCTCCACCACCTCGACATGATATCCTGTTGGGGTGCGGGAAGCCGATTCAGAACCATCCTGGCAACGTTTGCTTTCGAGATTATCTCAAGCAATACAGTGATGAATACGACAGAGCGCCACGACATTTGAGGCGAATGGTGAATGGCAAGAAACGAGAAGAGCTGAATAGTAGAGGCATTCGGTTCCTTCAAGAAAGGAATTGCAGATGTGTTGAATGAATGTAGTGTTGCCGATGCAGAGAAGACAATTAGCCAAGCCTTCCGAAATGGAGGAAAACGAGGCAAGAAACAAGAGGAATCCGGTAAGCCCGTTGTGCCGGTGTGACTTGGAGGGCTACGTTGAAACCATCTCGTCGTTTGGTTAGATATTTCATTGGATTCATTCGCTATCATCCCCAAACTATGAGTTGTGACTGACTGACTGACTCCATCAGTGGGTGCATGCGAAACCCACTCCTGCCGGCTGTGTATTATTGCATCGCAAAAAGGAAAGCTTTCGTTCTTCGCCGATGGTTGTCATACAAGCATGGATGATGTTAGTGCCAGGTAGTAACAGGGGTGGAACATCATGAATTCTTCCCACACTTCTGCATATATATCAGATGACTTCTAGAAAATTGAACTAGAGCTCCCGCAAGTGGTTGTTGTAATATGCGTTGTCAGTTGTCATAGTTCGAATTTGTGTTGCGGCGATGCGTCATGATCAAAAAGCCCGAAGAAATATGGCGGCGGTTTTGACTGCGGAAGACCTTCCTTCACCCGTGATTTGGAATGCTTTTTTTGCATTTCGCCATACTGAAAACAAGAAGTCAACACAACTCAGTACATAAATCAAGAAGATGCCCAAACGCACACTCCCCAAAGGTGCATCCTGTTCGTCTGACGCCGGTGTCTGTTCTTGGAAGGCTGTCCCATATGCTGAACCAATGAATAAACGATTTGCTCCTTCCAAACCATTAAAGTCGTTGGATGTGTTGGAATCACCAAGATACGCATCCCAACAACGACTAAATGATGGGTACGGCCCCATGTGCTTCCAATGGTTTCCCGGGCTCTCCGAAAAGTACGACGTTAGTGAAGACTGTCTTACTTTGAACATATGGACACCCTACTGTGAAGCAACGCCTGAGAATGAAGATCTGAAGCCTGTAATTCTTTGGATTCACGGTGGATCCTTTTTGGAAGGTGGGGGTGCCACTCATTGGTCAGCCTACGGGCTGCCAGGAAGTGATACCATCAAACTCTATGATGGAACTAATTTGGTTAGAGCTGCTTCCAATATGACGTCCATGAAGGAGATTCTAGTAGTATCTGCCCAGTATCGATTGGGACCCTTTGGATTCCTAGCGCAACCACCAGGGGGAAACACAACGACGGGTGGTGCCAATGGATTTGGAGACATCGTTACAGCTTTGCAATGGATGAAAAAACACATTAGTGACTTTGGGGGAAATCCAAATAAAATTACGCTAATGGGTGAGGGGTCTGGGTCGGTCACAGCATGTGCTCTGTTGCATTCCCCAGTGACCAAAGGACTCTTTCATAGAGTGATCTTACAGAGTGGAAATTGTTATCCATCCATCGACTACTTGCTGCCCCCGCAAGATGCTTGGAATGTCCGAGAAAGGTTCCTTGAAATGATATGTCCCGCCGATCCCGACATTGCAAAGGATCATGACTGTGAGAAGTATGCTGATGCGCAAGACTTTCTTTTGCATGCACCGGCGGACGAAATTTTGAATCGAACATTGAATGGCTATCACCAAGGTTCTGTTGCCACTGGTTGGATACCCATGTACATGGATGGACTTGGATCACCCAGTGTGGATGGATACATACTTCCCAAACTACCAATTCATTTAACACCACATCCAGGTGTGGAGGTCATGGTAGGAGTGACATCCAATGACAAAGTACCAGCAGGATTGAAACGTCCTAGTCGTTTAGCCGAACATGCTTACGCTACGTTACAGATTGAAAACCTGAGAAAAGCATATCATGACTTTGAAGACGAGGATGATGCGGATCTCTTTTTGGACGCTTGCATTCGCTGTCAGTCGCAACAAGTGCTCAAGCGAGTAGCGGAGACTGGTAGCTCTGCATTTTGGTACAAGTTCGATTGTCCGAAAGATGCAGCGCCTCATGGTTCGACAAGTATGGCAGTGCTGGGGAACATCGACCCAGTTGCTTTTGAATCCGATGTGGTGAAATACCTTGTTGGTCCTCCTCCCTCCGAAGAACTCATTCATCGGATGCAAAAAGCCTGGATATCTTTTGCCACCACCGGGAATCCAGGGTGGGAGGAAGCTTCCAACAAAGGCATGGGTGCATTGATCTTTTGCCAAGAGACAACAATTGAACCACTAATTGACAAGTTTGGACGATGCGACAACTGGACCGAATGGGCCGACACCCATGGTCCTCAGTCAACTGGCAGCATTTGTATGAGGGAATCCTCCATGCTATCATCGCAACAAACAGAAGCATCCAAATCAACCACTGGACTTCGCGTATTATCGCGACAGACAATGCCGATTCTTCCAACCAGTATCGTCTTGATTTTGTTTCTGGTGTGCAGATACATCGTAATACGACGACGGCTAGGTTATGCCACATTGCCATAACAGCAATGACTTTTGTAGGCCAAGCCATGTATTGGGTTGATTTGGTAGCAAATAACATGAGCCACTGAAGAATTCCGCAATTCTTTCCAGTCTATGCTTTCTTTGAATCAGTAGTTTTGCTTTTCCACAACTTTTTCCAAGGATATGTCGGGAAACCTTCCTCCTCGAGAAGGTTGTAGAGCCGTTTGTTGTAGGGCCTAAAAAACTTGACCAGAGTTTTCCTCGTTTCCTCCGTCATGTGAGACGAAGATGCTGAAGGGAGAGCTTTTTGAGCAAAGCTATCCACTGGTATCGTTGACAAATCGAGAAATGATAGCAATTTGTTGTATTCCTCTTGAAAGGTGTCTTTATCTTCCAAAACTTCGGATGGCGCTATGTAGATTTCTTTCGAAGGGACCTTCCCCGCTGTCTTGTACACCTGAAGCAGCTCGTTCAGCTGGAAGATGTACAACGATCTCCCGATTGGATTGGCCATGCTTGGTACTTTTTGATACGTTTTCCACGCCTGCTGCTCCTCGTCGGAATCGGGAGGAGTTCCAATCAATCCAGCACTGGTGATCAATTCCATTTCGTTGGCAATCCACTGCTCCAAACCAATTTTAAGTCCAAATGTCTGCTTGGCACGAGCATATTGCTCCGACAACCGTTCCACAGGATTTCTCAGCAAAATCACAATCTTGGTCCAAGGGCTCACACAAAGTAGCGTGTGACCAACTTGTTCGGCATAGAAAACGTACCCTGGGGCAATATCCATGGCCACTAGATTGGATGATGCTTTCAACATACCTTTGTTATAGGCTTGTGCATACATTCGATGCCGCGCTTGAAAGACTTTGGGAATGGGCGACCGGAATTTGCGAAAGTTGGCGGGCATGTAAAAGCCATTGGTTTTGGTGGCTCTCCTTGCAATTTGTGGGTGACCGTATAGCTTTTGGGCAAGAGTTTTCGATCCCGAGTTCCATACACCTGCAATGACAAAGTAGGGGGCCCTAAACTCCCAAGAGTCTTCATCGGATTCAGGGTACCATGACTTTAACGAAGACAAGTCGCAATTTTGCCGAGAAAAGTTGACAAGCTGGTGTGACAATCCTTTTGAGTAGTCTGGTATCGTCAGTGTTTTGTTTTCAAACGTAATGGGAGTTAAAGGCGAGCTGGTCGGTAAGGTTTTGTTAACTGAAGCAGTTTCCTCATCACCATCATCGCCATCTTTGGCACCACCACCATTGGTATTATCGTCGTCGTCATCTTTTTCGTCATTATTATGATTGCTAACGAATGTACCAGACGGCTTGCTCGTCATGTCCCCTATTATTGCGGTGGGCTGTGACGAGTCGCCCTCCGCATCCACAAAGGGAGCAAAGCTTGGCGGTGACGTTTCTGTCGTCATGGCAGGTGATAGTGGTTTGGATGATATTTTGCTGGGACTGTGATGTGGTGGTTTGGATGATATTGTTGCGTTGCCTGTTTCAGTAAAATTTTCAATTGTCCGTTCCATGTGTATGAAAACCAGTATTGATGCAATAACTAACGCTATTTGCATCTTCTTCATTCGACTAGCGGCGGATGCCGTCTCCATAAAAGACTCGGCAGGAGTCAAGGAAACAGGTCTCAGGCGGGTCAAATTAGGTGATGATGACGAGGAGCCTAGGGATGATGATGATGATACCATGACTATATGTAGCTCTATGTGGCTCTATGTGATCGGTGACTTGAATGATCCTGCAGCGGATGGTTGGATATGGTCGACAGCAGTACAAAGTTATCTGCGGTCCGAGTAGGTCATTGTCGGGAGTCGTCTGACGTGATTGAAACAAAAAGGGAATGCAGGTTGGTGCGGGGCCGGCCAGACGGAATTTTGTTAAGTTCGAGAGATTAGAGGTTGGTGTAGTATGGATGTACCGTATACTACAGTATATTGTATCTATGTACTATGCAACATTTGCACCTATCATTACAACATATTTTCTTCTACACATAGAAAGCTGGCTTTCTGGTTATATTTCTCCTCCGTCCAGAATCAGGGGATCGTTAAAAGCCATTCTCACTGCAATGTACAAAATGAACACAGCCACCAAGGTACCCATTAACATAAACTGCTCCGTAGAGGTCCCAGATTCTGAGATGACCAAGTCGGCAAGGTAACTCAATTCCTTTACAGTGGAATCCTTGTCTTTCATATTTTCAAAGCGTTCCTTCTTGCGGACTTGTTCGGGATCGTTTTGGTCAAAGATGCTCACCATGAATTGCCCCTCGGCGTCCACCTTCATGCCCACTTCAATCGCTCGCCTATCCATGGCAGCCATTTCTTCGTTGGTCAAACGCCGCAACAAGAACGTAAAGGGTTCCCTGGCCATTGGTTCGTAATTTATCGTCGCATCGTTAGTGCCATTCACTTTGATTTCTTCCACTGCCTTGATGGTAACGCCCTTTTGTTGTTTGTCTGCCAGTGAAAAGGTGGCAGATCCTCGTGCCGGTAGTGGTGCATTACGAGGAATGACCTCACAAAATGACCCATCGGGCAACTCGACCCCAATGGCATGGGGCAGGCAATCCAACATGAGTGCCGACTTGAGCTTGTGCACAGGAATCAACTTGGATTGAATGGCAGCTTGAATGGCCAATCCTTGGGCCACGCTAGACATTGGGTCCAAGGAAGTGCACAACTCGAGACCCGAAAACTTGGATTGAATCAAGGCACGAATCGAAGGGGTCCGGGTGGTGCCACCTACCAAAATGACTTCGGAAATGCTCTCCGACCCAGGAATCTTTTGGAATTCTTCCAAGGCGCGTTGAATCAAATGTTCGGCCTTTTGAAGCCACTCTTTGAGGAGTGCGTGAAACTTTTCTTGGGATATCGTGACGGTGTGGTTCCCAATTGCCACGCCGACAGAAGCAACCTTGGATTCCGAATCATCACAAAGTTGTTCCTTAGCTTTACGACACGACAACAAAAAGTCCGATCCCTTTGGTTCCGTATCAGCATCCTTCAAGCTGTTTGCTTCTTGCATACAATAGTCCAAGATGGTTTGATCGATATCGTCTCCTCCCAAGTGGTCATCGCCTTGTGTTACCAATACCTTGTACGAAGAATAATTCTCGCTCGTTTCATCACTGGAAGCTTGCTTGGTAGCGATAGTGATATCGGTCGTCCCCCCTCCCATGTCAATCACCATAATGTTGGCCTGGCTAGAGGAATCTTGCATGGCTAAACCATAGGCCATGGCGGCAGCAGTCGACTCGAGACAGGTGCTGACATGACCATCGAGCCCAGCCTGGCGACAGGCTTCTTCCACAAGAGCCGTGTGTCGCTTGGAAAAGTGGGCGGGGACACCCACTACGGCATTTCTCACTAGGCCCTCACCAGGAATATCTAAGTGCTTTTTGGTTTTATTCTTGTCAAGGTATTCCTGAGCTGCTTCTTTAATGGCCTTGAGAATGGATGCCGCAATTTCCACAGGCGTAGTCTTGACTACTAGTACACAATCATCCTTGTCGTTTCCGTCAGAAATTGGAATTACCAATTGCAAAGATTCTTTATCATTTTCGTCGGCTTCCACGTGAAACGGAAGTGATTCCAACAAGGCAGGATCCAAATCGCTGTACCGTTTTCCAAAGAGTCTCTTGACACTGGAAATCAGCATGCCGGCATCACCAGTCGCATCTTTATGTTCTTGAACAGCCTTGGCTCCCACCGAGTAAGGTGTGGATGGCTCCGTCACTCGCACCACAGATGGCACCATGCGTCCCAATTTGCCGCTTTGTTCACGAAAGGCAATCACGGGCAACCGAATCCATTTGGGACTGCCTCGGGTGGAATCCCAAATGGCACACGCCGAGTTGGATGTTCCCAAGTCAACGCCAATCCAAACACCGGACTGAGGTGGAGTTTCTGGGTCTGCCATGATGATACTGGTTGTTGTTGGTGTAGATGTTTGCGTATCGGAAGCTAAGTTGAAAATGTTCTTTTTTGGCAACAAATTCTGAAGTTGGGTTTCAAACTGACACGAGACATAATTGTGGATGGACAGACGGTCTGGGTTTTTCTTTCGATCTTGTCACTTGTCACTTGTGCATTGGACTTGTGACTTGCACTTTGTACTTATTGTTCCCTTGTTCGGAGTGAAGGGTACCATATAGAGTATGTAATCTATTTCTATTTGGTAGTATCATGTAGACTTTAGGTTTTGTCGAAAGAAGGAGAACAGTTTTTGTCCTGCCAGTGGCCCAGCAATGTTTCGGAGCTCTTGGCGGCTCATTCGAGACAACTCGGCAAGGCTTTCGCACTCTCGCATGATTTTCCTAGCATTGTTGACATTGACACCAGGCAATCGCAACAGCATGTCCCTCGCTGCCTCATTGATCTGGTCTTCTTCCTCCTCTTCGCCGTCGCCTTCAGTAGTGAGCAAGGCTTCTATTGAATCGCTTCGTCCAATCTCCACCGCCTTGTCCACGTCCACTTCGTCGTGATTTTGCTTGAGTGTCTTGAACAACTCCAAGGTCTCGTGCGGGCTCTTACTCCACAGGATTCGGAGCTTAGGAAAGTGCAATGTTAAGATAACTAGCTTGGAACAGATTGAATCCATCTTGATATCCAAACCCATGTCATTCGAGTTTTGCAAACAAAAGCTCTTGGAAGGATCGAATTCGATGAGCAACGCAGGCACTTTGTAGTACTTGGACATGGCCTCCGCTTGGGTATAAAGTCTTCCACTTGCTAAACTTCCAAACAAATCGCTAATACTCTTTCGCTCAATGCAGTGGACACTGCTCAAGACGAAATCCCCCACGGTCAAGGTCACGGGTGCCAGCCGCATTCCTCCTTGATGAAGGATGGAGGGCAGGGCAGCGCGGAATTCCCGAACATCGACGGCAATGTCCCGACGAATGTCATTCTTGTTGATTCCCTTGGCTCGCCGAGTATCAAAGGCCAGTGGCAGAGATCCACCTGCATAGGTCCCCCCAATGGAACCATGTAAGATGGCTTCCCGACATTCTTGGGTCGCTTCCGTATTCAACACGGGAGGTGGCATCTTTTGCTTGTGTTCAATCAAATCGACAAAAGCCTTTTGCTCTCGCTCTAAGTTTTTCCGAAATACCTTGTCTTCGGCACTGGCACTAAAGATCAAGAAGTAAATTTTCAATTTGCGGTCCTCTATTGGGTTCATGGCAGAGTAAACCTCTAGCGATCGGATGAAGGCGACATCAGAATCGTAGAGTATGACGTAATCGGGCATAACATCTTGGAGCAACGAAGCACCCTCGTCAGCTTCAACGCTGGAAAGAGACTTGATGACAATTCGGGGTTCCTCAATGAAACTTGTTTGGTACATTTCTTCTTCCAATTGATTTCCCTCCGCCACCAAGTCTCGTTTTGACGCTGCTGCTGGTTTGGATTCGTATTGATGTTCCACTTCTTCCAAGGCTTCTTCCAATACAGCTTCACGCTCTCGATCTTCGGTAGATGAAAAAGCTCCATTGCGACCCTTTTCCAAGGCAATCCGTCGCCTTTTGCGCAAGAAATCAGGGACCGTATTCAGTTGCCGCTTTTTGGCATTGGCTCTGCGGTCCTGGTTCGAGTGTTTAAGTTTCAAGCCGACAGATCCTTCTTCTTCCTATAAAGTTGTTAAAGAGGAAGGTCAGTTTGAGAGTGTGTCATCAACGAAATCATAGTAGTATACTCACAGCCAACAGTCGAGTCTCTTCGGGTATTTTTCCGTTTACAAAATTTTTGGAGCGATCATTATTGGTTATCAACCATCGATGCCATCGGTCTAACATGAGCTGGTCCTTTCCTTCGTACAAATAAGTTTTCAAAATTTGTGTTGTTTGGGCATCCTTGCACATGACCAAAATGGTGGGAGCAAATCGTTTGCCCTGACTGTGTTTGGATTCTTCCTCCTTGATTTCTAGCAAGACATTTTTCAAAAGCATCCACTTTGGATTCTCTTCCAGTACTCTTCGCAATCGACTTACTGGGTTTGGTACCTTGGCAGTCGGTTTTCCTTTTTTAATAGTATACATTCGTTCTTTGGCCTTCTTGAACATGACTTCGGCCGCTGGTGTGAGGAGCCACATGGACGGACGCCGCGAGGAGGCGCTCATGGTCTTGATGGAATTGATGAAAGAATAGAACTTGATACAATCGTACTGAATCAGTGATTGAAAGAGGGTTCGCAATGTCCTCAAGTCTTGACTCAGTTGCTTGGTTTCAGGCTTGAGTCGATGCCAATCCTTTTCCAATTGCTTGGTGATCATTCGATCGAAACTTGTTGTGACACAGTTTTCAATAGATAGTTCCGAGTTTTGCCATTCGACAAAGGGGGTACTTCGTTTCAATTCGCGAAGGCAAGCCTGGACTGCCGAGACGAGAGCCAGTTGAATTTCACTCATAAGTGGTGACAAGGGTTGGTGTAGCTCCTCCAAATCGGGCTGTCCAACCTCTAACTCTTGTTTCACATGCTCGTGAAAGCGTGGGTATAGAAACAAATTTCGCACTTGAAGAGCCTTGAGTGTTTTGTCCACCTTGTTAAAGCCCATGGCCAAACCTTCCGGCCTACCAGTTATGGCCTTGATAAAGCATTTTTCTCGTTGTTTGAGACTGGTGAAAATTCGAATGATAAAGGCTGATGTAGAGTCATTGGTCACCTGATCCGCATGTGTGACCATCATTCCCTCAATCTCATCGGGGCTGACTGTCTTTGTCAGCAGATCTACAATAAGAATCCGACTCGTAATGCAAAAAACACCACCTCTCGAGTAGAGTTCCCTCCGATCATCACTCCCTCCATTTTCGTTGGTCAAGATTGTCGGCTGTAACTCATGTGGAGTTCCCCAGGTTTCCAGTAAAGACGTCAATGCAGCGCATTCAGTGTCTTTCATTCCCAGTACCATTACTAGCGGTGGCTTGGTTCGTTTTTCATTGGGATTTTCTTCTTTCAACAGTGACAAGTAGCCATCTTGGACATCTCCATAAAAGCGGCAAAAGGCTGCCAGCAAATTCAACCAGCCCAGACCCCTAGCCATAACCATGAGACCATCTTCTTCGTAGAGGTCACCAAATGCACTGGCTAGGTAAGCAGGAAGAAGGCCATCTGGAATGAGTGCTTTTTTTTGTTTCTTGGGCTTCTTGGGCTTATTTTTTGTGCCTGCCATCCTTTCAATCAAAGTTGAGTTTAAATTTGGACTCTATAGACGCAGTCAAACCAGATAAATGGATCAAACACAGAATGGTTTCATTGGAGCACAGAACAGTTGTGCGACAACAATCGATCTACTGTAGCGTCAACAACTGAGAGCGCACACTCTGTTGTCGATGTTATTGCGCAAGCAGGTTTCGCAGTGCAAGTCCAAAAGGACTTTCCAAGCTCCGAGAGATCGTGCGACGGGAAGACAAGAATTTGGAAATTTCCGTGATTTTTGACAAAAATGATTGGGAACGGAAAGAGGATTTGCGTCTCCGTCATCACGTTTCGACAAATTCAAGCTCATCTTTCGCCACAAAACAAAACGTCCGCAAAAATTTGTCCACAAGGACTTTCAGATGCGAAGAATGCAATCTTGACACAACTGCAACGACTGCAACTTCCGAAAGCAAATTCTTGAAAGGGGGATCAAGATGACAAACAACGAAGAGAGAGTAACAATCGACATGACCACATACAGCGACGAACGAATAATCGAAGCGGGCGACGACATGAAGTGCGCAATCGATGTCGATCAAACTTTCTTGACAATACAAGCAATGCTTGGGCAAGAGAAGAAATGTTACAAAATACCCGACTATCTTCAAGGTGTTCCCCTGCTCAACGAATTCGATCAAAAGACTGTGGATCAGGAAATACGCTTAATGGTGGCACATTGGACTCTCCAATTGGCGGAAGCATGTGACTATGGGGTGGAAACGTCTTGTCTCGCTATGTCCTGTCTAGACCGATTTTTGTCCACCATGGAAGGGTACATGGTCATTCTCAATCCACATGAATTCCAGAAGGCAGCACTGACATCGCTCTACATTGCCGTTAAGATGAATGAGTTTGAGGTGTTGGGTCCTCAAAATATTGCTTTACTCAGCCGGGGGCAACACACGGCCGAAGATGTGGAAGAAATGGAACTGTTCATTCTCAAATCCTTGAATTGGCGTGTCAACCCCCCGACTGCATTGTCCTTTGTCCGATTGTACCTTCAATTGGTCCCCAACCTTAACAAGAAATACCTGGATATGCTAATGGAAGTTGCCGAATCGCAAATCAAGCAATCCATTTTGGATTATGACTTGTGCAGGACGTCAACATCCAAGATTGCTTTTGCCTCCATGATGAATGCGATTGCGATTGTTTACGGGGATAAGAAACTGTGTACCACCATGCGGAAACTGATCGGGGCAGTGACTGACATAGACTTTAGATCTTTGAAGACACTCCAGCGAGAACTATTTGAAGCCATTCCGATCGAAGACTTAGAATCCTTTAACCAGAGCGACGAAGAAGAGAAGAAAGAGGAAGAACTTGGTTTTGATCAGTCTGTCGAATTCGACCAAACGGGCAGCCACAAGCCAGAGACTTTCTCCGACTCTCCCCGAGAAGTATACAAGAACAACTGTAGGCCAATCATGGTGCGTACCGTTACTACCTAAGACACAAGCTCGGCAATAGCCCATTATAAGTCCTTGACAATTCGAGTCACATACACAGTGCTTCGACCGTGTGAGCAGTATAAACCAGCACAAGCAGATATTCTTCGAACGATAACAATACTATAGAAACAAATAAAATCCATTATCTGAAAGTTCATCCAAAACATCGAAATTCTAAAGGTATTGACATTGAGTGCAGTAGATTCTATATCTATAGTATAGCTCGGGTTAATATAATTGATCGTCAAGTGCCATTCCCAATTGGCTATTGCTTTTTGCCTTTCTTGCCTCCAGCTGGCTTCTTCTTCTTGTCCTCAGCAGGCTTTGACTTCTTGTCAGCAGCCGATTTCTTGCCCTTGGCTCCCTTGGCCTCAGCATCCGACTTTGTCTTCTTGGTGTCTCCGGCCGCCTGTTGCAAGAAAACAGAAAGGATAATGTCGTGAGATCGGATTAATGGGGCGTGATCGATGGTTGAAAAATGCAGAGACGACTGCCTACCTTGGACTTCATCTTGCCATTCTTAGCCATGCTTTCGCTTTCTTGGACTGCTTTGTTACTTTCTTCCAGATGGAAATTTATGACAGCAGAATGGGTTGGAAGCAAAAATGGTTCTTGGTTTTGACTTCGGGATGCTTGATCGGACATTTTGTGAATAATCCCGTAGAATTTGTACTAAACACGTCGTACACATATATACCCCGTGCCGGGTGCCGAACTGGATTAACTTGCGCAGACGCGACTGGGACCATCAAAAGATGAGACGAACACCAAGTTATTCGCTCTTCTGCCAACCTGAACGAATACTGCGGATCTAGGTGTTTTATCGGTTGTTCCCGAATATTCGAAGCAAGGCGAGTGAGTCCATCGTTTCCTTTTTCAGAATTGAACTGATTTGATGATACGAGTAATGCACCAAGTGTCTGGTGCCACTATATCAACGAAGTCTCGTCATGATCTATGGTGCTTAGATTGGATTGAGACAAGTACGCAAGCGAACCAAAGATGTCTAAGTTAGAATATACGCATCTCTATAAAAAGCTCATTCGTTTTAAAAGTCAGTTTGATCTCAGTCGTAATTTGTTTTGAATGGTGCTGTTTTACAAAATCTATGTTGACAATGACCTGTTCTTGCGCGATCAGCGGTTACGTCCAAACTTGTGCTGGATCATGCTACGGTTTGGCGATGATCTCGATCGATCATGCATTCCAAAGCATCGAAATTCTAAAGGTAATGGCATTGAGTGCAGTAGATTCTATATCTATAGTCTAGTTAGGGTGGATTAAATTGAGCGTCGAGTGCCATTCTCCATGGACTATTGCTTCTTGCCTTTCTTGCCTCCAGCTGGCTTCTTCTTGTTGTCCTCAGCAGGCTTTGACTTCTTGTCAGCCGCCGATTTCTTGCCCTTAGCTCCCTTGCCCCCCTTGACCCCAGCATCCGACTTTGCCTTCTTGGTGTCTTCGGCCGCCTGTTGCAAGAAAACAGAAAGGATAATGTCGTGAGATCGGATTAATGGGGCGTGATCGATGGTTGAAAAATGCAGAGACAACTGCTTACCTTGGACTTCATCTTGCCATTCTTAGCCATGCTTTCGCTTTCTTGGACTGCTTTGTTACTTTCTTCCAGATGGAAATTTATGACAGCAGAATGGGTTGGAAGCAAAATGGTTCTTAATTTTGACTTCGGGATGCTTGATCGGACATTTTGTGAATAGTCGCGTAGAATTTGTACCAAACGCATCGTACATTGACGTCGAAGAATACCCAGTGCCGAACTGGATTTCCTCAGACAGACACGACTGGCCTGGCATCATCAAAAAGTGAGATGAACACCAAATACTACGCGGGAAAAACAAAAAACTCGCGAATCATCTCTGCGCTTTTGACCGTGTGTTGTCGAAACATATTTTATTTTGATGGTGACAAACATACCTTTTTTTAAAAAAGAAACGAATGATTGCACATAATGTGACCAAGTATCCTCCTGAATTGGAGCATATCCTTCTCATCCCCTCATATGATTGCCTTCACGGTTAAAAAATGGAAATGTAGCCTTGGGTGCTCGACTTTCAGTTCCATCGAGGATGGTAGCAACTAGTTTAATTCTAGACAGTTCTAGTATCATTCAATCGTTTTGATCGAGGCAATCATGATCAATGCAAAGTATATTGTACAATAATACAGGAATCTACTTCATGATAATGGTTTCGATTCATCTTCACTAAGCCACAATGGCAGGGGCAACGGGCTCGACAGCTGCAATGGGCATATCTACAACACTTTTGACGGGCTTGTAAGCTGCCTTTTCATCTCCAGAAAGTGTTCGCCACATGTCTCCAAGCTTCTTTCCGATTCCCCCAAAGGAAAGGTCAGGGTTTGCCCCTTTGACGATGGCACGATGTTCTTGACTGAACTTCATGAATCCTGAGAGTGGTTTCTTGGGAGCATTTGGGTCTGCAGCTGCCTTCATCTTCCTGTTGTTTTTCTTGGCAACGGCAGCGCTTTTTGGGGCAGCGGATTTCTTGGTGGTGGTTTTCTTGGCTGCGGCTGGCTTCATCTTCTTGGTCGCTTGGATAGTCTTCTGCATCAAAAGAAATTGGATATGGTGAGCATGCATTGGGTGGAAGTGAAATCTCCATGCGAAAAAAAACAAAGATTTCCTGTAGCTAGAAATGATACACCCTCGATTCATTTATTTGACTGTGCTCTGCACAGACAATGGTTGGAAAATGCACAGCGAATTGCTTACTTTGGACTTGGCCTTGCCATCTTTTGTATTTGGTGCCATGCTTTCGCTTTCTTTGACTGCTTTGTGAGTTTCTTCCAGATGGAAAATTATGACAGAGTGGGTTATGGGGGAAGCAAAAATGGCTCGGAATTTTTGATCGGACGCTGTGTGAACACTGACGTAGAATTTGTACCAAAGGTGTCGCACACATTGACGTCGAAGAATTCGGCCATTTGCCGAATTTGAAATCTACCCACAGACAAGACTTGCAATGTCAAAAGATGAGACGGACACCAAATTTTTCGCTCTTCTGCCAACCTGAAGATCTAGAAATTTTATTGCTAGCTCCCGAATATGCGAAGCACGACGAGTTGAGTATATTACTGTTGACAACCATCGTTTCCTTGAGAGCTGAACCGATTTGATGAGAAGAGTATGATGATGCCCCAAGTCAGTCTTGTGCTACATTACCTGAACCAACCAAGTGTTGCCATCGCTGATGCAAAAAGTGGGTTGAGACTGGTATGGACGCGAGCCTAATTTTTTGATTTATCAATTGTAAATCAGTGATAAGAAAGCTCATTCTATTTAAAAAGTCCTTTTATTCTCGGCTGTAGAATAATCTATATTCTATTGTGGTAATCCATGCTGACAATATTTTCTCATTGCGCGGTTTCGGGTTAATTTCAAACCGACCCTGCTAGGCGACCAAAAGCATCGAAAATTCTAAAGGTGATGGTACTGAGTGTAGCAGATTCTATATCTATAGCATAGTTAGGTGGATTAAATTGAGCGTCACATGCCATTCTCCATGGACTATTGCTTCTTGCCTTTCTTGCCTCCAGCTGGCTTCTTCTTGTTGTCCTCAGCAGGCTTTGACTTCTTGTCAGCAGCCGATTTCTTGCCTTTGGCTCCCTTGCCTCCCTTGCTCTTTTTAGCCTCAGCATCCGACTTTGCCTTCTTGGTGTCTTCGGCCGCCTGTTGCAAGAAAACAGAAAGGATAATGTCGTGAGATCGGATTAATAGGCGTGATTGATGCTTGAAAACTGCAAAAGACGACTGCTTACCTTGGACTTCATCTTGCCATTCTTAGCCATGCTTTCGCTTTCTTGGGCTGATTTGTTTTTCTTCCAGATGAAAATTTATGACAACAGAATGGGTTGGAAGCAAAAATGGTTCTGAATTTTGACTTCGGGATGCTTGAGCTTGATCGGACATTTTGTGAATACTCGCGTAGAGTTTGTACCAAATATCTCGTACACGTGTACAACAGTACACTGAAGTCGAAGAATACCCAGTGCCGAACTGGATTAACTTGCGCAGACACGACTGGCACCATCAAAAGATGAGTCGAACACCAAATACTACGTGGGAAAGAGAAACAAACTCGCTTTGCGCTTTTGACCGTGTTGTCGAAACATATTTTGATGGTTAAAAAAGAAACGAATGATTTTCGTTCTTCTGCCAAAAATGTGACCAAGTGCCTCCGTCTCATCCTTCCTCGAAGATTGCTTACACGCTTTTAAAATTACAAGCTAGCCTTGGGTGCTCGACTTTCAATTCCACCAAGGACGATTCCACCTGGTTCAACTCTTGACAGTTCTACTCTAGCTGGTATCATTCAATCGTTTTGATCGAAGCAATCATGTAGATTGTACCGGTACAATAATACAGGAATCTATTTTATAGTAATGGTTTCGATTCATCTCCAAACCAAATAATATATGCTACATCCACTACGCCACAATGGCAGGGGCAAGAGACTCGACAGCTGCGATGGGCATATCTACAACACTCTTGACGGGCTTGTAGGCTGCCTTTTCATCTGCGGAAAGTGCTCGCCACATGTCTCCAAGCTTCTTTCCGATTCCTCCAAACGAAAGATCGGGGTTTTCTTCCTTGATGATTGCACGATGTTCTTGACTGAACTTCATGAATCCAGATAGTGGTTTCTTTGGGGCATTTGGGTCTGCAGCAGGCTTCATCTTCCTCTTGTTCTTCTTGGCATTGCTCTTTGGGGCAGCTGATTTCTTGGTAGATTTCTTGGCTGCGGCTGGCTTCATCTTCTTGTTCGCTTGGGTAGTCTTCTGCATCAAAAGAAATTGGATATGGTGAGGATGCATTCTTGGGTGGGATTGTCAGAAACAAACAATTCCTGCAACTGCAAATGATAACAGCGATTCATTCTTCATTTGAATGCACAGAGCACAGACAGTGGTTGCAAAATGCACAGCGACCTGCTTACCTTGGACTTGACCTTGCCATCTTCTGTCTTTGGTGCCATGTTGTTGCTTTCTTTGACTGCTTTGTTGCTTTCGTCCAAATGGAAATTTGTGATCAGAGTAGAGTGACAGCAAAAATGGTTCTGAAATGATGTGATTTTGGTTGCTTGATCGGACGCTTTGTGAATACTCGCGTAGAATTTGTACCAAAGGTGCCGTACTGCACAGTTTCGACGTCTGCGAAGAATACTTCTCAATCCGAATTTGAAATTTACACACAGACACGACTGACACCAGGAATACATGAGATGAACACTAAAATTCAAAATACCACGCAACAAAGATAAAAACAAACTAGAACGAACGCGCATTTTCGCGCTTTTGGGCGTCATGCTGAAACATATTCAATATTGCACAACCACCAAGTTCATTCATGCATGTGTACCGGCGGCAGTCCAATAACGCTACAGTATGCTCATTGCAACCCAAATAGCAATAATTATAAAAATGCGAGGGCTTAATTGTGATTGGCGGGTATCCACATGTCCCGCCTTGACATCACAACGCACATAAACTTAAAACATCACCCCTTTCGTCCACCATGAAGAAAAAGCTACAGCGTTTCGACCACTTCACACCGTACAAAAAACAAGCGCATTACACAACAATAGCCTAATTGGAACATATCGATGGATTGTTTGACTATACAGTACAGCCTGCAGAACAAATCAACTTTGGTGCAACGCAATTGGCAACAAGTGTTTTGCGTATTGCAAAGCTTTTATAGTCACTTTGCCATTTCTGGTATTTTTGCTCGTGACCTTAGTGACAATGCTTGCAGCGCAATGGCAATGAGTGACTTCTACCTATTGCAGGCCGGTTTGCGAGCCTACCAGTCCATCAGGGATGCTACTACTCTTCAACATCCAGATCTAGCATTGAAGTGCTTGGGCTCCTGGCTTTGGTCGGCGATCTGGACATTGAACACGCGGAAGATGCCTATAGAATGAAACCTTGCCATATCCTCGCCACATCACCAAATCCAAATGCAACAGTCATGGAATGTCTCCTTGACAGATATTCTGTGGGGATTTTGGCGCGCCGAGACTGGAAGACTATGACGAACTATTTGTTCAACAACACCTTGAGCAAATCCGTTCGTCTCTTGAAGTTGGTACTTGAGTAGCCAGTCATCGTGGAGATGGAAGGATGATGGGGATTTACCCGGAGACAGCAGTTTGAACTATTGCGTCTTTTGGAATCCATTCAAGGTGAAGATGATACATAAACCCGACGAAAGTCCATCCGCCTCTTCTTTTGATACGTTGGGCAATGGGCACGCCATGAGATGACTTTTCGTTTGGAGCTGTCGCTGTGGAAAGTGACAATAATGCCCCATCGTAGGGTGCCGCAAAAGGACAACGAGAATTATTATCCAATGTATCGCGCAAACTATCGAAACCAAAGCCGGGGTGCAGACGTTGTCATTCAGAATGCGATTCATTCCGTGCTTGTGGGGAAAGGACGAGCCAAAGGCATTTACTGCATTTTGGCTTTTTCCTTATTGGGATCACAGTACCGTCAATATTGCAGATGCCCCTCTCGGGTAGCGACTTTGATACCGAGTACGAACATGAGAGTCTCTCTGACACAGCGTTCAGCTTTGACAACGAGGAATAGGTTTATTCATGCGGCCGGAGGAATTGGAATCTGGATATGACGTCCTGCAGATCCTCTAAAAACAAAGCAAAAGTTCGGAAGAAGTATGTCGAGTGTATTGGATTCTATACTTTACCTAGCGTAGATGAATTCGATTGTCATTTTCATTATCAATCATGGACTATTGCTTTTTGCCTTTCTTGCCTCCAGCTGGCTTCTTCTTCTTGTCCTCAGCAGGCTTTGACTTCTTGTCAGCAGCCGATTTCTTGCCCTTGGCTCCCTTGGCCTCAGCATCCGACTTTGTCTTCTTGGTGTCTTCGGCCGCCTGTCGCAAGAAAACAGAAAGGATAATGTCGTGAGATCGGATTAATGGGGCGTGATCGATGGTTGAAAAATGCAGAGACAACTGCTTACCTTGGACTTCATCTTGCCATTCTTAGCCATGCTTTCGCTTTCTTGGACTGCTTTGTTACTTTCTTCCAGATGGAAATTTATGACAGCAGAATGGGTTGGAAGCAAAAATGGTTCTTGGTTTCGACTTCGGGATGCTTGATCGGACATTTTGTGAATAATCCCGTAGAATTTGTACCAAACGCGTCATACATTGACGTCGAAGAATACACAGTGCCGATTGCGCAGACACGACTGGGACCATCAAAAGATGAGACGAACACCAAGTTATTCGCTCTTCTGCCAACCTGAACGAATACTGCGGATCTAGGTGTTTTATCGGTTGTTCTCGAAGCAAGGCAAGTTGCGTACCGGTATTGCTGTTGACAACCATGGTTTCCTTTTTCAGAATTGAACTGATTTGATGATACGAGTAATGCACCAAGTGTCTGGTGCCACTATATCAACGAAGTCTCGTCATGATCTATGGTGCTTAGATTGGATTGAGACAAGTACGCAAGCGAACCAAAGATGTCTAAGTTAGAATATACGCATCTCTATAAAAAGCTCATTCGTTTTAAAAGTCAGTTTGATCTCAGTCGTAATTTGTTTTGAATGGTGCTGTTTTACAAAATCTATGTTGACAATGACCTGTTCTTGCGCGATCAGCGGTTACGTCCAAACTTGTGCTGGATCATGCTACGGTTTGGCGATGATCTCGATCGATCATGCATTCCAAAGCATCGAAATTCTAAAGGTAATGGCATTGAGTGCAGTAGATTCTATATCTATAGTCTAGTTAGGGTGGATTAAATTGAGCGTCGAGTGCCATTCTCCATGGACTATTGCTTCTTGCCTTTCTTGCCTCCAGCTGGCTTCTTCTTGTTGTCCTCAGCAGGCTTTGACTTCTTGTCAGCCGCCGATTTCTTGCCCTTAGCTCCCTTGCCCCCCTTGACCCCAGCATCCGACTTTGCCTTCTTGGTGTCTTCGGCCGCCTGTTGCAGAAAACAGAAAGGATAATGTCGTGAGATCGGATTAATGGGGCGTGATCGATGGTTGAAAAATGCAGAGACAACTGCTTACCTTGGACTTCATCTTGCCATTCTTAGCCATGCTTTCGCTTTCTTGGACTGCTTTGTTACTTTCTTCCAGATGGAAATTTATGACAGCAGAATGGGTTGGAAGCAAAATGGTTCTTAATTTTGACTTCGGGATGCTTGATCGGACATTTTGTGAATAGTCGCGTAGAATTTGTACCAAACGCATCGTACATTGACGTCGAAGAATACCCAGTGCCGAACTGGATTTCCTCAGACAGACACGACTGGCCTGGCATCATCAAAAAGTGAGATGAACACCAAATACTACGCGGGAAAAACAAAAAACTCGCGAATCATCTCTGCGCTTTTGACCGTGTGTTGTCGAAACATATTTTATTTTGATGGTGACAAACATACCTTTTTTTAAAAAAGAAACGAATGATTGCACATAATGTGACCAAGTATCCTCCTGAATTGGAGCATATCCTTCTCATCCCCTCATATGATTGCCTTCACGGTTAAAAAATGGAAATGTAGCCTTGGGTGCTCGACTTTCAGTTCCATCGAGGATGGTACCTAGCACCTAGTTTAATTCTAGACAGTTCTAGTATCATTCAATCGTTTTGATCGAGGCAATCATGATCAATGCAAAGTATATTGTACAATAATACAGGAATCTACTTCATGATAATGGTTTCGCAAAGGAAGCGTGTGAAGATTTACGATGTGCGTGATTGCTTTCAATCCATTTTCAACGAAGTCAATATTGATGGACGCGTGCGGAAAGTACATTTTGACCGGTTCGACTACTTCATTTATTCGAGTGAGTCGTCTCATGAGAAGATTGACTTCTATTCTGTGCTCCTCCTCGTGACTGAAACTATGTGACACATCAAATCAATCAAATTTCAAATTTGGCGATAACATGTCTCGTTGGCATCATCGCCGTTTTCGCTTTTCTCATCGGAAGCATTGGAAGCAGAAACGACACACCTTTCTCACCACCATGAAGGCTCCGACTCCCCAGAAAATAAAAGAGACGCTCCATAGGGTAAAGACGAATAGGGAAACCTTGTTTGCTGTCCTCCTTGCAGGAACGAGATGGTACACTGGAGGCCTCGCCTTGCCTCTAGGCTTCATTATTTGCCGACTCACCCTGGAACGATTGAAGGACCGCAGCATGCACAAGAACGTTGGCTCACTGGAAAAAGAAAACAAAAGACTCAAGAGCTTATTGGACGAGATGAATGTCCAAGTTCTTGAGAGACACAGCTACAGTGGGTCTGAGGAAGACATGAGCAAGAGAATTGTCGAACTCCAAAAGGAAAGGGATGATTTGGAGGGACAATTGAAGGCAGAGCGTCAGGGGAAGTCTACTTTGGAAAATGGTCAAAGGGAAGCTATGGCAATTCGTGATGCCGAAGCAAGACAGAATCGAATCTTAAAGAAAGAAATTGAACGTCTCCAGAGCGAGACCCAAAAGACGAAGGACTTGAAATCTGAAATAAAGGACAAGACCAACGTCATCGCCGATAAGGAGCAGATGATTGCAGATCTTGAACAAGACTCATCGATGAAGCAAAGTCGAATCGAGGACTTGGAACAAGAGAAGAATAAGCTGTTGAGTGTCATTGACTCAGGAAGGGAGTCGAAAGCTGCTCTCAACGACACTTTGGAGAACGAACGAAATACTGTTCGATCCTTGGAAAAGGAACTCAAAGAAATCAAGCAAGAAGTAGGCGAAAAGCGTCAACTGTATGAGATCAGTATGAAGACGTTGTCATCGGAGAAGGAAAAGAACAGTTCACTTGATGCCAAGGTGATGGAGCTGACGATGCAGTTGGAGGCGGAACAAAAGACTGTCCAAGAGCAAGAAAGCACCATCACGATGAGAGATTGCGCGATTTCCAGCTTGAAGGATTATGAGTACAAGGCACTCAAGCTAGTCGAGGAACTCCGGTCAAAGGAGGAAGAAATCCTTGAACTCAGGAAGAACGACGAATCCAACAAGGCTGTGCTTGCTTCAACCAACAAGAAATTGTCTGAGGTCGAGGAAGAAAACAAGCACACCGCTGAATTCAAGCAGCAGGTTGCCTCTTTGACTCTTTCGTTGAAAGAGTGCGAGTCAAAGTTTGAAACGGTCACGGAAATGTACGATGCCACAAAGATGGAACTCCAAACCGTCCGTGATGCCAACGAAGCTCTTCAAAAAGACAATAGCGACCTTAAGGCATCCTACGAATCTTCAAGTCACGCACAAAATTTGCTTGAAAAAGAAATGGAAGCCACCAAGTGCCTTCACAACGAGATTAGTATATTGAACGGATCTTTGAAGGCAGCAAAGGAAACCAATACTCAGTTGCAACACACCTTGGACCAAAAGATTACCATTGTCCAAGCAAAGGAGAACATGCTAGCCGAGTCTACATCCAGGGCCGAGTCTTTGCAGAAACAAGTTGAAGAAATGAAGAAAAATATGAATGAATTGAGCCTCGTGGCACAGGACGCAAGTAGCACTGAGAAACGTGCTACTGAAGCTGAGGAAGCGCTGTTGTGCGAACAAGCCAAGTCTTCAGACTTGGAGACAAAGGTTGAAGAGTTGACAGCTACCTTAGATGAAAAGGTGCGAGCGGCAACTAGTTTCGAAAGGAGGTTGGGTAACAAACAAAGAATCATCGAAGACTGTGAGGACACCATTGAATCCTTGGAACGCTTCAAGCAAAAGGCTGAAGAAGAAAGCACAAGAGCACAAGAAATAGAGAGCGAAGTATCTCGTTTGAACAATTACTTGGGTTCGATGAAACTAAGTGTGGATGAACTGGAAGAGAGGTTGGATGAGAAAGAAAAGGAAATTGCCGAGCTGAAAGAAATCAATTCTGCGTTGGTATCAGGAAAGGATGAGCTAAGTGCACAGCACACAGCGACAAAGACTGTAGAGAAACGGTTGCAAGAGCAGTTGGAGAATATGAAAATGGAGATGAACGCGGAAGTCGAAAAATTCACGACGCTCAAGATGGAGAATGAGCGTCTCAAGGAAGCAGACCAACAAACAAAGAAGATGGTGGAAAATCTCAAGTATTCTTTGGAATCAAAGGAATTAGCCATTCAACGCAAGGAGGCAGACATCCATCGACTCCAGAAGACAAGCAAAGAAAATGAACAACTTCAAGAGAAGGAAGAGGAGCTTTACAAGAAGATCGAGAAGCTGACTGCATCTTCCAACGATATCTCCAAAAATCTGGAATCAAACTTGGAGAAGACGAAAGCTTTGTTGAGGGAGGAACAATGGAAGGTTGAATCTTTGCGAGAGATGCTCAACTCCAAAGGCATTGACGCAACGGACGGTATGGGTAAAACCATGCCAAACGAGATGAAGAGTATAAAGTCCAAATATGAGGCTGAAAAGGCGAAGGTTGGCAATCTTGAAACGACAAGAAGGTCTTCGCAAAAGATGATTCGTGATTTGGAATCTATTCTTGATAAGAAAGAAGCGCTTCTCGCCAAGAAGCAGGAAGAAATTGCAGCGTTGAAGGATACACTGGCGGATGTGACCGAATCACAGTCAGACCACATTAGTGAGACGAAGAAGCGAGAGATTTCCAGGAAGATAAGTCACGCAGACACATCTCAAAAGATCAAATTGAGCGACATGTTGATCGTGTCAAGCGCGTTCCACAACAGCACTCGGGTCACTTCCCCCAAAGGAAGACCGACACCGGAGACGATGACGAATCCATGGGGAAAACACTACGCAGAATCCGTTGAGCGTTAGGAGAAAAATCTGGCATGTTCGTGTTTGCCTATGATGAAACCAAAGAGGACCAGTCTGCTGTCGAAGTTGGGACCACCTTCAGATAAAAGGATGGATCATCTCGCTCGAGCACTGTTTCTCTTATCGTCAAACATTTTATTCTCTATCAATATGTACAATATGCTTCCATCAGTGTGATTTTATAATATAGTTTGCTATGTTGCAGTTTTTTTATTTGTGTATTCCTTTCAATGTTATTATTTAGTACTCTTGTACATCCGCTGGATTCATGATTGTTTGACGGGCTTCCAAGGGTATACCATTTTCTCTTCCACTATGAAACTCTACAGTACTGCTCTCCCCTACGGCACCTCCCAATACCGGGTATACCACACCGCGTGCATCTTCTTTTTCTCATTTTTCTCTGGAAGCACTATTTCTGTCCAAAAACGCACGCGACCACACACCAAAACCTCAAACCGACTGAAAAAGCCATAAACCGCAATGAAGCTCGTCGTGTTTTCAACACGCTTGGCTTCAACATGGTGCAGCCCACCATGAGAAACAGCCACAAAATCAGATCTGACAAAAGTTGATCGCAATGAATAGAACACACGTTGATTATGCCACAAGCCATGACGTCGTTTTGAGGACAAGCGGAGTCACACGCCGTACTAGGTGCAGCCCACGTTATGAGCGCATTCTGGCATCGTGTGTGGAGGAACATAGAAAAGCCGCAGACAAATTCGAGTTCCGTCGTACTCTTTATCTCAAACTTCAGGCTCTTGATCCTCCTATTCGATTTCTCAAGTATGACAACACAGCTGAAAAGTTTTATGCTGTGGAAGAGACTGGAATGCGAGTTGCTTTCAACCGAACGGCAAGGCAGCTGAGCGGGAGAGCAAGGAAGAAGATGAGTTCTTCAATCTATGCGAATGAAGTCACGGCCTCTGATATCCTCTTCTCGGACGACGGGTTTGAAAACAAAGCGCATACCGGCAATCGGTTCTTGCATCGAATGCTAGCACCAATGGCCAAGGCTTACCAAAGTGCAGAACACCAACTGGAAATGTGTTCCAAACTGTTCTGGCAATTGAAGAAAGAGAACATTTCCATCCGCTTCTTACGACGCAGTGATGAGAAACGAAAGTACTACCTTTGCAACAAGGACTACTCCGTCTGGAGGATTCGAATTATTTTGGAGGGCATGGCCATTGTGGATCGCTGCCTCCCTGGCAACAACAACAACAACAACAACAACAACAGTCATCATCAGTTTTCAAAAGACGCTTTCACAATTAATATGACGAATACAGCGCAACCCATAGTTGCAGCCGCAGGGGCTTCCGGAGAAGGAGGTGCAAAGAAGTCAAGAAGTTCTTCTCGGAGGTGTCGTCGTAAAAAGATGATTCTACATATTGAGGCTAAGAAAATAGCGAAACAGACAGGAAAGAAAGGTGGGGAAGCTCCTGAAGTTTCAAAAGCTCAGAATGCTTCGGAGATGGAATCGCAGAATGCAGCGCAGAATACGCGTACCATGGTTTGCAACGAGAATGATGGTTACAACTGGAATCGTCCAACCCAGACCAAATGTCCTGCACCACGAGCTGTCCTCACTCGGTCACGAGGAGTAGTCAAACTCGTTTCAAAACCGACCAATGGTTCGTTGACTCCTCGTGTTGCAGTTCTGCCAATGAGATGTAAGAAGCACTCGGGACATAAACAACTTCGCTGTGATGGGTTGGTGGTGAAGGTGGAAATTGACGACGAAACCAAGAGATCGTTGCAAGAGCGACAAAAACAAACGGCACTCCTGGAATTGGTCCCCGCTACTATCATGAAGTCTTTACTTCCAACTGCAAAACAGATTCATGCGGTATATTCGAACCCAAATCAGCTGCGTTGTCCCCTACTTCAAGTCACTGATTGTACTTTTGGACAAAATCCTTTTGCAGATAAGCTGAACACTACTGTGAACAATAAGGTGCTCCCTGGCTTTGAAAATAATGTAGCCCAGAGGAACAAGGTGCCCCCTGGCTTTGAACATGTGGCGAATTCAATGCAACCACTGGTTGCTATGGGAGAGGACGACCGAGATGACGTCGCAAGCCAATCCAACCATCGTCGATTGGATGATCATCGCGAGTGTCACGAAGAATGTCATGACGTTAAAGACGATGACTACATGTACATGGAAGCAATGAGTCGAGCAATGGTGACTGGATTGTGTGGCTGGGAATAGAAAGTGCCAATAAATTATCTTGTGCCAAAAGAACGAATTAGAAACATAGGCATATACAATAATAGCCTGATAACAACATAGAACATACACGAGTTCGCATCTATCTGGATCCTCTTTTAATGTTACCAAATCTGTACTGGAAGCATCTCATTGCCAAAAACCAAGTATGTATAGAACATACAAGAGTTCACATCTGTGTGCATATTTAGTAATATTGAAGAATCTGGATTGGAACCCCAAGTATTTCCCAATCTGATTGCCATATTTGATACTGTACTGGTTTCCATGCATCATCTTTTATATTATTTCATGAATACAGTACTGTAGAGTACATTTCTGCTAGCTATACTACTATTGCTTTTTCGATCGATCCCGTTCTTGGATGCGTTCTTGAAAAGAAGTGAGCAAATTGGTCAATTCTTCTGCCATGGCCTCCATTTCATTGGCATTATCGTTCTGCCGTTGCTGCTGCAGTAAATGATTGGTGGAAGAGAGAGACTGTTGTAGCTGGTTCCAATTGTTCAAGGAGAGATTGGGATTGGCCTGGACGGGTGGTCCAGCGGGTTGGATCACGGGCGGTGGCGGGGGTTGTGGCGGCATATGCACTGGTAGTTGTCCCTTGTAATCATGATAAGGATTTGCTTGAAGTTCCATTATTCGCAGACGTCGATTGCGCTGAAACCTCGATCCAATCATGGTGACTATGCTAGCAATCAAAAAGACAACGGATCGATCTAGGTCCACATGTTGGGATAACAAAAAGGCGTGCACCGAATAGGAAACTCCGACACCCCCCAGAACAGCCGTCAATACTTCCAGTGACGCTTGTTCATAAAGCCGTAAAAAGAGACCACCGGCCATAGCCAACAAGATGGTAATGACCCAAGCATGTGGCGAAATGTCCGAGGCCAGTGCAGCTTCGGTCACCTTGCTAGCCGTTTCACCACCACTCGCAGCAACAGCAGCAGTCATGTTGAGACCCGGATCCAAATCAGGAAAGGCGTCAAAAAAGAGATAGGACATGCCACCTGCCGAAACGGTTCCCAAGGTGAACAATCCAAATCGCACAAAGGCGGCAGCACCCATGGCACACAAGGTCGCCGAGACTCCCGACAGTGCCAATTTCATGGGACAATCCAGTCCGCCTTTGAAATAATTATTGACAAAATGAAAGATGCAAAAGATTCCCAATCCAGCCGCCGTCATGGTGCAGACGGGCAACAACAATTGCGATCCAAAAAAGACCATGGCCAAACTGGCCGGTAATAAGACCAATTCGAACAAGTAGACGTCCAACCAAATATTCTTGTTGTTGCCTTGGCCATTATTTTCGTTACGAATATCAATGTCCTTCCAATCCAAATTGGTCAAATAAGACACGGCGTATTCAATCTTGACACAGGTCGTCATGGAAATGGCCGTCACGTTAATGGATTTGACCGGTGTCTGGTTATCATCATCATTTTTATCAATATTGATTGCCGAGACAACATCCACAGTATCAGTTTTTTGCGTTTCAATGGAACCAACTGTGGCCGATGGAGTGGATTTGCTTTCGTCCTTCTTATCATCCTCCGATGAGGAAGAGGCTTGCTTTGATTTCTGGGACGAAGAACTTAAATTTCGTCGCCGATTATGAAATGCACTTGTTGTGCTGCTTGATATGAATTCTTGACGCTCCGTTCGTTGCAGTGATGACGATAATGATGATGATGATGATGACACACCCGCTGTTTCTTGGGCATTTACAACCATGACCAATTCCTGCAGTAGTAGCAACGACGTGACAAGGAGAATAAACGACAGGCCTGAGAAAGACCTACTGTTCTTGGACATTGTCATTAGACTGGAAGCGGTTCGTCGTCGATGTTTGGTCCTTGAATCATTGCCCGCAGCTTGAAGCGGTTGTCGAGGTTGTGACATCATTATACAGCAGAGAATGTATGTACCTGTACAGTAGAGAGACTGGTTGGTGTTTGCTACTTGTATTGTCGTTGCTATTCCTGTTTGCGGTTTTGGTTTTGAACAAACTATAAGAAACTCCTCTAAGTCTTTTTCGACTGGTTTGATTACGACTGATCCGACTACATCGAAGAACTCAAACACTAAACGCAATAACAACATCCTTGATACTATTAATACATTATACTGACAACAACCAATCAATGAATCATCGATGCAGATAGCAACCATTATCTTTCACTCTTATTTCCATTTATTTTTGAGAGGCTATTAAAAGTGCACGAAAAGACCAACCATGATTAATCATTCCAACAGTGGCAGGCGCGTCGTCGCACTCTGTTGGCCAATCGTCCTTTTTTTGTCCCTCTGGCCAAATGACTCGACAGCTTCGGTTCCAACTTCAGTGATTCGGGCCCGAGAACAACAACAACAACAACAACAAGCTGCCGCTGCTGCAGCATCAGCTGAAACAACCATAGCAGAGCAACCATCATCCAATAACGATACTTGCAATAATGATGTTGAGAACAAGCCTCCGCCACCGCTGTTGGAATGTGGGGTCTACATGGCACCGAGTACGATTGGCAATCATTCCAATCTTGGAATTTATACTGGTTTTGCCTTACAACCAAACGAGACGATACGATTTCCAGAAATCGCCATTCCACTATTGTTTCGCAACTTTGATCAACATCCACCCAATTCATTAGGCGACGGGACCTTGTGGGATCGTTACATTTGGGGAGCCCATGTGGCCAATTTGCAAGATCCCTTGGACGATTACGATCGGACTCAAGAACGAAGTGTCTTTGTCCCGGGCGTGGGATGTACGGTCAATTCCATGTTGGATTTGCAAAACATTCAGTCGACTCAAGGGTCTGTGTATGACACAGCCAATGTCCCACGGAATCACCCAGCCGCCGGATCCTTTTCGCCCTATCACAGCTCCAAAACGATCACTACAAGAGAGATTCCAATCGGGAGTGAATTGCTGGCTAATTATGGGGATGGATGGATTCCCAACATTCCAAATGTGGCAGTTACCTTGGACCAGCACCTGGATCAAGCGGACAAGTTTGTGAAACATTACGAAGAATGGATGGCCAAGATTGTTGAGAAATATGGAGAGACGGACAAGTTGTCACCCGAAATGCTGGAAAAACTATGGACCATGGCACGAGGGTTACACCCTTCCCGTGACTTTTCGGTGTTGCCACCAGAAATGGATTTGAGTCGATTCCTTTCAAAATCATCGTCGACAAAAGATGCAAATGCAAACGAAGAATTTTCATCGTCGTCGTCAAGTCCGACTCGAGAGTATTGGCGATCCCAATCCATTCGATCCATGGAATGGTTGCAAAAGCATGGAAAGTGTCAAGATCACATCAAGCCTGGCATTTCCACCATTCCCAATGCGGGACGAGGGGCCTTTGCCAGTCGTGATTTGCCACAAGGTACTATTGTGGGGTATGCGCCCTTGATTCATATTGGAGAGGCAGGAACGGACTTACTTCAATTTACCTATCACTCTTCGTCCTCAACCAATAAGAAGCAATATACCAAACCCGAGCTGGTAATCAACTACAGCTTTCGTCATCCGAATTCGACACTGATTCTCACACCCTATGGAGCTGGCGTCAACTACATCAATCATGCCTCTGGTCAGCGAACACCAAATGTACGAGTCCAATGGCCCAAGGAAGAGTCCATTGCCCACAAACCCGATTGGCTACAAGAGAAGAGTGTTCGCTTCCTACGAGATACGACGGGAAAGATTGGGCTCTCCTTTGATTACGTAGCCTTGCGAGATATTGCCAAGGATGAAGAATTGCTCATGGACTATGGCCCAGAATGGGAAGCCGCTTGGGAAGCTCATGTGGTCAATCATGTGCCGCCAAAAGATGCTTTGACCTATGTTCATTCGTCCCAATATACTGGGGAATATCTCAAGACACGAAACGAACAACTGTCGGATCCCTATCCGACCAATTTGCACACACTCTGTCGCCCTTGGTTCACCCAGCGACCGGATGGAACCAATGTTTTTGCCCGTCCTATGAGGCAAGACGATCAATATGTGACATGCGAGGTAGTGGAACGAAATCCCAGAGACGACTCTACGACGTATACCGTTCAAATGTCGCTTGGTGGTGGTGATGGTGGTGGTTCCAACACCAACAAGAACAAGGTTGTAGTTGTGGTTGTGCAGGGAGTTCCAAGACCCGAGGGGATCGAACTCTTCGACAAGGTCTTTTCGCAAGACATGCACTTGCCCCAAGCATTTCGGCATCCCATTTCCATACCCAATGATATATTTCCAGAAGCGTGGAAGAACAAGCTATGATAACTAGAGAAAGAGAAAGCGAAAATGCAGTCGCGGCGCTGTAGTTTGTCCTATAACGAGTGGCGTTGGAGAAGTGCGCCGAATAGTCAACTGGATACAGATCTCATTACAAAGAGTTCACACGAGACAGAGATAACCGTGTGATTATCGAGTATTACTCGAGCAGATTCCGATACACAATGTGAATTTGCGAATTCCGTTCTTTCTCGAACTGCTGAGAAATGTTCCTTGCGCTGTCACTAGAGGTTGTGTTTGCAGTCGAAGCCTGCCTGCTTCTTTGATCCAACAAGAACATCAAAAAAGGCACAGAATAAATATTGAATCCATACTGCATTCGAAGAGCGCAACTTGGATATTGCCCAGCTACTGTTGGACAGGGGCGCCGATATTAAAATGCAGGACAAGGATGATCAGACAGCGTTGCACTTGGTATCTAAATGCGGCGATATTGAACTGGTTTAGTTCCTGCTGGACAGGGGCTCCAATATCGAAGCGCAGAACAAATACCTCCGTACACCGTTGCACTCGGTATCATCCCATTACCGGTACGAAAATACTGAACTGGTTCAGCTGCTGTTGGACAGGGGCGCCAACATTGAAGCACAGGACAAAAATCTTCGCACACCGTTACACTTGGTTTCTACAGACGGTAATGTTGAAGTGGGGAAGTTCTTGCCGGACCGAGGTGTCCGACACACGTTGTGAATCAAGTATGAAGAATTATCTCCTGGTGGACGGAGTATGCCCAGAGCATGGGAAATTCGTTTTTGCCCGATAAGTTTTGCGGCTGGCTTTTTTCAGGCTGTATCTTCAGCGACCATTCACACGGAATCCTGTAGTACATTCCTTCCGATCGGATTGAGGATGTTGAAAGAAAGTATCGAGCAGTTCAATGATCGGACATGAGCTGCTTACTTGCTGTGAATCCAAAGACAATTGAATCAGTTGTTGATGCTATATAAATATATACACAATGAATTATTAAACTTTCATTTTGCTTTCGTACTCTCTTGCAGCTCTGAATAGCAATACCGGTATACGAATTTTTAAAAAAAAGACACAAAAGGGAGTCAGCGAATGGAATCGAACTTGTCGATTGTACATGAAAGAATGAATCTAATCAAATAAATCAAATCGCAACACGCAGAAAATAAATAATAAGCGACGACGCCTCTCTCAAATCATAATCACACCATCAGCATATTTAGTAGCAGAGGCAAGTAGAATATACAATGTCGCTTTACTGCATTGTCATTGGCGGAAACATCGTCCACATGTCCCTTCATGACGCTGTGAGAGAGGGTAACTTCGGACTTGTACGAATGCTTCTACAGAAAGGAGCAAACCCAAACGAACGAAACAAGAACAAGACCACGCCGCTCTATCTGGCGTGCCTGGAAGGCTGGGATCATATTGTTCGTTTGTTATTGGATCATGGTGCAGATATGGAAGCAGCCCAAAAGTTTGGCTCCAAGCCTTTGCATGCGGCCTGTGAAAGGAGCTTGAACGTTGCGCGGCTTCTCTTGGAAAAGGGGGCCAATGTGGAGGCCAAGGATTCGGAAGGAAGATCACCGTTGCAGATTGCATGCAAGAATGGACGACTAGAAGTTATGCAACTCTTATTAGACCACAATGCTGATATCGAATCCAAGTGCTCGGAGATGAAGACAGCATTGCATTGGGCTTGCAGAAGGGACAATCTTGAATTTGTTCAACTGCTTCTTGATTGCGGCGCAAACATTAATGCCAAAGACGATAATGAAGGGACGCCATTGCATTTCGCTTGTGAGAATGGCCGATTGAAGATAATACGACTCTTGTTAGACCGCGGTGCGGAGATAAACGCCCAGGACAAGAACGGGTACACAGGAATGCATCTGACAGCGTCCATGAATTATTGTAACTCCACACAGTTGTTGATTGATCGTGGCGGCGACGTGAATGCCAAAGGTGGCGCTACAGGATGGACGCCTTTGCATTTGTCCTGTAAATTTGCGAGATACCAGGCTGCCCGCATGTTAATAAATAGTGGTGCCTCTGTCAACTCTCGTGGGAAACAGCAAATGACACCACTACATCTAGCATGCGCATATGGTCATGTGGAGCTTGCCCGGCTCCTACTCGATAGAAAAGCAGATGTAGAAGCGAAAACAACATTGAATTGGACAGCATTGCACCTTGCATGTAGATCTGGGCGACTCGAGGCTGCTAGCTTGCTACTACAGCGGAGCGCCAGTCTGGACGCTAAAACCAACGAGGACGAGCTGACGCCGTTGCATATGGCGTGTCAATACGATCAGTTGGAGGTTGTATGGACGCTGATGCAGTACAGCCCGTTGCAGTTTTTCAAATCGTCATAGGCATTCGTACACGTACCTACGTGACAATACTCTGTTCGAGTCGAGCTTATTTTGGTCACTGTTTTAAATTTGTGTCACCAAACTATCGGCCAGTGCTGCTGGTATGCTGCAACGCAAGAATTGAGACGATATCATAATGCTGCATTGTATTAGCAGCAAGCCGAATAAGTGAACGCAGGTCGATTTGTTGCTGGATCAATCATCAAGTGATTGCTACTTCCTTGAACGGAACTCGATGGAGAATATAAAGTCACATTATTCCAGACTTTCTGTCATCATCATTATCTACAGCAAGCATCGTATCATTTTATTTAAAAAAGCAAAGCCTTTACAATTCTGACTACTTCGTCGCAAACAGCTGCACGAGTCCCTTCATGTCGTCGACATGAACCCAATGCCCCGCCTTTGGCAAGACATGCGTAGCAAACTTATCAGGATATTGCTGTTGGATTTCTTCTAATTCTCGCAGTGTGGACATGCCATCCGGCCCACTGTTCCACTCTTGATTCTTACCCCCTCGCACCAAGTCTACCTTAATATTCTGCGAGAGAATTTCGTCCAACAGCCCATAGAAATCTTGAGTGCCAAATTCCGGCAAAATATCATGGACGACCGACAGGTCAAACCCAAAGTCTGATCCATCAAACGAACTCGCTAGCCACATGGCAATACCTTGGTCCAACCCAGCCGTTGTGAGTTCTTGGACTATTTGTTTTCGATCCATAGTGCCAGATGAGGAATTTTGAATGTTGGTAACAACTTGATCGACAGTGTCAATTACTTGTTCCACACTTGAATTGGCTGACGCGTCATAAGAGAGTAAATTGATGGTATATGCATGGGTACAATTGAATTGAGAAGACTGGGAAGGACAATTGAATTTCTAGGCGTCTAATGCCTTTGAACTGGTTTGGTTCCAACTTTTTCACATACCTTTTCCTGGGACGGTATCCAATAACCAAACTCGCTCAAGAGATTCTGACGGCTTTTTGGCAGCATATTGGAGTGCCATACGCCCTCCCCATGAATGCCCAACAATCGATGTCACTGGAATGGATTCAGTCGCTTGGGCGACGTCCTGAGCGCAAACTGCAAAGGAAGCAGTGCTATCACTATTAGTTGTAGGCAGCCTCGATTTGCCATGACCTCTTAGATCCATCAAATACCCAGTAGAATTAGTTTCCTTGCACACTTGTTTGGCAAAAGTCTTGAGGTTTCTTCCGTTTCCCAGGAGCCCGTGAAGGAATACCGTGTGACTACCTGATTCATTTTGGTTGGGAATGACTTCGGAATACAATGGTACAGTAGCATTGGCGCCTGAACACTGGCTTCGAATGAGCAACTGGTGTACTGAGGATGTCAAACGACGCTTTTTGCTGCGAGAAATCTGACACAACATCTTGTGGACCTTGTGCTTGTCAGTGATGAGGCTTCGATGATAATTGCTCGAGAACGAATCATTGGATTCCTTTCATCATACTGACGACGGTCGAACGACCGTCTCAACATCATTGCTCCAAGTCCGATAGGCGGTACAATACAGTAGGCGCCAGTTTGAAGTTGGCTATCGAGATAGCGGAAGTTAACACGTATTAATAACACGTATTAAACATTTTTTAACATATATATTAGATAAGAAATACTCCAATGCGAACCATTTGACGTACTTTTTGGTAGCGCTTGCCGCCAAGGCACATGGTGAGCAGTGCGCTACCGTACCGGTACCGTACGATTGATTGCTTTTCATTTTCTGTCCTTTTCAAGGTCATCACCACATCCACCATGTATGGACTTATTTTTGAAGTTGTCGAAGAGTGGGTCATCGAGAAATATGGGCTCAACGTCTGGCACAACATAAAGGAGCTTGCTGGTAACAAGAGGAAAGACCAAACATACCTGCGGCGAGAGCACTATCAGGATGAAGAACTTGTGGATCTCATCGATGCCGCCTCTGACATCCTCAAGATTTCTGTTACAAGTGTTCTCGAATCGTTTGGGAGATTTATAATCATGCATCACTTTGCCAATGGATACGATGAACTCCTAAAATGTCAGGGGTCGACCCTGCGCCAATGGCTTTCAAACCTCAATGCTATGCATGACCACGTACAAAGAAGTTTCCCAGGGGAGAACTTCATTGCTCCAATCTATTGGTGCGAAGATTGTGACGAGGTCGAAGGCTCTATTCTTTTACATTATTATACCCTACGGGGAACCTTGTTGGTACCCATGACCGTTGGTATCGTCGAGCAATTGGCGTCTTATCATTTCAACCTGGAGGTCAAGATGGTGCAACTAGCATTACAGGGTCAAGATGGAAGCTCCTTTACTTCATGGCGTATTTCAGCAGTGGAGGAATCGCAGAAATGGAAACTCTCCCCTCATACATCTTCCCAAGGCAATGGGGAAAACAAGCCTGTCAGTTTCGATGGCGTTTCATTGCCTGACAAATGTCCTTTCTCAGGCCGAGCGCTGAAGCGCAGCAACGACAGCACGAACGATGAGAAATCTATAAGTCCATCAGGAATAGAAGAAGTCGCTTCAGTTAGCTCTAGCTCTCTTTCAAGACCAAGTGACAGTGACAACGACTTCAGCTTTTCTGGGCAGCACCTCAAAGAGTTGTTCCCTTTTCACATCCTTGTCGACCAAGCCTTCTCAGTTCTTCAGATTGGATCAAAGCTACCAAGACTCCTTGAAAAGTCCATTTCGCAGCTGGAAGGCTTGCATATCAGTGAGATCGTTCAAATTACACGGTAAGAGTTTCCTTGGAATTGATCTGTCGGAAGTTATCTTGTGATGCTGACTCAGCTATTCACTGTAGACCGGTATTGGGGTCATCTTGGGACTGGAAGTCTCTTAATAAATTGTCGGATCAAAACTTTTTCCTCACTCCAACTACACAGACAACCTCGCTACAAAAGAAAGTCTCCATGGCAGATAGCACTATCCGATTTCAGGCTTCAATATATCGACTGTCACCGACTAAGGTCATGTTCGCACTGACTCCTCATGCGCAAAACGTGAATGAGCTAAACCGAATGGGCTTGATGCTAACCGATCTTCCGCTCTCCAGCTGTCAGCGCGATGCAGTCTTTTTGGGCGAGCACGTTGCTCAGGAATCAGACAAAGCTCACAAGCTGGACAAACTCAGCAAGCAACTGAAAAGTGAAAAAGACCTGTCCAACACTCTTCTCAACAACATGCTTCCTCAAAAGGTCGCCGAGGATCTTCGGCGAGGAAAGACTGTTGAGCCAACGTTCCATGAAAATGTCACACTGTTCTTCTCTGACGTTGTTGGATTCACCGCCATCTGCGATCAAGTCGAGCCGTGGGATGTCATTGCCATGATGAACCAACTGTACTCAGTGATGGACTTTCTCGCCAGTCACTTTGGTCTCTACAAGGTTGAGACTGTTGGTGATGCGTACTTGTGTGCTTCTGGGCTATTAAATCCTGATGAATATCACGCTGAGAAGATGGCGAACTTCGCTTTGGCAGTTCGGGAGTGTGTCCAGCACGTGAAGTCTCCAGTCGATGGATCGCCTATTCAGCTTCGAATTGGAATCCACACTGGCAGTTGTACTTCTGGTGTCATTGGAACATTGACGCCTCACTACTGTTTGTTCGGTACGTACATGTGTATGTGATGTGTGGCAAAAGAAAAACTCCATTATTATCAGCGAATCTTATCGAGCTTGTTATTCTTCTTTAGGTGACATGGTAAACACAGCGTCTCGACACGAGTCGACGGGTATGCCGGGCAAGATCCAATGTTCGAGTGTGCTGTATAGTAGACTCGAACATTTTTCGAAAATGGATATTGGCCAGTACATCTTTAGCGCACGTGGTCTTGTTGAGATGAAAGGCAAGGGAGAGCATTATACCTATTGGCTGGAAAGCGCTACAGAAGCAAACACTGGAGTGAACGAGGAATCCTTGGCAAGTCTTTCAAGGCAGGTTCAAGGAATACTAGCGACTAATTCTTGGAAGAAGAGACGCTACTTTGGACGAGGTGGAATCCTTCGAAATGATGCAGATGCTTCAGACGTATCTGCTTCGGGAACCTCATCTCACGATGGATCGACCCCAAGCTACACAACTGAAGTTTCGAGTAGCTTGCTTGGCAGCGACGATTCCGTTCAAAACGGGGATGATTTTATGGATGATGAAGACGATCCAATGCCACGGAAAACCATTATTGATTTTCCACAGGAAAATGGGCTGCAGATACCCCAACCATGGGGAACGATAGGAAGTCAAAAGGAAAAATTTCCTGAGGAAGCGATAGGTAAATCTCTCTGTCGGTCACTTGCTACGTGCATTCAGAAAGAGGGAGAGCGAATAAGGATGGTTGAAGATCAGCTCCGAGCATTTGTTTCCTCTATTGCGCAGATCTATGATAGCAGCGCCAACGAGACATCACTAGATCACATTGCTGAAGTCTTTCGACGAGCGAATTTCCTTTGGGAAGCTAGAGATCCGAACGAAAGATCTCCCTACGCACTTGGTGCCAACCCGTGGGACCATTTCACTCTTCTTTTCAGTGCCTTTATCCACCGAGTCAAGCATACTGGATCCACGAACGCCACTCTTCAGAGTGAGAAGCACCTCATTGCCCAGATGTACGAAGGGCAACTGTCTTGTCAGGAGAGACGATCGGTCGACTTTGCATTCACCCTACTGGAAGACGAGTTCGGGGAATTATATGACGAAGTCACCTTTGGCTGTCCCAACTTCAGAAGCCTGGTCCGCAAGACAGTTCTCAGCACAGACCTAGAGAATGAAAGTACCGTTCACAAAATGCTTGGAAAGTGTGAGAAACTAAACTTGATGGATTGTGTGGATGAGCGACAAAGCCGTGAACGTAATACGGCAAACATCGGACTCATCTTGGCCGTGGCTACAGTCGGGCAATATACGCAATCGCTCGATCAGTTCCTCCAGTACATCGGTGAAGCGTATGACAAAGTGACGAAGGCTTCCGATAGCAGCAGTTCAGAAAGCTGGTATCGCGAGCAGCACATGTTCATGAAGTATGTCTTACTCCCCTTGATCGAAGAAGTGACATCTGTGTTGCCGCTTTCTGGATACTTGGAAGAAGGTGCAACGGAAAACATTGCATTTTGGGACAAGAGGGGGCAAGAGTGGATGGTGTCTAGCAGGCTGAAGAAAGCAAAGCTCCATAGGGCAATAGTAGGCAGCGCCATATCGAATACATCTCCGTCAAGTTGCTGCACTCATTCGCTCTCTGCTACTAGTGAAGGTTCGAGTACTTCCGAGTATTATTTGGCATCTCAGATGGTGACCGAAGCGGAATCGTTATCGAAAGTGATGGCTCGTTACGAACGAAAGTACGAGACAGTTTTGGGGAATCTGATAGCTCTAGCTTACAAAGGGCAGGCCCGTCCAATGGACCTCGAACATAAAGGGTTGTCAGAAGTCCACAAACATTTCAAGGAGCAGGAATGGTATAGATCTCATGCAGATAATGATGGGGTTCTTCTTCGATTATGAGTCTCAATGATAGGTGACTTAAAAAATTGGTAATGGGGATAGAGTTCTTGTTAGATTAGAAATGGTATGGCTTTTCGGAAATATCGAATGAATTCTGCACTATTTTCCCACTCCAACCCCAACACTACAGTTGTACGAACGAATTCAAGTGAAGTGGGAAAACTCAATCTATGCAAAAGCTCCGACCATTCAAACTATCGCGAAGAGTGCAGAGCAACTAGAGCACAACACAATGCCAACTGATAGAGGCCGATCGCTTTCGTAGCCTTGTTCATCTGGCAATTTTATTCCGTACAGATGCGATATCTTTAGGGCACGCGCTGAAGTTTCTCGGAGATCGCCACAAGGACGTCGCCGAAGCTTAGCATTTTACAGGCAGCTGTTTGCGGAGACACAAGCTATAGGCCATGACAAATCTTCAGAAAGCACTCGAAATTCGTTTAGAAGTCCTTGGGGGACTTGTGTGCACTGCCGAGACACATGCTGTAATCGGGTTTGCGCTTAGTATTCAAGGAAGATATAGAGAAGCAATGAATATGCGTCAAAAGGCACTGGATATTCGTTTGGATAAACTTGGCAAACGCCATGAAAATGTTCATTCCGTGAAGCTCTCGTGTCCTTGGCAATCGTCATAGAAATGTTGCCACAAGCTATCTCTCGATGGGTGTGTGTGTACTGACGCTGCAAGACCAACATGCCAAAACCGGTGTCACGTATCTGTATCAAAAGGTTATTGATATTTACTTGGAAACCGAAATCTACTACTACTAAGAACATCCAAGGAAATTTCACCAAGTCACTCTTGGTAAAAGGGCAACAGGAAACCTGGAAACCTGAGCCAAACATCTCATTTCCACTGTAGTTCTCAAATTAAGCGCGCAAAATCATGATTGCAAGTTTTAAAACAGGACATGGATGGCTCTAGAAGTATCCAAAGAAGGGACTGGTTGGTGTGAAGAAGATTGCGGTTAGCTGCGAATTTGTTGTGACACGACCTCCGTCGCACGCGGGCATAAATCCGCATTAGAGTTCTGCCCGCGTTCTGGTTGAGTCGTACCGGTATGATGGTATCTATTACTCGTACATTGCGTTGCAGCTGTCACGACCTCGAGATTGGAGATGATACACAAAAAATACTAATACACAACACAGACAAGAAACAATGACAGTTCAAGAAGATATCAAGAAAGAGGCCGCAGATGGAGGAGAAGTGGCGTTTGCGGTTGCCGAACCATTGACATCTGGCTTTACTGGAACTGTTTTCAAGGAATCCAAAGATCAAACGGTTGGCATTGCGTTCAAACAAGAACATCCAGACCACCCCGTCACCATATCCAGAAACACTGGCCTCTTTGCCAACACAGACTTGAAGGTTGGAATGGAGGTTGAAAGCATCAATGGTGTTTCTATTGATGGCTTTACACGACTTAAGGCAATTGGTTTCATTAAAGAAGCCGAAGGACAAGTGACAGTAGTTGGCAAAGCAGTCAAAGGCGGAGCAGTTGCGGTTGTCTTCAAAGAGTCAAAAGACCAAAAGTGTGGGATCACCTTCAAACAAGATGTTCCAACAGAGCCAGTGACTGTTTCGAAAATTGGAGAAGATGGACTCTTTGCCAATTCTGATTTGAAGGTGGGAATGGAGGTCATCAGTGTCAACAACATAGCTGTTGACGACATGGACAAGCATCAAGCAATTGCATTGCTTAAGGATGCCGAAGGAAAAATTGTTGTTGTTGGAGCACCCGCCACAAACAGGCCCAAGAAAGCAGCAGCAAGCACTGGGGCCACCCCCCCTCCAGGTGTCGAAGCTGGTGGAGAGTGGGGAAAGAACAAATTCATGGGAGAACAAACTAAGATGCTCATGTGTTTTGGATGTCTTTGTTTTGGGCTCCCAGGTCTTTGCGTTTGCTTTTGTCCTCAAGACGATCGCGATGCCTACAAGCTTGGCAACGCAGTAAGTGCTGTCCTTCTTGTCTTAAAACTTCTGTACGATCTTTACATACGATCATTCTGACGAATCATGCATCTCCTCCTCTTCCTTTTACTCGCAGATTTATGACGCATCTGGTAATCGTGTTGGAACCTATCCAGGTGACAATTGGATTCCGACCCGCAACCAAATGCAGCGTACCTAAGAGCATATACTATTTGGATGTCGATGAATGTTGCGAATTGCTTGCAGACAGGCAGGGTCTCCAACATGCGCAGTTGAAAAATCGGCGTTGCATGGGAAATACAAAGGCTTTGCTACGATGCAATTCAAAAGTTAGAAAGTGTCAAATTGTGCAGTAAAGTTGTCGTTCTATTTTTCATTTGGCTGAATCCTTCGTCTGCGTCGTGTTTGGGCCTACTTGCTTTTACTCTCATTAGACAGTGCCTGTTCTTGGACTCTCCTCTCTCCCTCTCTCTCTCTCTCTGAGTCACCTTTGTCCTACATTACGAGAGCAAAATCATCTCCGATTGAACATAAAAATCAAACTTGGCAAAGCAAGAACACTCCAAAAATCAAGTCAAAAGTGCAGCTATACCAGATTACACATAATACACACTTGGGTTCACTTGTGTGAAAATCCTCACTTTCTTTGCTCATATCGCTTGGTGGTGCCTTAAGGGGAGCGGATTCCCGCGGCAATCAGACCATATCCCAGCAGAGATACTGCTGATCCTGACAACCACAGAAAGAAAACCCGCATGCGCAGCTTGAAGCCTGTAAGGCGCTTTTCGGGTGATTCCAAATAACCGTAAATGAATTGGTAGTTGGCATAGCCATACAGCACACTGGTTACCCCCAAAAAGTAGCTCACATAAGAATCTTCCACGTACGGCAACGAACCGCCGAACACCGCAATAACCCAGGGCAGCGGCATACTGAAGAAGGCCCACTCTTTGACGTTCTCACACATTTTGAACGCTCTCCACGCCTTGTCGGCTTGATCCTTGTACTTGGGATCAATCTCAATCCATGGACTGTAGGGATGGGTGTACAGTTTGTTTCCTTCGTCATCCTTGGCAGAGTACCGAGCTCCGACCTGTTCTTTGACGGCAGCGGCAATGCCCGCAACCAAAAAGACGGAACTGGCAGCTGGTGCAAACAGAGATTGTCTTAATCCTTCCATGAAACTATTCGTGTCCTAAGTTTACTGTAATGGTAGATATTTTATACGGTATGCGGAAGATTATGAGCAGGAGGTTGATTATAATTTGTATTATTGGTTGGTTGCAGAATACCGGGATTCAAACCGGATTCGTGAATGGATCTTTGAACTTCTTTACTGTAGCTTCATCGGTAATAGTAGGGCAATGGTGCACATGAGACCAATGGATAACTGGATTGGGACTACGTACTTGAGTCCAACTTTACCCATAGAGCAACATCATTTCCGTTTTCAGAAGAAAAGAAAACCAATAGAAGTGAAGCAGTTGTTCCTAGTAGATCTTATCTTCTACATAGTTTCATTATCTTGTAAAACGTTATTTTTTGGCTCATAGCTCTGGATGGCGCCTTAGGGGGAGCGGATTCCTGCTGCAATCAGACCATATCCCAACAGAGATACCGCTGAGGCAGACAACCACATTTGAAAGACCATCATGCGCAGCTTGAAGCCTTTGAGGCGCTTTTCCGGTGATTCCAAGTACCCATAAATGTATTGGTGGTTGGCATAACTGTACAGAAAACTGGTTACCCCCAAAAAGTAGCTCACATATGAATCTTCCACATATGGTAATGAGCTGCCAAAAATAGCAACAATCCACACTAGTGGCATACTGAAGATGGCCCATTCTTTGACGTTTTCACACATTTTGAATGCTCTCCACGCCTTGTCAGCTTGCTCCTTATACTTGGGATCAGTCTCAATCCATGGACGGTAGGGGTGGTTGTAAAGTGGTTTGCCTTGGTCATCCTTGGTAGAATATCGAACCTTGACCTGTGTAACAAAACTCAATCGATATGACTCAATAAAAGTTTTGGGGCAATAAACGATTGTGATTGTAATGTATTGATTGATTAAGATTAGTTGAGATTGATATCAAGTTTCTTTTAGATTGGATTGAATTGAATTTGTCGTTGTTTGTTGTTGTGAGCTCTGATCTGATGAAATCTCTCAGATCGGCTCTAGTCGTACAGTAGCATTCTGATCTTGCTTGATCATGCAATGACCTTCATTCAAGATCAGTTACTTATATTCTGGCATACATCCAAGATCAATCATATGGCAATCCAAGATAATCATAAGCCTCCTTGCTGACATCGGACTTCTCAATTTAGAATTCGTTATCCCGGTCAGTGTATTTCCAATGACCGTTGAGTCCACGGAGTCGATTCATGATTCAACCATTCATGATTTGGTTCAAATACCGTATATCTGTACACTCCCTCTTTTGCTCCAAATCTTGATCTTCTCATTACCAACCAAGTACCAATTTTCTGAACTTGACAAAACTCGCTTCATTCAATGGCTTTGTTAGTATGTCTGCAATTTGATCCAGTGTGTGTATCTTGTGAATACTTATCATGCAAGGTCCATCACCAATGTATGATCTGAAGTGGTGTAGTCTGTTGTTCAAATGTTTTGTCCTTGGTCGAAACTTGTGCACTTTCGCAATTTCCAATGCCCCACTGTTGTCCTCAAAAACTTTACAATGCACCTTCGCTTTTGAAGTTTCCAGAGGTATCCCATTATCAATCATTTCTTGAAAAAGGTTCATGATAGGAATTGCTTCTCTGAGTGCATAAGATAGTCCAGTGTATTCTGATTCGGTCGATGAGAGTGCTACCTCTGTTTGCATCTGGGATTTCCAAACAATGGGACATCCAGCGTAGGTGATGTAATATCCATGTCTTGATCTTGCAGTATCGCGATCCTCATATTCATTTGGATCCCAATTTCCTGCAAAGTCAGCATCAACATATACTTCAATACCTTTCTCTTTGTCTGGTTTCAATATAGTCCCTTTGTCCTTCGTGCCTTTCAGATATCGACCTAACCATCGAATGGCCTCTCCATGTTCCTTCTTTGGACAACTCGAGAATCTCGCACATTGATGAGTAATGTACGCAATATCAGATCGAGATCCCTTCTCGAGATAATTCAATTTTCCTATCACTGATCGATAGTTGAATGATCCATCGAAGTCTGGAGAGTCAGAATGCCTTGACAGTAGTTTGGATGACGGAGCTGGAATCGATCTTGGTTTGGCATTGTCTTCCAACCGTAGATCTTCAAGAATCTGGTCAATAAGATGTGGTTGTGTGAGATGGATTGTACCATCTTCTTTTCGTTCAATGTTAACACCAAGGAAATCTTGGATGTCTCCTTCAATCGTAATGTCCAGTTTGGCGGCTTTAATGTCTTCAATTGCCTGCTCAACTTCCTTCAAATCAGGACCTGCCAATAATGAATCGTCTGTGTACAATACATACATCACAGATCCTCGATAGAACACACATTCATCAACTTCGGATTGCTTGAAACCGACTTCGTCAATGAGTTTGCGTGACAGAAACTTGAAAAACACACGAGAGGATTGTTTTCCGCCGTATACATTTCGATGGAGTTTCAACACGTAATCTTTTGTGTTCCCCTTGGACACTTCGAATCCACCAGGTATTTTCATGTAAATTTCACGTTCAACTGGTGCTTGTGGAAACGCCAAGACGTAATCAATTTGCCTTGTATGCCAACCAAGAAGAGCTGATAGGACCAACAAAGTTCGGATTGAGTTCCAGCTCGCAACTGGAGCATATGTTTGATCATAATGTTTTCCATATTGCATCTTTGAGCCGTCAATGTTCAATCTCGCTTTGTACTTCTTGATCGTTCTTGTCTTGATATCTCTTTTTCTTTTCATTTGCCACACCGCTGGTAGTATTGTGCCTCCCTCTGGAACCTGCGATCGATGTACCACACTGAAATTTCCATTGTTGATTTGATCTTCCCATTCTTTCTTCATTGCTTTCTTGAATTCATGGGCATCCTTTTCTCGCATGGCTTCATGCATGTACATTGTGTCTGGGTCCGAGGTTGCTTTATAAATACTTAGCGGGTCCTGCTCCATTTCTCCTGCATAATTGGGGAACATTGCTTGGAGGCAGAATATTTCTCCTTCAACGTCATGCACAGTGGCTCTCGATAGTTCTGCCTTCATTGCTTTAATGATATCCTCAGCCGGATGAGGATGCTGCGCTGACTTGGGATCCCTTTGGCTTTCGGGAACTCGCTCCTTCTCTTTCTCCTCCTCGAAAATTGAAGGGCGACCAGTGTCTGCATCGCTGACTGCTCCTGGATTTGATGGTGGGTCATTGTTATTTGTTGGTTCATCCATTTGACTATCATTGGATGGGGATGGCTGCAGCCCATTGTCGAGGCCATCAGGGGTCGGCATCTCGAACTGTGTGTGTTTTTCCGGCTTTGATACTTCATCATCCATTCTCGCTTTCTTCTTTGGCGGTTGGACTCCCTCTGAAACTGGCAAAACTTCCTGTGTTTTAGGATCGACTGACTCCATTGTCGAGGCTTGCTTTCGCTTTGAATTGTCCGGTTTATCATGCTGGACTAAGCCTGCCTTTCGTTGCCATTGAGTATCAAATTTGTCTTCTTTGACGGTTTGAAATCTTCGATCGAATATCACATGGAACTGAGGTGACACTAGCCCAGTTGTCCTATCAAGGACCAATGCAATGTTTCGACCATGGTTTGGAGATCGCCCAAGATATATGCCCACTTTGGATCGATACTCCCATTTGTTGTGAATCCCTTTTCCACTCTGCAATGCAGTATTCAGAACATAGACTGGGCAACCAAAAGGCACCCAATGCTTCTCATTCAATTGTACTTGAGAGTTGCTGAACAGTTGCAATGGCGAGCGTCCTTGCTTGTCCTTGAGGTTCGGCGATTCATTGATTGCGTCATTTGCCATTCTCAGAGCATAAGGCCATAGATGAACGGTACCTGCCATGCTCCACCTTCTATGTTGGTGTATCAGCATTGATCGAGCAAGATCCTGTAGTGATCGGATTCTTCTCTCAGCAAGTCCATTGGAATGGTGTGCATTTACTCCAGCGAAAGAAAGTCCTTGCTCCATCTTCCGGCATTCGTCAACCCATTTATGTGCTCTGAAAATTCCGTTGTCGGCATGGTAGTGTTGAACTCTCACGCCATGTTGCTTGCAATAGGCTTCAAATGTCTCATCCGCAGTTGCTGTTTTCTGCAAGTAAACAAAGCTCAATCCTGAATATTGGTCTAACGTAGACGGAAGAAAGCGGTCGAACCAATGGACTCAATAGTGACTCCATGAACGACGGTAGGGCGACCGTCATCTCAGTATTGCACCAGCAACCTAAGTCCGATCTACACATATCGAACTTGTGTGCAAGTATACTGACAGAAAGATAGAGTTAAGCAAGTCTCAGATTTCACGTCTTACGGGAAATCTGAGACTGGTCCTTTGAGTCGCACGCTTCGCGCGCAACTCAAAAGGACCAGCTTCACACCACAACCCACCAGAGTCACTCCAAGAAAACACCAAGCAGAAGAACCCGAAAAGAAGGCGCCAGTTGGCTATCTTCGATAGTCGACATAAACAGTAGCGTACTTGTATCGCTTCTTAGTCAATGTGCCAGATATTTGGGCAATCAATCCAGGTGAAGGCAAGACAAGTTGATCAACTGAAATGACTTCTCCAGGTCTTGTTACAGTTTGTTCCTTTGTCCAATGCTTTCTCCTCTTCTCCCGCCATTGTCGTCTTGTAGCTTTGGCAAAACAACAGGCAGTGCATCTTGGAATATCAGCATTGGCCAACCTTCGTGGAATGATATTTTGCTTTGCCATGCTTTGCAGTTTCGCAAAAGAGATGTGACCCATTTGGTGGTGTAGCCGTAGTAGTTGCTGGCTATCTGTTGTTGGTTGTTTCTCCTCCTCCTCGGCTATCACCGCCGGTTTGGGTGCACCATCTGTAGTTGGTCCATCCAAGTCAAAAGCTGCTTCGCGAGCTTGAGTTTGAGGGGCCTTGGCCTTGTGGTTCGGACGGCGAAATTTGGTAGTCAGTCGGGACCAAAAGGTAGTGGCTGTAGTTGGAGGGGGGTCTGGTGGAAGAACATCATCATCATCGTCGTCGTCTTCTTCGTTATCACTGACAACACCGGCTGGAGAGATAATAATCGGCTCCTCCTCACTCTTGTCATAGTCGAAATTGCATTCTTGACAAAAGAGGTCAAATCGTTTGAAGCCAGGTGCCAAATAGAAGGTGGCAACATTGTCGGTGCGACCAAGGGGTACATCCAAAGAATACTTCTTTCGATCCCAAAATAGAACACACTTGTCAAAAGTGGTTGTCTCACCAATTCCATATTGTGTGATTGATGATACCCCCCTTCCAAGCTGCGACTTAGCCCAATGTTGGGGACTGAGAAGTCGACAGTTTCCTTTGGGGACATAGTAAGAGTTGGGAATTCGAAATCGATGCAATCGCCCATCATTGTCCTGCCATTTCCACACAATGGTGCCTTGATAGACATTCATGACACGTTCTCCACCAAAACCTTTGATAGATCGGTTAACCTTTACCAAAGGACCAACAAAGTCTTTAATTCTGTGAGAGATGCAAGCACTCGCGCGATTATCAATACCAACTTGGCAAGAGTCAGTATCAAATGATGCACGATTGGAATAAATCCGTTCTCCTTCAGAATTGGTACTTTCATGAATGTGCAATGGAGATTCAACTGCAGTCATAGCCATGATCTTGCGCTTGAAATGATTGTATCTCCGTTTGCGTTTCTTCACTTTAGCAGTTTGGCGATCCAACCAGCTTGACCTAGTGATTTGATCAGTACTGTCTTGCAATGAATTCGCCACTGCAATCATTCTTCGAATTTCAAATCGGATTTCCTTTGGAGTCCATAGTCCCATGGCAAAAGTCCAGCGAATCACCACGTTAAAAACATAGTAATCCAAATCCACGATATAATTCCACATAAAACGCCTGATTTTGCGTGCACGATTCCATCGTTTGCGTTTGGGCACGTATTCAGGGAAAGTAGCATTTTTGATTGTTTTGATTGGGCCAAGGATCACACTCAGGTACGTGATGAAATATAGGAGCATAAAACATCCTAAGTAGCTTATTTTGCCACAAAGGAATTTCCAGATTCCGTTCACATTGATACCGTTGAGTGCATCCCAGCACCATCATTCAGAGTAGTATCCACCAACCAAATCGTCAATAGCCTCTTTGGCAACAATGGCTGGTTCCTTTTCATCATCGTGTTTTGGTTTGGACTTGCAATTCTTTGGGAGATGGACACGCCAGACACCACCACAGTTTCCACCTGTCTCCTTACAACAATAATGCCATTGTTTGTTGTTCCAAGATCGAGGCCTGTTTAGTTCGGTTTTGGGAGGTGGCTTGGACATCCAGTCAGGTTTTTCCTTCATTTGTTTCTTTCCTTTTCCTTTTTCGAACTTCACCTTTTTCTTGGGTGAACCATTATCAGCACCAAGTTCTTTTCTCTTGCGTTGCTTTCCATCCTTTGTCTTGGCTGCTAGCTTATCCGAGAGCTTGTTCAGGCGCGTTTGCATAGCGAGTATTTCCTCTTGGGCAGCTGAAGGTGCTTCCCATGTCTTCGTCGTCACCATGATGCGGTACTTCTTCTCAGCGAGACTCATAAGTGTACGGGAATCGATCGCTTTCGTTCCCATATCATGATCGGTTTGAAGATCGCCAATGTACTTGACAAAGTTCTCGTCTTTGCAAGCATTGTAGGCCCTGAACAGATAGGTCAAAAGATCCAAAGTCTTCTCACCACGCGCATGAAGTGCCATCAACAGCATCTTGACATGATTATTGAACCGATTGATGTCATGGTCCACAGTTGGGATAAATGCATCCAGCGTTGAAAGCTGCTCACGAATCATACCAGTAGTCGCGTTTGAATCCAAGTATGCCTCACGGATAAATGTTTTGAGCAAGCATAGACCGGAAGGAAGCTTGTTCGGTCCAAGTTGAAAGTCTTCCCAGTGAATGTTGAGCTTAGATTTTGCATCGCGAGTAAGCGAATTCATGATGCATTCATAGAGCATTCTGTCATCTTGACTCTTGCGGTTTCCACTGTCCCAATAGGTGCGCTCATAACGTTGGATTCGTGGCAATGAAACTGACCCATAGCTATGTAGCAAGTTGACAGGTTGTCTTCCTGGTGTTAGTACCCAGAAGAGCCCACCAGTGTCGTTCCATCCAAAGTTATTTCCTCGATGTTCCAAAGCCTTCATGATTTGAAGGAATTGGTCTGAAGTACAGTCGAAGCCTTCGTCGTCAAGCTTTGATGTTGCCTTGTTGAAGATGCTCTTATCTGACTTCTTTTCATAGCGAAGGATCCTACCCATACTAGCCAATCCTGGTGTTAGAGATCCAGGTGCTTCACCATCGGTTTCCTCCTTCTCGTCATCAGTATCTTCTTCGTTGCTATCATCATCTCCGCTGTCATCTGGATCCTCATTCTCGTCAGGATCATCACCATCATCAGGATCATCTTGTGGATCCTGGTCTTCATCGGCGTCTCCTCGTTCTCCAAGATCGGAGTCGTTCTCTTGGACTTCTTCTTCGGCTCTGAAGGAGTCCTGTGCTTCATCATCACTTGAAGCATATCGTTGAGGTCTCCAACGACGACGAGCTTGACGTCTGGTTCTAGCCATCTTGAATCAGTTGAAAGAAAAGTTAAATCGTTCTTTGCGCAGAGGGAGCGTGTAACAAAACTCAATCGATATGACTCAATAAAAGTTTTGGGGCAATAAACGATTGTGATTGTAATGTATTGATTGATTAAGATTAGTTGAGATTGATATCAAGTTTCTTTTAGATTGGATTGAATTGAATTTGTCGTTGTTTGTTGTTGTGAGCTCTGATCTGATGAAATCTCTCAGATCGGCTCTAGTCGTACAGTAGCATTCTGATCTTGCTTGATCATGCAATGACCTTCATTCAAGATCAGTTACTTATATTCTGGCATACATCCAAGATCAATCATATGGCAATCCAAGATAATCATAAGCCTCCTTGCTGACATCGGACTTCTCAATTTAGAATTCGTTATCCCGGTCAGTGTATTTCCAATGACCGTTGAGTCCACGGAGTCGATTCATGATTCAACCATTCATGATTTGGTTCAAATACCGTATATCTGTACAGACCTGTTCTTTGATGGCAGAGGCAGCGCCCATCACCAAAAAGAAGGAGCTGACAGCTGGTGCAAGCAGAGATTGTCTCAATCCTTCCATGATTATATTCTTTCCTTGATTTTCTTTACCAGTACCCTTGACAGGTGTTGCGGATGGATGAAGGATGACGTGAGTTTGATGGCTGGTGTTATTATGGTTGGGTCATATCGACCATCTTCTTTTTTCTCAATAAAGAACCTCTGCGAACATCGGGATTCAAGCCTGATTCATTCGTGAATCGAACTTCCAAACTACCGGTACATTACTTCGTGTTTCTTCTACAGGTATCTTCATTCTTAGACCAATGCATGGCGCTTGCGCCACTAGCAGACCAAGTTATTCTATCTCCTTGCCCTTGGCTGTATAAGGAGAAGAATGGCACGTCAATAAATGGATTTCGCGGATCTCCACTGGTTTGAGGTTGTGAACAACGACAGAGAGGAGGATGCCGTACTACTAGCTACTTCATGTTTGAATGACAACAACTACTACAGTAAGACAAATGTACTATTCTGCACCACCGACGATATCATGCAGAGCAACGACGCAACGATGGTCCATTGCGGACACTTGCTGCATTTTGCTGAACTTCATCACATCGAGCTTGCCATCTCCTCTTGCTTTGTTCCTGGCTGGTGCGAGGAGCTGTTCCGTTGATAACACGAAACCAACTCATTAGTAAACTACCCAGTCTCCTAAATGACAGCAAGTGGATTTGATCACGCCTCCTTCCTTGGATGGTCAAATTTTATAATCTTGCTCTGCTCTGGTCAATTGGTGATAAACAACGCTTATTTTCAAGAGAGCACGAGGACGAAATATGACTGTAGTACGCACGCGGCATTTGGGCATTTATGGTGCAGGGAATGGTGCCGGAGAGTAATGGTGCGCTCGGTCCCGCCGCTTTCCATACACATAGTACCGGTACAGACAGTGCAGTACCTACTGTAAATTAATGAAAAGGTGTCGTAAGGTCTATCACATGATTTCAATACGTGACAGGTCCTACCGTATTTTTTAGTTGTTGGTGTGGTCTAATAAAACTAATACACCCACGCGATGCAGTACCTCAGAAGAAAAGTGGATCAGTGTTCTCGTTCTTGTTTATTAGGCCCAACAAACCTTTCTTTAAATGGCAAACAAGCGGAGCCTTTGACGCTATTAATTAAAAAAGTAGGTTTTAACGAAAATTTATCTCGTGGAATAGTCGATTGAACTGATGATATATCTCTGTATTCTCAATTCTCGAACATTGCATGAAATCTCTCTTGTGCGTTCCCGTCATTCCATTCAACAATCACCAAAAAACGATGAAAACAAGGCCAAGCCTCTTGCGAGTCCCTTTCCTTGTGTTGCCCTGCATTCTACTACAGATCCTTCTTGTTCAAGCTCAGGACGATTGTCCCAATTTCAGCAAACCTTCCATCAATGGAACACAACGGGAATACATCTTCGGAGGACATTACTGGCATTCCCTTGTAGCAGACTATCTCACTGATGTGGTGGGACAACAGTTCGATCCTTCGATTACATTCAAGTATAATTCATCCAAGTATTGGCTAAAAGCTGCAACAGCCAAGGATGCTCTGGCGGAAGGATACGACTTCATTAGCAGCAATTCCTACCGGGGCTCATGTTATGAATCCGAAGGTCACGCAATTGCTCTGGCGACAGAGCGTCGAGTAGATCAAGACCCAGAGACAGGGGAGCTTTACAATGTCACGCAATTTGGAGCTGTATTGTACACATTGAGCAACCAAACCGATATTCTGACGGTTGAAGATGTGAGAGGGAAAAAGTTGGGCACAAATAGATACTCAAATTTGGCCACGTAAGTTCTGCTGAGATCTTTCGAAGGATTGCTTCTTTATTTCCTTTGCTCATATTGATTCAGGAATCTTTGCTATGATGTGTTGCTTCGAAATGGGGTTCATAACCTTCAAGATCCGGAACAAATAGTGTACTTCCAAAATTCCAACCTTGCGCTTGAGGCAGTTCTTGACGGGAAAGTTGATGTCGGGTGCGCGGCTGTTGGTACATTGGAGCTCTACAAAGATCCTGATACTGACGAGCGACTGAATTTGTCTCGGGTACGAATTCTGGGAGAACAACAGCACGTTAGCAATGGTGTCCCATATCCGTTCAAAATATCTTCGGCTCTAGTACCAACACCTCAAATTCAGGCGTTGCCCCACGTGGAACCCATTGTCATGGAAAAGGTACAAGCAGCACTCTTCGCCATGGGGGATCACGCGGATGCTGCACCGGCATTGCTGGCATGTCTCGAGGAGCGTGGGTGTTTGTCAAACAACACAGTTTGCGCTGACGATTGCTTCCAAACCCTTTCGAAAGGAACGATAAAGCGTTGCGATACGACTGCTGAGCTGGCCTTGAAGGCATATACCGCTATTGGAACCCAAATATTGGGATACACAAAGCCTCAGCAGAACCTTGACATGCTATTTATGCAAGAGTCCACTGGATTTCTAGTCAGGGATCCGAGTCCCAGATGCGTGCGTTTCCAGAATATAGTAGAAGCAGTGACATGCCCGCCTGGTCACTTTGCTCGCTCCAGCGAAGATATTATCAAGCAATGTAATGTTTCGGGTCTCGAATGCTATGGATGGGACTGCTTGTGCAGTCCTTGCGTGGAAGCCTTTGAGGTCGACTTCGTCGCCACCACGACGCAGTACGAAGAAATAATTCAAAGAGGCATCACAGGAACTGGATGCTCCAAGTTCTCCTTGTGCGGGGCTGTCGAACAGGGGAGCTCTATTTCCTTTTTGGCAGCGGACAACAAGAAACGACACAACATTACCATGAGGGGCGCTTTTCTGTTGAGTGACGACAGTAGAGATGACTTTGTTTTGGACTTTATTAATGGGACATTTCACTATGACTTCGACGTTTCGAGGACCAGAGTGGGTCATAAGGTTGTCATAATCGAAGTTTGCGAAGACGATGGAACATGCCGAGAGATCCCAGAGAGTCCTTTTCGAATCAATGTGATGCAACACGACTGTCCTGCACAGCGATTCGGCACTGGAAGGAAGGCCGACGAGTGGGGAGTCTGTGTTTGCAAGAGTAGCATGATCGACATTGGCGGAACTTGTTCATCGGTTATTAATATCGTCATGGTCACTATTGCTGTGGTGATCTTTTTGACTTTGATCACTGTCATGGTGTATGTTCGGAAGGTGAAAGACGAGACACAAAACGATATGCTTTGGACGGTTAAACATGACGAGTTAAAGTTTTGCACACCCACAAAAGTGGTTGGGCGCGGAACCTTTGGCCTTGTATTGTTGGCAGGTAAGTGTGTTGAATTAACGACACACCTTTGTCACTTTCTGTCGAGGCTAACTCAATGGGCAATATTTTTTCACAGAATATCGCGGAACGCAGGTAGCTGTAAAGCGTGTGATCCCAGCGAAAAACAGAGCTGCTGCCTTTGAATCGTCGTTTCGTCAGTTTCATCCACAAGATAGCACAGAGCAAACCGGGAAGGACTCATCAGAACATACCCCTTCGAACAATCCTGGCCTTCGATCCGGATTCAGTAAACGAGTCAGACCTGACAAAGACGTGGAGATGGGTGCCAAAGCATCTTGGGAAAAGCTCCGATCGAATTTCGTCGAAGAAATGAGAACATTGTCAAAGCTACGGCATCCGTGTATCTGCACGGTGATGGGTACGTCGTCGAATCATTTACATGACAAGTTCTATTTATATGTCTCTCTTACCAAGCCCCATACGCTCTGTCTTATGTAGGTGCTGTTATTGACAGCAAGGAGGAGCCAATGCTTGTAATGGAGTACATGGACTATGGATCGCTTCATGACCTGCTACAAAATGACACCATGGCCATCAATGGAGAAATTGTCCTTCCGATTTTACGTGACATTTCTCAAGGAGTCCGATTCCTACATTCTGCTGACCCACAAGTGGTTCATGGAGGTGCGTATTTCCTTGGTTGTCTGTCGGTTTCGTGCGTTAAGAGTCTTATGCCTGACCTATATCAAAAACTGTAGATTTGAAGGCAGCCAATATTCTTGTGGACAGTCACTTTCGAGCCAAAGTGGCAGACTTTGGGCTTTCTCAAAAGAAGCAACTACGAGGCACCGGTACTCCGTACTGGATGGCTCCAGAGCTTCTACGGAATGAATCTGCTCAAACCGCCGCCAGTGATGTATTCTCGTTCGGAGTCATTTTGGTTGAAGTCTGCAGCCGGAAAGATCCTTACGAAGGAGAAGACCCCAATACTGTGTTAAGAGAGATTGCTGACAAGTCTATTCAGAAGCGACCGACTGTTCCAGCAAGCTGCCCCTCTCAAATCAAATCAATGATAGCGGACTGTTTGGTGGATGAGGCAGACAGCCGGCCAACTTTTGAAGAAATCGATACTCGATTGAAGCGTATTGACCCGGCTGCAGCTGATACATCGACCTTGGCGAACAGCAAAACCACCAAACGAGTGGACAGTGGTGTTGGATTCCATGATAGTTTCCCTAGCCACATTGCGGAAGCCTTACAAGACGGAAGAAAGACTGAACCGGAGCATCGGGACTGTGTAACAATTTTCTTCTCCGATATCGTTGACTTTGACAAAATTGCGTCCGAGTTCGCTTCTCATAAAGTTGTCGATTTGTTGGATCGCCTGCATAGCAAGCTTGATGCTCTCGCCAAAGATCACGATGTTTTCGAGGTAGAAACCATTGGTGACACATTCATGGCGGTGACAAATTTGGTCAAGGACCAGCACACTTTCCATGCGAAGCGGATAGCTGATTTTAGCATCGCTGCCATTGCAGCTGCCAAGACAACCTTGATTGATAAAGATGACGAACGAAAGGGGTTTGTAAGCATTCGATGCGGCTTTCATTCTGGTCCGGTGGTAGCGGATGTTGTGGGTATTAAGTCCCCTCGGTATTGCCTTCTGGGAGACACTGTGAACATGGCAAGAATGATGGAGAGCAAGTCTTTGGCGAATAGGATCCAATGCTCAGTGGCCTCTGTCAAGTTATTGAAGCAGCAGTATCCAAGTTTGAAGCTATTGTCGAGAGGTATGATTCCCATCAAGGGAAAGGGCGTCATGGATACATACTGGGTGGGTGAAAGCAATGGACCTTGCACTCCGTTCACCGTGAAGAGACAAGAGTCAGATGACGTATGGAGCGCCGACGCTTTCTCGTCCATTGAGTCAGTCTAGGATCAAAAGAAAGATTAGATCTCATTTCAAAGGATACGAGAATCGTCCCCGCTGAGTGAGCTGGATTCTCTGTAAACAGGTTCGCACGACGCAGCTTCAGGATCGCCCGTCCTTTGAAGCAGCTCTTTATCAATGCGGCTTTTGAAATTGAATTCTTGCGTACCGGTTCACAACTACCACAGCAGAATACACTATTACTTGTAAAATATTGTACTATTAATACATCTATCAATTTTGTTTCATAATTTCCTGTTACCTACTACAACACTGCAAGTCTCGTCAGTTGATCTGAGCTATTTCTAGCGGCTGCTCGATGTGGGAATTTCTTCATCCGACGAGCTTTCCACTTGTAACATACCATCACCAATCGTCAAAGTAATGTTGTCGCCATCCAAACGTTCCTTGCCAGATAGAATAAGAGTACCAAAAACCATCAAGGCTCCCCAAGTCAACGAAAGGATGTTGGTAAAAAGTTCTTCTCCTTTGCTGTTGGTGGCATCGATGATTGGGCTACCAGCGATAGTGGTAATGACAAAGATGGCATAAAGGATGGTAGTTCCAGTGAAGAGAGCAAAGTAGGTACCTGCCACTGCAGTCGGGACCCCCCAGGGCAGCTTGCCCATGTAGGTCAAGTACAAGACATTCAACAGCTGAATGAAGCAAACCGCGATTTGAAACATCAGGTATGGGATGTAGTGGGCAGTGAAGCCGTAGGTATCATTTGGGTTGTTGACAAACCACAAGTGAAGTTGTGACATTGCAATGAAGTTGTAGGGCGACAGAATTCGGCTGACATTGAGCAGCCACTTTGGAACCTTTCCTGTTTTGACGCTTTTGGCTACACGACAATGCCAAAAGACGGTGTAAAGCATCCACGGAATTTGAACAAGTGGGAGAAAGAGCATGGCGGCAAGCATTTTGACTGGGTTGTGATCGATCCAGTTGCAGGAATGATTGATTCCAAACAGCTCAAAAATGACAGTCTTGGTAGGATCTTCGATGGTGTCAATGCCACTCTTTTCAGTCACAAGTGCACCAGCAGCCAGAACTACTAGGAAGCAAAGCATTCCATAGAAGCGAAGGCTCTCGACGTGAAATGTCCATGAGTACACATGCGACTTGCTCTCGCTGTCGGTTGTTCCGTTATCTCGTTTGTCGTAGGAGAATAAATAGACAACAGCAGCGACCCAAAAGCCCAAAACGATGACTCCAGCAGCAGAGGCAGCAACAGTTGCACTTGTATCCATCTTCTTGAATGAATGTATGAGGTAAAGAATTATGAGGTGAATTGACGGAGCGCACGACAATCAATCTTGTGTTTGAATTTTTTACCTAGAAAGTGGGATTCGGACCATCCGACTGAGCGTTTCTGTGTTTTTTATCGGCCAATGGCCGATAAAACTGTCGCGCCTAATTATTTATAAGCGACGTTACTCATTCATTCGCCCACGTTAAAACGTATGTAGGAACAGATATTTTTGAACGAAAGTTCGTCGCTGGCTCGCTCGCACTTTACTTTCGCTCGCTGGACTAAGATTGATTTGTTCGACCGCGTATGGAATGACTAGTTGGACTCCAAGTCGAAAAACACAAATACTGTATCAATAGTGTAAGGTGTACGTACCTGTACCGCTACAGTGGTATCGTACAGTACACCGTGTACTGCCCCTACTAACAATATGAAGAATCTCATACTTCGAATCTTCGGAGAGAGCCTTGGTTGTTCTTCCTGCTATCTATCAGATTCGTACATACATTCATTCACTGCTTTTCCAACAAGCTCGAAAGTTGTTTGTTCTACTCGAAAAGATTACATCAGAGAATTCGGTTCAGTTATTCATGTTGTCATACTCCTTTCAATTGCCACAGTACCTGAATTCTGTCAAACTATAGTGAGTTGCTGCCAGATCACAGCACAGTGGCGCACCAATACTACGTAGTCATCTCTTGCCACTGCACTGCGCTCATCGTTTTGGATATGAGACAAACTGTGTTGTAAGGCCAATAACCAAAACCAAAACGAAACGGAAAGAATGCCTCGCTTTCGGCACAGATCGACTTCCTGTGGTTCCATTTCAGAATATCCAAACCATCATCATCCAACAAACAATAACAACCCAGCAACAACTTACGATGCAAATGATTTAGAGGCTGCCAGGACGGTTCTGCGGAGCACCCTTTCGATAAGGGATTCCTCTGGAAAATCATTTCTACACTCTGATTACAATTTGATGATGGCCAAAGCACTTCTTGATAGATGCCGAACCTTGGATGCTCTGGAGGAGGATCAATCTATTCAGCACTGGCAACGAAGATGTTTGACACTAGTAGATAAAGAGAGTGGATATACTCCATTGCATTCCGCCATTGTCAACCGGAATTTGGCTGGCATTCTTCTATTCTTAAGGCATGCTACGGATGTTCATGAAAGCGGCAGATTGACAGTTGCCCCAATGGGAGCTCTGCATATGATAGCGGAATCACTCGGTAACAACGCGAATGATTTGATGGAATTCATTGCGACTGCTCGAGATAATGAAGGGTTAAGCCCTCTAGAACTGATTGGAATGATTCAGAGAAATGAATTGGCGGAATGTCGGAGCAAGCTACTGTACACACCTAAGGTTCTCTCGTCTAATCGATCTGGACGGCAGCGGCAATTGAGCTTTGATCATGAGCAATATCAAGAGAACGAAGAACTTGGCTTGTTGGCGGATCACATAGATCTCCTGGAAATGGAGGAAGAGGCTATTGGCAAATCTGATGAGTGCTCGTATGCATGTGAGGTCGTCACCTTTGGTAGGCCGCACCACGATGCTCTGGGAGTTGTCTCATCCTCCTCGAAGGAAGGGAATATACATGCTTCGACATTTCGACCACAAAGAGTACAAGAGTTTGCTCAAGATGCCATTGGGAGAGATGGATCAGCTATCGCTGTCGCTGCAGCTACCCACCACACTCTGGTCGCCACCAAGCAGGGTCATCTGTACGCTTTTGGTCTTGGAAAGGGTGGTAGACTGGGGATTGGGGATGATCAAGTACAGCAATGTCCATTGCCCCGGCGTGTTCGTGGTCCTTTGAATCGCCAAAGTGTGGTTGGTGTGGCGGCAGCCGAGAATCATTCCCTTTGTGTCACCAAAAGTGGCATTGTGTTTGCTTGGGGATCCAACCGGTTCGGTCAACTAGGCTCTGTGGATCCAAAGGCTTCGGTCCCTTCTTCCCCGTCGCCATCCAAGAACACTGGTAGTAATGGTAGCTTTCGATATCTTCCGAGAAGGGTCGAGGATTTGAAAGCCGTCCAATGCATCGCTGTTGCAGCGGGAGAAAAGCATTCCGTTGCCTTGTCGCAACAAGGAGAAGTCTATGTTTGGGGTGACAATACTTCTGGCCAGCTAGGAGTTGCACGTCGAACAGGAATTCAAAAGGTCCAACGAGTAGAGGCACTTTGGAATAGTACGCCAAAAAAAATCGGTATCGCTGTCTCGGCTGCGGAACAATCAACACTTGTTCTTACAAATCCAGTTCAAGGATTCGCTCAAGTTAATTCCATTTTTGGATGGGGGCATGGAAATTCAGTTCCAAGCCGAGTCAATTTCGATAATTCTGGGAGGCAGGGACATGGATCATTGTCATCAAATTCTAGTCATGTGGTGAATCCAGTTGCAATTGCATGTGCCAAGTTTCACTGCTCTGCAATTACGAGTGATGGAGATGTTTACACCTGGGGCCTTCACGCGGAATCATTGGGACGGTCGAACAAAACGCAAAATTCGAATTCATCAGGGGCACGGGCGACTTCATCACCTCAGCTTGTTACTGGAATGCTGGCTGAAAATGGCGGTGGCAAAGTAGTTGCGCTCTCTGCCTCTGATCACCACACAGCCGTCGTCACTGATTGTGGTGCACTTTTCACTTGGGGCACAACGCATGGCAAAAATGTGTTGGGCCACGAGGGCGTCCGGTATCAACCGAATCCAAAAAGAGTGCCAGGAGTGCATAGAGCTGTCGGAGTTGCAGTGGCAAAGGAGCACACCGTATTGCTGATTGGCGCTAGCCACCCACCGGTTCCAGAGCTAAAAAGTTTGCAAAGTCTCGAAGAATTAGCGGCACGGAAAGTTGTGGAGCATGTGGACCTCTTCAATGTCATTCCAATCCTAATCATGGCAGAACGAACAGAGGTAAGGTTGGCTCCTGCCAATCTTTCGTTTCCATTCGTGATATCCTGTAGCTCATCATTGCGCTGTTTTGTAATAAAGTGTGACTTCTTGATCGATTATTGTTCTGAGTTTGTTGATCGCAACATTGACGGTGTCTTGAACGTTGCCAAGAAAGGAGAATTGAATCAGTACTTGAATGATATGCTAGCAGATGGTCTGCATCGATCGGGAAGGCGTTATCGTGATGATCACCACCACCCATTCATTGCAGATGCTTTGACAGCTGGAAATCACGAAAGGCCATCATTTGATCTTACCTGGTTGTCCAGTCTAGAGAAGTGGACTACGAACTGCACAGAATTGCTCACTGCGTCAAATGTTCGCAATCTTGTTGCTGCACTCAATGCAGCCGAGGAAGAAGGCACGTGGAACAAGCGTTCCAACCGACATCGACGAGCATCGTCCTGTGTAAGCGATAGCGAAGCTTCAGGGCGAAGCCGATCAATGTCCATCTTGAGCGATGCCGATCTAGTTGACACCACGAAGACTTCTTCCGAACGGCACGAAGGTGTTTTGGATCAATGCATCAGGAAAACGGCGAATATGGACCTTTCCACCTTGACCATGGCGGAAAAGAACTCCATTTGGCTGAACAAAGAAATTCGGTCTGTTCGAAAGAAACTTTCCCAGACCAAAAAGTTGCAAGAACGTTCTACTGCACTTACAACAGCAGAACAGGCGAAGGTCGATCGTGCTCCAACATTGGAGACGCAGCTGTCTGTTTACCAGAGTGCTCTTCTCGAGGTCCAGTCGAAGCTGGAAGAACTTTGCTCAGAAGATACTGCAGAAAATGAAGTCGAGAAACTTTTACGTAGCTCCAAGGAAAAGGCTACAATTGACCAGAGCAAACCAGAGCTGAAAAATGCGCTAGCCCAAAAAACGGATAAGACGTCGGCGTCTGATGATAGTAATGACGTTGCAGCGGTTAGTGAAGCACCTGTCAAGTCATTCTTCTGCGAATTGTGCGGTATCAGGTGTCCCGATCAAACCAGCTTTGAACTGCATAAGAATGGCAGAAAGCATAGAAACCGAGTTGCACAAGCAGCTGAAGAAGAAAAGGCTATGGTCACATCAAAGATAATGGAGCAGCAGCGCCGTGATCAGCTCTTCAAGTCAGAAGAAACATTGCGTCCTGCCAGCGTGAGTTCACCAATCAAGAAGGCATGGGGAGCTCCAAGTGCGCAGCCGAAGTACACCCTTCCGCCACCACCACACCCAACTGTGGCCCATGTTGTTGCTCCGTCAAGTCCGTGGAATAGCAGTCCCCGAAACGTCCCAGCCTCAAAGGCGGCAATGCCGAAGCCTAAGAATCTCATGGGGAATATTGGATTCACAAAGGTGGCAAAGAAGCAACTAAAGGCATCGACGGCTCCAAAGCCTTTCAATCCAAAAGATTTGACAGTAATGAACAATTCTCCAATGTGGCACACGAAACCGGGATCTTCGCAATGTGTCCCGACCGAGATTTACTCGGCAGCATCGTTACCTGTTGCAGGTAGCCCCTCAGCCGGCAATGCATTCTCATTGTCAGATTTTCTCACCCCAACAAAACAAAATAGCGAGGCAAGTCAGAAATCATGGTCCAGCCCCACTGCAAAGGGAGCGACTAAGAAGTCTTTGGCTGAAATCCAAGCCGAAGAGCAACGGTTCAACACTAGACAAGACCGGGCGTATGAACAAGGAGGCGGTTCGTGGTTCCTTGAAAGAAAGGAGCGCGCTAATTCTCTTCTAGAGATCCAAAACACTGCAATAGAAGAGCAAGAGAGATTGGACTTCATTGAAGAGCAAAAGAGAATCGAGGAACAGATACGGACGGATCTCGCGCAACAAAAGCAGAAGCAACAGAATAGACGTAATGGACAAAGGAAGAAGAATCCGGATAAAAAGTCTCCAACTGGAAAACCAGGTGGAGATCTACGGAAAAATAATGGACAAAAGAAACGGGGCCAAAAGGGAAACAACGAGCAGGCTGGGGCTGGAAATAGAAAACAAGGTCAGAAACCTGCTGGAAACAGAAGAGGAAAGAAACAATCACCTGTTAAAGACGATGCGAAGAAGTAATGTTTTATCAATCTGTGAATGTTGTAACATCAGCCACGAACTGCAAGCACAAGCCATGACTACTGGTATCTCCAATGTACATTAGCAATGCTCTGAGTTGGCTGGCGTGTCCGGCGTCCAGAATTTGTCAATTGGAAGGATGTGAAATTCACAGCGTGGTTATAATTGTTTCTATGATATATATGAGGATTTCACGATTTGGAAAAGTACGAGAACCCATATACTTATTGTCATTTTTTTCGTACCTTTTCCTCATTTATTGGTAATCGTTGAATGGAAAGTTCTTGAATGCATGAATCACGGACAGATCAACTTTTCTGTTGCAAATGATCTCTTCGGTTTCCCATTTTTAATATAGACAAGTATGAATGAAGAGTTCGTCTTCGATGCCTCGCTGATGGAACCAACACCTTTATCTGATGCCATTCATAACAGGCATCTTAGAAACCAGCCAATCGGACAGCATGCAAAACCATCCCCCCAACAGGAACACCTTGATTGTAGCCCTGCCCAAAGCAGGAGACCTGACCCGTGCACTCAGAAGCAAACAAAGAAAAGAAGACGGAATGTAGGGTTTGCAACACATGTGATGGTTCACTTCAGCCCATATGATCTAGAAGAGCTAAAGATTTGCTGGTACACCCGGGCTGACATGGTAAGATTCAAGTCTACTAGGAAGCAACTTTACAAGACGCTGAACAGTGGAATCTGGGATTTGAACCAGATCCAGCAGTCTATGAATGATGACTATAGAGGCCTAGAACCATTCTTTTCGGCAAGTTGCAATAGAATGATCCAGCGCAAACGGACTCAAGCAATCAACAGCGTTTTACATGAGCAACAAAGACAGCTTCTTGAAGAGGGCAGTATTGATGCCGAGTGCATCCGTCAAGCCTCTTGCTCTCAAACGCAATGGGCTAGAGACAGAGGCGAAAGATTCGGGAAAGATGACGCAGAGCAGGTTGCACCCAGTAACCAGAGCTATAAAAGCATTCCGATCATTTCTGCACCCCGCCATTTACACCGCATCACACCATTGCACGAACCCGCTATAAGACCATAATCGCTGCAAGAGCAAGAATACATCGACATCTTGGAATATCTTGCGATGAAGAAGCACGGAACACAACAGTTGCAAAAGCGAGGCTGCACTCGTTGCCGTGGATCTGAATACTGTTACTTTTCTGATGGGATGAATGAATCAGCTCACGCATGAATCGAATCCATCTGTATTACTCTATACTCTGGAGCTGGAGAAGAATCCCAACAAGGTCTTTCGATGAAAGTTTAGCACTACTAGGTACCACACCAACATTGAAGCTTTTCTCGGTCAAAAAAATCACATCCTATCATGCAATAATATAATTATTGGGGTATTTATATTATACCGTATTGGTTTTGATAGCTTCTATCCCGTCTTTTTGGAACACAGTTTTGATAATACCGGTACCGGTATATGCGTCTTAATTTTTCTTCGGCAGCTTTGCTTACTCTGGTACTACCGGTATACCGGTACTGTATATTCTGCGCGTGGATAATGAGAAATGGGCGAAACTCTAACAAAACTTCGACTACACCGACTGCAATTTCCGATTGCAACCCACCACGCAGCCATCTTGTATCATCGCCGTTCTTACACCTACAGTATTTTTTTAAATATTCTGAAAGGTGTCGATTATCGATAAATGGAAGGCGATATCCATCCATGGAAGTGCATAATCGCAGCGATAAATAAAACAACATTTACTGTAGCAGGGGAAGGGAATGGTGAAAGTACTGGTGCCGGGTGCCGGTATGGTACGCATCTAGCAATACTCTACCAGTAATCTCCACCTCTCAACACCAGTCAGATCAGCGCTGATCAGTCGGTTTGGTCCATTTGTCGACCCATACGACTGATGACGCTGGTAGCAGTCATAATGAGAGAAGGCGCGCTTTTTGTGAATTACCTTTCTTTATGCTCTTGGCGTAACCATGCGTTTTTAATATCAGCTAATATGTGAAGAATTGAATGATGGTCCCGGCAGTCATTTGTTCGAGTGAAAAAGCTAAAAAGTCCAGCGGCGAAACAATGACAGTGACCAGCTTACTTAACGAATATTGCACACTTTGTGCTTGTGAATCCTTCTTTGGAAACGAAATATCCCGCAGAACTGTGTCAATGACCGGAAATCCTGCTTAATCAGCTCATATTTTTGAACAGTGTGAACGTTTTCAACAACCACTTTGAAAATGGTGGAGACCGTGATTGTGCTATCATTCTGTGCTAGTTTCATTGGAGGGGTCGTGATGGATGTATGGGCATTCTATGAGTCCACTGAATGTGGGCAATGAAGTACTGTGAAGAATGAAAAAAACATTAAATCAACCAATCTCCTTGAATGAATCAGTCAAGAAGAACACCAAACGAAATCCGAGAATCTGGGATAGAGACAAGCCAGAGCGTCGGAAATCCTCGCACAATGCAGCAACAATTGAAACCGATACGCTAGGTGATTTCAACAGTCATGGATGGTCTGCCACTTTTAAAATTGGAATCATTTTGCTGACAAGCCGCCCTTTCAAGTCAGCACTAGGATACGATCATTTGTAGCATGATATCCCTCAACAGACGAGCGAGAATACAGCCATAATATTAATGCACTTCTATTTCACATGATCGTTAATCTCTTTACCGAATTCACATACAAGTAGCCGTTGCTGGGTTCACCTGTAGGGCTCGAAGAATCAAAGGCTTCTCTTGTTGGTGATTGATTCCACTTTCGAACGCTGTTAAGAACTAGAAGGCTTCTTGCGTTCGCATCAGGATTTCTACATTAGCATATTGTACAATCTCTTCCTTTCATGAAGACGTACCAGGTAGCTTGAGAAATGAAAAACTCACCAAGACCCAAGACCCAAAGCGAACCATTATTCTTGTTTCGAATTGCTTGTTCGAAAAAAGAATGTTCTTATTATTTCGAATTATTGTTCGCCATTTTTTGGTTCATGAAACTTTTTGGGTATGATGGAGAGTAGAGAAAGGGAAATACAAGCTTTCACGACTGGTACCGGTACCAGGGGTACGAGTACCATGGTACTCGTACCACACAGATGATCAACTTCAGAAATCCTACAATTAGCGAGAGCTGGAACAGAACCATGGAAAACAAGGACCACTCTAGAGAAGATAGCAAGGAGAACGCAAAGAAAGAAGATAGCGCAATTCCGTCACGCTGCCCCTTTAGTGGCGTAGCTTTCGACCCAGCTTTGTTGAAGGAATGGGAAAATAAAATGAAAGTGCAAATGGCAGCTAGTGAAGCCGAAGTGAGCCGACTGCACAGTCTTCACCAAAACATGATAAAGCAGGGCAAGCATGAAATTAGGGACGAAAAGAATGACGACGAACTTGTGGATGACAAGGCTAGCGTTCTCGAACAAAAGAGAATCTCGACACAACGCATCCGAATTACAAACAGCCAGTCAAACCGCACCAAAGATCTGTTGGTGGAAGCATCTTCTTCGCAAACAGTGTGGGACTCGATCTACGATAATCCCAGTGTAAAGGAAGCCAATATCCGAAAATGGAATGCAGAAACAGTCCAAGGTGTCAAGGATGGGTCGAAGGAGATTCGATTAGAGGTTTTTGGCATTGTGTACGAGTTGGCTGAGTTGAAAGAGCTGAGCACTGAAGCGTTCTTTAATCAATCAATATCCGCTTTGGCCGCCTCCGACAGTCAAGAAGATGCCGTGCTAAAGTTGCAGCTATTTTGTGTGGACCTTTGATTTGAAACAGAGAATATTGAAGAGGACTATAGCGTTCGGATTTGGCATGGGTTGACAGTGACTGGCTTCACTAGCTTTAATATGGTGCGAAAAGTAGCTTACACTCGGCTGCTGGAAGGATCGTCAAAAAGGAATAGGCACACACACACACACACACACACACACACACACACACACACACACACACACGTGATTGTGCGAAAAGCCTATGCACACAACATTGTGATTGTCAGATAGCCTAAATTCAGCCTCATAGTACCACTGATGCGATGTATATAGCTTCCAAATCAGAAACCTTTCTTGGCAAGTGATACAAGTCGTAGGCAACATCCCACATTGGATGGGTGATGAAAAGGGTATCCAAGAAGTGAACCTTCGGCGACGGTGACGATTTGTTTACTGCTAAAATTGCTTGTTCCAGCAGATAATTGTAGCCATTCCCCACTGCTGGAGATCTCCAGTCAATTGGTGGGCATGTACTCGCTCGATCTCCAATCGGCATGTGATGCATCGATCGCAAGTACACTTGGAAGGGTCCGAAACTGTCCTCAGCTAGCTGTGCGATCCTTGTCATTTCTGCAAGGTACCGTTCGAAAGAGTAGGGCGGCTTGGTTTGATGGCTGGCGGGCCACTGTCCAAAACCTAAAACAAAGATATTGCACCCCAGCATTTTATACTGCTCCTCAAAGAAACCTTCCTCCAGCTCCAATGGATATTGCATCATGATCCAATGAAACAAGTGACTCATTTGCAAATTTTCAATGGAATACATGAGATGATAGGAGTGCGATGCCCCTACTACGCACACTTTCTTCCCATTTTCCATTGGTGAGGTAGGCATTGTGTTCTCCTGCATGCAATTGACGCATTTCACCCTGCACATGCCATCCCAACAGTCCTTCTTGTCGGGTTGGCAATTGCATCGCCGTAGCAAGTCGGTGTTGTTACCTTGAAGACTGTTTGGTATGTCCTTTGCTTTCCACTCTTGTAGTGTCCTTGATGTCCAAGCAAAGTCGTAACCGTCAAAGCGAGCCGTGCTCATAGGTTTCATGCAACGGGGAAGTCGTTTGTTGTTTCCTTGGCAATCCAATGGCTGAAACCTTGTGTAGAGTGGAATCAAGTTTTGCTCTTCATTCCGAGTCCAATACCCAGGGGCTTGCGACTCCTCAGATTGTGTACCATTTAGTGCATTCTCTAACTCCGCCGACAGTGTAGGGCTACTGATTAATATAGCACAGTTTTCCTGCGTCAGTCGATTCGTAAGCGTGTTTTGCATGCAGACTTCCGTCCAGTTGAAAGATAGCCATTCGTCGGTATGTCTGGGTGATGTTGATGATGAATCACCTGACAACGCCCCAACCGAAAAGTCTTCACAGTATGCAGTCAGAATTTCCACAAAGTACATGGCTCCTTGGATAACACCACGGTATTTCCCACAAAAGGTAGTCGAGTCATCAGAGGTTGCTTCATTCGTCCATTCCAAAATGGAAAGAGAAGGTCCTGAGAGCCGTCCTATCAATAATGGATGAGAGCAGTCGGCATTACGAGGTATTGATATGCATACTGCTCCCATCATTTCATTTTGCCAAAGACGGGACACATCCTTGGATATTGGGTTGTCGGCATTAAGCTCTAGGAATGGTTTCGGGGGCATTGGTGGTTCTTCTTGATGCGGTTTTGCTGATGGAGGCGCTGATGATGGTGCCTTTGTTGGCGCTTTTGCAATCACTTTTGGTTTGGCTTCTACTCGTACATCCTTGGATACTGGGTAGTTGGCGTTTAACTTCAAGACTGGTTTTGGTGATGGTGGTTCCTGTTTCCCTCCAATAGTCAGATAACCTCCTCCAATGGACACCACAAGACTGATAAAGATCAAAACTATTCTCTTGGAGCATGTATTATTCTTGTTTTTAGACCCGTCCCCTTCTTCTTCCATGCTTATTCGAATCGCCATTCTTCAAGCATAATTTATTGGTTGCAAAATAAAATGTTCTCCATCGACAGAAAATATTATGACGACGATGATGATAGCACACAAAAGCATTGCGGTTTGATCGAATGAGTCACCCTAGCTAGCGATGGCATCCAAATCAATGGATCGGAGATTATGATGCGGTAAAGCCTATAGTTCATCTTTGAGATGCTACAGGCAAATAGTCAACCGTTTTGCTAGTATCATAGTTCTGCTGTTGTGGTAGGGAGGTCGATTTTATTCGGGTTTTGTTGGACCTCTTGTTGCCGCTCCTGATCCAAGTGTACTACGTTTTATCTATACTTTCTATTTATCTATTCGTTATTGGAACCTAGGCTGTCTCTATGGACGAGAAAGCACCAGCGCTCCATACATCATCTAACTCTTGTCTCGTCACGGTGAATGGAGTGTGCACATTGCTGCTCTCGTCTACCCAGAACGTATCCATGACGCCCTTTCCCTTGATGGGAATCATACCTCTTGAAGATATCTTAATACTTGCATCCTGCTGCTTCAATAACTTGACAGATGCCACTGAACATTGAATCCTATTCGCCAAAGACTTACTCTCCATCAAGCTTGCCATGTTCACAGCTTCTCCGAACAGGCAATAGCGAGGACACTTGATACCCACAACATCCGCTACCACCGGACCAGAATGAAAGCCGCATCGGATACTCACAAAGCCCTTACTTTCGTCATCTTTATCAATAAAAGTTGTCTTGCCAGCTGCGATGGCAGCGATACTAAAATCAGCTATCCGCTTCGCATGGGAATCGCGTTGGTCCTTCACCAAATTTGTCACCGCCATGTAAGTGTCCCCAATGGTTTCCACCTTGAAAACATCATGATCTTTGGCGAGAGCATCAAACTTGCTATGCAGGCGATCCAACAAATCAGCAACTTTATGCGAAGGTAATTTGGGCGAAATTTTGTCAAAATCAACAACATCAGAGAAGAAAATGGTTACGCAGTCTCGATGCTCCGGTTCAATTTTTCTTCCCCCTTGCAAGGCTTCTGCAATGTGGCTGTGAAAAAAGAAGAGAGAAATCAAACCCAAAAGATGTCAATAAACCGAAACGGAGTGCAATTTTTCTTCCATTGTACACGACATACCTTGGGAAACTGTCCTGTAGCCCCACGTCAGTTCCAGGCCGTTTGAGAGTTTTGTTTTTCGCCATGGGCAATATATCAGCTGCTGCTGTATCAATACGCTTCAATCGAGTATCGATTTCTTCAAAAGTTGGCCGGCTGTCTGCCTCGTCCACCAAACAGTCCGCTATCATTGATTGGATTTGAGACGTGCAGCTTGCTGGAACCGTTGGTCGCTTTTGAATTGACTTATCAGCAATCTCTTTTAACACAGTATTGGGGTCTTCTCCTTCGTAAGGATCTTTCCGGCTACACACTTCAATCAAAATGACTCCGAAAGAGAATACATCACTGGCGGCAGTTTGAGCAGATTCATTCCGTAGGAGCTCCGGAGCCATCCAGTACGGAGTACCGGTGCCTCGTAGTTGCTTCTTCTGAGAAAGTCCAAAGTCTGCCACTTTGGCTCGAAAGTGACTGTCCACAAGAATGTTGGCTGCCTTCAAATCTGCGATTTTTATATAGTCAATGTGAGTTAGCTTCGGAAATGTCAAAATCAAACGAAAGTAGAAGTCCAAACAACGGTAACAGCAAGCGTACCTCCATGGATGACCTGCGGGTCAGCAGAATGTAGGAATCGGACTCCTTGAGAAATGTCTCGTAGGATTGGAAGGATGACTTCTCCATTGATGGCCATGGTATTATTTTTCAGCAGATCATGGAGCGATCCATAATCCATATACTCCATTACAAGCATTGGCTCGTCCTTGTTGTCAATAACAGCACCTACAAACGATGACAGAGCGAAGGCGGCCTGGTAAGTGGGATGTTCTATGAATGGAATTGGAAATTCAAATGATTGATTCGAAGACGTACCCATCACAGTGCAAATGCAAGGATGCCGCAGCTTTGATAATATTCTCATTTCTTCGACAAAATTCGATCGGAGCTTCTCCCAAGATGCTTTGGCACCAATCTCTGCATCTTCGTTAGATCTTGCCCCACTGAATCCAGATCGAAGACCAAGATTTTGCGACTGGTTCAACTGTTCCGATGACTCTATTCCCGTCGGCTCTGTCTTATCTTGATGGAATGACGATTCCAACGTGGCTCTGGTTTTTGCTGGGATCACGCGCTTGACAGCTACCTGCGTTCCGCGATATTCTGCGATACAAAACGAGACTCTAGTCAGTTTGAACCCAAAATAGCAAACATCCCAAATGATTCTTCGTTTCGAACGTACCTGCCAATAACACCAGTCCAAACGTCCCTCGCCCAACTATTTCTGGCGGAGCGTTAAACTTCAGCTCGTCGTGCTTTACCGTCCAAAGCATATCGTTTTGTGTCTCATCTTTCAGCTTGCGAACATATATCATGACAGTGACCAAGGTCACAAACATCATCAAAACAACAGCAACTACAGTGATAGCTGCGATCGATGAACAATTTCTACCAAGATCGACCATACCACCCTTGCAAACACATACTCCCCACTCATCGGCCTCCCGTCCATTGCCAAATAGCTCTGCAGGGCAGCTCCGTTTCATCACATTGATTCGGAAGGGACTCTCTGGAATCTCTCCGCATGGTTCATCCCGCTCACAAACTTCAATAATGACAACCTTTTGACCCACTCGGGTCCTCGATACGTCAAAGTCATACTGAAAAGTCCCGTTGACCAAATCCAGCACAAACTCATCTCGACTGTCATCACTCATTAGAAAGGCGCCCCTCATGGTAATATTGTGCCGTTTCTTGTTGTCCACTGCCAACAAGGAAATGGAGCTCTCTTGTTCGACGGCCCCGCATAAGGAGAACTTGGAACATCCAGTTCCTGTAATACTGCTGCTTTGGGTCGTCGTCGTTTCTTCGTTGTTATTACTGGTGACAACAAAGTCTACCTCAAAGGCTTTTACGCAGGGACTGCACAAACAGTCCCATCCGTAACATTCGAGCCCCGACACGTTGCATTCGTTTATAATATCTTGGCTCGATCGAATAAAGTGACCCGGCGGACAAGTCACGGCTTCTGCTATATTTTGCAAGCGAACGCATCGGGGATTCGGATCCCTTACCAAAAATCCAGTGGACTCTTGAATATCTCGCATGTCCAGGTTCTGTTGCGGCTTGGTATATCCCCAAATATCATCTCCAATGGCGGTAAATGCCTTCAACGCAAGTTCGGCCGTCGTATCGCACCGTCGTATCATCGTCGCATTATTATTAGTAAGGCTTTGAAAGCAATCCTCCGCACACACCGTATTATTCGTTTGGCATCCACGATCGTCGAGGCAGGCCAACAAGGCGGGCGCCACATCTGCGTGATCCCCCATGGCCAGCAGGGCATTCCGGACCTTTTCAATCACAATCGGTTCGACGTGCGGCAACGCTTGAAAGAGAGGGGTTGGTACCAATGGGGACGAAACTTTGAAGGGATACGGAACACCATCATTGGTCATGTGGAGTTGTTCCCCCAGGATTCGTATCCGTGACAAATCCAGTCGTTCACTGTCGTCGTCCACTTTGTAAAATTCCAACGTGTTGGCCGCCGCGCATCCCACATCCACTCGCCCATCCAACACCGCTTCCAGCGCATCGGTGGAACGTCGAAAGTATATGATTTGTTCTGGATCTTGTAGGTTGTGAACCCCATTTCGTAACAGCACATCATAACATAGATGCCTGAAGCAAGCAAGCAACACGAAATTATAAATTAAAAAAGAAAATGATAATATGATGATGAGCATGAAAAGGATCCGGCAAGTCAAACAATATGAAACATAGTAACAAAAACCAACAATCATTCATAACATTGCCAAAAACTCACGTGGCCAAATTGGAATATCGATTGGTACCAATTTTCTTTCCTCGTACATCTTGGACCGTCAAAATATCGGTTCGATTGCTCAGGGTATACAAGGCTGCTCCAAACTGTGTCACATTGTAAAGCAACCGAGTGTCAGGGTCTCGAAGCACCCGACGTTCGGTCGCCAGAGCAATTGCCTTGCCTTCTGATTCGTAACAGGAACTCCGATAGGCATTGCTGTTGATAAAGTCATACCCTCGGGCCAAAGCATCTTCAACAGTGGGAGCATTGAGCCATTCCGCATGGGTTTTCCAAGTGAATCGAATGGGAGGATCAAATTGTTGGCCCACCACATCATTGAGATAATCAATGACAGGAAGGTGCCAAGAATGTCCTCCCAGAATGTATTCCCGTTGTGTTGTTTCATTATGTAATGATGGTGATGGTGATAATGATGGTGATAATGATGGTGATGATGGCAATTCAATCTGGCACTCTTGTGCGACTGCAATCGGTAGCAGAAGAAAGAGAGGCCATAACGACAAAAGGATGGAGAGGACCCTTATTCTCATTATTGTACAGTAGTAGTGGAACTCGTATCGTTGCTATTAGTTTGGTGTCAATGGCCCATAGGCGCTTGAGGTGACAATGACGATGACAACAATGGTTCTTTTTCTTGCTCTTGTCGTCTCTGTGCAGTATTTGTGAATGAATGATGATATATATAAGTAGGTAGGTGGTCCCGTGCCGGCACCTAAAAATCGCCACATAATTCGTTATTTCTTCAACAGTACCTTACTTTACTTTTTAGGACTACAGTATTTACCCGAGTTTCCCTATTTTAAAATATTCGATTGGGACTGGGTTGAAAGAAACTTTTCTAGTGCTCTGTACCACTTTCTCTACACCCCCAAAACCTTACACCGCACAGTGGTGGCATTGCTGTGTGTATACGAGTGTGTCCGATGATCATACAGCACCCCTTTTTGTTGTTGGATCCATCATCAGTTTGAAACCCACGATCCTCGTTCAGCATTCATTAGAGTTGAACCATAACAACTGCATTGCGAACTCATCCGACACTGTCACAACCCCTGCTTTGAGAGCATTTCACGGAGTTTGATTGATTCATTGATTGATTCATTGATTGATTCATTGATTGATTCATTGATTGATTCATTCCATTATAGTCAATTATAGTCAATCATTACAAAATGGTGGATTTTGTGGACTTGGCCAATGGTCATCGCTATTTGTTGGAACGGATACTGGGCGCAGCAGACGATGATTTTGCCAAGATCGAAAATGATTATCCAGCTTCGAATGGCTTTCAATATGAAACAACCACAGCGCAATCGTCGCAATCGGCATTGGATTCCTCCTCGTATTATACGGGATCCACTCCTGTCTTGTCCAAATCGGCGGAAGCGGAGTTGTATCTCTTGGCTACCAATTTTTTGTTATGTACGTTCCTACCGCCGTTTGGCTCTTGCTTTTTGTGGAATGAAGAATGACGAATAAGGAATCATCGTCTGTATATTCTGCATGGGTGACAACCTTTCCCTGCCCGAAAAACAAAATTTCAATTTATTGCCATCCGGATGATGCAACGTCCAAATTACTCACCCAATTTTTTTTCTCCCATTTTCATCTCTCTCGCATCCTTTTAAAATTTTGCCTCTTCCGTCGTTCCTGTCATTTAGACGTGGCCATGGTGATTATCACAATCATGGTGGCCAAGATTTACTTTCCGGAATCCTTGAAACGAGGACATTTGGAAGCCAATTTTGACAAGCAACGACCCTACTCGTATCGACGAAAGAGTTCTTACAAAGATAGCAATAACGAGAGTAGCGAAGAAGAAGATCTCATGTTGGAATACGACGTCGAATTGGAAGAGGATGAATTGGAAGCCTTGTACAGTGATGAAGATGAGGAATTCTTGCGAAGTGATGATTCCTCACCTTCTGGGGATGAGGCCTCGTGGATGTTTGATTCGGACCACAACTTTTTGGAGTTTGATCAAGAACAAGCCTCTCGCTCTCAAGTCGTCAAGCGTCTGTTATTTTGCAGTCTCATGCTCAACATCACCTTTGTCACCTGGGGTGTCTTGCAAGAACGCATGCTCACTCGAAGGTATCCACGACACACGGGAGACTTTTTCACCTATTCCTACGCCTTGGTCTTTTCCAATCGATTTTGGACGCTGGTCATGTCGGGCATGATGCTCTTGTGGTTGAAACCACGGGCGTCGCGTACGACAATTCTGTACGAGTATTCCTTTCCCAGTATATCCAACATGTTGAGTAGTTGGTGTCAATACGAAGCCTTGCGATATTTGAGTTTTCCGGCCACTACCATTTTCAAATCCTTCAAGTTGGCGCCAGTTATGCTCATGGGAAAACTGTTGGGAAACAAAACTTGTAAGTTGAGATTGCTAATGGATGCTAAATGATGATACTTGCTTTGACCTCTAGCTAACCAAATTTTGTCTTCCTACTTGTACCTGATACATACATCGATAGACCCGGTGTATGATTACGTTGTTGCTTTGGTCATTGGAATCGGGATTGCCATGTTTATGAGCTCGACTGATGATTTGAGCTGGGGAACTAACTATTTGGGAACTGCGGAGGTAGCGTCGGCCAAGTGGACGGGCGTCATGCTCTTGTGTTTGTTTCTGTTCTTTGACAGTTTTACCAGTCAATTTCAATCGCGCATGTTCCAACGGCATGTGGATTTGAGCATGATCGAACTCATGTTTGCCACTTCGGCCTTTTCGACCGTCTTGTCACTGATTACTCTCATTCATACCCATGAGTTGGGACCAGCTTTGGAGTTTGTCTACCAGCATTCGGAGATTCATTTGCACTTTTTCATGTTCTCCATTTGCTCGACGATTGGACAACTTTTCATCTTTTATACCATCAAGAACTTTGGTGCCGTGGTCTTTACCCTGATCATGACCACAAGGATTCTGCTCAGCATCGCTCTGTCATGTTTCCTGTACGGACATCAGGTCTCTGGAACCGGCTTTTTGGGTCTCATGGCCGTCTTTGGTGCCGTTTTGTATCGCATCCGACGCAAGGCAGAGGGTAACCAGTTGATCAAGTGGCAAGGTATTGACGACGAAAAGGGTGGGGAGCTCTTTTCAGAATGGCACGAACACTTGGACATGTAAATGATGACACGTAGTCCTTGAAGTGTGCTGTTCCAGTAGTCGCTAGAGAGCATTTAACGAAAGAAGTATTTTAATAACGATAGATTCTGAATTGGAAAATAATTATTCTAGTTTTATGGATTGATTCATTCAACGTAAGGTCAGTATATAGTGATGGTTATATGCATGTCTGCGGATGGATGGATCAATGTCAGAGGAGCCCTACTCCTCGTTCTAAATCATTTGGCATTCTTACTATCGCAACTTGCGCACATTTTGAAAGCACTGCTTCAATTCGGCAAATTCCTTCGAGCATGCACCTTTCGTAACCCCTGTTTCCGATGCGTCAGCTTGAATGATACAGGTGGCATATCCAGAAATAGCACCTGGACAGACTATATATATATATAACAAAGGAGATTGAAAGAGTAAAATGCAAACACTGTGAGTAGGAGAACTAGGAGAACTTGGGAGATACACGACTTTGTAAAACAAAAAATGAGTGAACCTACCATTCTTCATTTGCTTGAATGCTTGTGAAAATTTGTTTGGCTGTTGTGTACCTGGGATTCTTTTCATGTTTAGATGCTGAAACGATGATTCAAATGATGTAGTCACTTGCACTCTGTTGAGAAAGGTTGATCGAAGTCAAGGATGTTTATGCAATATATGGTTTGGAGAGAATGTGTGATGTGGTGCAATTGTAATGTCATCAACATGTCCCCCTTTTACGGGATCGTTGGGGTTAAGTTGTGCACTCCCTCCCCCTTTTCGGTTCTTGAAAATTCACATGCTGCAAAACTTCAAACTGCTTTCTCGGAACGAGACTATCGACAGGGAAGTCGACCCCTTCACAAAGAGAAACTCTAGCATGCCTAGTCCATCGCCTTGTTTCGGCTTCCCATTGTCATTATTCTTGCGATTTATGTTGTTTGCATCCATACTCTTTGCAACCGTCCAAGGACAAGAATGTGTTGCTGATGGCGGTGTTTGTGACAGCCACCTATTGTGTCCTGTTTGGAAAAAGGAAGGAAAATGCAAAAAGGATCCTGAGCACATGAAAAAGTACTGCCCAGCCTCATGTTATGCCCCTGCCCCCCTTACTCAAACGGAAGACGAACTCATTGAACAGACCACACAGTTTGGAGTCCCACAAGAAGCTGCAGGAGAAACAAAAGAACGAACCATGGAGGTTATTTTGCAATCGATTGACTACATGAAAAAATTGAACGCTGGAACCGCTCGTCTCACGAAATGTGCCAACAAACACGAGCACTGTTCCTTCTGGGCAACAGATGGTACGACATTGTTACTGCGACTACTAGCTAGAACCTACTACTGGAAGGAGGGAGGACAAACGAGTGTCTTGTCTGCAATGCAATCCTTTCATCTCACCAGTTTTTTCTTGTCCCATCTTTACTTTCCATGCATTACTAAACGATGATTATGAAATTTTTAACTTACAAGGCGAGTGCGACAAGAATTATGCTTGGATGAAGAAGAACTGTGGTCCAGCATGTGGAAATTGTCACAAGTTCCAAATATCCCGCAAAACTACATGATCCATGTTTCTTCAAGTCTTCTTCTATCTTGAGAGACACCATGCGATCATGTTAGTGTCAAACTTATCGCACTTCTATTTTCGATTCAAGTGAATATTACCACGAGATGGGTCTTCCCCCCTTTTGACTGAGTTATCGGGGGGCATTCTATCCCCTCCCCAGAGGAGTCATTTTGAAAGACACGAACTCTCATCCAAACCAACCAACAACAACAACAGCAACATCATCATCCACAACAACAGCGCTACTTTCAACCAGTTTTTAGTCACCCTAGAGGATCAAAGACGGGAATAGAATTACTCGATTACAAATTTCTCCCACAATGTCTCCAATGTCACTCCTTTTTCAGTTCCTGCTGGTCTCCTCAATAGCCACCAATAGCAGTTCGACGATGATGATGATGATGGTGCAAGCCCAAGAGTGCGCTCCCAATGGTGTTTGCGATACCCATCCTCGATGTTCCGTCTGGAAGGAAGAAGGGGAATGTAAAAAGAGTGCTGGGTACATGCAAAGATATTGTCCAGTCTCTTGTGGTTACGCGAATACTCCGAAACATACGGCGGCCGAACTGTTGGAACAATCCATTCAATTTGGCGTGAAACAAGAAGCTACTGGAGAGAGTAAAGAACTAACTTTGGGAGTCATTGTGAAAACCATTGAATATATGAAGGAGCCACGGGATGTACACTTTTGCAAAAACAAGCACGAATTTTGTTCTTTCTGGGCGACGGTTGGTACGTTGTTGTTTTAGATTCATTCTTTCGATTCATTCATTCATTTTGGAAGGAAAAAAAGTCGATCCATTTCGGTGGCGGTCCCTGACATACAATGAATTGAGAATATGTTGAAACGCATGTCTTTTCTGCTTATTGTACTCACATTCTTTCTTGTTTTTGTTTGTTCTTGATTACTATTTTGTTGCTGTGGCTCGAATAAAAAATCGATCTACACATCCAGGCGAATGCGATGGCAACCCTGGATGGATGCAAGCTAATTGTGGACCAGCATGTGGAAATTGCAAATAGTAACCATCAATATACATGTAGCAGAACTGCAACAATATAATAAGGATGATTTTGTTGAAGTTCCTTGTTTGGAATGCGACTAGTCTAGTACTGGTACGCTTCGCCTCTATTTAAAAAAAGTCTACCTTAGTATCGGGACCTCTCGAATTGCGAAACTCAATCTACCAGTAGAAGACGAAAAGATCACACCCAGCCGAAGTCCCATAATATTCAATTGAATATATGTAAAAACAAAACTGTAGATGCATTTTCATGATTTATTGTTCTAGGAAATTCTAAACAAAAACACCAAACGCCCGTACAATAAATGTCAATGCTTCCCCCGCCCTTCTACTATCAAACGTCATTCTTCGCAGTTAAAAGGTTGAATACCGCTAGCGAAGGAGGAAATGATCACCCTTCCATAAGTCAATGGAAACCTACGTGTGAACCTCCGATTAACAACCTCCGAATCCAAACGACTTACTTATGGCCAACAATGCCGACTGAACCAATGGCATCCGAGATTTTCGCAAAAGAAAGACCAAGGACGAATCAGGCACACTTTTGAGTACCAATCATTCAACAAACCAAGAGTAGAAAGACTTTGTCGTGACATACCGGTACTGTACTGTATTTCACCAGATTATTGAAAGGCAACGACGAGTGACAATATCGTGAGAAGCAGACAGAAACACCCACCAATTGCAGCTACAGCAACCCTCTTCTCTTACTCTACTACTGTACATATATACACGCTCAAGTAAAAGAAACACAATGCGGTGTTCTCTTTCTGTGTCCTTGCTGCTGGCACTGTTGACACTCGTTTTTCCAATTCTTTTGGAGGCAAGACGACCAGGATCACGACAATCGAATCCAACCTTGGAACAAATCACCTTTAAGAGTGCCGTCTTGCACGCACCTCCCTTTGCCACGGTGGAAGACATGGGCGGTGGCCAATACGAATACGGCGGAGTCCAAATCGATTTATTGAACAGCATGAAACAATTTGCACTCCAAGACAACATTTTGGTGAATTTTGATTTGGTGCCGTCGCCTCCGCAATACGGCGCTGCCTTTAATTTGGTGGCCAATGACTGCAACACCACCGCCAATCCAAATCCCTTGGAAGCCTGCAATGCCTTGGATATCATTGTGGCCAACTTTTATTCCACACCGGATCGTGCCTTACGAAGTGACCTGTCTCCTACCTGGATGAGATCAACCATTTCCACCATGAAGTATAAAGACCCGTCTAAAACATTGCGGGATGTTACCACCATGCAACAGGCGGCCGAGTTTGGAGTAGCAGTCTGTTTGAAAACGGATACCTTTTATGCCGGAGTGGTGGCGGAAAAGTTTCCAACAATTATTTTTGTGTCCTGCGACGACCAAGATATTTGCATTGCGAAACTAAAAGCACAAGAATGTGGTTTGTATGCCAGTGATGAACTGCAGCTGCGATATCGAGCCGCCAATGATGCATCCCTGGCAGTAACTCCGGAATCCTTCAACACCCAGTACATTACATGGGCCTTCAAGGACGACACACCCAACATTCGATGGGTCCGCAAGTGGATCTACCAGGCCGTCATCAACACGACCATGGATCAACTCTATTTCGAGTATTTTCAAAAGGAACTTTGTCCTGTGGGAAGTGCTGGAGAATCTTGTCAATTGCCCTGCGATCCCGACCACGGAAAAGCCGACGAAACTGGAAAATGCGTCTGCGAGTCCACCAAATACAGAGGAGACGACTGTTCGATTGAAATTCCGGAAAACAAGAATCTCATTTCCACCGGTCTCAAGGCCATGGCCTACTTCATGGTGGCGGTCAATTACATTGTCATTATTGGATTGGTGGCCTGGATGATTTTCAAAAAGAAGAGCCACCAAATTCGTCTCTCGCAGCCCTTTTTCCTACTCATGATCTTGTTGGGCTGTGGGATTTCCACCTCAACCATTCTGGCCATGATGTCCGAGTCGGAAGGCGATGGGCCTGTGAGAGCCTGTATGGCAGTCCCATGGTTATATTCGGTGGGATTCTCCATTACCTTTGGTTGTTTGTTTGCCAAGATTCGTCGGGTCTACTTGATTTTCAAATCGGCAGCCGACTTTCGACGCAGCAAGGTCACCTTTGGCGAGACGTGTAGTATCACGGCTGCTGTGTTGTTGGTGGATGTCACCATTCTCATGGTTTGGTCCATTGTGGATCCACTCCACTGGGAACGAACCATTACCAGTTCGGACAAGTTCGGTGTCCCACTCTCATCGGAAGGTATTTGCACTTGCCAATATTGGGAAGTTTGGGTGAGCTCGATTTCGCTCCTGCATGGAGGACTTTTGGCCATTGCTTGTTACTTGTGCTACCAAGCAAGAGATATTCCTACCAAGTTTTCCGAAGGAAAATACGTTTCCATTGCCATGTTTTCCAATCTCCAAATCTTTGTGGTGGGATTGCCCATCCTGGTCATTTTGGGATCGGATTCCTCGGCTGGATTTTTCGTTCGTACGGTCGTCATTTGGATGAACGATCTGGTGGTGGTGGTGCTCATTTTCGGAAACCTGATCTACCACGTTCACTTTCATCCTTCCAATCATCGGGTCGACAAGGAAGATGTCAGTCGGGAAATTGGGTCTGCCATTCAAAAGTTTTCCATGGCCAAAAAGGAACGTTCCGAACGCAACTCCTCGTCCTCCGACTCCTCGGAAAGAACCAGAAGGTCGGCGAAAATTGCGCAATTTGGCACCAGTTCGGAATTCAGATTGACGTCCAGGGCGTCCACGGGGTCTCGATTTGAAATGCCCTCGGTCGCCGAACTGTCGGACGAGGATGAAACCTCCGAGTCGTTGCATTTCACAGTGGCGGACAGTAATACTCTTCACAGCGACGAGGAAAAGAAGGAATCTTCACCAGTGCCTTCGGTAGCCAAACCTGCCGAGGGACTTGGAAAATCAAGTTGGGGTGGATTGGATCTAAAGACGGACTCATCGGTAAGTCACAGCAGTATTGATATTGATAGCGGGTGATAATTTTGAGGATTATGATGATGATCATGACACCATGAGAATGAATGACTAACGAAATGAAATGAAATTCTTGAATCATATTTGCAGAGTTCGATGCGAGGAGGATTTGAGACCAACTAAGATAGTTCTATCGACTGTATAGGGGGCATATCCATGTTCGAAGCTCCTCTAGCTAGATGTCGTCCATGACTCACTCTGCCCACTTGTAACAAGACGGATTGGCTTAAAACGAATCCTTCACATTGGCAGCATGGAAACGAAGAACATAAAGCTACTGCCACTTGTTGGTGCCCAAGCTAAATTTCAACACCACAAACACTCCAACGAGAGGGTTTTGCCCTGTAGCAGATAGAATCAACATTTCATAAACCGAACCATCTACATGATCGCATGCCTTCCTAGTTTTTCATGACACTTCTAAATCAATCTTAGACTACGTACAGAGTTAGTTTAGTCCCACCCTGTCATGTGTCTTGTTTCGGTGGCTCTGACCTTCTTGCCCACTGCGGCAACGGTGCTTCGAATTCCATACCCAAGGTTGGAAAGGCATACTTCCAGGAATGGAGCCAGATTCCAGTATTGACACTGGGCCCTAACCGTTCATTCTTGGATATTTGCGAGGACGCTTCCTTCAGCAATGTTTGTTCAAACTCGCAAAAGGTGCAATTCGATTTCGATTGACCCTCCTTCCAAGCCTTTCGAAGCATGTCCATCAGCTCCTTCCGTGGATTCGGTAGATCAAATGCTGACAAGGGTGGCGCTCTTTGCTTTCCTCCGTAGCGATGATCATTGGCAATCGACAATCCCACATGTTGCAAATGACATCGAATCTGATGTTTTCGACCAGTGAACAGTCGAATCGTCACAATGGCCGTATTGTCTTCTTTGATTGTCCGAAGGCACTCTTGGACTACTGTTTTGGAGTACTTGCCGTTGTCGCCATTGGTGGATTTTGCGTCTTTTTTAGAAGTGTCCTCCTCTACCACATAGGCAAGTGACTTGGAGTTGTCAAACCCCATCTGAGTCTCGATTGTCAATGGGAGCTGTGGAAGACCACTCGGAGGGATCTGAACGCGGGCTACATATGACTTGGAAGTCTGTCCTAGTTGGATTTTCCGTTGTAGCCGTCTAGTATCCTTACTGGTGATGCCACAGCAGACGACGCCAGAGACAGGACCATCCAATCGATGGGCGGGTATGATTTTGGTATTGGCTGTGGACGGATGACGGGAAAATAGTTCCTTGAGCAAACCAGGCAGAGAATTGTGGACACGACCAGCTGCAGGATTTTCAAGAACATCGACTCCTACAGGCTTATTGACAACCAGGTACTGTTCATCTTGATACAATATCAGGTCGGAAAGATCCTTCAGATCGTACCGGATAGACTGCTCATGATAATGATACTGTGCCTGGAGTTTCACCTTTGACGTGGTAGCAAGCAAGTCGTTGCCTGAGAGTGCAGTGCTACTCCCATCAACGTTTTGTGTCACTCGACCCGCTTCGAATTCTTCGATCCACCAGTCAATGGAGGGTTTGATGAAATTCTTCCATCTGTTGGCCTTTCCATCTTGCTGGTTCATGCGAGCCAACAACTTTCCGTATGTATCATCTTTCTCTCCCTGGATAGCCAAGTTCACCGTGATCCAATATGGCGCTACAATGAGAATACCTGCTATGCAGAGTGTGGCTGGAATTTGGTGCTGTGATGGCATCGTTCGACATTCATCATTATTGTTGTGATGATGATTCTTCTCTTATTTTGCGTGAAGTGATTTTTGGAGTTAGGTTTTAATCGAAGGGGTCAAACCTCTTCTCTGATCGCTATCTAGGAAGTACCTACCCGGTATAATAGTCTAACGTAACTACATATATTAGTGTAACTCATTTTATAATCTTTAAGGCGATTTTGTCGTTGTAGTCGCTTGAATGTCGTCCTTCTCGAGTGACAAACCTGCTTTCTTCAAGTCTTCTTGACAGGCTGCCTGCAATTTAGGGATGAGAACTTCTTCTTCTTGTGGCGTTAACAATTCAAATCGAAAGCCACTTTCTACCGACTCTTGAATTTTCTTTCCCACCAGTGGAAAGGGTTGCAACAGTTTCACCAATTGAAACGATTTGCTGCGATCACCGAATTCAAAGCCAATCAATTTGAGAGCTACACCATCGCTATCTGGATGAAAAGAGAGGGCCTCCTCCTTAAGATTTTTCGTCTCCTCTTCCAGGTTCTCAGCAAAGTCCGTCTCGTCGAGCTCAAAGTTAAACAGTTTGGCCAGCTCCTTATCTTCTTCCGACATTTCTTCGTTCATGGTTTTTTCAAATTCTTCGTCTCCCAACTCACTGCGCATGAACGACAAGAACTCGGCCATTTCCTTGTCTTCTGCAATATCGAATTCATCTACTGTATCGCCTGTTTTCTTTTCCTCCCGAAAGACGCTATTGACAAAGTCGTCCATCCCATCCATCAAGTCCTTGACTGGTGTAGGTTCGTCCATCAAATTCATTTCCCAGTTGTCAGTGTATTTGCCTAGATCTCCAGAGATGGTCAAGACCTTTGGTGTCTTGCGCAGAATCAAATCTTCCCCCAACTTCTCTTGGACTTCTTTGGCCATGATTTCCATCAATTCTTGAGAATCCTCTTCCTCTTCGTACTTGTCGGGATTGATATACCGCACGCTCGCACCTTTGTCATCCTCGAGAGTCTTGCCCTCCTCCTTGGGGGTCAGTTGGATAATGGCCACCGCATGATCAAAGGGCATACCAATTCCATAGGTTTCACCATCAATTTCGGTCAAAAAGGCCAACTTTCCATCAATGTACTCCATACCACGACACCAGGGGATTCGAGTTTCCTTCCAACGAGGATCTCCTGAATCCAAGGACCAGTCCATCAATGTCTTGGGAGGTTCCAAGTACCTTTCTTGTTGTTCTGCTGTTGTTGTCTTGTCCTTGGACGCGACGGGCTCTGAAACTTCTTCGCTGTCCACTTCCATGGCGTCACGTTCCATGGCTTCCCGTTCCATAGCTTCAAGGATTTCTTTTGGAATGGAAGGACGTTCCCGATCCCTGCCATCAAATCCTTCCAGTTGCGAAAAGTCAAAATTGGAAAAGGTTTGCGTGCCCATGTCTTCGACTTTGAATTCACCAGTACCAGCAGCACCCCCATTTCCCCCCATTTCTTCGACGACATTCTTGAACAAATCATCCGGAATGCCAGCATTCGTACTATCACCAGTCCCACCAGTATCGGAAGGAGATACCACCTTTTCAAATTCCACATCGACAAATTCGTCGTCGTCACGCGGAGCCATAAAGGTGATTTGATGTCTGCTTCTGGTGGACGATGTGCTGCTGATTGTATGGGAAGGCACCCATGCCGAGCAGAGAGGTACTGATATCAGAATTATTTGTAGGGCGATCCTATTGTGACTGAACATTATGTTGATGATGGATGTCAAAACTGAAATAAGGACAGTGTTTGATGTTTTGATTCTTTCTCCTTTGTCATCCAACGTTTCTTTTTGGTTGTTGGATTTTGATGGGTGGGTTTAGATTGATCCGATTCGATCCAGTAGCCGGACATATGGACAGACATGCCTCCGGAAGCATGGCACATCTTCGCACAAAATGCCGCGCGATCGGAAGGAGGATTGCGACTTCCATCAGCATCACATCAAATGCCACGGCTTCAAAAGTTCGACAAAAATCAAATTCTTTCGTCGTTGCAATAATATATAAAACTTCTTGTCAACCTCTATCGGTATTGTCTATCAGATCAAACTTCAAGACCTCAAGACCTACACGCCTAATCAGTCAATCAATATCATTACACAACACACCGCTATTCCACTACCAACATGTTGAATTACCATGAAATGACCATGGACGAGGCCAAGGACTCTCCGCAAAAGAAAAAGCAATTTGCCGTAACCTGCACCATTATGGGGGGCGTTATTGTTTATATGCTCATGACTTCCGGGGCCTTTCAATCTGTAAATCCTATCCAAGGCAAGTTCCCTGGTGGAAACTACGTCTACAAGTATACCGCTCGGGACTACGCGGCCAGTGGAGGTTTGGGAAGGGCCATTATGGAAGATCTGATCAACACCAGATTGGCGAACAAACAAGAAATTATTCCGCAATACAAACTCGAAGAGCAGGTTCATCACCTTTATCTAGAAAATCCAGCTGGAAGAGGAGGACCTCGACAACGGTTCATGTCTGGTTTGGTGATTCCCAAATCTAAGACGGACGATGACACTATGGCGTTGCTCATGGGATTGAACGACGACACCAAAAAGTCAGAATTCACAAAGGATGAACAGCACATATTGTCAGCCATTGAAATCTATAACATGTTGCCTTATGAGACGGCCGAGCTGCCTCCTGTGGATGCCTTGGTCTTGCAATTCCCATGGACGGGTGGTATTTCGTCCATCTTGGTCCAATCCATGAAGGTAATAAGGTCGTCGTTTTCCGACGATTGTGGAACCAACCAAAAAGGTTCCGCATGTCGAGTCATTATGTCTTCAAACAAATGAATGCTAACGATTCATTCCAATTTTTTCCTATCTCTCCCCTAATAAATTTTTCACACACACACACACACAAAAATAACCAAGGTTATTCCAAAAATGCACAAACTCGCTGCCGCAAAACTAAACGATGGCGACCAAACAGTGGTCATCAGTGCGTGTAGCAAGGACGAACAAATGTGCACGCATTATGCTCCTTTGGAAAATGTAGAAGCCTTTTTGTTGGGACGTCCGACCACTAAGGATTTCAATGATGCGTTGGGCAAGGAGGAAGTGGTAGATTGGGCAGGCATGAAATTGACTTTGGATTATGCAGCCACCAAGTGGAAGGAATGGACGGGACTCAAGAAAAAGGAAGTACCGGCTCCTGTGCTGGAGGAAGAAGGAGAAGCCAAGGCGGAACTATAAACTAAATGTCCAAACCATTATATTATCAATTCATCATGTACTCTATTGGACACGAATGATTATAGTCAAGGAAGAACAGGAAGAGTAATAGGTGCACGAATCTTCTTGGGCTGGATTTCCATCTGTGAGAGTTCGTTTGTTATATCTCGAAGCTTCCGTGCTTCTTTGCCACACGCAATAGCAGTAGGAACACTATCCCTCTTGCCATCCGAATCTATAGTCGCCTTTGCATATTGACTTCTGAACATCTGGAGAGCCGACAAGAATTCTGGTCTTGGAAGTCTCAACTTCATTTGATGACTCAAAGAAGTCACTCGTTCCCTATTATTGCAACTCTTGGCAGAACCGATTCGGAGGTAGCAGACTCTTTGCCAACATTCAGGTAACATAAATTCGCAGGAAGGAATCTTCGCTTGCAATGCTTCAGTTGCGACTCTCTTGAATCGCAATTCACCAGTACTACAAAGTTCGACAAGCCCCGAAGCACATAGCGTATCCAGAACCCGTTGATTTGGTAAAAAGAACAGCTCTTGGAATTCTTTTCTATTCCATTTACCTATCTGATACCAGGATGGTTCAGAAATCTTGTCAAACTGGTACAAGCATTCCACCAAGTGATCAAATACGAAGTTGGGCCTTCTTTGGTGGTGACTTTCCTGCTGTAGAACAATGGACACAGTTACGCGTTCTTCCAGTGGCTGCGGCGTTTCTTGGAAGCTCTCATCTTGGTCATAATAGGAGCAGTCGCGACGCATCTTATGACTACTAGGCTTCTTGATGATGCTTTCCATCATCATGCCACTGTCAAACATGTTAGCGCTTGATGGTGGTGTGCTCTCTAATTTTCTCTTTCGTGCCAACATTGTTGGTGTTGATAGAGCTGCAAATTGTGATCCATCAAGTGCATAGCGTATTGTCGAGTTATCCGTACATGTGTATCCGTTTATCGAACAAATGAGACCGTTTGGCTTCTTCCGGTTTTGCAGAGAAAAGATACGGTAAAGTACAAAAATGTGACGGTGTTGAGCAACGACCGTTATTTTCTTCCATCGTTTACTCATGCTAAAAATATTTGGCCTCAGGCCCATTGGCCTCGTGATCATTTAAGAAATAGCAATATTGTACAATCTTTCGTCTACGACGTTCTACCAGTTCGTCGGCAATCTTGGACAGTTGAGTATCCGTGTAATTAGTGATTTGTTGGTTGATGCGTTTGTGACATCGGGTATAATGCCAGACTCCTGCTGTCGTGGCTAGCTCCACATTCTGCTCGACCCCTTTCCGACGAATCTTGGATTGATCGGGTGAGATGTTATCACACAAGCCAAATCCATAGCGCTGCATGGCACCGTACACTTCATCACAATACCACGACAAATGCCGAAACTCAAAGGCAACTCGAAAGGTCTTGGGTATCAAGGTGGACAATCGATCGAGCTTAGAAACATCTTTTAGCAAACTAGGTGGCAGCTGAAAGAGAATAGGCCCCAAACAGTTCGGACGTGCTTCCTCCATTTTCGATAGTCGTTTCAAGAAGAAGTCGAGATCACTGTTGATGTTTGGCTCCTCCAATCGTTTTTCATGCGTGATAATTTGCGGTACCTTGAAGGAGAATAGAAATCCTGGTTTTGCAATTTTGGCCCAGTTCAGTAGCGTTTCTTCTTTGGGCACAAAGTGGAAGCTGGCATTGATTTCGACAGCCGAAAAGACACCCGAATAGTACCGAAGCTCTTCGGACTGAGGCACGCCAGAGGATGGATAGAACTCTCCTTTCCTCCAATGGGCATACGAGTACCCGGCCGTCCCAATGTACAGATCGTTTGCAACTCGCAATGACTGTATGCAGTCCACCTCCTCCTCATCAGTTCTTGTTGAGGTTGTGCTTGCTGATGTAGCCATCCGGTATTAAAATAGTTGCAATGACATTTGTTTTTATTGCACAATCGTATCGTACTGTATCGCGTCGCGTAACAAAGGATCCAAATCGACTAGTTCGATCGCATGCCGAACTCTACGAGGTACCTGGACTGGTCCCAGGTACTAGGTACTACCATACCTGGGACCGGCTCTACGTCATCTGGAAGACTTGTTTTGGCTTCCTCTCGGTTGGCATTGTGGGATTCTTCGCCCACAAGCAATAGGTAGTCACCAATGTATATGATGAGACCAGCAGCCAATCGCCAATGACAGCAGCCAGCCGCATGACCAACTGAAAAATGAATGCAGATTCCTTCTTGTTTGCTGCCGACCTCAAATAGTACCAGGTATCTTATTTGATGCGTCGTGCTGTGTTCTGGTACCACCTGGTATGAGTACCTCTCCTTTTTTAAAAGAGTAGAACATTCAACATTGGGAAAACGGGATTAATTCTATTCATTCGATTCACGCGTGTGATTCATTCGATTCATTCATTTTTTTCAAAATTGCAAACACAGCCATTGACAAATAAACCGTCATCAACTACTCCCTTGGTAGAAAGTCTGCTTTGCTTTTTGCTTTGTTCCATCGCAGATACAATAATAGCAACAACAAGCGCAAAAGAGGCAAACAAAATGCATTCTTTGGACATGCAGGAAATACAGAAAGGAGATGGAGCTGGAGTTGATGCTCCTCCTTTTCCTTCACTACGTGCATTGGACTTTGATGTGGCTGACTTGTGGTGTCACTCTGTCTTGGAACAGCCCATAGATAGCAACGTAGAAGCTCTATTTGAAGAATTGGAAAAGATCATCCCTCGATTAACGCCATTGAATGCCAGTGATGAGGATAACGAAGACATGACCGGGGCGTCCAATCCCGATGCAGCAACGGCAAAGGCAAGGAAGACGGAACACCTCGTCGGCATACGGATGCGCATGTTGGAAGTCTTGCAAGATGTTTTGACCTTGCAATTTGAGCAGGATGAAATGGAAGGGAGCGAGACCCAGACCTCAAGTCCATCTGCACAATTGGTCTTTCCCAATCCTGGTGCGACTGTTGAAACTATTTCAACTATTCGAGACCGACTGCGATGGTTGTTTGAAAAGCTGAAAGCAATGAAACGACAGAGCAATGGCGATGGCTACCATCGACTTCGTCGGTCCCTCTTGGCAGTGGAACAAGTCTTGGACTTTGAAGCAAAATTGACCACTATGAGCAACGACAAGGGTCCTACCCCAACATCAAAAGGCAAAGGGGCTTCGGCCACCAAATCACTTACAACCAAGAACAAATGGCTAGATCAGCTTTCCGAAATGTTGAAATCCTTGACCAAGACCTTTTTGGAGGACGACGTTCCTGTCCCAGATGCACTAGCATCAGTCGCCTCCTTTGTCCTTCAACTGGTGATAAACCATGACACAGAATCAACTCCTCCTAGTCCATCGCCTCTTACCCAGGATGATTCGGTCATTGGTGATGGTCACGATTTAAGTGAGGGAGTGAGCGAGGAAGATATTGTCAAGGTACAGCAGGGATTGCAAAACTTGTATGGCCGACCAGCATCGCCCTTTTACATTGCGCAATTGCAAGAAGATGCCCGACAACTGTTACTAAATTGGAGCACCCAAGATTTAGAGATTCCAAAATTGATACAATTGGGATACTTGACAGGAAAGCAGGTCACAACTAAAGGTTCTACCACTTCATTCAACACTGTGGTACAAGCTGCCGGGGCTGATGTAGAAACGCAGAATGAATCGGTTGAACCAGCCAATAATGGAGCAACGAACCAAGAGAAAGAAGTAGTGGCAAGACGTCCACAAAATGACTTGGACTCAGAGGCTACTCTTATCGACACACTCCGCAAGAACAGCCAAGGGCGTACCTCCGAAGTGGTTGGCCAAATATGGGGAAAGTCGAAAAGGCGACGCAATGTAGATACGAACGGCATTCTTGTGGCGACTTTACACGGGGATGGCGAAGACGATGGAGGCGGAAAACAAGGAGCTATGGTTCGCAAACAGAAGGGCCGCGATAATTCAAGGGCCAAAGCGAAAGATCCACCCGCTGCAATTGCAGCTAGCAGTACAACAAGTACAAGTAATCGAAGGACGACGAGTCCGTCAAAGCTCAAGCCACCTCCAGTGTATCCATCCCAATTCAATCCAGAGCCAAGTACAAGTAATCGAAGGACGACGAGTCCGTCAAAGCCCAAGCCCCCTCCAGTATATCCATCCCAAGTCAATCCAGCGCCCTCACCAGTAACATCGCAAGTGAGCAACGCGGAAGACGAGGATAGCCTCAAGCAAAGAGCATTTAGCAACAAGCAAATTGCTAACAGTCGAGCTTCCTATCCCACACAAAAGACTAGAACTGATGTACCAAAAAGTACGAGTTCCAAGCGCAGCCGGTCTCAAGAGCCTGGTTTCGCCAAGAAACAATCACGAAAGAAGCGAAAGAGAAGGTTAGTTCCAACCCGAGCCGATGTCCTCGAGGCAATTAGTCAAGGCATTGCTACCTATGGCTTTGGAAACTGGACCATGATTCAAAAGCGGTCGGGAGGTATTCTGAAGCACATGACGGGGACGGATATTAAGAAAGCGGCAGAGGAAGTGACAGCTCTAAAGGTCTAGTATTGGTACATTGGCAAATTAAGGAAAAAGCTGATAAAAGTTCTATAAAATCGTTGGCAGTAGTGTGGATGGATTCATTCAATGTACAATTTATTTGAGACTAGTAAGTCAACAGTAGTCCTAGGCCTATAAATTCTTGTCAAATGCAAATATTAATTTTTACAAATAAAGATACTGTAGTACAAGGGAACCATATGTTGCCCATCCCCATTCATTCCAATGGCAACCACGTTGTTGCTCTCATCTCATCTCGACTCACTTCATTTCCTTGACTTTTTGTGCCACAAAGGCACCTCCAATGAACATGGGCCACCAGTATTGAATGATTGGTTGCGTCCCCGTCGCGGCCAAGAACATGGCAGGACCGGGACACAAACCTGCAATTCCCCATCCGATACCAAAGACCGAACCACCAATTACCAAATTGGCATCAATCTTGGTGTTGGTAGGAATGTTGCAAAACGAACTGGATCCTCGGGGAGCCGAAATAGAATACTTGTTGGGAATGACTCCAAATCCGTCCACAAATTGGTAAGCGATCCAACTAAAGATGGAGCCACCGCCCATGACCATGAGCAAGGTAGGGTCCCAGGTTCCTTGTTGTGCCAAATATAAATTCAAGAATCCCAAAATCTTGGATGGAACCACCATACCCGACAAGGCCAATCCCAACGCGAAGAGGGATCCAGCAAAAATGGCAGGCAATAGCTTTCCAGTGGCATCTTGAATAATGACACGTTCGCGACGGCCGGGTATTCTCTTTTTGGAATCGAATTTACGGGAGACTTCGATTTCGTCCTTTGGCTTTTCCGTTGATTTGGTATCTTCTTCCTTCTTCTCTTCAGCGGCGCTTGTAGTAGTAGTAGTAGTAGAAGTAGTTGTATTGTCCACGACTGCTTTTTCTTCCTTTTCTTCGAGCGATTCGGTAGCCTTGCGCAAATTGTAGAGCGCAATCATGGTGGCCATGACCACTGGCATGGTGACCGTCTTGCCCAGGACGGCATTTTCGAGCTGGGGAGCCTCATTTGTGCGGAGAAAGGAAGTCATTTCGCTAAACATGGAATTGTCGGGCGCCACAAGGTTGGCCGTGATCAAGGCCGAAAGCATAAAGGCAATCACGGCCACCAAGGAACGCTTGCTCATTCTGGCCAATCCACAAATTCCATGGCCCGTGGTACATCCATTTCCCAATCGAGTACCGAATCCCACCAAGGCACCGCCTAGCAAATATCCTGCCGTGCTGACCACCATCAAATGTTCGTCTTGTTCCATTCGAGGATCCGACGCAAAATATTGTCCGAGGACCGAGTTGGAAAAGACCAAGAACGACGAAATAAAGACCAATTTCCAAGTGATGGAAGGATCCGAAAGGGCCTTTTGAGGGTATAGAATGGTAGACGAGACCAATCCACTGGCACCAAGAATTTCTCCCGATAGCAATAGCAGAGCACCGGCGGATAATCCTGAACGATTGACGAGAAGCAAAGAACGGTGTCAGGTGACATACGCCGACATATCAAAGTATGAGCGCTGTGTAGGTGACTTACCAATGACAGCACCACCGCTCAATCCATTTAGAGGTGTAAAGTATGACATGTTATTATTCGTTGTTGTTTTTGTTGTTGTTGTTGGTTATTGAGAGTACTTGTAGCTCAAGCTCTGATAAGAATTTGTTTTTATACGAGAGTGCCTTGTGATTTGATTTTTATGAAACTTCTGGCCATTTTTTTTCTGGGAAAATCACGAACAAATTCGAAAGCTCGCGTTCGGAAAATGGCCTCTTTCAATAGGCGCGACCAAATGAATTCCGTTCCACGGGCTTTTTATATTTTTCCGACATTTGAAAGTTGAACGTTGAACCGATTGGGTGTTCGGCGGAGGAACATGACCATTGACCAACGTCTCCTGTCAAAAGTTGTACCTACAGAGTATGGGAATGCCACACAGAATTGTAGCTCGTATCCAATGAGTTGTATTCCATGTGAAATCCACATGCTGCTCTGATAACTCTTTCTCCATTTACAGCCTTCGAAACACCATGACAACCACTCGAAGTGTCAAAGATGGGATGTTGATGGTTTTTCGATGGACAGACGGGCAGGATGACATGCGGTCGAAGGGATCGGATTCATTCACATCTCAAAACTAATAACTGACTGAAAAATGAGACCGATCGTCACACATTTTGTGACAATTTAGTGTTTCATCCTTCTTCTTGTCATAACCTCTTGCCTTGCAAGTCCCGGTATATCGATCCCGAGCCATAGCATTGACCTCTGAATCAGTAGCACTGCGATATCCACCAGTGCAAGAATATGGAGTCTTCCGACCGAAACAATCCAACAACAACAACATCGACAACATCTCCATCCACACCGGCAACGATCAAACGAAAATTTGATGATGATTTCAATGACAGAGCAGCAGTTACTCCAGAATCCACCGATGATTGGATCCACCAAGAAAATGACAATCGAAAACGGATGCGCCCCACGGCTCTCGAATTCGCCCGGTCATCGGCTCCAACAACGTCGAAGAAAAACCACACAAACCAAGATGAAAATATTGGCTCATCCTTGCCAATGGGTGAAGGAATGACATCCCAGAAGACCCAAAAGGAGAATTCACCACCACCATCAACAACAGATACAGCTGTACTTGGCCCGTCAGAGCCTACTTCAGCCAAGAATCAAGACTCGACTGCGGAAGAACAAGAATGCGACAGTAACGCCTCTACTGCCGTGTATGTCAAAACACTGGAGCGAGTTTCGTCTCGGGATTTGAGTCAACAAGCATCCGCTTCACCACCAAAGACGACAAATAATATTACAAGCGTGCAAGAGTTGCAGCTAGGAACCAGCAAGTTCTTGACCCAGCACAAGGAACAATCCCAACGACTTTTGGAGTTGGAGGATAAATTAGCGAAACAGCAAGAGGACTTTGAAGGTCGCCTTCAAGAAAAGGAGAAAAGTATCCAAACTGTAAATCGCAACCTTAGTCAAGCGAATACCAAGTTGGAGGCTCTTGAGAAGGAAAAGGAGAAGAATACTCAAGTTGTGATAGCTCTGGAAAAGGAACGAGACGATTTGGCTGACACAAAGAAGAAGCAACACAAGGCGATTTCTGTGCAGCAGAAAGAGTATGAAGGTCGACTTCAAGTAAAGGATAAGAGCATTCAGGCTGCGATTCACTACCTGAGCCAAGCCCATAGCAAATTGGAGGCTCTTCAGAAGGAACGGGACGATTTGGCATATGCAAAACAGAAACAAGACCAGACGAATTCTGGGCTCCACAAAGATGCCCAGTTGGCCAAGAAACGATTGGAGACAGAGCGTCAAGAGCACTATCTCCAAAAATATTTTCAATCGAGAACCATTTCCGATTTGAGTAAGGAAAAACGGTCTTTAGAAAACGCCCTGTCTACTTTTTACACTGAGACTACCAACTACAAACAGCAATTGCAAAATTGTCAAAAGGAAATTTTGATATCCCACCAGCAGCAAAAGAAGCTTCAAAGCGATCTCAATGATGCGCAATCTACCAACAACCAACTCACCAAAGAGCTTGCGTCTCAAAGAGACTTGGCTGAAAAGCGCTTGGACGAGAACATTGGATTGAAGAAAGACTTGTCTGCTGCCACAAGTGAGACCAGCAACTACAAGCAACAATGGCAAGATTCTTTAAAGGAAGCAGAATCGTTGCAGAATCAATTGATGGGTCTGCAAAACGAACTGAAGGATGTCCAGTCTCTTAACATGCAGCTTGCGGAAGAGCTTGAGTCGTCACATGGAGTGTCTGCCGACAAGCGCTTGGAAGAGGCACGTAAGGAACATCGAGTCAAGGAAGAAGTTCATTTACAGGCCAGGAGTGATCTCGAGAAGGAAATCCAAGTTTTGGCAAAGTTCTTGGAAGAGAAGGAGGAAAAGGCTGCCATCGCCGACAAGCGCTTGGAAGAGGCGCGTAAGGAACACCGAGTCAAGGAAGAAGTTCATTTACAGGCCAGGAGTGCTCTCGAGAAGGAACTCCAAGTTTTGGCAAAATTCTTGGAAGAGAAGGAGGAAAAGGCTGCCATCCTCCAGCACAGAACCGAGTTGGCGGAAGAGCGCTTGGATCAGCAGTGCGACGAGCACAAAACACAAAAGGAATTCCAAACCAAGGCCATGGCCAAGTTGGAAACGGAGAAGCGCTTTTTGGAAAAATCACTGTCTACTTCCCGCATTCAATTCGATGAGTGCCAAAAGCAGTTGCAACTTGACAGAAAGGAAAAGTCAGCGCTTCAAGAGCAAGTGAAACAAGTACAAGTCGAACTGAAGGCAATGTTGTCTGATAAGAACCAAGTTGCTTGTGAGCTCCACAAGGAACGGCAGAAATACCAAGCCGAGGAAAAATCTCATATTGATGGCAGGAACACTCTTGAAGAGGCCATCCGGGTTTTGAAAACCGCCCAAGGGAAACAAGAGCTTGTGATTTTGGGACTGACAAACGACATTCAGTTAGCCAATGAGCGCCTGGAAAAGGAACGTAACGAACACCAAGTCAAGGAAGAATCGCACAGAACGGTCACAGGTGCTTTGCAGAAGGAACTGAACAACTCGTCAAACGCCCAAGCTCAGCAATCGAACACTATTGCAGTGCTACAGCAAAATCTTCAAACGTCTGTTGAATGCTTGCAGCAAGCGCGTGAAGAACACGAGATTCAAGAAGAATCGCAAGCCATTGCCATTGCAAAGCTTGTCGGCGAAAAGCTTTCGTTGGAACGAGCCTTGCAGCAAGCACGTGAACAACGCAAGACTGAAGAAGAGTCGCAAGCCACTGTCATTGCCAAGCTTGAGGAAGAGAAGCGTTCTTTGGAGGGAGCCTTGCAGCGAGCAAGTACGGATTGTAAGACTCAACAAGAATCGCAAGCTAGCGCCATCTCCAAGCTTGTGGAAGAGAGACTGTCGTTGGAAGAAGCCTTGAAACAAGCCCGCGAAGAACGTAAGACTCAAGAAGAATCGCAAGCTAGCGCCATTTCCAAGCTTGTGGAAGAGAAACTTTCTTTGGAAGAAGCGTTGCTGTCGTCAAAAAGAAGATTTGGTAGCCACCAACATGAATCGCAGTCTTTGGAAACAGAGATGACGGAACTTCAAAAGCAATTCCACAAGGTCGAAGAGGAAAAGAACAAATTGCAACAACATCTCAATGAGAAGGCCCAACAAGGATCCAAGAAGGCTGGAGTCTTTTCAGCAATCCACTCATTGTTCACTCGGGAAGATCAACGCAGCTCATTCGGTCTATGAATCATCAAGGATCGTCTTTGGCTTTCGGCCAAGAGTCAAAGTAATTGTCAACAATAAAGATACAATTCTAAGGAATATAGGAGTTCCACGTACGAACAAACATAAAATTCACTCGTTTTAGCAATATAGTCGAATGTCTCATTCTTCCCATATATTCTATAAGACGGCATCATCAGCTGTTGGCATCGGCCGGCATGCACCGTTACTTGCCTTCATTTGACATAATGCGGTCACATATTTCATTTTGCAACGGAGGATAGAACAGCAACAAAACCATGAAAGCCTCCTTCCAGCTATTGTCCCCTGTCATCTGTCAACTGGCGAAAGACGAGGTGCATAGCATTATATGATTGGAACGACATTTTCCTTTCATTGGTCCAGTTGCGAGTTGTCATCTTCGGACGAGCGGGTGGTCCATTTTGTAGTTCTCAATGACCCGCGGGTAGGTTCATCCGTTATGCGAAACATCCCGTGAATCATATTCCATAAATCAAAATTGGACGAACACAAAATTTACAAAAACAGCCTTTTAGTCTTCAGTCGCTCACACACGTCCTTCAAGTCGAGCGCATTGAATCTTCGACATTGGAACGTCAACCTTGTATCATACAGTACAGACAATATATTTTAGTGTGACCAGCAGCAGCAGCAGTATAATGGAATCCACAAACAGAAATGAGTGTGGCGACTCAAAACCATTTCTGATGACAACTTCAACCACGAAACGAACACATGATGATTCCAGCGACAGTGCGGTGGTTTCTCCAGACCACACTGCCTTCATCGACGAGGGAAAAAATACCGTTCACAAACGACTACGGGCCACCAACGACCTGGTCGACTCGGAATATGCTCGGATGGAGTCATCGTCTCCGATTCCTATGAAAAATCAAGAACAAGACGAAAATGTCGGTTCCATGGAAAGATCCGAAAGACTCGTATCCCAAGACGTCCACCAACACCTTCTTTCTTCACCATTGCCAAAAAATGATGCTCCTGCCCGATCAGAATCTTCCTTGATCGAGGCACGGAAGGCAGATACCAAGATGATGATGATTTGGAAAGACGAAAATGCCGTTCCGTGTCCGATGGAAAAGCCTACCAGAGTTCCGTCCCAAGATCTCTGCCAGTTCGCACCACCCGAACCATCACACAAGCAGGGAATCAAAACTTTGGAAGAATTGCTGCTTGGGACCAACAAGTTCTTCAGTCAAGCCAATTCATGGCCCCAACGACTATTAGATTTGGAGACTAGATTGGTGCAACAGCAAGAGGACTTTGTTGGTCGCCTTCAAGAAAAGGACAAGCTGATCCAAGGTCTGAATCACAAAGTTGCACAAGAGAAAGAAGACTTCGAAGCACTCCTAGAGAAAAAAGCTACTCGCATCCGAGAATTGAATGATAAAATCGCCCAAGCCAAACAACGCAAGCAGAATTTGTTGGAACCCACCAATGCCCGGCATGTTGCGTTGGGAAATGCACGAAATGACCTAGCTCATACCAAGAACAAGCAAGATCAAATGATCTCCATTCTCCAGCACAATGTCCAAGTTGCCGAAGACCGATTGAAGACCCAAACCGAACTCGTTGGCAAATTGCAAACCGAACTGAAGGAAATACTGCGTGCCAAGAATGAACTAGCCGAATTGGTTCATTACCAAAAGGAGTTGGCGGAAGAGCGTTTGGATCTTGAACGTCAGGAAAGTCGAGCCAAGGAAGACACCCTTGACAAGGCCGAGAATGCTCTTCAAGTGGAACTAGCCGAAGTGCGAAAGGAAAGTCGAGCCAAGGACGACGCCCATAACAAGGCCAAGAATACTCTACAAACGGAACTAGTCGAATTGCGAAAGCAATTGAACCGATCCGAAGCGGAGAATCAAGAACTACAAGATCGTCTCGACGAGAAGGAACAAGAGTGTCAAGCTGCTGCTTCTCTTGAGAAGGAAGTGGAAGACTTGACAAAGACTCGCAGACAGCAGGAGCAAATGATTGCCATCCTCCACCACAACGTCCAGTTGGCCGAGGAACGCTTGGGGACTGAAAGGGAACAACATCTTGCCACGACGAAGCAAATCACTGAATTGAAAAAACAGTCGGCCGACGAGTTGCAATATCGCCTACACGAGAAGGAGCAATCCGCCGTGGAGTCGGAGCAATTGTCCAAGTTGGGTCAAGAAAATGAAGGTCTATTGAGATATTGCACGGATCTCACGCGAAGCGTGACCAGCTTGAAAGAAGTCATGGAATCATTGGAAGACGAAAACCATGATTTGCGGAAGGAGCTAATAGACTCCAAACAAAGCGTGAGCAGCTTGAAAGAAGTCATGGATACACTAGAAGACGAAAACCATGACATGCGGGAGGATCTCCAGGACGCCAAGCAAAGCGTGAAAAGCTTGAAAGAAGTCATGGCTACACTGGAAGACGAGAATCATGACCTGCAGAAGGAACTACATAATGCCAAACAAGATGTTGATGGCCTGCAGCAATATGTCCTAGCAAACGACGGTCTTCTCGCCGATGTCACCAAAGAGAAGGAAGAACTCCAAGCGAAACTGGAAGCTAGTAATACTGGTGAGAACTTGCGACAGCAGCTTCTAACATCAGGAAAACAGGTTGAATGCCTCATGCGATTCATTCGCGAAAAGGACTACTTGATTGAAAAGGTCAAATCTCAATTCGAAACGGAGCTTCACCAGCTACAATGCGAAAATACGAATCTTAAGAACAAGGGGGCCAAATTGTACAACTCCCTGATGACCGTCCAATCGAGCGACGAGGAGCGTACGAAAAGACCCCACCAATTGGGAGGTAGTACTCTGCTGAGTCTTCAGGCGACGGACCAGGGGCTCCGGGAAAGGATCACTGAAGCGGAACGACAAATAAAACTCGTGTTGCAGGAACGAGAAGCTATGCAGCGCGAGATCCAGTTGCTGCAGGCAAGAGACACTTTGCAGCGCAAGATCGATTACGAGCTCTGGCTGAAAGTATATTCAAGACAAGGTGGAGAAGAAACTCCAACGAGCGCACAGCAGTAGCTTGATGCGTCAAAACAGTAAAAATGACAAAGGCAGAACACGAAGAAGAGGTTCTCCTTCTGCATGTGATGGGGAAATGGATAAAATGAGCGTAAAGTTGGAACCTACTGAAAACTCTTTGAAGATGTCGTCTGGAAGATCGACTAGGGCGAGAGACTCGGGTGTAGATCCAGCAGAGGACTCTGCTGCAACTCTATCTCTATCCAATGTAGTAGGATCTATCTTTGCGCAACTTGCTTGGAAAGCTCTCAACACTCGGGGAGTTCTTGGTGCTTGGGGAGCTAGGGGGAAGTACTTCAAAATCTGTTGACTCAGAGAGCTCGTTGGCTGGATTTAGCTCGACGGACGTCTCCACAGATGCTAGGGACCGTAACTGATTAAGTCACATATTGGGCGAAACTAACCACTCAGAGCTGTAGCATAGACAGGTCTGGTTGCCTGAGATTGCGGATCACAAGGCTGTCCAACTTCGATCTGTTTCAGGTACTAACTTAGTGTCGTTTTGTTTGCGATGACAATACTTTCGAATACAAATTTCAAATTGATTCAAAGAAATATTATGATGATTTACATTTGACTGAAATAAAGGATGCACGAATAGATCCAGTGTTGAGACGGAACTGCAATACTGGGCAAGACTCGGCGGGGCTTAGGTAAAGCTAAGGCAGTAAGACCAAGAGTAACTTGGCAAGACTGACCTATCATAGTGAACAAGTTATAAGCAGCCGGGCGGCAGACAGACCAGATTCGACTGGCATCGATTGTCTAACGTAGACGGAAGAAAGCGGTCGAACCAATGGACTCAATAGTGACTCCATGAACGACGCTAGGGCGACCGTCATCTCAGTATTGCACCAGCAACCTAAGTCCGATCTACACATATCGAACTTGTGTGCAAGTATACTGACAGAAAGATAGAGTTATTTCTTTCTTTCCCATCCCACCACACCCTGTTGGGCCTTGACACGATTGTTTCGTGTCAAGGCCTGGCAGACAAGCAAGTCTCAGATTTCACGTCTTACGGGAAATCTGAGACTGGTCCTTTGAGTCGCACGCTTCGCGCGCAACTCAAAAGGACCAGCTTCACACCACAACCCACCAGAGTCACTCCAAGAAACACCAAGCAGAAGAACCCGAAAAGAAGGCGCCAGTTGGCTATCTTCGATAGTGGGTTGGTAGTTGTTGAACAAGCACAGCTTCATTTGCTGTGTGGCAGTCTGATGTGGTGACACTGCGGACATCTGATGCCCGTGCCATATTCTGCTGTGCTATTAGGAAGCGAGTTTTTGACGAGGGCTTCGTTCAAGAAGAAGAAGGTGCTGACTGTGTTCTTGGCTGCTTTGTTGTTCTGAGGAGGAGGCAGCATTGGGTTGCAATTCAGTTGGTGCCAGTGCCTAGTTGTAGTGGCCTGCTGCTACTGTAAATACATGATTTGAAATAAGAATTGCCTTACAAAATTTAATGATGGACTCTCATTGCCATTTACCGGTGGCCATAGCGAACCGTGAAGCATGAGGGGTCGCCAGGGTTCGCAGTAAGCCAAAGATCTGAGGTACTGTATTAGGCGTTTCCACTCCCGTGATGCATGTGTGATTATGATGCATGTGATGAGCCACGATTACTGCAGCAAGAGAGTGAACCACCTAAACATCGTTGCAACAACAGTAACGGGGGAAACATGTCATGATATAGCGTCGGTGGAATTGTAAACCGTTGACAATCCCCTGCTGCGTCGTCGTTAAAGGAGGCGGCAAAATGAGTTGCAAAAAGCTCTGGGACTCCAGGAGACGAAAGCTTTGTAGATTGGCTTTGGCTGCAATCTTTCTCTTGGAATTGGTCATTCAATACATGTTGAATTCCCGATTGGAATCACCATCGTCAGCTGACGCCGACGGTACTAATGAAGGCTTCCAAAGGACACAAAATTGTCCTGCTTCCGTTCTTGACCACAAGGGCGTTTACCAGAATCCAATATTGAGGGGCAGTGTTTGGGATAAGGTTGTTCTGATCACGGCGGCCAACAACGGCTATTATGAGATGCTCAAGAATTGGGAATATCTTGCTAGTGTACAAGGACTTCAATGGGCAATAGCTGCTTTGGACCAAGATATTTACGAACGGTTGGGACCCAGCCGGGCCTTTCCAACGAATTCCTCGTTTGCCATTTCTAATGTGACCAGCTGGCGAGAGACTGCATTCAACCAAATTTCTTGCAATAAACTACGAATGGTGCTTGGAATCCTACAAGACTGTGACTTGGATGTGGTTTTTTCGGATCCCGATAATGTATTTTTGAAAAATCCATTTGCTCACGATATGGGACAACTCATTCAATCTGGAGACTATGATTACATTTACGAAATCAATTCAGCCGTATCTAATACTCCGAGGACGTATGTCGAAAAGGGTGAAGTCACCATTGAAGGCCAGCGATTTGAGAAATTTGAGGTGGCCGAAGGTAACACTGGATTCCATTATCTTTCGCGCAAGAGCTCATGGTTGAAGAAACTCATCAAGATCACACTGGAACAATGCGCCAGTCCGGACAACCAACTGGACGATCAAGTCCTGTTTTGGAATTTGCTGCGGCAAAATCTACCTTATCGACGATGTAGTGAATCCAAGGTCGGGGCTTCCTGGGTATATCACAATGCTCCAAAGAAGAACCCTGAAAGGTTTGGTGATATCCTTTCCATCTGCCACTTGGATCCCTATTTCTACAAGGTTGGTAGAGAGGCCCCTCTTTCCCAAAATCAGAGAGATATGGTTGTCTTTCATGCGAATTATGTCATGGGAAAACCCAACAAGATCAAGAGTCTGAAAGAGAACACATGGGAAGGGCAGGGTTGGCACATGTCGCGATTCTTTGGATGATCCATCACCACTATGTTGAATGTCTGCACGGAAACTATCAAAAACTCTTGGAAGATTTCCTGTTTGCTGATACAGCGTGGAGGAGTGGATGCCGAGCCAAACATCAAAAGGGATGTCACCAGGTGCAAAGCAAAGTCAAGAGAATATGGCTAGTACACAAACGGATCAAGCAGGAAGACTCAAGTACATTCCAAAATGGTATACTTATTGTTCTAGAATGGAATGTGAACTTTTGATATATTACAGCACCTATGTTGGTCGTCAAAGCAACAGTACGGTGCTGTACCGGTAGGAAGACAGCAAGCGTTTCTGCAATCTGCACAGTATTGTATCTTTGGGGAATAAATCCCAAAATTCCCTCCGGAGAACTGGAGAACTGGAAAGGGCGATGCTTGGCGAGCTGGAGAACTGGCGATTTCCGTGGGACTGCACTGGATTATCCCGCGGGACTTGAAAGAAATCGTGAAGGGTGCGCCAAACTCAAGCCACATAATAATTCCGTGAATCACTTCCGTATCAATTGGCGAGGAAGTTAGTTTTCGATCTCTTCATTGCCAATCCATCGCAGGATCTCATAAAACAACTTTGGACAACAAACCAAAAGATCTCAAACAAAAAAACAAAGAAACAAACAACAAGCCACCATGTCAGCCATCACCGCCACCTCGGTCACCACTACTACTTCAACCACCACCACTACGAGTACACCAGTGAAGGTAGTCGACAAAACTAAGAAGGTAGAAGAGACACTCGAAACTACTACCACAACTACCAAGACGACCACTGTCACTCCCATCAAGGAGGAAGCCAAGAAGCAAAAGGCAATCGTCAACAAAGTTTGGAATGACTCTGACCCCATCCGTGCCCAGTTGTTTCGCGACCTGTGTTTCGGTCGCTATGGGTCTGAGACCGCGGCTACCGAAATCCACCGCGATTCTGAGCGTGATTATTCCCAGTACAATCTTCAGACCATTCAAAGGAAAGCAAGAGAGCTTCGAATCCTGGTCAAAGGTTGTCATCGCGGTGTCTGGCTGGACGAGATGAAGGGCTTTAAGGAACTTTGCCAGCTTGAAAAGCTCCCTACAGAAGAAGAGAAGAAGGGTCGAGTGGAGGAATACAAGCGTTTTGAAAAGCAATATCCCATTCGCACGGTACCATCCAAGAAAAACGACAGGTTCATCAATGATCTAGAAGAGCTGTTGGATGATTTCGTTGCCTTTGCCGTGGAATCATCTGGGGTGAAGGTCTAGATAGCACCATTCAGACCCATTTGTCTCCATTGAAACGGAGACTGTCTGTGAAGAGCTCCTTCCAACTTTATTGATTGTAAATCTTGTGGTATAGAATAGAATAAGAATACCTAGTTGTGAAAAATATATCCACTAAGACACCATCCATTGGACAGAACACAACTCATGGCACAGCTTACTAACTAACTCTGTAACTTACAAACATACAGTAGGTACCAGTACAGCGGATGAGTTGTTTGAAATTGAATTGTTCGACTAGTCGAATCCGATCAATCAAATAATCCCGCTCGCAAAGTTTCAAACGGCATAACATCCACAATAGCAAAGTGTATCACAATGTCATGCTGCGCCCCGCAACACGATCAGAGAGAAAAGGCTTGCTAACACTGGATGAACGAGAATCACATGGAGGAGAAGAAGAAGGATGGGAAGATGTATTATCAGAGAAACACAAGAAGGGTGCGAGCCATGAGTGGAGTTCATGCCTGCAAGTTACCATCGTTTCCTTTTACATTGTAGCATGGGTAGCCAATGGAGCACTGATGCAAGGCGTGACTGCCGGGTTTGCTGGTGATTCTTCGTCATACAACAAACCAGCGGCCTTAAGTTGGTTTTCTTACAACTTTATGATGATTAGTGGATATGTGGTTTCAGAAGTGAAACGTCACGGATCATTGTTCGGCAGTAGTAAGCGAGACCAGGACATGTTGATGATGGACAGTGAGCAAAGCCTGTGGAACTATATTTGCGAGGACTGGGCAGGAAAACTTGGAATCCATCGAGCGCTACTGTATTGCTGTTTGATTGCCCACATGCTCCTGTGCTTGAATGTCTTTACGGTCATGGGCTTGGGATGCATTTCCATCAGTCTTTCGAATGCAGTGTATCAACTGCAAACACCCATCACTCTTGCCTTTTCGGTCGGTTGTCTACAGCAGAAACGTCAATGGGTGCCAGCTGAAATCATTGGACTTTTAATTTCGATCACTGGAATTCTGGCCATTGTTCTGCCACCGGTCCTGAAACCTGACGATGAAGGAAGCGATGAATCATCATCATTGGCATTCCGTTCCTCGCAATGTTTTGTTTCCTCATCCAATTCCACTTCGACATCTCCAGCAACAGCTGGTGTCCTCATTACCGTTGCTTCCGCAATCATTGGTGGTGCATATTTGGTATTTTGGGATATCTTTTCAGAGCACAAAGATCTCTTTCGCCCAACTTCACGTGCCACGGAATTCTTGGATACCCACATTACCTTGGCAGCCATTGGATTCTGCAATTTGGTAGCTGGATGGCCAACCTTGATAGCCTTGCACTGGATGGGATTGGAATCCTTTGAACTGCCATCTACAGCCCAAACATGGGGACTTTTGATATTGAACGGATTGGTGGAATATACCTTTGACGCATCATGTGCTATGGCCATTTATGCCACTTCGCCCATTACAGTTGCAGTGGTGGCACCACTGACCATACCTCTTTCTATGTTGGTAGATGAATACTTCTATGGTGTCTCAATGGTCACCACCGAACATCCATGGCTGACATGGCTCGGTGCACTATCTATTCTTTGTGGCACCACACTGCTTGAAGTCAAACCTAGGTTGTCATGCCGACAATTGTCCTCCAGAAACAACAGAGATAGATCCGATAGAGAGAATCAAATAGAGTTCATATAGAGTCATCAGTAATATGTATTATGTAGAGACAAATCGAAGTATGAGCATCCGTCCTTTCACTTTTACTAATTATCCTTTCCTTGCGCTTGTGGATCAATGGTGTTATCGATGGACTTTTGTAGTGAGTTCCAAGTAGCACCGTTTGAGGGCGTGTTGGTATTATATTGAGGGAGGGATTTTCCCTTTGCCGTTGGTTGGGGGCTTACAACACGTTGACGTCTTTGGAATCGCCAGCCTGAAGGATAGAAGCAAGGACAAGATCGTGAGCAATGATGCAGAATTGTCAATTTGTTAAAAGAATCGCAGGAACTCCTTCAACGTACCAAAGATGCCGATAAGTCCAGCAACGACAAATACAAGGGATCGGGGCAGAGAGCCACCATGAACCAGAATGTGCGCATGGATGGCATATCCGGCTCCGGAGCCACCCAATAGTGCCGTCAATAATTCCACCGACGAGTGCTCATACACTCTAATGCAGATTCCGGTGAATAGAGCAAGCACAACGATAATGGCCCATGCCGCTTGCGAAATATCCGAGTTCTTGACGACCGAGCTGATGTAAGAGGCATCCGACACGAAACCCTGCACATCAAAAAAGTTTTGTCCAGGGTCAAAGGCTGGAAAGGCGTCAAAGAATAGGTACACTGACAATCCAGAGGAAAATGCACCCAAAGTAAAGAGTCCAAATCTGACAAACTTCATGGCCAAGAAAGCAGAAATAGTTGCCGAAACAACGGAAAGCCCCAGCTTGACTTTGCAGTCCAAACCACCAAAGGCACCACTCACAAAATGAAAGATCAAAAAGGTTCCAAAGCCAGCAGCTGTCAACATAGAGGCAAGCATCAAGAGACTGGAACCAAAAAAGGCCAGAATAAGCGAGGTGGGAAGGACGATCATTTCGATAATGTAAATATCAGACCAGAAATTGGAGTCATCTTGCTTTGTCTTGGCATTTTTCAAAACACTGCCATCAAATTCCAACGAGGTCAAGTAGGCAAATGCAAAATCAATCTTTTGACAAGAGGTCATGGTGATGGTTTCAATGGAGTACTCTTTCAGATCATAGAAGGATGGTGGCGGATCGAGTACTGAATATGAGCCTACTTCTTCATCTTCGTCCGAGGATGATTTTTTCTCATCTTTCAAAACGGTATCCTTCGTCGTTTCAAAATATTGCTTACTCGCATCATCGAGCTCGGGTGCAGCTGCTGGCTCATCTTCCTTGGCATCGCCATCAGCAGCCTCGTCACTACTGCTACTTTCTTCGTCCTTGCCATCTTCATCCTTGGCGGCAGATTCTTCGGCCTTTTCGGAACCCTCTTTGTCATCTTCGTCCTTAGCGGCAGCTGGTTCATCCTCGTCGGATGATGAAGAGTCCTCATCTTCTGAATCCTTGTTCTCACTTTCGTCAGCCTTAGCAGCTCCCCCGTCCCCATTCGAGCCGCCCTCTCCTTCATTAGTGGCGCCACCTTCTTCCTCCAGACGTCGTCTAAAGTGAGTTGCCGCCAATTCGACGTCTCCAGCCAACTCTTTCTCATTGGTCAACAAACTTTGTTGGACTTCATGAGCTCCAGATCGAACTGCTAGCTGCAAGAGCAGCAGAAATAAAAGACAGCAAAGAGTATTGCTGTTGTTTCTCATGCCTCCTTATTGAACAGTATGGTGTACCAGCAATCACAAGAATACACAATGAATGTACACTTTTATAATATGGAGTATAATGCAATCGTAATGCTTCGGTCATTGTTCTGACGACGACTACAAGGAGTGGAACGATGTACGGACACCAAAAAGAAGATCAAAGAAAATTCTACAGTATTAGTATACGAGTACTAGAGGAACACTACACTCAGTCTATCAATAATCAACACTAGCAGAAAATTATATTAGCACTGGAAGAACTCCCGGTATACTCTTGTAGACTATCACATGTCTACATCTGACGAAACTTTCCTGAATCTCTTTTTACCTTCGGAGACCACTTTGAATTCCGAGTTCTTCCGATCTTCGTTTTCCGATGAGGCAATTCGGCGCCGTGTCCGAAAGGTATTGCTCACCTTTTCCTTTGCCATTTTGGGGTCGACTGCCATCCAACACCCCGCAACATCTTGTTTCAGAAACCGTCCTCCTGATGAGTTCACTGCATCAACCATTTCTGTGATTGCTGCTGTCTTTTGTTTTGTTGACGCAGATTCGTAATACTCCAGTTTGCTATCAATCATCTCGTACAGAATGATATTCCCTTGATGCTCTCGAAATGGTTTTCCTCGCCCGAAAAGAACATCTTTGTGTGTTGGAATAACTATCCGTGGTGCACCGACCATCGATTCCTGCCGTTGCCTCATTTTGAGAAAATCCAAGTGATTCTTTCGTTTGAGCTCCCCCTCTGTGCTCACTGGTACCGAATCGACGGGGATGCCAAAGGCCATCAACTCATACAAAACCTCCATGTGAGTGCCCCAATGAAGTTTGATTCTTGCCCTTGCGGCTCCATGCATGAAATAAACGGCAGTATTAACGATAAATCGAAATTCCGGTTGGCTGAAGCACACATGATGGGAGCAAGTTTTTACAGGCAAACACTTTTCCAACACAGCTCCAACATTCAGTGTACCAAGGTCAAACTTTTTTAAATCAAACTTCCAGTCACTGTAGCTCAATGATGTCACTCCTCTTTGTTGTGTTTCTCCGTCTTCTACTGCTGTCATTATGAGGTAAAACACGACTCGAGCCTGCAAGAATGAATCAATCAGCCATTTGCAACATTTGGGTCAGCCAATCTGCGTATCCAATAAAATAATACATAACATAAAAAACAAAAAATTGAGCCTCGACTTACAACATTTTCCGGAACTTTGTGCTTCCTTTCCGAAAAGAACATCATCAATGCCACCCGCCCTGAACGGTCCCTTGTTGGAAGTAGTTGTAAATATCCAGACTTCAACAGCGCCATGTCATCACTATTCAAATCGTCAAGCGTGATGTCTTTGCACAGCTTCTCCTTTCCAAAAAGTTGCATCTTGGTGTCGAAAAACTTGATCATTCGTGCTGCAGACTTTTTCACATCAAACTTTTCGCTCCGAAGAAACTTTATTCGGAAGAATGGATCGTTGACATAGTTTCGCGAGATTGCTTCTGCCGTGTTGAAAGCCAATCCTTCACGGTTGTGACTTGGGGTATGTTTCAGTCTCTCTAATTCAGTATGGAGTGCCATCATACTTCGCTGAAGCATAACTGGTGTCTCATTTACAATGTCATCTACTCCGTGCATCTCTTGGTATATATGTTCGCGCTCATTGATGGACAGCTGATTCAATGCACCAGCAATAAGTGAATCAAGGTTGTCTTCTTCTTTCATGTTTGCAGGTACATCTCCTGTTATCCTCTTGTTGTCGTCGTCGTCGTCGTCGTCGTCGTGTTTTGAACTTTCCTTCTTTCCCCATACCATGTTCATCTTCCCTATCATTTATATGCTTGTGCAAGAATAAAATATTGGACGACTGTATGCTCACGGCCGGCACTTATTAATTGTTTGGTCTTGAAGTGCTGGCATCCATTGAGCCACGGCGTATTTATTTTCTTTTAAAACCTACCGGTACACGGGTACAGTAGGATTAGGATACCACTTCGAAATTGGCACTTCTGGTTGAAGTTCACTTTTCTCCGTTTTCACCTAATTAAAATTCTAAAGTTCCCTGTTTCTGCTATTATTTTAGTACGCAACTAGAAACTGACATGGTGCAACTTGAAATAGGAACGCAGAGTGAGCTGGTACTTCAGTAATGATGTGAAACTGCATGATGACCATATTTACAATCTGCAGTGCTCCGATATGCCAGAGTCATTCCAGTGAAATAGAGATACTTTAGTACTGTAGTCGAACAATGATTGAGATGGCGGCTGACGAGTCCGTTACAAATAGCAATTTAGTACTACTGGTGTCCGATACAGGCGCTAATACGGTAGTGATAACGTGAAACAAGGTACCTACTAGAGTATCTGAAGAGGACTGAGTAGGGGTCTCAAATGTCCTCTATTCTCCAATTCCTCTTATTCTTAAAATAAATACAGTAGTGCAGGCCCAATGGAGGACACCCGGCATCGTAGCTCCCAGGGCCACCATCCTCCGATGCCCTTGCAGATTGTGGATTCGCCCTTCCAAACGAGTGACTTCTTTCTTCTCTACACCGTTGTTTGCTTCGAGCGAGCGCAGATGGAATGAGATAATGAATCAATCATCCAACAATGAGAAAATTACAATACAAGCTAAGATTTGTTCTAAAGCTTATTCAAAAATATGCAACTTCATGAAAAAACTTTTTAAAAGGCTCCGGCCATGTCCAAGTCTTGAGTGGCAAGAATATCATAGACACAGTCCTTACGGTCCAAAGGATCCTTGAGTCCAGCGCAAGCAGCTTCGGCATCCTCTTCCTTGATGGAAGATTCGTCCAAGCGACGTTGACGATCTCCACGAGGATCCTCGGGGTCGATACACATGGCAGGGTATTGAGGCACCGAAGTTTCGTGGAACAAGCGTCCATCGGCAGGAAGGACTTGCCATTCATGGCCCAAGTCAGTGAAATCGTCGATCACAGTGGCTCCATCACGGCTCAAAGTCTTGCCAGTGTTGAAGTCACCCAACATACCAACCACGTTGCCAAAGGCCTTGGCAGCAGGTTCGTGAAAGTCGACCTTGAGGAACTCCTTGAAGGTCTTGAGAACGATCTTTTGTCCAGGACTGATCGAGCTCAAATCAATGGTAATGCTAGTCTTGTGAGATTTGGACTTCTTGTTGTAAAGAGTGACCGGGAATCCAGCCATGGTCTCAACTTCGTCTTGGAACTCATAGTTGAACCAGTAGTGAACTTCAGGGTCATACTCGGCAGAGGACCCGTGGAGTTCAATGATATCGTTACCAATACGAATGCTAACGGCTTGGATGTAGCTCCAGTATCTCACCAATTTGGTGCGAATGTGGACATCAATTCCCAATCCATTGGCAAAGTTAGGGTCCTTGACGAGAACCATGTCACATTGGCCGTGGTACTCAAAGTGCTCGTTCTTCCAGGTCTTGAAGTGAGGATCACCATCAGCGCCACCGCTAGTATCAGAAACCTGGAGTTTACGGTCCTGCAACAGCGACAGCAAAGGGTGGAGAAATGAATGATAAGCTACAATATGGCAACAAACTAAATTAACTCCAATTTCCAAAATGGAAGACTCACCTCTCCCTCGTCCGCGGCTTCTTCTTCTTCTTGTTGGACAGGGTCCAAAGGAGCAGCTTCGGTAGTAGTAACCTTGATGGCTTCGGCAACGGCACTCTCAATGGCTTCTACTTCTTCAACAGCTGATGCAGATGGAGTCTCAACAGCAGCTGGTTCTTCAACAGCAGCTGGTTCCTCTACAAAAACTGGTTCCTCTACCACAACAACGGGAGATCGAAGAGATGGAGTAGCAACAGTAGCAGGTTCTTCTTCCTCTACCAATTCTAGTTGACGGTCAACTTGAGGAGTGGAGGCTGCGACTGGTGCTACACTGCCGCTACGTTCATTGTTGTAAATGGTGGCAACGATTGCTGCCACAAGCAAAAGGATAACAGCTACTTGCTTCATGGTGGAAGATGATTCTTTTGTTGTTATTACTGTTATTACGTGACATAAATTCGTTTCAATTCCTGCACAGGACCCTCAGCAACTCGTCTGTCTGTCGTCCAATTTAAACGGGGGGAAGCACTTTTCTCTAGTCTTCCCCCATTATGTTTTGCAGTCAAATTTAGGGGCCCCAAGTTCTACTTTTGGGTCGAATCGAAACACGACAAACCAGTTCGAAACACGACAACAGATTCCGAAACGCGACAACAGAATTTGAAAGACGACAAACCAATTCGAAAGACGACAAACTCGAATGAAACACGACAAATCAATTTGAAACACGACAAACTTGAATGAAACACGACAAACTCGAATGAAACACGACAAATCAATTCGAAAGACGACAAATCAATTTCGAAAGACGACAAATCAATTCAAAAGACGACGACAACAAAATTCATCACGCCCGCCTAAACCTGTTCATGGTCCAAAGTAGAAGCGACGGACGGCAGAAAAACCAGGAAAATACGCTCATGTGCGAGAACTATCGCTACGTCAAGGTCATGAAGGAAGGCGACAACATGCCTTTTTTGGAGGACCCGGTGAAACATTGGCTCCAGGCGGGAAGGAGCCTAATATCAAGTGGCATCATTGAAAGGCACAAAGGATTCCATTTGGAGATGTGACGACAATTGTTACTAAACTCGAATCCAACAATAAACAGGATTTGGATTATTATCAAGCTCCATGATCCGACTTCTCGCAATATTCTTATTGCCAAGCTTCCCGTTCTCAAGTTTGAGTTCTACTACAACCCAGATACGGTTGTCTCCAACTATAATCGGGCTACTGACGCCTCAACTGGTTCGACGAGTGTCACAATCAGTTTAGATGACATGTCAAAGGAAATGCATGATCGAGCAGAATTTTGAAAGAAATGCTTTTCAAAGAACATTTTATATCTATCTGTTGAGATTTGTATCACATGTTGTAGTGAAGTAGCAGGGATGGTAGGATATATGTATAATACGCTGGTCTTTTGCTGGTCTAGAACTCTTGTTTATTGTCTTTACATCTATCTACAGCATCTTCAGTCAGAATATTATAGAGTGGTGAAGACTGCTCTTGAATGGAATGGGACCACGCATCCACAATTGCCGATTGTCCACTACCGAAATTCCAAACCCGTGGCTTATTATTGTATCTGTGAAGGTAGTATCGGGGATCTTGACTGCAGTCCGAATGAGAAGGCTCATTGATCGATCCAACGGTGACTACCATCCGTCGACAGCACCCAACTCATACCTTTCTGACTAGTTTCTTCCCTTACAAAATCACGTCTTGAATCTTTTTGATCGTTTCCCATGTTTTGATCGTTGACCAAAAAACTACTTTTCGAAGACAGTAAAGCCCCATTAAGAAGTACTTAAGATCTTCGTCTCCTTCGTTGATCTTGGTGTCTGCAATGTTGCTTAGTTGCAGGTCGGTCTAGATCCAAACTGCACGGCAAGGAGAGACTCCAAAATGGTGCTTGAAGTGGAAGACATTCGCCTTTCCCCTTCGCACATTTGATTCCCTTCCACACGTATCCCCAATGGAGAAAGGCCGTGATATTCGTCATCTCTGATGGAGTGAGGATGTGGTTCATGGGCGGATCTTCGTCCGATGATAAGATCATGAGAGATAGGCGAGAATGCTGCATATGTATTTCCATCCGACAACTTCAAGCTGAAACAAAGACGACAAGATTTTTCGAAAGACGACAAGATTTTTTGAAAGACGACAAGAAATTTCGAAAGACGACAAGAAATTTCGAAAGACGACAAGATTTTTCGAAAGACGACAAGATTTTTCGAAAGACGACAAGAAATTTCGAAAGACGACAAACCAATTCGAAAGACGACAAACTCGAATGAAACACGACAAATCAATTTGAAACACGACAAAATATTTTTCGGAAAACTGTAATGCCCCCTTTTAAACAACTCCCCCTAAAGAATGATGTATTCGCTCCCCGTAAATTCAATACGCAAAATCCCCCTTAAAACGACGAAGGACGGACGAGTTGCGGAGGGTCCAGAGTGAAGAGTTTTCCGGGGTAAACACGACATGGTACTTTGTGGGCGTACAATATCCAGCAGAACTTCCCACCGTTTCGCCGAACTTCCATATATATATTTAGTTTTGCGACATCGGTTTGGTCGGGTTTTGTTAAATGGTTCATTCACGGATGATTAGAACAGTTTTTCAAAATAGGCAAACAAGGCATGAACACGACAGTAGAGGCTGCAATAGAGTACCTACTCTAGGTATTGGTGTCAAAATACGGTATGTGCAGTAGCACCAACCGAAGGCAACACAATGTTCATAACACAGCGATCTATTGTTCCCTAGGTCACACTAGGCTATACTATTGTATTTCCGGCAACTGCTGGAAGACTAACTCATGCTGCGTTACAGCGATAGTTGGTCCAGGTGTAGGAACTTGGCTCGGTCTTGTTGATGGTATGGAAGTAGGCGAAGTACTAGGACTTTCGCTTGGAATCAGAGAAGGACTTGCTGTAGGTAAAGCACAGGTCCAGGAGTCGGAGTTATTGATGGTTCAGGAGTTGGACTTGGACTTGGGGGGCTTGTTGGTCCAACCACAGGAGCTAGAGTTGGCCCACTACTCGGAGACAAAGTTAGACCAAGCGAAGGAGCCAATGTTGGTGCTAACGTTGGTTCAGATACAGGAGTCACTGTTGGACCAGGCGTCGAGAGCGCGGTCGGAGATACCGTTGCTCCAGATATGGGAGGCACAGTAGGTTTCAAAGAAGGTGATATGCTTGGATTGTCAAAATGCATTATGTCAAAGGCAACGCAATGTTCATAATACAGCGATCTATTGTTCCCTAGGTCAGTATTTCCGTCGACTGCCCTGCGGTTTGCTTTTGGAAGATTAACTCACGGTGCGTTGCTAGAACCACCAAAACATTCATGATATTGCGACCTAGTTACTCCTTCATTTCATTGTGATCAAGCTAGTACTAGGTTCGTCTCTTCAAAAACTGGTTCTTGATAGATATGAAGGAAAACATAGCAACGCACACTGGAGCTGCCCGTGTAAAGTCACGAAACGTGCTCATCTCCCACCACCAATTCTTGGATTACTTGGTAATTTGCCACTGAATCCATCGTTCCGCCCAATCCATTGGCCAAGTGATTAGATTAAAGGGAAAGGGCACTTCAAAGGTGAACCCATTCTTGTACTGCGTTTGAATCTGAGTCCAAAATCCAAACCCACCCACCGTGAAACCCACAATTTCATCCAATGGTGATTCGGTATCATCTTCTCGGATCAATCCAAACAGCCGAAAGCCTTTTCTGGAAATCATTCGAAACAAAGCTCGAGCAAACATGACACCCCCCACCATGGCCGATGTAGAGGCGGTGAGTACTCGTTGAATCCTCCAGGCAATGTTCATGGCGGCGGCTTTGGCGATCCAACCAATAACAACAGGAACCCACTTGTGGTAATCTTGTGAAATGCACATCTTCACCGGTGGTTCTAAAATAAAATGGGCAATTCGCTCAAAGAATCCAGCTAGTGTCATAGACAAGTTGATGACACGGGCATACTCCTTTTCCAACACGGTTGAAATACCCAACCAAGTGGTGTATAGTGCGGCTGCCGCTTGGTTAATCTTCATCGGATCCACTGTTTTCAATACAATATTGGTTTGCTGCAAAAAGATTTCCTTCCTCTCAAAGGCATCCCTGGGCAGGTCGGCTGTGGCATCAATGACCTTGATGGCTTCGTCGGTCAAATCCTTGACCGCTTCCACCGCAATCTCCCAGCCGCAATGTCGAGCAGCTTCCAAGGAAGAAAATAAAGTAGGATAATAGCCTCCCGCAAAACAATACACGAGTCCCACTTGAGCAATCACTGCATCAATCGGTAGGGCCCGATAGAAATTCACAATTCCCTTGACACAGGCAAAGATGGGTGGAAGAATGGCTCGACCACAGGATATGAGAGTCTGTGTCACTGTACCAACCACTCGAATCACTCCATCAATTTTGTCTTGTCCTCCTCTTGGAACATGATGGTGGTACTTGGTGAGGGTAGCGTCAATCTTGGATTTGCTGGTTTCAGATGATGCTGATGATTCAGGGATATCCTTGGGAGCAGCAACTACGAATGGAATATTATTGGACGAGTGACTTTTGTTGTTGCGAAACAATTGACTTCTCCGGTCAATGGGACCAATCGATGCATCCGCAATGGAGAAAGAATTCAAGATGCACAATAGCGGGATCCATAACGAAATTGCCAACATCCTAGGCATCGTTCTGGTTTCTGTTTCTTCGTTGGCTTTGTTGGTTTGCTTGTTGATTGCTTATTGTTGATGAAATCTTTTCTTGTCCGCTCGATTGATTGATTCATTGGAATAATGATTAGATATTTAGTCGGTGTAATCAATTTGGTTTTGAGTGCCGTGCTATGCTTGCAGGGCATTGGTGGAGTACGAAGCAGGTACGCTCATACCACATCACAAATTTACCATGATTCGGACTTCCATGCTGCAGCTTTGTCTCAAAGGTTTGTCTTCAATCTCTACTGCTGATTGCATCGTACACTGAAGCTAACCGCACACTTTGATTTTACGAAAATTCGGCCATATTCATTTTAAAAAAATTAAATAATAAAACTCGGACTCCAAATGACCTCACCAACAGGGGTAAACAAATTGAAACTGACAAAATTTACACACATGTTGAAACCTTCTTAGAAAGCAAGGGCGAAAAGGGCAACAACGGCGGCCAAGACGACAGAGAGGCCAGAAGCACTGGATTCAGTCTCGTCAGTAGTTGGGGCATCACCAGTTGGGGCTGCGACAGGAGCGTCAGTAGTTGGTGCATCACCAGTTGGGGCTGCCACGGGAGCGTCAGTTGTCATATCTGGGCACTCGAAATCGCCTCCTTGAAGGACCTTGTCAAGTCCGTGGAAGATGCTGGTATCATCAGCAACATCGGCAAGGATGACCATGGCGTCGTTGATCATGACGTGCCCTGTAGAACTGTCGTCCATGATGTGTCCTGCCAATCTTCTGCGGCAACAAGGGTCGGTGGGCATTTCGTGTCCGGCCAAATTTCTGCGGCAACCATCATCGACGGGCATTTCGTGTCCAGCCAATCTTCTGCGGCAATCGTCTTCGACGTACATGGCACGGATCGGGCTTCCGACAAGAGGTTGAAGCATGACGCATCCCTGCTCCTTGACCATCGCAGCAGTGTAGACTCCAGAGACAACGTGCCCAGCTAGAACCCCTTGTAGTTCCATTGGGGAAAGTTCTTCGACAGTGGATGCAATATCAGCGAAGGCAGCATCGTTGGGTCCAAAGACAGCTGTGGAATGAAAGAAAGAGCGTCAGAACAAATTTCAAACAAAATGGCTGAAGCGTTGGCGTGCAGCAAACATGATACTTACTAATGGGGCCAGCACCAGCAAGTGTTTCTTGAATCGCTGGGTCAGAGACCAAAGTGAGGAGGGTGGTGTAGTTGCCAGTCATGGCAACTTGGTCGATGAATGAAGGATCTTCTTCCATCATTTGAGGAACAGCCAAAAGCTCATTGAAACTGTTCAACATGGACTTCCACGAACGGGCATCTGCTTCCAAATTGTAAGCGCCACTTGCAAAGGCAGTGTAACCATGATCGACACCGGAATAACGAGTGATTTCCCAAGAGGCAGCACCTTCATCGAAAGTACTTTCCATGATGGTCTGGTTGCCATGCAATCCATCGTCACCACCAGAAAGACTATTTTGTAGTTGTTAGACCAATTGGTTTTTAGAATGCAACGCGCTAGTCCGAGTCTTCTGGACAATAAGAATACTTACATCAATTGGTAGGGAATGACAGGATTGACTTGAGGAGGGACAATACCACCGCCGAAACTTCCGTGGAAGGCAACAGCGACCTTGACATCGGTTCCATTCAACATACTGTAGGTAACAGTTGCCTGGAGGTTTCAAAAGAATTTATCGAATGTTAGAGATACTGCCCGTACGTTGCAACTTTCGACCGATTTTTGGATATTGACGACTTACAGTTCCTCCAAAGCAATATCCGATAATGGCGATTTCATTGGTATCAACTTCATCCCCCAACATCTTGATTTGTTCAATAGCAGCTTGGACACGGGTGACAAACAAAGTAGGATCATCTCCGAATTTTCCAGTCTCAGCGATGCGGTCGGGAATTGCTTCCACGAATTGCTTGTCAGATCCGAACATGTCAGCAGCCATGGCGACATAACCGAGTTCGGCCAAGGCCGTTGCGCGCTCTTGTTCGTATGTGTTGACACCATCCCAATCAGGAAGGATGATGACAGCAGGAAGAGGTCTCATCCATTCGGCCGAAGGCATGGCCAAGTGACCAGTCAAGTTTGTCATGTTATCCATGTATTCGACGGGAGTGGTGGTGATCATGTCAGGCTGGGCGCTCATTGGAGGATCCACGCCAATGGCGGTCAGCACAAACTCTCCTGCTGCCTCCCATGAACGCATGTCGGCCCATTCGTCGTAGCGAGCTGAAGAATTGGAGCATAAAATGTTAGTGGGAAAATAACAAAATAAAAATGACAAGCAGCAGCAGAAGGTCTCCATTGTAGGACATAGACGTACCATCTTCCCACACAGTAAATGCGTGTTCAATGCCAGCATAGCGGGTAATCTCCCAAGAAGCGGGACTAGCATCAAGTCTCATTTCCAAATCCATAATGCTTGAGGCAGGGTGGTCGGCACCACCGTCCAAGACAAGCAATTTGGTTGCCAAACCGGTAGCGTTTTCGGGCAAGAAGCTCAAACCACCATGGAAACTGACCATGGAGGCGACATCTTGATCTCCATGTTCTCCCAAGACGTACTGCAAGATTCCAGTACCGCCAAAGCAGTATCCGAACACAGAAACCATGGTTTCATCGACACTGGGCAAATCCTTGACGTATTGGATGGCAGTCGAAATACGAGAACCAAAGACATCAGGATTGGAGCGGTAGAAGTTGGCCAAGTCACGACGTTCGGTAATGTTGGGAACAGTTTGGAAATCTTCACCGTAGATATCGGCAGCGAATGCGACCATGCCCCATTGCTCCATGACGTAGGTAGCACGGATTTGTTCGTACTCGTTCACACCATCCCAGTCACTGCGAGCGAGAAAAGAAGAAGACGAAGGGGAAAAGGTGAGTGTTGAGCACATGGAGATACAACAAGAGTGTCCCGGTAGGAACCCAATGGTCCACGTATGTGTACGTACGGAATGATGACAATCGCAGGGTAGGTTCCATTGCCTTCCGGCACAGCCAAGTGTCCCAACAAAGCAGCATCACCATCTTGGTAAGAAATGGGTGTTGTCTTGCTAGTTGTGGGAGGTGTAACTTGGCCGCTGGTAGCAGCAATCAAGGTGGAAAGGAACAGCGATAGAAGCTTCATGTTTGATGTTTGTCCAACAAAAAAGATGAATGATGAGACGAGAGTGACGTTGAAAGCCAAAAAACCCACAAAACCAAAATCTTTGATGGGATGACGATCGAATCTTTTGGATTTCGCTGATGTGAGCGGGCGTTTCAGTTCGTGAGGTGTTAAATACATACCAGACGCACTTAAGTACCAACTAAAATTCGATATTTCGCAAAAGTGACGAGACTTTTCGAATATGTTCCAATATACGACTGCCAGACCTTTTAAGTTTTGGCCTTCCGATCTGAGTCAGGCAACCATCACAGCACTACCGGTAGGTACGAGTACCTACGGTAGACCGTCGCACGAAATACGGTGTAGCTAGACCGTCGCGCGAAAATAAGGAGACCTACCGCGAAATCGGGCCAGCTGACAGTAGGGTACGGCCAAAGTAGTCGGTGTAGTCGGACGCACCATTGCAAAATACTTTTTAAAAAATCAAGCAACAACAAAACACACACAACCCAGCAGCAACAGTGAGTGTTTCCGTCATTCGGACGACGAGTTCGCCCATCAACGACCGACCACAATGGGATCTGAAGATTCCGAATGTACCGTTGGTTCCATTCCTAGCAAGACGCAATGCATCCTCACCTATGGTGGAAATGAACGAGACATGATGATCAATTATGCACTCGTTGCCATGAACTTGTTGGTTTGCATCAAAGTGTTGGTGATTCACAACCACAACAACAGCAATAGCAATAGCGTTTTGGACAAATTTTATAGACATGCTACGAGGGCATTTGCGTTTGTGGTTGCCTTTCAGATTGTCTTGTGTTTGATTCTGGGATGCAGTGGAATTTCGATTGTTTGGTGTTCGATGGCCGGATGGATCATGAGTCAAAAACGGCAAATGATTCTTTCGTTGGATGAGAATGACGAGGATGAGGATGAGAATGATCATCATCATCATCATCATCGCCATGATTCAACGGCTGGTTCGTCCGGCATGACTCATGAGAAGCTGGCCAAAATGGCACAATGGGCAATCCTCTTGGATTTGGGCGCACTCGTCTATTATTTGGTGGTGTCCGAAATCATTACCACCATTGCTCATGGTTGTGCCCTTGTCATGGGGGCTTGTCTCTCCCAACTCGTGAATAAGCATTCCGGTGTTATTACTACTACTAGAACCATCACGAATAGTAGTAGTAGCGAGACTACCGACGGCACAAACGAGGAACCGCTTTTGGAGACCACGAATCAAGGAGAGCGACTTTGAATGAAGAAGAAGAATCATCATCATCATAATCATCATCAAGTGAACAGCAGCAACGTGACGCAGAGTCGGAATATGAACCGTAGTGTATAGTAAATTAAAATATAAAATGTTGTATGTACAATATATTCCAATCGAAAAAGGGCAAATGTTGATTGTTTTGATTATGATGTTGTGTGGTAGGATATATATATTAGCAAATGTATAGACCGTGTGTATGGAAAGAAGATAGAGAGAAGATAGATCAAGTGGATCAAAAAGTAAAAGTAGAAAGTCTACCATGAAAGAATGAAACGCCAAAGGGCGTCATCATTTCTTGGAATGGGATTCGCCATTGTCTTGACTCGCTTGTGCAATACATTGATATAGACGAGATCTTTTGATTCATTGACAATCACTTGATGGTCCCGATGTTCCGTCACTCGTTGCAAGAATCGTTGCATGTTCAAATTCTTTCCCTCCCCGACATCGGCAGCAACGGCCATGTAATAAATCACACATCCCCATCGTGCACTCTTGATATTCAACAAATTGGCCAAGGGACAAGCACCATTGTCCAAAATGTCCGTCTCCAATATTGGAATCCCCAAGGAAAATGGCAAGACTGGGGAACCAAAATACATGATACCCTTATGAATCCAAAAGGTAAAGTCGACAATGACATGAAAGCCGTCGGAATGAATGGACCCATGCATCGTGCTGCAAGGACTGTGCAATAGATATTCACCCTCGTCGCAGACCCGAGGAATCGCATGGACAATCAATTCCTTTTCGGGAGTTTTAGGAGAGGGACTGTATTGGTTGCAAGGCATCAATTTCAATTTGCTCGATTCCCCACCCCTAATACTATTGTTAGTATCATCACTGCCACAACTGCCACTGCCACTGTCACCACTAGTATTATGATGACTGTCCAAAACAATCCAAACAGGTCCATTCGCCATCTTGGGCATGCAACACAAGGTTCCACGTTGGTTGGAATCGGGTTGTCTTGGTTTTGGATTCAATCCCCCCACAGTCAGCGCAATTTCTTCTCCCCACATGACCATGTCACCATCCGTCCCACCGACGACCTTCCAAGTTTGATTGGGAGTGCACGGCCGCAAGCCTATCGTGTACAAGTATTGCAACCGGCCGCCGCCATCAGAATGATGATTGGCATCCGACGGTTCGTGGGCATGTCGCGTGTGTCGTCCCAGAAACGCCTTGTTGCCCCGTTGATAATCAAAGGACCAAAAGTAATACTCCTGACCGTACCGTAGGTTTTCGCTGGACGTCAAAAACTGGTCGAAAGATGATGATTTGGCACAAGACACAAAGAGGTCCTGTTGAATGGCACCACCATCATCGTCTCGTGAACAAAGGATTTTGACTCGAAGATATTGGGGAAGAAGCTTTTGCAAACGTTGGCTGCAGCTGGAGAGTCGAGTTCGTTCGGCTGGGTTGAGCATGGAATTGGCAATTTGAAGCAACAGTTCTGTTGGAAGTTCTTCCAAGTCGGAGGAGGATGTAGGTGTGGCGGCAGTTTTCTTGTTGGCAATCATGGCTGGCTGGTGATGGTGGGGTTTCTTTCCGAGGCAGGCTTTAGTGATGATGTTGCTGGTTATGACGAGGGTAGGTTGGTGGTTGCCTTCAATTTTGAGAGGCTTGGAGCAAGACGATATGATAATGCGCAGTTGGAACGTTCCGCGTAACAATACTTCAAGGATTGTCAATGACGGAAGAAAGAATTTTATCGGAAAACCCAACAAGAGAGGAAGAAGAAACTGAAAACGTGGACGGACGTATGATGTCCTCGAGATGACGTAGCATTGAAAATGTCAAAATGTGTCGCATGTGACAGACATCCTTCACCTACATCATCACCATCATCGACGCACCACGAATTTTCATTTCAAAACGCAAACTTCACAAACATCACCAGCTACTGTACACTACAGTACCGGAATACCATGAAGGCTGCCATTTACAAAGAATTCAATGGGACCATTTCGGTGCAAGATGTTCCAATACCTTCCATATCTACCAACGATGGAGTATTGATTCAAGTCATGGCCACTGGCGTTTGTCGATCCGATTGGCATGGTTGGAAGGGTCACGACGGCGACGTGAAAGCAGCCGGTTTGCCCTTTTGTCCCGGCCACGAATTCAGTGGCATTGTCGTGGAAACTGGTTCTGCCGTCCAAAAATTCAAGCCAGGCGACAAGGTGGCAGTCCCCTTCATTTTGAGTTGTGGAAACTGTCATCATTGTCATGAGGATCGACCGACCGTGTGTGCCCATCAAGAACAACCTGGTTTTACTCAATGGGGAGCCTTTGCCGAATATGTTTTCATTCCAAGGGCGGATCGTAATTTATGCTTGTTGCCACCGAGTGTTTCCTTTGTCCAAGCTGCCGCCTTGGGATGTCGCTTTACCACTGCCTATCGGGCCGTCTTGCAACAGGGTCAATTAGTGGCAAGTCGTCGTCGTCACAACACAAAAACTGTGGTGGCAGTCTTTGGATGTGGTGGATTGGGACTCTCGTGCATCTTAATGGCCGCGTCCCAAGGTGCTACAATTACTACTATCATTGCCGTCGATGTTTCACCCTTGGCCTTGCAAAAAGCCAAGGAATTGGGTGCCACGCACATTGTGCAGACTACTCCAACCCAATCCCCCATGGAAATGGCATCCTTGACCAAAGAATATACGCGTTATCACGAAGGTGCGGATTTGACCATTGATGCGGCTGGATTTCCCACGACGAGCGAAGCGGCCGTCTACGCCACCCGACCCAGCGGACGAATGGTCCAAGTAGGTCTGCCCTTTGGAACGACGAATATCCCCATGACGCTCGTGGCGGGAAAGGAAATTGAATTGGTGGGATCCCATGGATTTAGTGCCTTGGATCTTCCTAATTTGTTACAATTGATATCGACGACGCCAGCCTTGGATCCAGCCCAATTGGTGGAACGATGTGTCACGTTGGAAGAAGGATGTCAAGCACTCATGGATATGGATAAGGGCAGCCCGTTGGGAATGACAATCATTACCAAATTCGATAGTCCCAGTACCAAATCCAATTCCAGCAGATTATAGCAAATATTCATAATATGGATGGATGAAAGATATATCTATGAAAATATCAAATAAAATAGAAAGATAGTGTAGAAAAGTGGATTGATCGCTAATTTTAAAATAATTCCCTAAATTCTTATCCTGGAGGCCAAGCCATTTGACGACCACCCATGACGTGCAAATGTAAATGATAAACACTCTGAGCTCCATCCTTGCCATCATTGACAGTCACACGGAATCCATCGGGACATTCCTTTTGACCCAACATTTGAGCGACGTACATCAAGTGTCCCAACAATTCCTTTTGATCTTCTCTGGCCTTGGAGAGTTGGGTCAAACCATCCCGGTTCTTGGGAATGACCAAAAAGTGAACGGGAGCCTGGGGAGTAATATCTCGAAAGGCCAAACACAAATCATCTTCGTGAATCTTATCCGAATCCCACTTTCCAGAAATGATATTGTCAAAAATGGTGGGAGGGGATCCATCGGCGGCAAGCTCGGCGGCTTCTTGCGCTTTTTTTACTTCGTCGGACATGTTCAGAGACGTTGTGGTTGTTGCTGTTGCTGTTGCTGTTGTTTTACTATAGTAGTGAGACTTGTTGTTGTGAAAGGCAAAAGCCGCAGCCAATGGTGTGGTCTTGAAAGCAGAAGAAGAGGAGGAGGAGGATGGTGATCGGGCAACCAGGAGAGCAGCGCAAGAGAATATCCTAGCATTAGAAGTAATTCCACGTATACTGAACAAAGAGAAGGAAACGAGTGATGTTAGTTGCCAATGATGGTACTACCGGTACATATGATTTGTTTCTGTTTTGATAGCTCTGAGGAACTTACTGCATTACGACTGAATGCTGTATCTTGTGTTGCGTTGCAAGATCGTGGTGGTTGCAAAAGTCTTGAAGGATGAAATGTGGGGACCCAATATTGTTGTCCCCAAAAGAGAGAAGATCTTCGGATCGACCGCCAGCCAGACTGATCTGCGGTGGTGCGTGAAAACTGGTAGTGACTTCTCGTAGGTACGTGTACCGGTAGGCGCTTCAAAAATCAGGAGGTTGGCAGTCAGTCGCCATCAGGAGCCATCAACAACTCAAAATTGAATCTGTATCCTTCAACCCATTTTGACAATCAATAGTTGTTATACTGTACCATCCTTCCTTATATTATTCCCATCCATCCGAATCAATCGATCAATCATATAATGAAGCTCTCTCTTGTTATTCTCGCCATCTTGGCCTTGTTCTTCACCAACCACGCAGAAGCCTTTGCCCGAGGAACCGCCACCACTCGTAGCCAACCCCTCTCGGCCACTTCCACTCAACTTTCTGCGGCTGCCAAGAAGAAGACTGCCAAGAAGAAGGCAGCTTCCAAAAAGTCTACTGCAGCCCTTGAGGTCGAACCCTTGAAAAAGCCGGAGTTGGTGGCACAAATAGCTGAAACTTTGGATATTACCAAGGTTGCTGCCGATGCTGCCCTTACTGCTGTGATTGACACTATTGCTGATGTACGTTGATGATCAAGCTGGCAATTTAATGTCTCTCTTTTTTGTTTCATATTTGCTGACGATTCTTTCTCACCTCCACAATTTTTGTGTTGTGTTGTGTTGTGTTGTGTAGAACATTGTGGACAAGAAGAAGGTCAGTCTTCCTGGATTTGGAACCTTTCAACTCAAGCAACGAGCAGCTAGAAAAGGACGCAACCCTCAAACTGGAGAAGAATTGGACATTGCTGCTAGTTTGTCTCCAACTTTCACAGCTGCTAAGGGACTCAAGGAACGGGCAAATGAATAAATACAAAAGCATCATCTTGGATGCTTAGCATTATAATATTTCTGTTGGTATTATTATTATTGTCATTATCATTATCATGGAATGCTTCTACTCGTTCTTTCCAAGAACGGCCAAGCAAGTGATGTATAACACAAAACTATTAATGTTACTATTATAAGGGCCCCAATACAAACTTATTTTTCTACTGCATCTAGATACCATATAGTCCCTCCTCTAATACCAACAATATGCTCCAATCGATCATCGTTATTTTTACATGAACATCAAGGCAAACGAAACAAAGGAAGCAACGGCAGCCACTCGGTTTTGTAGCACATCATCAATACCTGATGATCCACCTCCACCTCCGCCAGTGGTCTTCTTGTTGCTGCTGTCTTCAAAAAAGTTCTTTTGGTTCACCTTCCCGGCAACATAGGATCCCATGCCATATTGCGAGTCTCGAAACTTGATCGCATTTGTGCCATACGCACTGGTACTGCTTCCGTCCACATCCAAAATGGAGAATCGCACGTCCTCGCTAGTGACAGTATCTTGTTCCGTCTTGGCAAAATGCAAATAGACATAATATCTGGAACCATCTGTGGTGGACACCACGGCTTGAAACTTGTCCCGTTGGACGCCCGTGACCGGTTGGTCAGGGGCCGACGTGCGGAAGAAACACTCGCCATCGTTCTCAATGGTGGCTTCCACGACATCGTCCACACAGGTCAATCCGTCGCAGTCACCCCCTTCGTATACTGAAAAGTAAAAGCCATCAAAGTTGTTAAAGGCACAAGCATTCAATTCCACCTTGCCTCCATTCCCAATAAATTGGTACCAAACTCCTGGATACCGACTGGGTTGCAAATTGCAGTAGCCGGCAATCACACTGGTGATGGAAGCATCCAAACTGGTTTGGGACACCATGGTTCCATCTCGTGGTAGTGGTCCCAAAGCATCCACGCAATTGTCGTGCTGGGGTGCCGTCACGGGACGAATGCTCAGATGCACCTTGCCCGTTTCGACAATGGAATTTTGTTGGACCAACAAATAATATTTAATGCCCGGGATGGTCGGAAAGTCCACCTTGCTGGAAGGAGATCTCCAGGCTTTGTCAGTATCAGTCTGACTGCTCAGAGTGGTCATGGAGCATTCAAAATCGGGCTGCAAGGAGACGCCCTCACACGACAAGGTATTGCAGGAACTGTCCAATGTACTAAACAAGGTAATTTTGACCTTGACTTGAGTTTCGGGGTGACAAGTAGAAGCTCTCAAAGTTTGACCAGTACCTTCCACAGCAAACCAAAGTCCGGGAGTGTCACCGATGGTGATTCCTCGGCAAGCACCGCCATTGGCACCCTTGTCCGGAGTGGCATCCGTGAGATCGACCATGTGGTGTATTCCATTGGGTGCGACAATTTTGGCATCGATACAAACATCGTTTTCTTTGACAAAGGCAACTGGAATGGCGTAGAAGAATAAATATGGTCAGCGGGATGGTCATTGCGATGATTGGCCATATACAGCATACCGGTACAGCAGATAGTAAATGTGGAGTCATTCCATTTGCAAACGTACCTGGAGCTTGAGTTGGACTTTTTGTTGGCAATCCCGTTGGGGCATCCGAACCACTGGGTTGACCGGAGGGAGCCTGTGATAAAAGTGCTGATGGAGCAGTAGACCCACTTGGTGCTATGGAAGGCGACACTGAGGGGCCTATCGAGGGAACATCACTGCTGGATGGGGAGGATGACCCACTTGGATTGCTGGAGGGAACGCTGCTTCTCGAGGGGGCATCCGATAGGCTAGGACTTCCCGAAGGTGCAATGCTTACTGTTTGGGCAACCGCACCATTGAGGCTGTGCTGAGAGAGGGCAAGTATCGAAAGGAGCGTTGCTATTGACCTCATGGTTGAAAACACGGTTTGGGTTGGTGTTGAGTTATTATTGTTGCAGTATATATCTCCGAGGGGGAAAAAATGGTTCCCACCGGAAACGACTCGTTCGAATGAAATATTGGCATGAAAAAGACCCGATCCGATTCTACCGGTACTGTTCAACTGTTGTGACTTGTGACTGCCGCAAGTACTTTCATGTAAAAAATAGTAGTCACCCTAACCTTTAATTTTAGCCGTGATAGTGGTAGTGGTAGTAGTGGTAGTAGTAGTAGTCCTAAAAAGAACATTGAAACGAATGCATGGTGCATTTGCAACTTTCAAAAATCAAAGGTGGGGCGGAAGTTCAAATGGAACATCAAAGGTGGTTCGGATAATCGATTCATGGCGATGCAAGTGCGGTCGTTCCGTCGATACCAGAGGCTCGTCTGTGACTTCTTCGTACTTTTGATGGGCGTAAAATCCCAAAGACGATGCTAACGTAAACACAATTGTTGCCAGCGCTTTCTTCGCGGCTCCTGCTCCACCCCATCCCAGTCTGGTTTGCAAGGCACCTGCGACCAACCCAAGCACTCCACCCGTGGCAATCAAAATAGCTTCGTCTTCTTGAAAGACGGGATGAAGCAAATCCTCAAATTCAGTTGGAGATAGTTTCTTTAACCGCCTTGCCAGGGTCCTTTCAATGTCCAATTGTTGCGTAACATAAGCATGTACTTCTGGATACTTTTTAGGATTCTTGGCAATGTCATCAATCGCTGCCACGGCTGCCAACAAAATGTGTTCCGGGATTGGATATGGCAGGTGTCGCCTCATGAATTTGAACAAATCTCCTTCTCCCTCACCTTCTGCCAGATCGCGCAGCAAGCTTTGCGAGTTCAGTACCCGCCGGTTCATGAAATTCCCAAACTCGTCCGAGACTTCCACCTGCCGACTTTCAAACAAGCCCTGGAGGATAAAGAGACCCCCGATACTGACTGGTTCGGCTGGTTCAAAGAGCAATTTGATGGCAATCCAATTGGTAACGTAGCCGACCAAGGCACCGGCGACGGGCAAGGTCCAAAAGGCAGGTTTGACCGCCCAGGCACCCATTTGGGCGAGTCCCAAGACAAAGCCAAATCCAAATCCCGAATTGACCAAAAACTCCAGCTCGACACGGCCGACCTTTTGGAACAAATCCACTAAAACTTCCTTGTCCCGCACAAAGGCAGCGAGTACGACATTGTTCAAATTCAAAATTTGATCAATTTCCACATTTAACTCCTTCAATAAAATTGGCAACAACAAAGGCAAGACAGGTTTCAGTACGGTCGCCCAGGCTTGGCCACAATCCTTCCGGACGCTTTCTTCCACGGCGGGCAACAGGAGTCTCGAAAGTTCATTGGGATCCAATCGTCCAAAGGCTTCTTCCAAAGATAGCAATTTGGAGGTAACGATATCGACGAGTCGTTGGGCCATGGTGGCCGTTTTGGTGGGGACGACTCCCTGCCATCCAAATAATCCATAGGGTGTGTTGGGCCATCGGTGATAGTCGATACCAAAATAGTTTATGGGGTAAAAGAGCATTTTGACTCCCATCCTTTTGTGTATACAATTTCGAAGAAAAGAGATGAACCGAAATAGATGACAAGTGAGTACAACCATTTCTATGAAGGTAGCAATGATGATTGCGACGACACCAGTGACATGACACACAGAGGCATTATCCAGTACGCATAGACACACACACACACACACAAAAAGTCAGAACAAGAATTACCGCACGTACGTACCAATTGGTTGTGATTCCGACAAAGGCCGCCACACAAGGTATGGACGCATATTCAATGGGACGTGCTTTGACAGTGTTCCATGCTTGTCGCCTTAAGGATTGTTTGGGTGCAATAGCAGTAGTAGTAGTAGAAGTGGTTGCCGAGTGCCGTATTTGATGAAGAACGGGGTATCGTTTGAGGGTCGTTTGCAAGCTTTGCCGCATCATTGTAATATTTTAATCTTGTTGTCACTTTTATACAAATTTTAAAAGTATGGTTGGCGTTGTGTAGAAGAATGGTGGATTTGAGTGGCGTCTCTTGAATGGAAAGACAAAAGAAGGAAGGAAGGAAATAAATGAAAGAGACTTCTTCGCCAATTCATGTAGTATGTTTTGTTTGTTTGTTTGTTTGTTGGATCAGAACTGAATACACGCTGCAAAGAAAGAATATTCGAGTTGCTAGAGAAGTAAGAGATCTTCAGATAATGAATCAATGAATTGAATTGAATTGAATTGAATGAATCTCTCCTTTTATTATACAGTAGTTTGATGTGTCTTTCTTTGTGTGTCTTTTGTGTGTATGGTGTATGTATGTGGCGAAGGTGAAAATATTAGAGAGTTTGCAGTTTGCCAGCTTTTGGTCAAAGGAGTCGATCATCAAATTCTTCCAATAAAATGACATGACATCAGTGACGACGAAACGCCAAAAGAAAAAGGATGATGATACAGTATGGTGCTGTTCAATAATAGAAGAAACCATTCGATCCCAACGTTATGGATACTATGCTCGATATGTTTGATCAAAAGCACTTTGGCGTTATCTTCAGTTGCCTCTTCCGATAGCCGAAATATTGTCATTCTGGGAGGTAAGTAAGACCATATTTCACAGTAGAAAGCCAGCGTAAGATTCATTCATTCGATTGGAGAATAATACTGATGATACAAGGAATTTTCAAATTGGGATGGAAATCATCATCATGGAATATAATATGCATGGAAATAAGAGTGCAATTACTCACATCATTAACTGTTTTTTTTTCTGTTTGTGTCAGGAACTGGAAGGATTGGTACCGCTGTGGCGATTCATTTGCTCCAACGTGATCCGACCTGCAATGTAGTCCTTGCCGGAAGAAGATTCAATGAGCGAGCCTTGGAGGAAGTAAAAAGTGCAGCAGCTGCTGCTGGTGGTGGTATTAGTGGTATTAGTGGTGAAGAGGAAACTAGGGTTACCATGAAATGCATCGATACCGTCTGGGATGAATCTTCCAAATCACTAAAGGAGTTGGTCGATTCCGCCGATTGTCTCATCCATACGGCCGGTCCGTATTATTTGGAACAAAGTCCGATCCCACTCCAATTGGCCATTGCTTCCGAACGCTGCAAAGTCTACGTGGACGTTTCGGATCCCTTGGAATATTTGGAAAAATCCTTGTTGATGAACGACAAGGCTCAAGCCAGCAACTTGACCGCCTTGGTGGCGGCGGGAGCCTTTCCCGGCATGTCCAATGTGCTGGCCAAGGAAGCCTCTCGGAATCTACGTATTGCATCGAATTCTTTGGTGCAAGATGTTCGCTTTCAATACTTTACGGCGGGATTGGGTGGGAGCGGAGCCGTCAATCTGTACATTACCAATTTGGGATTTGGAGAACCCATGGTGCAATACGACAGGGGAGAGCTGCGATGGTTCATGGCACTCTCTGGGAAACTATTGGGCAAGGTCGATTTCTTCTTGCCACAACTTTTCAATCATCCAGGCAACGAACGAGTGAAACAGCGAGTGGGGACTCAAACCATATTCTCTTGGCCCTTTCCCGAGGCTGCCACGGTTGCCAAGGACCTGAATGCCAGAGGCAACTCGTATGCTGGCATGGGCACAGCACCTGCTATTTGGAATGACATGCTTGGAGTCTTGGTCCGACTCGTCCCAAGACCATGGTGGAAGAACACCAAATTTTCCAAATTCATGGCGGACTTTTCCGAGCCATTGGTACTGGCGACCGATGCCCTATTGAAAATGACGGGGACGGGAGAAACGCATGCCATGCGAGTGGATGTGACATCGGTTCCACCCGGAATCCAAAAGGAGGGCGGCAATAATAAGGGCGTCTCCATTGTGCAAGCACACGACTCCTTTCGGGTCTGTGTGGGACAGTCGTGTGCCGAGTTTGCACTGGATGCCTTGGAACATGCCAAACCAGGTGTCTACCTCCCAGAACAGTTTTACGACGATGATTCGGATCGATCCCGGATCATTGGAAAGTTAACGACGACTCCGGGAACCTTTTGCTATACTGGACCAATCTTGTCGGAACAACCACCAGCTCTGCCCACGGATTGGGACAAGGCAATGGACGAAGCCAATTTCGAAGAGAGACAGGGTGTCAACGCATAGAGGTAGACATATATGTAGTGTATTTTTTTAATACTGTAATATACGGCTCTTACCTTGCTATCATTTGAACTATTCACAGTGCGTCAATCTACTACCGGTACGACTATTTGTTACCAAATCACTCTTTTTCTATTGTCTCTTCGTTTACTTCCCCCTTGTTTTCAGACCAGCGCTTGTCAAACAAAAAATTCTCTCCCTCCCAAGCGGAGGGTTCACCTGGATTCTCTTCTGCCCATTTTTGATATCCAATGATCCCATTCTTTAACCGTTTCACATTGTCAAATCCCAAATGCTGTTTCAGATAGGCGCCAACCTTGACACAGCGAATTCCACCAGTACAAAAGATATAGACTGGTTCGTCTTTCGAAAGATCCTTGGTCATTCCATCCAACTGAGACCAGGAATCTTGAAAATTATCCGTTTCCAAAGGAGTGGCTCCACGAAAGGTTCCTTCCTCTGACTCGTACAAATTCCGGCAATCCAACAAGGCTCCCATACTATTATTCTTATTCTTAATCTTATTATCGGATCCTCTGTTCATGACCGCCTCGTGCCATTCGTCGGCCTCTAGTTCGGGCCCGGCATCACTCCAATCCAATGTCCTACCAATCTCTGAATCGATACCATCTCTGAGCACATAGTCGCGAGTTCGAACAATCAATTTATCAAAGGTAGGGGTCGAGATTGGGACCACATCCCCAAGATTCGGTTTCTCGTCGACGAATAGATCCAAAGATGACAGACTGCTCGAACACGCCTCCAAAAGCTCGTCGAGGTGATGAGGTGGAACCGCCATCTGGCCATTGATTCCTTCTTGTGCCAAGTAAATGGAACCACAAAGACCCGGAATTTCTTGGATTTTCTCAAACAGAGTGTCTCGGCATTCTTCTGGGTTGGCGAGAGGGGTAAATTTGTAAAAGGAAATCATCTGGAGTTTGTCAGAATCGGTGGGGAGTGGCCGCTGGGAACGGACCGCCGAGGAACCCGATGTCGTGGAGGAAGGTGGTTGAGAAATACTACTCGTAGTATCTTCACTGCTGCTGTAGGACGATGGAAGATATGTCTGGAAGCCATCCCGCCTTTGTAACGTTACTTTGATTTGGTGGTGGTGGTGGTGGTTGCTGGATTCTGCTGCGAATCGTTCGTCATGTTGGTGTCGTGGTCGTATCAACAGATAATAGTAGCCACTCCAGCAAGTGGCTCGTGGCGCAACAAATTCTACGGAAGACTTCACTAACAGTGAGGCGATCGCATATCTAAACAATGTACTTCGTCGTTGCAAGCTCATTGTGTCGTAGGAAGTTGTCCTTCAATATCTGGATGAATGATTTTGAATGATGATGTTTTTGCGTGCCCGGCTAATAAAACTGGAGATGGGTCCGAATTCGTAATTTGGGACTAGGTCGATCCCTTTAATTGGGACTATATCTGTTCTACATTCACTGGTTGAAGTTATTTATTCAAACATTCCACCTGAAACTTCTACGAGCCGTTGTTGTCACAGTAAACTGTGAAACACTCCCATTCACAAGACACCCTTTCATACACCTATAGCTTCAGCTGAAACATCCACGATGCCAAAAGCAAGGATATCTTTATTCGGTTCACTGACAATTTGGGGGGTGATTTTATGCGTTGGCACCCTGATGACATCTTCCATCGAATCGTTTGCGCCGATACCGTCCCTCACTTCCACATCTACCAGAACATCAAGGACCTTCTCCACATCACTTCGATCAATATTTGGCGACGATGATAAGGAAGAAGTCAAGGACGGTGTCGACTTTCAATCCTTCAATCCACTCAACTACCAGGCTGCTGGCAACACCAAACAAAACCAGCAATACAGTATTCAGATTTCGTTGCGCCAAGTTCAAATGAAGGAAATGACGGGCGAACTACTGGAGGCGGTAGGAGATGAAGCCACGACAAATGAAATCTTGGCGAGATTCAAGGATTTCCTGCTCGAGCCGCTAGACGACCCAGACGCTGTATTGGTGAGTGAAAAGAAAGATGTACATGATAGTATTTTGACAGGCGGAACGAAACTTGGGAAGCATCTCCTTTCTGACTTTTTGTGTGCCTATTTTCGTCGCCTTCAGGATCCCGATTCTATTTACACTCCTCAAATGTCGCGGGCAGAGCGATACGATGCGTATCGTTCTTCCATGGACGAGCGAATCCAAAATAGCAAGAACGGGGGCGTTCGTTCTATATTACAGTCAATGAGAGACTTTGTTCTGAGCTTCGAAGCTAATTGAAGTGGCAGTATTATGATTAGTAAAATCGAACGTGTCGAAGGATGGAGTCTAATATTGATCTAGCATGAAATAAGTAAGTGCTACTGTTTATTATTCCTCAAGCGAGTTCGAAACGAGCGGTTGACTTTCTCGTGCACTACTTTCTCATCAAGTTCCACCCAGCAACCAACTTCGTCTTGTTGAAGGAATCGTCCTCCTTCATGTCGGATCGCTTCTGTTAGCTTTTCGATTGTTAACATTCGCTTGCTTTTGAGTGACGACGATTCTGTTTGCTTCATCTCCTCTTCCATCATCTCGTGAAGCCGGAGGTTTGCTATATGTTGACGGTATGGTTTGCCTATTCGTTGCACGTCCGCGAGTGAGCTGTACCAATGGGATATACAACACACACATTTTTGTGGTTCTTACCTCTCCCAAATAAGACGTCGTCATGGGAAGGAAGTACAATCCTCGGCAACCCTACTCGAGCCTCTTGTTGCTGTCTCATTCTAATGAACTCCAAATGCGCCTTTCGTTTCAGCTTTCCATCGAGACCAACAGGTAAACAATGCACAGGACATCCAAACGTCATCAAAGAATAGGTACATTCCAAGTGTGTTCCAAAGTGCACTTTGACTCTCGCCCTCGTATCCTCAGAGAAGAAGTGCATAGCAATGTTTATAACGGAACGAAAGGCAGAGTCGCTTATACAGTAATGCACTGCGCACGTCTTCATAGGCACACTATTCTGTATCCATGTTGTGTGAGCTACAGCGTCGTTGTCGTACTTGTCCCTTTCGAACTTTTCAACGTTGTACACCACGATTGAAACCCCGCGTTTCTGGGTCTCCACATCTTCCGACATTGCCATTACTAGATAGAACAACCCACGATACTTTACAAAAACAAGGATGAGAGAACCGACACCCTATTTTGCTCACTGCCGCGTCACAAAAGAAATTACGTACTTTGTTTATTGGGTTGTTGAATGTTTGCTTTGAGGGCACAGCAAGGAACACAGCCCTTCCAGCACGGTCCCGTACTGGAAGAATTTGCATAAAACCTGCTTTCAGTGCCTTGAGATCGTCTTTATCCAAGTCCTGTAACGTGATATTATTGCATAGTTTTTCTTGCCCAAAGAAGTGAAGCTTGCAATCGAAAAATCTAATCATCCTCTCTGCTGACCTTTCCGCATCGAACTTTTCACTTCGTAAGAACTTCATTCGCAAAGTCTGATCGTGGACGAAGTCTGGCGACATTTCCTCTGCCATTTTGTAGGCATTTGCTTTGCGATGTGTAGCCTTTATCCTCTCCAACTCGATCTCTAATAGATTCAAACTGGTATTCACAAGCTCAGGTGTCTCGTTGATCACTTCATCAACTCCATGCATTTCATAATACACAGTCTCACGCTCATCCAATGAAAGTTGATTCAAAGCATTAGCGATTAGAGAGTCAATCTTATCGCCGGGCCCAATCTCATCTGACTCTAGCATTCCGGCCTTGCTTTCTGTTGCTCGAACAAAATTGTAATTGACAACCTCCTCTTCCATTTTCATTCAAGATTGGTTGTCTTCGATGTCTGGCATCTTCGCCCGAGGGGGTTCTATTGCGCGGAGCTTTTATCAGGTAGTGTTCTCGTGTGGAAACCATTTACTTATATATATCAACACCCACAAAATGATAAGAATTTCGCCGAAACTACGGTTTTAGAAACAAAAATGACCAAATATCATGGGGAACTACATACGGTAGTGAACGGTGTTCGGAAAGAAGCGTTGAACTGCAGTGGTATCTGGTAACTAGTGAATGGTGTTTGGCAAGAAGCCTTGTACCTGGTACAGTACCAGGTACCGGTAGACTACAGTAGACAGCGAAACCAACGACCTACTGTATAACTTCAGAGTTTTCTTCTATTCGTCTACTTTTTCACGCTTCAGTCAGTCTGTTCCTTTGTTTGTTTTGTTCTCCGGCAATAATGATTCGTTTTGTTTATTTTCATTGCTCTCGTTGTTGCCATTTGTGTCCCTGTCACCATCTTCCTTGGAATCTGTTTCCTGATGATTCTTTTCACCCTTTAGTTTGTTTAATTTCGATTTGATTTTCTCCTTCAACTTTTCCAATTTACTCTTGGGTTTCTTTTCAGGATGCAGTTTGTAGGTTACTTTTTCGGATGCTCGTTTCACCAGCAAGGAAATGATGGTCCCAATCAAGTAGGCGTACAGACTGCAAGATAGGGATAGCACATTAAATGGCATACTCATATCTGGGACAGGAGGAAGCATCAGAGGCGAGTTGGAGTACAAGTCAAAACTTTTGAGGGGGCACTGAATATGAACCACTGCTGGTGGCAATTCACGTCCCCTGTTTGGGTCGCCAGGAATGTCATCGTATGGGACAAATTTTGGACCATACTCCAAGCTCATGACTGTAAACGACGATTCTGATATGGATGCTAACGAAAAAGTCACCACACTGGCGCCATTTTCGATCCACTCGACGTATGGTTGAATCTTGGGTGTATCTTCCTTACTGGTAAGAACTTCAAGAGTCTGCCAGGACGGAGTCAGATATGGAGGAATGACCTGTCGAAACTGCAGTGAGCATTCCGAGGATGCAATGTTGTTGCTAGAAGCAGTAATCCAAGTCTCCAGTCGTCCCTTTTGAGGATAGGTTCGGCGCAAGACCATGTCGACCGAAGCCAAGGGGTCAATGGTACTCGATTCCAATGCTTTTGAAGCACCCAATTTGTAGGATTGTAGTGGTGAAATGGAGGAAGAAGCTGGATGAACATGTTGGATGGATCGGTTGCCCAGTAAACAAGAGGTCTTGGAAGACTCCATCAACGATAACAGTGACTCTGCATTTTTCGTTTCTTGTTCCAACTGTAGCCCCACTGTTACCCGTCTTGTCTTTTCTTTTGACGATACTTTCCACCACAATTGCTTGTTCCAAGCAGCCCCAGTCACCAACTGATTCGACCATGTCGTGGCAGAAATTCCCATGAACTGAGACTGCTGTTCGCAACCGAGACTGGCGCGAAAGGATTGCTGCAAGGCATCCGCACTCCACGCGGCACCATTGGTGGGCAAAAAGACTTGCACCAAAGTGGTTGGTGGTTTCTGACTGTCGCTGTCATTTTTTCCACCACCACGTTCCGCAACGACATCCCAGGAAGCGTTCAAGATTGGTGTTGTAATGAGTCTCTCGTTCATCCAGGATTGGACCATTGCTTCAATTTTTGTTGTCAAGGAGGGAGATGGAGGTAGAGAGGATCGGATCTGAATAATAAATCCAGAAGGACCAGTGGGCAGGGACCCATCCATAGTGGCAACCAAACCGAGTCGTTTCTTATTGGAAGACGGCAAGTCTTGTGTGGCCCTGCTGGATATCTGCATTATCATTTCTAGAAAGGGTTGGTGGTCCTCATCATCTTGGCCAGGACTATTCAGATCATCAGCAACTCCAATAATCTTGTCTGCAACTTCAAAGAGCTTGTTGAGATGTCCAAAGGGATGAAACTTGGTGTTCGGATTCCATCGAGAAGAGGCCTCCAAACGCAAGGCAGTCACACCGCCGTAAGACTCCACCAATACTTGCTCCTCATATCCAAAGGATTCGTTCGGTTCTTGATGGTCTGACATTTGTTTATATCCAGATTGGATGAACTTCACTGACGTACTGTAATTCGAGCTTGTTGGCGTCTCTATGCGGTATCACACTCACATACAACGTGTACAAACGTTATTGATCAATAATGTATGATGATGATCTGTACCGGTATGAATGGGCGGGATGAGCGATGAGCGGTGTGGTCCTACAATTGACTTGTTCGAATGAATGTAATGATGTTTTTTTTATGTTTGGAACTTTTTTATTTTGATCCCGTTCTGAAATGCAGTTGAACTTTCAACTTTCGCCATCTCCATGTTCGAATGTGTCTGATCAAAAGTGCCAAAATTCATAGCACCTGCAGACCTCCTGATACTTTTACTGTGTTTTTAAAATGCAACCAAGAATATGCAACTCTTAAAGGACGTACCGCGGACGGACACTTCACCTACACCTGTCACTTTCGCCATCTGTCTTTGATGTAACAAATCCGAACTTTCGACATTTCATGCAGGTTTTTAGTGACCAGATGCCAAAATGACCTCTCAATAGCGTCCCGATTGGCTTCTACATTTAGAAAACCATATATTGACCTAAATGCTTTCCACTTGGCTATTTATTGCCCTAAATCCTTTTTACCTGGCTAATTATTCTGTGGTTTTACCATTCATATTCGTTATGTATGTCGAAAACGAGAAACAGATAAGAACCGTTCTGATCTAAATGGCGGGGGACCTTCTCCCTTCTCCAACCTGTAAATACGGAACGTTCTGGGCTCCGGTTACTCGGAGGTTACAGTTGAACTTTCTCCGCATAGGGCTTTGGTACCAATTTGGCACTGGGTCATAGTACGTGGACTAAAACTAGATTGAAAGAGATCGAAAGTGCCGAATCTTTTCCGTGTGTTTCAAGTTCTTTTTATATGGCGGGGCTCTCTTCATTTAACGAGGCTTCTTTTCGTGAGAACAGAAGGGTAAAACTGTCCCAAGTCTGTTCGACGCTTTCCTATTTATCGGATACCGTTGCTAAGTGGGATTGTTCAAATCATAGCCCGATCACGATCGACGCCAAAAATACTTTGGTCTTTTGCCGCAGTACCACTGGTACGCCGTTTCCTGATATAGGACAACGACGCAACCAAGGATATCACATTCCAAACTTCTTCACATAGTGAAAAACCAACTGAATACAAACAAAGCATGGTTTCCTCTAATGACGAGTCCTCGAGCAAAGACGAGATGATGCCCGCCGCATCACCATCTCAGACCACCGGCAAAGGAAAGGTCAAGGCTAAGAAGGCCAAGTCCACCACGGCCAAGAAGAAGAGGCGTCACAAGCCAAAAGACTTTCCCAAGCGTCCTCTCTCTGCTTACAACATTTTCTTCAAGGAAACCCGCGAGGCCATCTTAACCGAGAATGAGGGCAAGAGCGAGATTGCCTTTCAAACCATGGCCAAAGAGATCGCTTCCAGATGGAAGGAACTCGACCCTTCTGACAAGGAGCGCGTCAACTCCCTTGCGGAGACGGACATGAAGCGATACCGGGAAGAGGTAAAGACCTATGAAGAAGAGATGGTGAAGCGCAGCCGTAAGGAACGCGAGGAAGCAGAAAACCTCCGTCGAATACAGGCAGCCGAAAAGGCGGAGGAGGAAGCTGCCTCCAATGCCGCGGCTTCCGCTGCTCTCGCCAAGGGACCTGCCACGATCAACTCCATGGCGGCCATGGGGACCAGCAATGGATCCTCGGGACTCAATTCTGCTTCTTTGGAGCAGCAGCTCTCTAATGCTGGTGGAGGTGGAGGCATGGAACTCGACGCCTTTCGTCGGGAGCAGATCCAAATGAAGCTCCTCGAAGAACTCCGCACGATTGAAGCACGGGCCATGCAAATTCGCCAGTTACAAGCCCAGTTGGGTCTTCCCACGGATTCCAACAATGGCCTCGGCGGCCAAAATGGCTCTCAAGGTGGTTCCGGAGGTATCCCCAATGGTCTTGGCCAAAATGGAGGCGGGGCTTTTGGAGGAGCTCCCGGTGGCTATGGAGGCCAATCCAATGGCCTAGGGGGTTCTCAACATGGAGCTCCCAGTCCTTCAGATCTGATGGGACGCCAAGCTAACCCCGTGCTGTCTTCTCTGGCAGCTGCCCGGGGCGAACCCTCCCTCAACGAGTACGAAATGTTGCTCAGACAGCGAGCCATGGGCGGTATGGGTGGTCTCTTGGGATTGACCGGAGCTGCCGGTCTAGGAGGCCTTGGCCGATTGGGTGCCGCTGGTCTAGGAGGCGGAGGCGGGCTCGGTGGTGCTGGAGGAGCCGGTGGCCTAGGAGGAGGAGGCTTCAACATGGGACTCTTGGGACAACTTCAAGGACTCCAACAAGCCCTGGGAGGTATGGGTGGCGGAGGTGGTGGCCGAGATGCAGGTGCTCCAGGTCCTGGCGCTGGGTTTCCAGCCGATCTGCAAGCATTTTTGCAGCAACAGCAAGCGCAAGCGCAACACCAGGGAGGTCAGCACTAAGCTACAACGAGTTTTCTTCTTGTCCGATTTCCAACCAAGCACATTATCATTCTAGTATCAGTGACCACAAATATATCTATATAGTCCTAACCATTTTATATTGTCATCTATATACGGTAGACTGAATACATGATTCAATACCTACGAGTAATACCGTGATATTGGGAAGAAAAGTAAATTCGCATTTTGCATAGTCCCTTCAAGATGGTAGCGCATCGGGGAAATTATGACCTTTGCATTTTCACGATCAATATTTTTTTACTGGGTTTGGAACGCTTCACTCCGATTTTCTTTCGCAGCCTTCTTTTCTGTTTTGATTGGTCCACCTTTGTGGATATAAGGTACATTCGTGTACGGTCATCTAACAATGGTGTGCGTACCCAGATTTTGACGAGGGATACACCAATTGATAATCGGGACCGGGGTTTCGCGCGGTACCAGTATTTCGCATATCAAACGAAATCTAGTGCCCACGGGCACCTTCAATTTTGGCCAAACGATAATAATGGTAGAGCAGTCAAAGAGCGATATGGGGTCTGATGACAAGATTGACTCTCTCATCGCTAATGCGTTGAATCAGCTTTCATTGGATGAGCGGGAGACTGTGTATCATGAAATGCATGGAGTGGACGAAGTGATCAAGGAGACGCCAAAATTTGTCCAGTCCAGTTTGGATCGATTAGAGATGGAATTGGAGAGGATCAAGCTCACGCATCGTAGAGCCATTGCTTACCGAATGGCAGAGGAAATGTCGCCAGACTTTGTCTCTAATCAGACGTTGCGAATGAAGTTTTTACGCTGTGAAAAGTTTGATATTCAAAAGACAAGTGAGCGCTTCCTGCGATATTTTGATTGTAAACTGCAATTCTTTGGACGAGAAAAGCTATGCAAGGATATCACGTTGCAGGACTTGGATAAGGACGATATAAAGGCATTGAAAGCTGGATACATGCAAATTCTTCCAATCAGAGATCGAGCTGGAAGAGCTGTCTGGATTGCTCTTCCACAACAGCAAACCTTCAAGATACCTAACAACAAAGTACGTTCTTTCTTTTTGTGACACTGCTTTGCAAGCAGAAGACTTTGTTTGATTTTCTCACCTATTTTTGTTTTTTTTGCTAAAAGTACCGTGCCATGTTTTATCTTTGCGAGACAATGGTGGAAGATGTCGAAACGCAAAGGAAGGGTATCACATTCGTTATTTACAATGTGGGAGAGTTCGTAAAGGAAAAGTATGACAGCAGCGGTACGGAACACACCATTACGATACAGAATGGTTTACCGTTGAAGGCATGTTCGGTGCATTACTGTTTCAATGACTCGGGCTTTCGATCGGTGATCAACCTTGCGTTGCGTTTTTTCCCTGAGAATTTGAGATCGAGGGTCAAGGTACACTTTGGAACGCATCTAGAATGTTCCTATTCCTTAATGACGTTTGGATGCCCTGTACACTCGTTGCCCGTCTCGATGGACGGAGATTTGAAGAGGAAGGCACATTTAGAATTCATCAAAATGCGGTATCAGCAAGAGATGAGAGTAGGATTGCCGAGGATTGTCGTCCCAACTCATGACGACGTATTGTTTGGGAGAGGTACGTTCTATAGGTACAAGAACACACTTGTACAAAGACACTTATCGCTGTTGGAGCTCACGTTACTGTACTATTACAAACAGGCAAACCATACCGCCAACATGTTGCCAACATTAAGTTGCATGCGATGATGGAAGTGGAACTCAAGCGCCAGCATACCTCAGCGCTGACAGGCAAAAGACTTTCAATCATTGAGAAAATAATCGAAGCGATTAGGAGCGGAGGCGGGCGCTTCCTTCAACAAGACAGCTTGGGTTGTTGGGTGGAAGTGGATGAGAAAGCAGTGCAAGAAAAAGTCGGTCGTGCTTTTCGGACTCATCTAAGGAACGCTGCCTCAGGAACCAAAACTATAACACTTGCTTAGAAGCTTGAAATACATGGCAACTACTCTTACTGTACCATCGCATTTTATAAGAAAAGAAAAATGTACTGTAACGTGGTTAGCTGCATATACTTACCGGTAAAGAAAAAATTCTGCTACAGTATGCTTTCTACCGGTACTATTTTACTCTTGAGCATTATACTACGCCGATCGGATTAACCCGACTGATATTGACTCGCACCACACGACACGACACGACAATTGAACATAGCGATGACAATGGCTTTGAATGAGAGCCACAAACGCCAAGAACAATGTTCACAAATCATAGCAAAACTAACCCTCGAAGAGAAGCTCTCACTCTTGACGGGCGATGACATATGGACTGTTAGCGCAAATTTTCCTCGTCTTATCGTCAGTTCTCAAATTCGACTTTCCGACGGGCCACATGGAATTCGAAAACCAATCAATGATTTAACGCTGCAAGAGGCATTCCCTGCGACATGCTTTCCTCCTGCATGCGCCTTGGCTTGTAGCTGGTCACCAGATGTTTTGTATCAAATCGGAGAAGCCTTGTCAAGGGAATGCGATTACTTTGGGGACATCAAAGTTTTGCTGGGACCTGCAATGAATTTAAAACGACATCCCGGCGGCGGAAGAAACTTGGAGTATTTCAGCGAAGATCCAAATCTGACGGGCAAACTGGCTGCTGCATATGTCCGAGGGATACAGGCATCGGGACGAATCGGTGCTTGCCCAAAGCATTTTGCAGTCAACAATCAAGAGTCCCATCGAATGGTTGTGGATGCCATTGTAGACGAACGAACCATGCGAGAGCTCTACCTTTTAAGCTTTGAGATCGTTGTGAAAGAATCGGCACCAAAATTCATTATGGGGGCTTACAATCGCTTGAACGGGACGTACTGCTGCAATCACAAAAATCTATTGCAAGAGATTCTTCGATCAGAATGGGGTTTCGATGGGGTTTGTGTTACTGATTGGGCTGCTACCGACGACAGGGCGGCATCCATAAAGGCAGGTATGGACCTGGAGATGCCTGGAACCAGTAGATTACATCATAAAATGATCCGAGTTGCATTGGAACGCAACGAATTGATGATTGAAGATATCGATGTGTGTGCCGAAAGAATTCTTAGGTTTCTGCTGGAATCCACATCGCAACCGAAGATTGCCAAGGAGGAAGAACTCATGGATCGCCACAATGTTTTGGCACATGAAATAGCCATGGAATGTGCAGTCTTGCTGAAAAATGACCACCAGACCTTACCACTTGCAAAGGACACCAAAGTTGCCCTGATTGGTGACTTTGCGAAAGACAACCCACGTTATCAAGGAATGGGAAGCTCACATGTGTCAGCAACCAAAGTGTCTTGTGCGTACGATGCAATGGCTCAATACACTGATTCCATCTACTTTGCTCGTGGATACGACGCTGACAATGACGATGATACGATAGACCAAGAAATGATTGATGATGCCGTGGCAGTAGCAAAGAGAGCCGACGTTGTGGTCATATTCCTTGGGCTTCCTGAAATCATGGAATCAGAAGGATTCGACCGCCCTCATCTTCAACTTCCGAAAGAATGCATCTTACTGTTCGAAAGGATACAAGCAATTCATCCAAAAGTGGTAGTAGTCTTGAGTAATGGCGGAACGGTGGAGTTACCAGACTCTTTTTTGGAGGCTCAGGCTATTCTGGAGGGGTATCTACTTGGCCAAGCTGGTGGATCAGCTATTGTAGACTTACTATTTGGCAAGTCCTCACCGTGTGGTCGCCTACCTGAGACAATGCCCATTTCTGCAAAGGATATTCCTTCCGACTTGTACTTTCCTGGCACTCGAGACCGAGTCGAATACCGGGAAGGGTTGGATGTTGGTTATCGATACTTTGACACTGCAACTATTCCAGTGCGTTTCCCATTTGGCTACGGTCTCACTTACACCACATTTGAATACAGTAGCCTACGCGTCAAGGTCCTTCAAGACGACCCGATGTGCAAGAAGGTCAGCGTAGCAATAAATTTGAGCAACACAGGTCCAGTATCCGCCAAAGAAGTGGTGCAACTATACATACGGCCATCGAATGCGACGGTGTATCGGCCACACCATGAATTGAAAGCATTTTCAAAAATCCTGTTGAAGCCAAGTCAGAACGAGACATTGACTTGGGAATTGACTGAACGAGACTTTGCCTTCTATGATATCGGGAGCCACGAATGGATCGTTGAGAGTGGCAGTAGCTTTGAGATACGCTTAGGTGCTAGCAGCCGTGATATCCGCCTAAAGGAGATTGTTACATTTTCTCGTGGGCGAGAGTCAAGTAGACTTGCACGAGACTCCTATCCATCGGGAAAGCAGTCCATGTCTGTTGATGACGCTTCTTTTGGAAAGCGATTTGTGATATCTGATATTTTTAGTGGGAAAACGGGTAACGCAAAATCGACGAATCTGCATCGAAACTCGTTACTGTCCGAGGTTGGCAAAGCATCCCTATTTGGGCGATTCTTCCACTGGATGATCTTTTCCATTGGGTGCCTTGAAATACGCCGTGGACCATCTTATCGACGGGAAGTCCGAATGGTGGAAGCAAATGTGGCAAACTTGCCATTGCGCACTGTTGCCCTTTTCAGCAAAGGTGCACTCTCGTTTGAAGTCTTGGACATACTGATAATTGTCTTCAATAATCAGCTTGGGACAGCAGTTTATGAATCTGCTCGTTTATTCACAAGAAGAGCCTTCAATGGCGTTTTGTCAATTTTGAATTGGGTACGAAGGTGACAAAACGATTCGAAATTACAACATGCTATAGAATTAGAATTTGTACACCTGTTCGGCTGAACATCCCATATCTGACAAAATCCCAGTGAGCTCTGGCACATCCCGCGGTCCACAGAGTGCTTCGTACATTGGTGGAGGCCCGCAAACCAGAACCAAGGTTTCGTCACTATCAATATCCGGTACATGCTTTTCCAGGAGCTTTTGATCTACAAACCCACTAGCGAATTCACCCGCATCACCATCTTCATCGGAAAGTACATGGACTACTTCCAATCGTTCTGGGAAGTCTTCTTCCCACTGTTTTAACAGATCAAAACCCAGAATGTCGTCCGACGTTTGACTTCCATACAAGAGAGTCACCTTCGCCTTCGACTCGGCATCACCTAAGATAGCATGCAAAGCTTGAATCATAGGAGCGACTCCTGTACCGCCCGCCAACATGACAATATGTGATTGCTCAAAGGGAGCCTGAATCTTAACATTGAAGGAAATGTGCTTGAAATTTAAAGTGTCGCCAACCTCAATTTCGTGCAAATGTGTCGACATGGTCCCTTGGTCGCCATAATTCTTGACCAACAGATCAAAGGATCCAACTTGAACGTTGGTCGAAATAGGTGTGTAGGGTCGAATCACTGCCTCGTTGTCCACATCTGCTTGGGCCAGAATGCAGGCACATGTCGATAGGTTCAATGGCAAATTTTCATCTGGAAGGCCGAATTTCAAGACGCTTGAGTTGTGGGATACTGGTGTCCGACCAAGTAAGGGTACAGAGGTAAAGTCTTCTCCAAATTGGCAATTTCCTGGAGGGATCAAGCTTTTTTGTGGCGGACCAACGACGAGTGAATTATTTTCTGTCGATAAAAGTCCCAGGGTGGTTGAGAATGACGCTGAGATCAGATTATTGTTGCTGATAAATGATGATTTCCAAGCAGCTCTTTGAATGGGTTTGCAATAGCGAAGTGACATGATCAGGTGGTAAAGTCAAAGATGACTGAGTGTGACAATAATGATGTGTTTTGTATGAAATTCTGCAAAATCCACGATCCAACGTCAGCCCATCATCGGTCGGAAAGATCTTTCTCGGACAATATACAAATTCTCATCTGTCCGTTGCGGTATACAGAAAAAATCCAAAACATACAGTACTGTACACTATCTAAGATAGCCTACTGCCGTCCTCCGTGTGTGTGTTCGTAGTATTTTGTCTTGGTGTGTAGCTGGTGGGTTGTGGTGTGAAGCGGGTCGAACTGATCGAGTAATAGACTCGATTCGTTCGACCAATCTCAGAAATCCCGTGTGCGGTATTACTGAGATCTGCTTTCCTACCAGGCACCGCCGATATGGTAAAATGGAGGCGGTGCCCAACAGGGCGGGTGAGGTTTGGGAGAGAAAAATTGAATTACCGCGACACAAGTGGGTGAATTCAATCTCAGTCGATAAACTGGGCATCATTGCCTGGGCGCATCGACAACAACTTTTGACGGTCGAAGGCCGTTCGGCCTTTGTCCGTCTGTAACACAATGTAGTCAAAGAAATCGAACAGTGTGCCTGCGGTCTACGTTGGAGTATCCGCATCTTTATCATTCGCATACTCTCTCTCGCATTTAGATCCTGCTTTGCTGTAGAGTCTTCATGCTGTTGAATTCCTGTTGGTTGTTAGTTTCCACCCTTGTTTCACTGAGCACTGCCCGACGCAATTTCACATCTTCGGCCGCTTGCCAAGCCCACGACATGATGATGCTAAAAGACTATCCAATTGGACTTGGAACATATCAAATCTCCCCAGATCACGTTCCAGCAGCCATTTCCTCTGCTATTAAACTTGGCTATCGACGAATCGATTGTGCCCCAGTATATTTCAATGAGGACAAGATTGGTGACATACTCCAGCAAGAGCTGGAAAAGGACGATCTAGAACGAAAGGATTTGTTTGTAGTTTCCAAACTGGCCAGTCCGTTTCACCGCAAGGAGCACGTCAAAATTGGATTACAAAAGACTTTGTACGACTTGAGGCTCGATTATTTGGATTTGCTATTGATTCATTGGCCGACCGCATTCACCTTCGTCCCCATTAAAGTGAATCAAAGGGGATATCCCGACGAAGAAATTGACGAATCCGATGGTGGCAAACGCATCGACCCAACTGTCTCCATTCATGAAACATGGAAGGCTATGGAAGATTTGGTAGAAGAAGGCCGTGTGCGGTCGATTGGAGTGTCCAACTTTCCAGTCTCGCTCTTACACGAACTCATGACACAATGCAAAATCCCACCAGCCGTCAACCAAGTGGAACTACATCCCTACCTGCAACAACCCAAACTACTAGAGTATTGTACCAAACGAGGAATTCATCTTCAAGCCTACTCGCCATTGGGAACCCCAGGATACAAGGAAGATGGCGAACCGGACGTAATGAAGGATCCCGTCTTGGTGGAGATTGCAAAGAAGCACGAGATTAAGGTTGCTCAAGTCTGTCTAGTTTGGGCGTTGCAGCGAGGTACCTCGGTAGTTGCAAAGAGTGCCTCTCCACAGCGACAGGAAGAAAATCTTGCCATGGCTATAAGGGATCCGAAGATTGTGTTGACAGAAGAGGAAATGGATCAAATTTCGGCTTTGGACCGGGGATACCGCTTCTTCCGACCAGAAGATTGGTGGGGTAGCATGGGGATGGCAGTATTTGATTGAGCAAGCTCGGCAAATGGCAAGCAAGACGCTAAGAACTTCAGTCAAACTACTACCGCTATGATAAATGTATTTTCATCTGTAGGTAAAGATCTTTCTCGGACACTTATTGCAATACATGTTCTCTGTCCGTTATTGTTGTACAGCTCCAAAGAATTATATCTTTTGGAACTCTATATCCTCCTCTCGCATTTTGATCCTGAACTACTGTGGAGTCTTAATGCTGTTGGCTTCCCGATGGTTGTCATGTTCGGGCCTTGTTTCACTGAGCTCTGCCCGTCGTAATTTCACATCTGCGGTCGCTTGTTGCCAAGCCCATGACAGCACGAGGAGGATGCTAGTGAAAGACTTTCCAATTGGACTTGGGACATTTGCAATCCCACCGGATCACGTTCCAGCAGCCATTTCCTCTGCTATTAAACTTGGCTATCGACGAATCGATTGTGCCCCAGTATATTTCAATGAAGACAAGATTGGTGACATACTTCAGCAAGAGCTGGAAAAGGACGATCTAGAACGAAAGGATTTGTTTGTAGTTTCCAAACTGGCCAGTCCGTTTCACCGCAAGGAGCACGTCAAAATTGGATTACAAAAGACTTTGTACGACTTGAGGCTCGATTATTTGGATTTGCTATTGATTCATTGGCCGACCGCATTCACCTTCGTCCCCATTAAAGTGAATCAAAGGGGATATCCCGACGAAGAAATTGACGAATCCGATGGTGGCAAACGCATCGACCCAACTGTCTCCATTCATGAAACATGGAAGGCTATGGAAGATTTGGTAGAAGAAGGCCGTGTGCGGTCGATTGGAGTGTCCAACTTTCCAGTCTCGCTCTTACACGAACTCATGACACAATGCAAAATCCCACCAGCCGTCAACCAAGTGGAACTACATCCCTACCTGCAACAACCCAAACTACTAGAGTATTGTACCAAACGAGGAATTCATCTTCAAGCCTACTCGCCGTTAGGAACCCCAGGATACAAGGAAGATGGTGAACCGGACGTAATGAAGGATCCCGTCTTGGTGGAGATTGCAAAGAAGCACGAGATTACGGTTGCTCAAGTCTGTCTAGTTTGGGCGTTGCAGCGAGGTACCTCGGTAGTTGCAAAGAGCGCCTCTCCACAGCGACAGGAAGAAAATCTTGCCATGGCTATAAGGGATCCAAAGATTGCGTTGACAGAAGAGGAAATGGATCAAATTTCGGATTTGGACCGGGGATACCGCTTTTTCCGACCAGAAGATTGGTGGGGTAGCATGGGGATGGCCGTATTTGATTGAAAACACAGTTCACAACTTGATAAGTAAGAAAGATACAACTTCAGTCAAACTACCACCGCTATTGACTTATTTGCTTCGGAGCCTCTATGGGTAATTAGGAATCAAACATTTTCAAACCAGTATCTTTGTCCTTCTTTGGAAATGGAGATGCATTTGGATCAATGTAGGATAACTTGGAGGCAGCCTTGTTCAAGAACTTTATCTCTTCGGAACTCATTCGCCAGTCGAGTGATCCATAGTTGGAAGTGACTTGTCGCAGATTTCTGGCACCTGGAATTGGAACCGTATGATGAGCCCGCGCGTAGTTGATTGCCACTTGTGGGAGATTCGCATCCGAGTGCTCCTTGGCGACCGCTTTCATGCTAGCAATCAGATTTTCAAATTCGGGCGTCCCAACTGTCTTTTTGAACAAGCCCTTTCGGGGACCCTGTATTTTGTCCACATTTTCGCTAGTGTACTTTCCGGTCAATAAACCGAGGGCAAGTGGGGAGTAGGAAAGAACTTGGATACCGAGGTCTTGACAGGCTTGTAAGAGACCATTTTCTTCAGGATATCTGTAGAGCAAAGAATATTGTATTTGGTTGGTGGCCAGAGGAATTCCTCGCTTCGCTAGGGCTGCATGGCAGGCCCGTGTGGCATCAACTCCATAGTTGCTAACTCCGACCGCCTTGACGAATCCTTTCTCATAAGCCATAGCCAGGCCGTCCCAGTAGGCTTCATTTGCAAAGGCATTTGGAAAGTGGATCTGGTACAAATCAATTTGACGACCCAACCGCTTCATCGAGGCTTCGCATGCTTTCACTACAGCTTCTGGCTTTGTGCGGAATGGGAGCGCTGCGAATTTGGTAGCTAAGATGGTGTCTTCTGGTTTTGTGTTCTTTGCAAAGTCGCCGATCAACGACTCTGAGCGGCCAAGACCGTACAGTTCAGCTGTATCAATCAATACTGGCGAACTCTTGGACACCGCAAAGTTGAAAACTTCTTCCAGATCAGAATCTTGCTTTGGATTGTATCCCCAAAACAACGAATCACCCCATGACCAGCATCCCAGTCCGATCGGAGGAAGTTTGATTGGGGATGTCGAAGCAGCACTGGATTCCGCATTTGCTGCTCCAGGGATCCAGAGTGGAGAACTTGCACCTGTAAAAACAGCAGCCCCTGCTTTGTTCAGAAAGTCACGCCTCGACGAAGAATCCGATGTCTGCAAGCCTTCCACACTGTCCATCGTTTCAGCTATGGCAAGCGCCAAACTCAAAACGATAACATTTTTACCAAGCATCCCTTCCTTGCTCCTGATAGAACCACTGCTGTACAGTATTATGCTGACTGTGTTCCCATTACTTTGATGGATGGATTTCGACGCCTGTCATGGATGGATGACGTCACAACCAGAATTCCGACTCGTTTGACCTGGAAACGGCACAATCCGAGAAAACTGTGTGAGAAAGATCTTTGGAACGAAACTGCTTGAGCAAGATAATTTGCACGATCATACTATGGGTACGTGTACTCGTACATCGAAGAACATCATCGAGCTTCATATATCATGACCATGTGGGAGGATTTCAATGTCGTTCGAAGAACGTCACAAACTTTCACTTGTCACAACTTCCTAATTTGGGCACACAACAATCCTTGTTTGAAACCACAAAGAATTCCACCTTATCCTACCAAGAAAAATGACCTTGTACAATCCAAACTTTGTCCACGACGAGAAGGCCTACCAAATTCCTGAACGCAGTCTGTGTCAAGGTATCATTGACGCTCATAAAGATTTCATGTCCGTATGGTTAATGGAGTCGAGCTTGAAGATATGGGTTCGAGTTTGGTTGGTCCTTCTCACGGCTGGTATCATGGCTCCTTTTGCATTCTTGCCACACCCGTTTGCAATCACCCAATTGGTGGGTGTGGCTGTCGTCTTTGTTTTAAATGGTCGCGAGTTGGTTCGTGTTCGTGGGGTGAACAAGAACATGGGCTGGCCTCATCTGATTGGTTTTGTTCCAACCATTGTGGTCGGTATTCTGTCTTTGACTACAGACAGTATTGGCAACGATGGAAAGTTGGCTTGGGATGCTGCTGGTGACGACACCTACAAGCAAGCCAGATTTATAATTGTTTGGTACTCTATCGTTGTAATCTTCATCTGCATTTTGTTTGATATTGTTGACACGGTATTGTATTACAAATACAACAAGACAAACATTGAACGCTCTGCTTGGACGACACGCCAGCTAATCCAGAACGAAGAATCTTCTCCCGACAAAGTTGAGGGAGTGTAATCACTTTGCGACCGATTTTCAAACTGTACCGTAATCAACAGTCCCAAGTGATACTGTAGAAATTTGAAACTGCTTTAATAAAGTCTTTTACTGTAGGTAGAGCTATTTGAGTCCATGCCGTCTTACTCGTTTGATCAAGGAGTCGTCCAATGGTTCGCAGGCTTTCAACCGTTATCCACCAATGTGAACAAAACATCAACTATTTTGGGGTTGGGTAAGCAATGATCGCCATACGACTTGAAACCAATATTGATGCTGGGGAAAACTTCTAACTTCCAACTCGGAAGTGAGAGGTATGCCATTTTCTTCAACATATTTCGATCTCTTGCACAGAATCATGATTTCTTCAATAGAAAAATGATCAATGTCAAACTGCAGCTGACGGAGGGATATTTGGGCAGCTGCCGCAGCGTGCCTTTCAGCGCGAGAAATGGCCGTTCTAAAACGATGCGACATGGGCGGGGCATGCACACTCTTGCACAACTGAGTACTTTAACTGCAATCTGTTGCTTTGCGCGCCGTCTATTATCCATACCGGTACCTTGCTGCTTGCTGGAATATTGATGTAGGTGGTAATACAACTTCCGTTTTTTGTTTTGCTTTTTTTTCTCGGGTGCAAACGGGTGCACGCTCCGATTGATTCCTGGGCTGTGCTATCCTGCTGGCGTGAGGTCTGCGGGCGTTTTGTTTGCATCCCTATTCATTCGGCTGGATTTCTCCAAAATCAGAGAATCTTGCTATATTAAAATACTCGTACCTAATAATATATTATACTGTTCTTTTCTGTAGTCTATCACACAGCTGCACGACTCGTGCATTGTTTTATGTGTTCTGTACTCGCATACACGGTCCAGCTCATTTCGCATTTTTACACAGTTCCAGGTAGTACCTACTGAATGATTCTGTGACAATACATCAAATAAACAGACACTTTCTGAATTAGCAATTGTGTGCCGAAAGACCTTCTTGCATCAGACTTCCAGTGAAACGAATGCCCAGTCCGTTGATATGAGTGAAGAGTTGGTCTCTGCTGTATCTGCCGACAAAAACTTTATGAATCATTTTGACGAAAATGAAGATAATGACAAGGTCACGGATGGCGACAAGGTGGCCAATGTCTTTTCCAAACAAATGCCACCCAATGCTTCTGATCCTAAGATCGCCGATTCCTTGATTGCCTCTCAAATGGCTAAGCTATCAGTCGCTGATCGAGAAAAGGCATACATGGACGTTCATGGGATACCAGACCTTGTAGAAGAAACCCTAGAATTAATTCAAAAGAGTTTGTTGGAGTTGCAACACGAGATCGACATGCTACCTGACAAGAAGGCCTACAACATCGCTGAACGGTTGAATCCAAAATATGTCAGGGGTCGAGACTTCTGTCTCGCCTTCCTTCGATGTGAGAAGTTTGACTGTCAAGAGGCAGCCCTTCGTATCATACGCCATTTTCAAATGAAGTTGGATTTGTTTGGTCAGGATAAGCTTGTGATGGACATTATCCAAGATGATTTGGATATGGACGACATGGATGCTGTCTACAGCGGAGCTGGACGCTTTCTGAATGCATATGATAGCGGTGGAAGGATTATCAATTTTGTGACAGGAGTACCGAAAGTGTACGAAACTGATACAATTGTAAGTAATGGCTCGGTGGTCTGTTATTATCTTTCTTCATGATTATTCGTCGTTTTTCATGCACATCAAGCTCAACCAATTTTTTTAGCTCAGGCGAGCGTTTTACAATACTATGCTTGCTTTTCGTGACAACGCGGAGGTACAACGGCGTGGAGCAGTTACTGTCGGCTGGAATGCTGGTGATGGGAAAGGAACAAGCTGGGACAATGCTGATTTGAACTGGAAACTGCCAAAGTTGCATCAAGCAACTCCCATGCGGGCATCAGCAGTTCACTTGTGCTATACAGATGACACTTGGAAGGAAAAACTTGCGGTAATTACAATGGGTTTCAACAAGCAGGTCCAAGTGAGAGTCAGAGTTCATTATGGCACCGTTCAAGAGTGCCTGCAACATTTACGGCGACATGGAATTGACCCAGCTTGCATCCCAGTCAATGAACAAGGCAAAAGCATAGACCATTTGGAATATTGTCGTCGACTGGAGCAAGAGCGGAGACATGAGCGCCTAAACTATCCCCTTCGACATAACATTGGAGTTCCCTTTCCCCAAGATGTGCTTCTCGGGAAAGGCACTCCCTTTCAGAATCACCCAGGTAACACGAATCTTCGGAAGGTGGTCGTCGATCGATACAAGGAGTATGAAAAGGCCCAAAAAGGTTTAAAGAAGGTAATTGCTAAAGAAATCGTTGATGCCATCAGGGGCAACGGAGGCCTATTTTTGAAGCAAGATGGAAAGAAGTGGGTCCCAGCCAACGATGAAGTAGCTGTGTTGAAAGTCAGCGCTGCTTTTCGAACGTTGCGGGGTAAGGGCGGGGTAGCATAGTGGCCTCATATGGCCGACGATGAGTCTCTCGCCAAATAGACTGCACCCTCGCTCACCCATGTAAACCGCCCTGCACGTTGTTGTCTGTGATTTCCTGAGGGTCAATCAATCATTGGGGAGTTGTTTGACTCAATGGCTCCCATGCTGCTTTTAAGCCACTGAATATGTTGTAATACCCTAGTGTTATTTTAGAATATAAGTATAAGAAGAGATGGAACAGAACTTTGACTGCAGTCTGAAGTGAAATGACTCCCTCCGCACCACTCTTGTACAAGCGTGATGTTGTCGCACGACATACAAACCGCAATCGTATTTTCACAGATGAGGCATCTCTTGTCGGACATCATGACGGTTCGTGCCTGCTACGTTCCTCGTGGTACCTATATCATTTGTGCAACAAATATTACGATGGGAATACAGAAGAAGTAGCACACGCTATACTGCAGGTAATCGAGTGCCAGAAGATCTTCTTGTATAAGACTTCCAGTCTAGTAATGAAGAATGCCGCGGCACAGTCCGTTGATAGGTATGAGTGAAGTGTTGGTCCCTGCCGTACCTGGCGACAAAGACTTTTTGAATCATCTTGAGGGAAATGGGGATAACTGCAAGTTCGCGGATAACGAGGAGATCGTCAATGCCTTTTCCAAACAAATTCCACCGAACGCTTCTGATCCCAAATGTGTGGATTCTTTGATTGCCAATCAAATGACTAAGCTATCAGTCGCTGATCGAGAAAAGGCTTGCATGGGCGTTCATGGGATGCCAAAATTAGTAGAAGAAACTCCAGAATTGATTTAGGAAGTTTGTTGCTACTCCAAAATGAGATTGATTCGTTCCCCGGTAAAGAAAGCCTACAATATTTCTGAACTGCTAGATCCAAAATATGTCCAAGACTTCAGTCTCGCCTTCCTTCCTTCCTTCCTTCGGAATATATTTTTTTCGCGCGCCGTCTATTCCGAGGTGAGTTTGGCGTTCTACGGTACCTGGTACTGTGCAGAACTGTACAGTACTGTAATTTCTGACCCTGCCCCACCACGCCAACAGGGGGTCGGGCTTGGGTGCGGTTGATTTTTGTGGGGAGCTCTTCGAGATTGCCCCCAGAGGTGAATAGTATATACTGCTTGCGAAGGATTATTTTGCAATCACGATTTAAAAAAAATATGTTCCACAGAACATCACCGACCTTCATTTGTTACACAATCTGATGCACTCACAATTACCCTTTGTCACTTCCAGAAACGAAGAAGAATTTCATCTTAGCCTACCAAGAAAGATGACCTTATACAATCCAACTTTTGCCCATGACGAGAAGGCCTACCAAATCCCCGAACGCTGCACATGTCAAGGTATCGTTGACGCTTTTAAAGATGGCGTGTCCATATGGTTTTTGGAGTCGAGCTTGAAGATATGGGTTCGAGTCTGGTTGGTCTTTCTCATGATTGGCGTCCTGTCGCCTTTTGCATTCTTGCCACATCCATTTGCATTCTCCCATTTGGTGGGTATGATTGTCATCTTGTTTTAAATGGCCGCGAGATGGTTCGTGTTCGTGGGGTGAACAAGAACATGGGCTGGCCTCATGTGATTGGCCTTCTTCCAACCATTGTGGTCGGTATTCTATCTTTGACTACCGACAGGATTGGTAAGGGTGGAAAGTTGACTTGGGATGCTGCTGGCGACGACACCTACAAGCAAGCAAGATTTGTTCTTATGTGGTATACTATCATTGTATTTGCCATATGTCTTCTGTTTGATATTGTGGATACAGTACTATACTACAACTATGGCAAGACGACCATTGATCGCTCTGCTTGGACCACGCGCCAGCTAATCCAGAATGGTGAATCTTCAGTATAGTCACTCCACATGGCGATAGTCTCAAGCTACCTTGATAGTAACTCTGTAAATGTACTCTAATACTGTTGTGAATCTATGTAGGATCAACTTTGAAAAAAATGGCCTTGTTCATGCTTGCAGTCTATACACATAGTATCATAGTGGCATTCTATTGCATTTCCGATGGTTTCTGGCACTGCTTCATAAACTCTTCGAATTGCTTGGCATCTCCACCCACCATGGAAGCCAAGTCTATGGTATCAATAGGCGCCCGATAAGATGCCAAAGGATCTTGTCGTACTTGTTGATTCGTTTCCACAATGCGGAAATCGGGCAAGAGTCGAAGCTCTTCATCATTACCACTATCATCATCACAATCTACTTCTTCATCATCCATAGTGAGCAATTCGGACCACTCAAAGAGCAAGGAGTCTGTTGACTGTGACCATGGATTGAAATCCAAAATCCACACCTGGTGCACGATGGAACGGAAAGTAAAGGTAAGTGTACGTGATTGGCAATAAAATCATTGCAACGAATTTTCAATTTGTCGCTGTCTGCTTGCTTACCCGATCCTTCTTGTCCAAGTACAGATCCACCACATAGTTTTCAATGGTACCATCGGCAAATTGCTTTCTGACGTAGTCATAAAAGAAATCCACCAGGACATCTTGAATCTGAGGCCAATCTTGCATCAAGTGCGGATAGTGTTGGGTATGATTTCGCTGTGAAATAGCCAATAAACCATGTCGTCGAACAAAGCATCGGAATTCCATGCTTGGGTACAAGGTGCACCATTTTCGCAAGGATAATTGAAGTGGTGGTAGTTGCTGGGTTGTTGTTGTCGTTTCGTCAGTCGTCGAATCATTACAATAATCCTTGCATTCCTTCAAGGATTGCATGAGGACATCGTGCAAACAAAAGTCACTGCTCTTGAGAAGCAAGTAAACGTCTCCAGGCGTTTGGCATTTTATAGAGCCTCCATTGACCCAGCCAGCATCTTTGGGAGTTGACCAATTGAGCTTGGGAATGATTGCTCCACCCATATCCTCAACGGCAGCGGTAATTTGTTCGTTGAGCTCTGGGAAATGAAATTGCTTGGGAGCATCGGTTTCATCATTTTCGTTATTATCATCACCATCACTATTCTCGTCATTTTCATCCGACGACCACCCATCATCATCATTGTCTTTGGACTCATTTGGTGCACAGGAACTCAACTTGGTGGCTCCCAAGGGCAACCGAACGCCATCACTTGTCAGATAATCTTGAAAATCATTTGGCAAACTGTCTCCTTGGAGGATGATGGTGGCAATGGTGACATTTTTTCGCTTTTTCTTTGTCAAAGATGTTGATTCGTTAGTTTCTTCATGCTGCAAATTGGAAAAGGTGGGATACCACGAGGACATTTGACAGGCCAAGACTTCCGTTTGCAATGGAAATGGTCCAGTGAGTGGTGGAACGGTCTCCTCAGGAGATGCTTCTGTGTTGGTGGTAAAGTCGATCATTGACGCAACAGGGTTGTGTTCATCTTCTGCCATGGTTTCAGCCGGTTTTGTTGCTTTCAATCGAGAAAGGGGCGGGTATGTGTGTTTCTGTGATTGTGATGATGAGACTTACAGTATATTATTGGGTGGCTCATTTATTGTTTTGGAACTATACCGGTACGTGTACCATACTCAAACGGGTGGTGCTGAAACATGATGGCGGGCCCAAAATGCACTCGGCGTACTTCTTCAGCGTTTAATGAACCGAAGGAATCGAAGGAATCGAAGTGTGGCTCTTGTGGAGCGAAAAAAACACGTATCATTTTTCTTTCATCGTCATCGCATCAGCGTCATTATTGGCAACATAAAATAGTATTGCCACCAAAAAGATGGTAGCTACTTCATTGATACAGCGTCTTCTTTGGGTTTGTCAATATCCTGGCTTTTCGAAAAGCCTCCTTGGACCATATGAAAATGTTGGAGTGATACAAGGAAGAATTCCAAGCTCGGCCGCCTGTCAAGTCTTTTACCCAGCTGCAGCTGACAGCACCAGCAACAAATCTTTGCCGTACTTTCGTCCCAGGGCTGTTCAAGGTCTAGCCGAATACAGTGGAATGGATCCAAATCTATTTCAATTCTTGTCGTGGAAGCGTCATCCATGTCAAGTGCATGCACCGCCCGCCGTTGGCGAATTCCCAGTCGTTCTGTTTTCTCACGGACTTGGGGGTTGTCTGGAAATGTACACGGACATTTGCCAGCAAGTGGCTTCTTCGGGTATGATAGTAGTGGCTTTGGAACACGAAGATGGTAGTGGGTGTTTCGCGGAGACGGCTGACGGACAAGAGATTCGGTACAAATCGCCATCCTCCAAAGAACCGTATTCTCGGAACAAGGTGGTCAACTTTCGAAAGGATTTCTTGGAACATCGAGCTAGAGAAGTCACCAGGACCATGGAATTCTTTCTAGGGGGTTGGAAAGACGAAAAGAATCTCGACATGTCTAGCAATGGTGTCTATGAAACCACTACCGACGTGTGGAAACAAGTATTGGAAAAGGTGGATACAAAGAAGGGCGTTGCTCTCTTTGGGCATTCCTTTGGGGGTGCCTCTATGGTATATACCATGCAACGAGAGGGGCAAGACCAGACAAAAGTCTTGGATGGGGTCAATTCGGTAACCATGTTAGACCCTTGGGCGTTTGCGTTGGACAAGAAACTGATTGAAAAGGGATCTCAATCCTCTGTCCCTTACCTATCCGTTCTATCTGAAGGATGGGTGACCAATCCGGAAACGGAACAGGTGCTGGAGCTGCATGTGGATAATCCTGATAATCTCTATTACATGCCCCACAGTCGTCATGCTTCTTTCTCGGATTCTCCATGGTGGCTCCCACGAGTGATCACTCGTCGATTTGGTTTGCGGGGAAAGAAGGAGGCAAGGCACGAGACTATTGCGGCGAGTGCCAAGGCTTGTATCAACCACATGAAAGCATCCATCAAGTGCTATCAAAAGGGTGGTAGTATCACAGAAATGGATACCAGTGGGCTTGCCCCACTCTTGCCCTTCCCCTATTCCACCACAGAACTAAAGCTTCCCAGGGCACAACAGCTTAGTTCGCAAAAGATGTAACTAACTAATCCGCCGGTATTTGAATGCGATTTAGTATTCTTTTGGGGTGAAAGCAAGATTTGTTGTTTCCAAATTTATTATCATGGCTGGCGAGTACATACCAAGGCTAATAGGGTGGTCAATGCGCCTTTTACATAACGGTCGAACTGCATCGATACCTCCTCTATTTCATCGGAAAGATAAATCTTGGTCTGGAAACCATGCCGCAAGACATGCCATAAAACAAGCAAGGAAGAATTGAAGTAGAAAGTCATATGAAAGCGTTGTTATAGCACACATAGGATGGGTACACCAAGCTTGTGCTCTTTAGTTGTATCTATGTTGTATATAGATTCTTGCGAATCATCAAGAAGGATCATGCTGCACTCTGGTTACTGGCTTGGAGCTCCTCCATACATTATCATGAAGAGATCGTCAGCATCATTGGTAGTACAGAACATTTCATCTCTTCCGGTAATTTGTACAGCCTCTTCAAGGATGCAAATCAAGTATTGATTGTTTGAAGGCATGCGCAATGGTTCCTGTGCAATTGAACAGGACGAGTCTGTTGCGGCCGTGGTCATTCCGCTGAACATCAACTGAATAAGAGAGTCATCGCGTGTGTTCGAATTCGCTGTAGGTTCACAGCTTGAGTTGTTTGAAGTATTGGAAACCATGTTGTATTATCAGTACCTTTTTGTTTAGTTTGGATTTGATTTTATGAGTGCGTTTCTGCCTGTGCACTGTTTTCTGCTTTAGTAAGTGATAGAGCGCGTTACTTGTGTGGGAGCAAAAAGTCAATCGGAAAAAGATGTTCGCTTCTTTCTGGCCACGTTGTGTTTCTTCGGATTTGCAAATTCCCACGCTTTCAAATTCACACTTCAAGCAAAATACTTAAGTTGGCGAGTCAAACATTTAATATTTGCGAAACTGAAAAGAAGACGAACAGCAACATGGCGAATGAATTTAGTGTGCTTTCTGTTCAATGCCTTCTACTTGATGGAGTGGCAACAGTGTCGAAGTCACTTTTGGAAGATGGAAGCTTTTCGGCTTCTTTTTTGTCACATGACTGCCGGATTTGCAAATTTGTACGTTTTAAAATTATCCACCTTCAAGCACAGGACTTAATGCCCCAGAACTGCTAAGTATCAGTGAGTCACAGAAGGTGAGTGTCGCGGCAGTTTGGGAAACCGAAAGGCGAAGAACGTACAATAGAGAAGTACGATGAGAGTCCAATACAATTTTGCACTGTAGGTTGCATGAAGAATGTGTGCTTGCGGGCCTCAACTACTGGGTTACAGGTACAGTTCAGGTACATTACCGCCAACAAATACTCCGAAGTATTCTTTGTCTCTGGGCGCTACCAAAGTGGTCTTCCATTCAGCACCTCCTCAACGAGCGCTACCAAAGTAGTCTTCCATTCGGCAACTCCCCAACGAGTACGAACATTCCATACTCCAACGAACAACTGCCTGACAGAGCAAACTGAAGCAACACGATGGTTCCTTGACAAGAATGTGCAATTACTTGGATATTTCTTTGCTATCTCGAACCCTGGTGAACAAATTGTTCGTGGGGATAAGAAGGTCGCAATATTCATTCTTTAGATCTCATTCGTCGACTCACTCACTCCAAAGAATTGGAACTATTTGATTCCTTTAGAAACCGGCCACTTCTTCCCAAGAAGTAGTTGTACATGAAAAGGTATCTTTCTCTGGAGAAACTATCCCTACCCCACAACAAGGATAGCTGGGTTGATAGCGCTGCCATGTCTGACAAAATACCTGTGGGCATATCATGATAGAAAGATGTGAGATACTGTACCGGTAGACACTGAAATATGCTGCCTCGTGCGTACGTCCACACGTCTGAATGAGGCATATTTTAGTTCCAAATGGTTTTCAACACAAAAACACAGCTGCACAGATATGATTTGTAAATACTATAGTAATACAGTGTATATCCCTTTTCTTTCCTTTATCTGCTATTGCGATGAAAAGCAGTTCCCCACCAATTGCCCCACTGCGGGATACAGAATCAAGCGTCTTGCAAGTGGAAACTGAAGCTGAAGTTTCTCCTTATTTTGTTGATTTGGAGAAATTGAGGAAAGCTGACCTGGACAACTTGAGGCAAACTGGGTTGCTCGGATCGGATGGCACAGGCGTGCAGCTGCTACGGGATAAGCACATAGAGTACCTTTCTCAAGTTTGGCAACAACCTCTGAAGCCTGGATTTGTTACCCTTGATTCTTCGCGACCTTGGATACTCTATTGGTGCTTGCACGGATGTGACTTGTTGGATGGCTTGTCAACGATCGACGATGAGACACGATGTCGAATGGTTTCAACTCTTGAGCAGTGTTGGACTCCAATGTCAATTCAAGATCCACCTGTGACCAAAGAGGAAGACCCACAATATTATGTTGGCATCGATAACTCTACGGATTTTGTCCTGGGAGGCTTTGGTGGAGGGCCAATGCAAATGGCTCACGCAGCCACGACCTATGCTTCAATTCTGTCACTATGTATATTGGCAACGGATTCAACGGGAGCAGAGGAGTCATCATCAAGAGCGAAACAGCTTTTGGCGAATATTCGAATCCCGCTATATCGATGGATGCTAAGCTTGCAAACAAACGAAGGTGGATATCGCATGCATCATGATGGAGAAGTTGATGTTCGTGCTTCGTACACAGTTTTGTGTTGCGCCGATCTCTGTCAATTGAATACAGAGCATTTACGACACGAAAAAGTAGCCCAGTATATCCAGAACTGTCAATCATTTGAAGGGTAAGTTGTCTTGAAGTTTGTTTCAGCACTGCTACAAATGTGACTCAAACTCTTGTGTTTTTTTGTGCAGTGGCGTTTCGGCCGAAGCCAACTGTGAGGCCCATGGTGGATATGTTTTCTGCGGGGTAGCGGCATTGTTTCTACTGCGGAGACTGGACCTGTTGGACATTCCTGCTCTCACCAGCTGGCTCGCACGTAGACAAATGTCCTACGAAGGTGGCTTCTCGGGACGTGCCAACAAGCTAGTAGACGGCTGCTACTCTTTTTGGCAAGGTGGAGCCAATGCTATCGCTAGTTCATTCTACGCTCCTGGTGATCAGATCAATGACCCCTGGCTGGAGCGACAAGGTGACGAAGCGCTTGGGTTTTCCCTCTTGTTTGACGCGCCCATGTTGGAAAGGTATATTCTGCTATGTGCGCAAGGTAAGCTTTATTTCGATCAAGTGTCCGCAATTCAAAAATAGGTTCTCACGCTAGCCTACTCTATTGTAGATATTCGTGGTGGCTTGCGAGACAAACCGAGCAAGCCAAGAGATTTTTATCATTCCTGCTACAATCTAAGTGGGTTGTCAGTTGCCCAGCATTGCGATTTCGCAGAAGAAGCATACGGTGATCTGGAACAAACGCGGGTCGCCAGAACACATCCCTGCTACAATATTAGAATTGACAGAGTCCGGGACATGCTACAGCTTACCTGGTAAACAATAGTTCTTCCATGCCCAATGCTATGTAGTTTGCCAGTTCAATTTAGATTTTGTTGGATGGTGGTGACTTTCGATACGTACCCGTACCGCCATATCAACAATTACAGTCATTTGGACTAATACGACTCTTTCATCGCGATTATTGAATATTTTTTTTTTTAAAAATGATAATTATTTCACACGATAATAACACAACAACGGACGTTGCCAACAAACACGATAATATAAGGCCATCGCTACCACAATCGAAATAACCTCATTAAAGGCAAAGACTTCAGTTTTGTGATAACAACCATGGCTTGCCAACGCGATCTTGTCGAGGCAATGGAAGATGAGGCCCTTGTGGATGTCGTTTTGGTCGGAACCGATAATCTTGAAATTCCTTGCACCAAGTTTGTACTGGCAACTCGGAGTCCCGTCTTCAAGAAGATGTTCTTTGCTGGATTCCAAGATAAAGAACGAGCTCCTTTGGACTATCCGTCTGTTGTCCTGAGAGTTCTCGTCAAATATTGCTATTCTGACGAAATTGATTTGGATCTCATACTAAAGAATGATGAATGTTTGACGGACCAGGAAGCCATAGCCCTGATTCAAATACGAGATGCTGCCCGTTATTTTGAGTTATTTGCCGTAGCAAACAATATCGAAAATCAAATTGGAGAGTCAGTCTTTCATTTGAAGGATACCCGATGTGTCTGTGCCATATTGTCAGAGCTTATGCATCGAATTGATGATGAAGGTCCATTTTGGGATATGTTCCTTCAACTTGTCATTCACAAGCCAGACGAGTGTCTGCTTCCGAAAGGTCCATCAGAAGCCAATCAAGGAGCGATGGCCTGTGACCCTCGACTGCTTGCGAAACTACTTGATCTGGTCACAGATAAAGATGTTGTGGTTCGGTGTCTTCAGAAGTGGTTTGAAGATGCATCGTCCATAGACGACGAAAGCAATGCAAACCTTTTGGAAGTTTCCAAACGAGTCGACTTGAAGGAACTCTCGCCTTTGCAACTGTCCGCGATCAAACCAAGTCCACTATTTCCCATTGCCAGAATCTATGAAGCATTTGTCCATCACGGCAAGCAAGCGAAGGCACCCAAACCACAAAGTTTGAACAACGTGATATATGTTTCTGGATCTGGTGTCAAAGGATTAGATGGATACTACTACCGGCCTTCTTCGACGTGTCCTTCAGTACCAAATATGTACCAGAAGGAAGGAAAGTATGCCGAAATGGCGTGCCATTTCGAGTTGAAGTGGTTACCAGTAGACCGCAAATGGATAATTTCTATGAAAACCAAGGACAAGAACAGTGTTCCACTCAACATGTATGAAGCATATCCTACCGAAGATACCGAGACAACTCAACCACCGTTCAAGTTTTGGAAATGTGTTGAAGGTGCTGAGCCAGCTCCGCTTGTGACAATGATCGACACTCCGAGTCCGTTGCCTAAACACTTACCAAAACCACCGTCTCCCGCTAGATCGCCTCAGGCTCCAACACAATCTGCTGGTTTCCGTACTTTCAGGCCTAATGCGTTCAGCTTCGGTAGCATCTCGCAGCCAATAGAGCCAACACGGCCTGATGGGTTCAGCTTCGGTAGCGTCACACAGCCAATACGAGTTGATGGATCTCCTTCCCAACCTGGTCAAGGAGATGGCAGTCGACGCCGTGCGGTTCGAGCTCGTCGACCATTCAATGCCGCTTGATACAAATGGCGAAAGCTCATGGATTCACTCCTGCAACAACTTGTTTCTGACCGTCGTAGGAAATTTGGTGAAAGTTCGACGTTCGATTTATTGCCAACCTTGTGCGCAAGAAGAGCTACTTGAACTTTGCTATCGGCAAGAGACAAGTGGGATGAAAGTTTTTAACTCCTCAACAGAATGAGAAGTATTACATATATATAGCTACAATATCAAATGATATCATAGATAGCTACAATAGAATGTGATCCAAAATGGATACCGCAGTTGTCACATTCAAGTACAAAATTCAACATGCAGTATATATATATCTTATTTAAATTTCTTATGGCTCAGATCGCCGGGCGAGAGGGTATTGGCATTTTCCATTCAACTCTTGGAAGCACATTCGAGGCACCAAACCAACACCATATGTGCTATGATTACTCGTTCTCCAACTAGCCATTTTGGTAAAGATGTTGAAGGAGCATCAACGGCCGCTCAAGGATTGTCCAGAGATCCTTTTCCAGCTCTAGCTCCATCTCATCCAGTCCATGAAGCTTGCCTAACACCTCCTGCTGCTCCTTTGTTCCAGGCTTCAACAAAAGTTCCTGGTAGACGGCTGTATGGATATGGCTTCCATGGTTCTCGAGCGCCCGTCGGTGGTTTTTTCGGAGTTCCCGCCTTTCCTGTCGCATATTCTTGAGTCCATATGGAGCTTCTGCCCTATCGTCAACTGCTGGATTTGGAGCTCCTACCCCACTTTCTCGAACCTACGAGACTCTAGCACCCGCTACGGGCAATGATGATTGGAGCTGCAGCACGAGCGACTAGTGCAGACTGTGGGACTCTAGCACTTCAACTCCACCTTCTTGAATCTTTGGGTAGAGTCAACTTCTTTCAAACCGACCTTTCTTCATGTGATTTCAGCTCCTCACAAAAAAACTTTCAGATTAAGCAGTCCAGTACGTTTGCAACGATTTCGTAGTGCCATTAATTTGAATACCAGTATGTAGACGAATTTTCGATACAAGAGGTGGATCCAAAGTATCAGCTTGGGAGAGGGCTGTATGGGTATGGCTTCTATAGATCTCAAGCGCCCGTCGGTGGTTTGTTCGGAGTTCCCGCCTTTCCTGTCGCATATTCTGGAGTCTATATGGAGCTTCTGCCCTATCGTCAACTGCTGGATTTGGTGCTCCTACCCCACTTTCTCGAACCTACGAGACTCTAGCACCCGCTACGGGCAATGATGATTGGAGCTGCAGCACGAGCGACTAGTGCAGACTGTGGGACTCTAGCACTTCAACTCCATCTTCTTGAATCTTTGGGTAGAGTCAACTTCTTTCAAACCGACCTTTCTTCATGTGATTTCAGCTCCTCACAAAAAAACTTTCAGATTAAGCAGTCCAGTGCGATTGCAACGATTTCGTAGTGCCATTAATTTGAATACCAGTATGTAGACGAATTTTCGATACAATAGGCGGATCCAAAGTATCAGCTTGCAGTGTCACTTTCATAATTTGTTCTGCATTTACGCAATCAAAGGCGCCATTTCTACCTCTCTAGCTGCCTTTCCACTAGCCCTGTGAGTACTGCCGTTGCAGTCGTCGCTCTGATCCTCCCTGGTGTGTGTATGACATGCTGCTATCGACGTCCGATTGCCTGTTCGGCTCTCAAGACAACTCGTTACAATGAAATAGCTCCCTTCAGTGAGAATTCGAATGTTCCCTTGATCCCAGACAAACAAGGCAGCTATCTTTCGATTAATTTTCCAATCATCGACCATGGTGTAAATCAGAAAGATTCCATGAGCCGTAACCAAAAGAAGAATCACCCAGCTAGATTTTGTGATTGTCGATCGTTGCCCAACTCTACAGAATCGTTGAATGAATCGAACGCAAGACCACAAATAGGCCCATACATCGAGAAGGAGGGCAATTGCAGACGTGACGGCCGTGGCTTTCAGCCAGAGTTTCTCTTCACCATGCATCAGCATTTTTATATTTTGTAAGTTGTCCTTTGCCATGGCCGACACGATGCCCCATATTATGCAATTGATCGTGAATATCACGCATAATGCCGTCACCCATAGTTGAGTACATCGTTGGCCGTGTCGTTGATTCTCATTGCCAAGGGTTCTGCTAGTATGGGTACAAATTACAATCAGTATTCGCTTTCAAAGCCAGTCGATCTCTTAGCACACAATAGTGCGAACAGACTTACCTGATTGGAAGGGAAACAAACTGAAGCAGTACCAGCCAGCGAATCATTCCTGCTTTGAAGGCGCCTAGCACCAGAGCTAAAACGACAATGAGAATTTTTGAAACCATGCGTTGGTTGCATCGTGAGCTTCAACCAAAACGTACCAGAGTGTCGTAAGACTTCATCCCGTTCTGGACCATCCCATACCCACAAGTCCAAGGATCCTGATCGACCGCCCCAAACGTACAAATCCAAGGAAGCCAATGCAAGTTGAAGACTGGCAACAGCAGCGAGCAGAATAGCAATGCCGTGGTGGTTTTCGATCTGCCACCGCCGTCTTAACCACCAAACCATGCCCAATATCCCATACAGTGTACTCATTATAACAAAGTACACAATCTGCACAAGACCATCCTCTGGAAAGGTCGGTTTCTTGGATTGTGGGCCTTGTTTGATGGAATGTACCAGATTTTCGAGCCCTGTCTTTTTTGGATTGCCATCCTTGGTGGTGTTTGCAGAAATCCAGTCCAAGGTCCCATCTACCACGACGTCCACTCCATCGTCCAAGCAATTGGCCAAGACCCAAATATAGTCTCCAGTGTAATTGATTGAAAAGCCTCCAACGTCAAGGTTGGGCCAAGACAAGGAGGTGTTAGTGTCCTCTGTTGGAATTACCACTTGCTGATAGTTTATTCCTTCCACTATCAATTGAGAATTGAGAAGCAATCGACCAAGTTGTTTGGCATCGCAAATACCCTCATCAATGGCCGCTTGTGAACAGCAATAATGATGAGCCGTTGTCATGTCTTCACTTGCTTGCAAAAACGGCTGATTACTCTTGATACCAATCCCAAGCTGTTGCCAATCACATGTTTGTTTTTGTTGTTGCTTTTTTGGTCTGGTGCCAGGAAGTTTCAAGTTACCCCATAGGTTGTTGTTGCTGGTCCCACAGTGCTTTGGAACCGGAACAAGGACTGTTTCGATTACTTGTTGTGGTGGTTGTGGTGCTACCATCGTTTCATTGGATGGTGGTGGGTCGATGCTGGTTGATTTCTGTTTGTTGTCTATGGACCGTTTTCGAGTCTTTCGTCTTGCCGCAGTAGTAGTATCAGGACTCGAGCTCTCACTATGTAAGTGGTCACCTACCACTAGTGATTCCATTCTCCGGTTTTGGTGATCACCGCCATCGTCGTCGTCGAAAGGCAATACGATGGAAAAGGTCATGTTCTGAAGGTCCACACTGCCAGGAGCCTGCACTCGTTCTTGCATCCAAAACACTGAATGGGATGTTGCCTTTAGTATCATTCCATTGAAAGGAATCGTCTTTTTTACAGTCGTAGAGGCATCACTACTGCTTGCCAATAGTATCAGTATCACCACGGAAAGAAGCCATTTCCAAGATTGAAAATGTAATGACGTGCTTATGATGTTGTTGATTTGTGGAATAGTAGAAGTCTTGGAACTCTTGAAACTCGGCTGAGAAATGTCCAACGAAGCCTGTCTCTTTGTAATCATTCTTTTCATCTTGAGTGTTCACTACAAATGCACATCTTGAAAGATGGTTCACAGGTTGTTCAGCAGCAATAAGAGACAGCAGGTCGTTCAAGTTGTTTTCTGTTTACGTTCATCTTTCATTCAGTGTTTTGGTCATCCGTTCGACTACTATGACTACTCTGAATTTGGACGCACACGGCCTGAAAATTATACAACGCATCATCATTTCAAAACGACTTACATATTAAGGGTTGTGGACCTTGCTGTGTCCCTTTGTCAACACCGATTGATCATCTGAAGTGGAATCTATTGCATAATTGATATATGCTGAACAAGCGAACAGGAATTGCAGTGTCGGAACTACCAAAAAATAGCAAAAAAACATGGCTGCATTGGTTCATGAAAATAAAGACAATGACAGTGATTCCTTTTCTTCTGGATCAGACGATGAGTTCTTGACGGTACGAACGGATGGTGGAAATGTAGATCGCGAAGCGTTGATTCGAAAAAAGCTATTGGAAAACTTTTATGGTGCTACTCCTACTGCTGGTAGAAATGACAAGGGAGGAGAGTCATCTGATGACGGTTTCTCTTCGGACGACGATGACGACTTGGCAGAAGATCCTCGTTCGTCCCAGGACTTGGATTCTCCTCATTTCAATGCCGATCAACACAAGGCGCATCACGTGCTGACTCAAAACGTCCATAATTTACTCGAAGTAGAAGAATCGCTGGCCTGTCAAGTCCGCACGTTGGATTCTTCCATGCAAACCTTGGTCTACGAGAATTATTCTCGCTTCATTGAAGCCACAGATGCCATCAAGAACATTAGCATTCACGTACAGGCTCATTCTTCTGGTCTCACGGAACTTCAAGATAAAATGAACACTGTTTCCAAAGATTCACTCCAAATTGAACAAACTGTGGGGAGTCTGCGAGATCAAGTAGTGGAAAAGATTCGCGTCAAGCGGTTGTTACAACGATTGGATGCCTTACTCAAATTGCCCTCCACTCTGCATTCACACATGTCTCTCCACAAGTATCGATGGGCCACCAAGTCGTACGTCAGTGCCTTGGCCATTTTACACAAACATTCGGAAGGTTTCGACTCGCTGAAGAAAATTGAAACCGAGTGTCATGGGATTATGGAAACCTTGGTGGCTACCGTCCAACACAAATTAATTCATTGGAGTGGGGCTAGTTTCCTGGACGATGACGATGAGAGTGACGAAGAAGAGGGTGATGGAAAGGAAGCGTCTCAAAAGAAAAAAGAGATGGAAATTGACGCGGATGACATTCCAGATGGCCCGACCACTATTTTGGATATTTTTGAATGCGCCGGAACCCCCATCTTGATTTGGCAATCCAAAAATGCTCAGCAATTGACGCCTCGACTGAGTGCCGAGAAGTGTCAAGAGTATGCCTTGAAGGCATGTCTGCGATTGTTGGAACGTGTCTTGGATTCCCATCAAATTCAACTTCAAGAACGCATGTTTACGAGCAAGACCAAACAAGAAGGAGAGGAAGCAGAAGGTTTGGATTGGCTCATTCCGACAAATATCTTGGACATGATTTTGGAAGCGGCCACTCTGTACAGCATGACCTTCTTGCAAGATCAAGATGGACATCCGCAACCAGACGAAGCTCTGTCGGTCTTTGTGAGTAACGCCTTTTCTACCTTTCTGACACATGTTCGAGGTGCTCTTTTGGAACAGGCCCTGCAAGCATCGCCATCCACTATGGAACACGACGATCTTGGTGTTCTTGCTACTGGAGAGACGGACAGCTTGGATGATCGTGTTCTTTTGGAAGGCAAGGATGAAGAAGCCTACGAACAAATTTCCAGTGCCTTGACTCTGTTATTGCAGGGTGTCAAGCAATTGTCTGAGGGATTGGAACTTCAAGATGTGGCAGTGGGCAATGATTTGGCATCTAGTTTGGTGGATCAAGCGGTCAGTCTGACGGAAACCATGGTACGCAAACGAGTGGACCAAAAGTTCATTTCACTTCGTCAGCGGGTCATTGAAGACTGTTTGGCGCCCATGGCACGATCTACCTTTTCGCAAGCCCAAGATGGGAAGCAATCCGGACAACAGGATCAATCTCTTTTGGAAGTGGTGCAATTGGCAAGTGTTGCTCTTAGTGATTCCTTGCAATTGGTGGACGATACGGTTCGGTCCATTTTGGCAACGCCTGAAATTTCAGAGGGAACAATGGTTTTGGATGGAACGGATCGTACCGATAATCCACTCTCACCCAGTTCCAATAACGATGACAATGGACCTTCTGCCGACGGCGCCATGATGTTGGAGGCGGTAGAACATAGTTCCAAGCGATTTGCACTCTGGCTGGCAGCAAGCATGGAGGTAATGAGTGGTTGCGAAGCAAGCCATTCTTCCAAGCAAAAGTTGTTTGATATCCCAGATAGTACCAAAATACCGAAAATTCGCAAGATGGACACTGATTCAGCGTCGTATGACACAGGTTCCATGGACGAATCCACGCAAGGAGACGATTTGATGGATACCCCTGAGCCATGGACGGAGGATAGTTCGGATCCAGTTGTAGAGCGGGCGTTGTGGAATCTCGTGGAAGAAATCTCCAAGTATCCAAAGAACGGAAACAAGAGCTCAGCATACATGACTTTAGCGATTTCCGAAATATGTCGTGTGGCAGAACGATCCGTCATGGAGAACATTTCGCAATCCATTAGTGCCCACAGTGGTCAACGTGGAAAGGGACGCAAGAACAAGAGTTTTCAAGTGGGATCTACATTTGACAGTACGACGAATACTCGAGGACTTCCAGCCAACCCCATTGCCGCCCGCTTTCGTTTGGCGGCGTCGCGCATTTTGAATTTATTTGCCATGGATCGTGGTGCTGTTGCAGCTGATCTCCTGTGCGACGCAAATATGATCGAGAAGTGCAGCAAGGAAGAAGGTGAAGTGTCCGAAAGTCCAAGAGCAGGAGCTTGGCAAGTCTTGGAAATTGTGAAGGAAACTTGTCTCGACTGTGCCGATCTCTTTGGAGGATCCGCACGCGCAGGCCCAGTTCCCGAGAACTTGGACGACGAATACATTTCATTGACAATGTCTCATAAAAAGTCTGGCTTGGCTATTGATGTGGAACGCATGTTTGCCGAAAAGATTGTGGTATACCCACACCCCAAAGATATGACAGACTTTTCACGCAATGCAGTTGTGGTACTCATTCTGAAGGTGGCTCTCAAAGCTTTGGCGGAAAACTCGAGATGTGTCAAGTTTTCTCTTTCGGGTTACAGGCAGCTAATGGTCGACATGGAATTCATCAAATTCTTGATTCCACACTATGTTAAGGATGAGTTTTTCGGTGATGGTTCCAATTCGATATCGGGCTTGGAAGCGTTACTGAGGGAAGCTTCCAGCGTGGCCCGACAAAGATGCTTTGCGGTCGGCGAACTTGGTGACTACCAAGAAGAGGTCAACGTTGCAAGAGGAGCCGTTCGAGTTTTCATGTCCAATAGTGATCGTCTTGTGAAGAAGTTTACAATCCAGGACGAAGGGGGCAAAAAATAGTGATTTCTATTTGCATTCTTCATTGCTTATTCTTCTCAGACTTACAGTATGGTAGTTATACAAGTAGAAGGATTCAAACAGGTGCCAGAATACTGGGTTCTTCACAGCCAAAACGTGAATTCGCTGACGAGAGGACTATAGTTCTCTGCTGAAGGATTGGAGTTTCGTTCACGTAAAGATAGGACAATAGCCTTCCACGGGTCAAGGCTGTGCTTTCCTTCTCGATACGACTTCCATAGGAGTAGCTCCTGTGCGATTTGGGGCTTGTTCGTATTGCAGTGACGTGTGCAGCCATCTTTTGTTGTCTCTTGTAAGCTGTGACATGAGTTCGATTGTTCATCGATCGTTAGCTTCTTGGAAAACTTACTTGAACGACGCGGCCGCCGACTGTGTGGGACTTGACCTATGCTAGTCTGGCTTTTTGCATCAGTCATGATCATTAAGACAGCTATTGAAGCTAGGCAAACTACCAAGAGCAGAAAGATCTGCTTCTGTCGGTCATCTTTTGTCATGTCTTTGCCACCTCTCAATTTCGCTTTTACACACGGGATATGCCCGGCCCAGAAAAGATTTCGTTGGACATGCTGGTCACCATCCCAAACGAGGGAGGTAGGAGTTCGGATGGATTCCCAGGGCGACATTATTTCTTCTCGTCGGCTTGGGGCATTCGTCGGTGTAATACTCGGTGATTGGCTTTGGTCCTCTCTTTGACGCTGTCTATGTCGTCTTTGGTTGCGCTCGTTTTGTTGCATTACTCTTTGATCCAGAGACTTCATATCTTGGGCATGTGCTGTGCTGCTGCGTACGCTTGCTTCACTAAACGAGTTCAAGCACTCATCAATCAAAGCGTCATTGCTTTCCGGCCCAGCTAAACTACTGGAATCGTCCGCGGAGCCACTAATCGCATTGTGACTACCATACTTGGAAACCATGTGGTTTCGAACACCTGCAGCCTGCGATGTACTCCGTTCGCTTGCTTCACTAACCGAGTTCAAGCACTCATCCATTAAAGCATCGATGTTTTCCAATCCACTCAAACTACTGGAATCGGCCGAGGAGCTACTATCCGTGTTGTGGCGACCATACTTGGAAACCATGTAATTTCGAATACGTGCAGCCTTTTGTTTCTCCAAGTTTGTGGTCAAGGTGTCGATTGACTCTTTCATTCCTAGAACATCTCGGTGCAACAACGATATTTCTGACTGTAGTTTCACGAGGTAATCGTCTCGTGCACTGGGGATACCGACTCTACGGTTGTTGTCGCTGCTGTTCTTGAGGATGGACAGTGGAGTTCTCCGCACTTCTTGCTGAGCCTTGGAAGGCAAACTGTCATTGCCATCACTGGGTGAAAAGTTCGAACTATCTGATTCAAACGAAGGCGAAATCGCGATTATCAAGTGATGCTGTGGTACATGTTGAATTGTTGGGTTTGTTGTTGGTGAAGGCTTGCTTTGGAGTTTGCTGTCGCTCCGAACGTTTGAATTGCTTATGATTGCCTCACTGCTGTCGCTCCCATCTTGACTTTCGAAGAAATGCTGGGCCTCAGCTTGAGAAAGTGGAGAAATGGGATTTCCTGCGTCATCTTGAAAGTATTCTTCTGGTTCCTCTTGTGCTTGTGTTCCCTCTTGCGCTGGTAATCTCTGTGACCTGGGTTGGTAGACGGTAAAATGACGATTGCGAATGAAGCTCCTGTTGTCGGGTGAGATGACGTATGATGCTGGTTTTTGCCGCGTTTGCTCATCCATTGACATATCGCTCATAGGTTGATGGGAAGATGCCATTGTGAATTGTGATACTATGGTTGACCTTGCTTGTTGGTGCTGTCCTTGCGGTGCAGCATAGGTGATTGTGACAATCCAACTTCGGTGATGTCGTCGGTCAGCTAAAGCATCATCGAAATTTCGAAAAAAATAGCCCAGTCACGGTCTGTATTTCAGTCACGAGATCCATCGACCCACAATAAAATAATCACATGAACTATCACTTGCTACGCAGGTGATGATTGCTTCATTATCCTTCACAACACTGATCCATTACTCAATAGTTTTACTTTTCATATGGCTTCCAGTGGTCACTTCCTTCGAGGCTCATCCAACATCAAATGCACCTCGAACACCACGACATTCACTTTCGGCACACTCGGAAACAACATCAAGTCTCGAAGAAGATGATCATGGTGAATGGGTACTCAATCCAGAAACAAATCGTCGGATTAAAAAAGATGGGCCCAAATGGCATGACTTCATGAATGGACAAGGTGGCTACATTTGCCATAACTCCAAACTTGTACCAATCCAACTCGAACGAATACTGACTTGGACACAGCAAGAAGAAGCTTCCGATCAATCACAGAAAGCACTTGAGACTGCAGATGATTCAGTGGTAGGAGCCACACCAAACACAGCCTGGAGACGACTCGCTCCAGAGATCCTTTCGTCGGATGAAGCACCAAATGACGTGGACAAAGAGTCCTTGCCCTTTCTAGATGAGCTGCTCTTTGCTTTCAAGCCAGCCAGTCTTTTGACGTTACCTGGAATCGGTGAAGACAAGCAGGTTTGTCTGGCTAGCCTCGTGAATGAGTGGATACCCGAGAATCTCACTGTACCACCCAAGAAACGTGAATCGAGCGACGACAAGAAGAAGAAGAAGACGAAGAAGAAGAAAAAAACATTTGTTCCTCGTCCCTGTCATCGATTGGATTATGATACCAGTGGTGTCTTGGTGATTGGATTGACCAGAGATTCTCTGCGGCTGACCAATACCATGTTTGAACAGAAAGGGGTGGAATCGGGATCGCCCTCGAAGGTTCTGAAGAAAACTTATGTGGCCCTGGTAGCTGGAGCCATCGCTCAAGATCACGGCATTATTGACTATCCGTACGTGTGCTTGCAAATCTGTAATCGCCTACAGAAGTAAACGGAACTGACAAAACTCTTTTGTGTTTCAGAATTGGAAAGGTATTCAATGAAGCAAATGGTTACAGCGAATTTGTGTGCCTGCATGATGATTCCCAACGGAAGGAAGACGATTTTGTTGAAAAGAGTCTTCGAAATGCCAAAACGAAATATACTGTTCTAAATCGTTTCACTTTGCCCGTTGCATGTTCAACTGGTAACAATGGCCCTAGCAGTCAAGATAGCTTTGTGCAGTACACCAAAGTACAGCTTGAGCCCTTGACTGGTCGAGGACACCAGCTACGCCTTCACATGGCCGCTATTGGACATCCCATTCTGGGTGATCAACTGCACGCTCCCAATACTATCGTTGCAGCGGCACCACGACTATGTCTGCACGCCGATGAATTGGAAATGGGCGTTCGAATCGATGAAGAACAAGGTGTTTGCGTGGCTCTTGTAAGAGTGCGATGCGTTCCACCATTTTGAAGAGAACCGGGAATTACAATTACTATTTCATGTACAATTATATCATGGGGTTTTTCAAACCAGTTGCTGGTTTTCTCGAATTGACGACGGGACAATAACCTAGTATTTGACAACCGCACGGAGACACCCTCCAGAATGCAAAGCATCAATGGCATCTCCAGTCTTTTCCACGCCCTCAAAAGTATGGGTGATGAAATGGTCAATTGGCAGTTCTCCGTTCAAGTGACGTTCGACCAAAAGGGGAACATCACGACGACTCTTGAAACCACCAAAGGCAGTTCCCTTCCACACACGACCAGTCACCAATTGGAAGGGTCTGGTTGAAATTTCATGGCCAGAAGCGGCAACTCCAATCACACAAGATTCTCCCCATCCACGGTGAGAGCACTCCAGCGCTGCACGCATTACGTTGACATTACCAGTACAATCAAAGGAATAGTCTACACCCCATGGTGTCATATCTCCAGCAATGACTTTTTGAATAGGCTTGTCAATCTTGTCTGGACTAGAATTCACACAATCGGTTGCCCCTAGCTTCTTGGCCATTTCAAACTTGTCCTCATTGATATCCACGGCAATAATCTTGCTGGCTCCGGCCATCTTGGCTCCTTGAATCACGGCAAGACCCTGTAAACAGAAACGTCGTGTAGCAAAGAGTTAGCATGAAAATTACAATCTTCACAATCTTGTCACCTTCACACAATACAGTACTTTAGTTATTTTTGAACTTACCACAGCACCAAGTCCAAAGACGGCCACACTCGAAAATGGTTCGACTTTACAGGTATTCCAAACCGCACCCATACCAGTCGATACACCGCAACCAAAGAGACAGGCTTTTTCCAGTGGCATTTCCTTGGAAACCTTGGCACAGGAGATTTCCGCCAAAACTGTATATTCACTCATGGTACTGCATCCCATAAAATGATAGATATCCTTGCCATCCTTGTCATGGAAGCGCTTGGTACCATCCGGCATCACGCCTTGTCCTTGAGTACTGCGAATTTCGGGACACAAGTTGGTCTTGGGGCTCATGCAAAAGATGCACGAGGTTTGGGAACATTGAGGAGTGTAGCAAGGAATGACGTGATCGCCAGGAACAACGGAAGTGACACCAGGCCCAACCGACTCCACGATGCATCCAGCTTCGTGTCCCAAAATACAAGGAAACAAGCCTTCAGGATCAAGTCCATCCAAAGTGTAGATATCCGTGTGACACAAGGCATTGGCAATCACCTTGACACGGACCTCGCCTTCTTTGGGAGGATCCACAGTGATTTCTTCTTCCGTCAAAGGTTGCTTGGGGCCTCGGGCGACCATGGCCTTGCATTTGATTGGTTTACCGGTAGTCGACATGATGGTGGAGGATGATAAGTCTGGACCGTTTGATGTTGCTGGTATGAACAACCGAAGATCTTTTTCGTTTTGTGAGGTTGATGGATGATGTGTTGATGATTTCAACTGTCTTTCATTCAGGTTCGATTTTGATCCTCTACGGGCGTTAGTACCTGGAGCGTCTGGCCATGACCTTAGCTTGAGACACTGACGTACAATATATCCAAAAGATTTGACGAGTTGTAGTATTTTTTCTGAAACGTGCATAGTAATGCTAGCAGTATCATACGAAACATTGTTATGCTCTAGCTAGTACAGTAGATGTTTACAATGGCGCCTCAATACCGGGCAATAGCTCCATGGCAGTCAAACGAGTGCAACGTATACCTGAAACGTGCGTTTGGTCATGCATGGCGCCTTGCACAATGATGTATTCAAAAAACTTAATTTGTAGGAGTATTTTGCAGAAAGGAGAACTAAGGTTACGGTTTTCATCCCATGAGATGCATTTGTTATTTTCTAGTACAGTATAGTATAGTATAGTAGCTACAGTATTTACAAAACGACTCAATACCGGACAACAGCTCGAAGGCAGTCACCCGAGTGCAACGCATGGATGGCATCATTGGTCTTGTTGACACCCTCAAACGAATGGGTGATGAAATGATCAATTGGCAATTCCCCCTTCAAATGGCGTTCCACTAGTTGAGGCACATCACGACGACTCTTGAAACCGCCAAAGGCAGTTCCCTTCCACACACGACCAGTCACCAATTGGAAGGGTCTGGTGGCAATCTCATGACCGGAAGCAGCAACACCGATCACACAAGATTCTCCCCATCCACGATGAGCACATTCCAATGCAGCCCGCATAACCTTGACGTTACCCGTACAATCAAACGAATAGTCCACACCCCATGGTGTCATGTCTCCAGCAATGACTTTTTGAATCGGCTTGTCAATCTTGTCTGGACTGGAATTCACACAATCGGTTGCTCCTAGCTTCTTGGCCATTTCAAACTTGTCAGGATTCAGGTCAACGGCAATGATCTTGCTGGCCCCAGCCATTTTGGCACCTTGGATGACAGCAAGTCCCTGCAATATGATGGCAGACATGAAAAGGTTAGAATACATAAGTCAGTTTTTGAAGAAGAAAAAAAGGTCCTGTCGTATTCGTCAAATGCACTTTGCACAGTACAGTAGACAGATACAGTCAACGAACAAACGAATTAACTAACTAACGTACCACAGCACCAAGTCCAAAGACAGCCACAGTCGAATCTGCCTCCACTTTACAGGTATTCCATACCGCACCGAGTCCTGTCGATACACCGCATCCAAATAGACACGCCTTGGACAGTGCCATTTCCTTGGAAATCTTAGCACAGGAGATTTCTGCCAAGACGGTATATTCACTCATGGTACTGCATCCCATGAAATGGAAAATATCCTTCCCGTCCTTATCATGGAGGCGGACGGTACCATCGGGCATGACGCCTTGCCCTTGAGTACTACGGATTTCGGGACACAAGTTGGTTTTGGGGCTCATGCAAAAGATGCAAGAGGTTTGGGAACATTGAGGAGTGTAGCAAGGAATGACGTGATCTCCTGGTTGGACCGACAGGACACCAGGTCCGACCGATTCCACAACGCATCCCGCTTCGTGTCCCAAAATGCAGGGGAACAAACCTTCTGGATCGTATCCATCCAACGTGTAGATATCCGTGTGGCAAAGAGCGTTGGCGATGACCTTGACGCGAACTTCTCCTGCCTTGGGGGCATCCACAGTAATTTCTTCTTCCGTCAAAGGTTGCTTGGGACCCCGGGCCACCATGGCCTTGCATTTGATAGGCTTGCCGGTAGTTGATGAAAAATCATACGAGCTTCTGGAAGCACGAAGTTTGCCTTGTGCCTTGTTCAGACGTGCTCCATGAAAGGCAACGTGGTCCTTGATGTAGGCAGAGACAAAGTAGTACGAGTGATCGTATCCGCTTCTCATGTTGACAGTCACCTTTTGAGGACCACCCACAGCTGTCAAATTTTCGGGCTTTAGTTGATTGGCCAGAAAATTGTCATCCTTTCCTTGATCAATCAAAATGTCGTCAAAACAGCTGGATTGCAATCCCTTCAAGAGTTCCGTAGCATCATGAGCCTTTCCGGCATCCACACTTCCCAAGTAAGCCTTGAAAGCTTTCTCTCCCCAAGGAACTTGAGTAGGATTGCAGATGGGACTGAACGCACTGACCGAAGCCCAAGCTGTGGGATTCTTGAAGGCAATCGTCATGGCACCATGTCCTCCCATGGAATGTCCAGAGATAGACTTGACAGTACCCACTTCAAAGCTTTCTTCCACCAACTTGGGGAGCTCTTCCGTGACATAAGTGTACATTTTGTAATTGGCGGCATAGGGTTCTTCGGTCGCATCCACATAGAATCCAGCACCGATGCCCATATCATAGGAATCCTCATTGGGAACTCCTTCTCCTCTGGGAGATGTATCCGGCAGAACCAGGGCGATACATTGTTCTTCGGCGGCAGCAAAAGCAGCTGGTCCAGCTTTCATGGCAAAGTTGGTGTCATCACACGTCAGTCCACTCAACCAGAAAAGAGCTGGGGTCGTTTCCGTCACTTGCTTGGTGGCATGTGTGCTGGGAAGAAAGAGTCCAAAAATCATGGGAGTCTTGGTAGAAGTACTCTCATGCTTGATGCGTTGGTAGGTACCACCTCCGGCGACTCTATTCGTGCTTACAACTTCGTACTTGGACATGGTGATGGGATCTTTAAGAACAACAAGAAGAAGTATGAGACTGATGGATGACGTTGATGACGAAAGATCTTGAGGATTATTTCCATGTTGCTTCATTCGGCTTCGTTTTCAATCTTACGCTCGTTTGTACCTGCGTCGTCTGGCCATGGATTCTAAAACTGACGCATCCAAAGATACCGTCCAAAGATTTGATGGGTTGCATACAATATTATCACTAACATGTCGGGGGCTACATAGCTCACGTTGTGGCTTCAAAGTAGTACTGGAAGTATCGTTAGCAAATCTCTTATTGTATACCAAGCTTAGCTCTTTCCATCAAAAGCTTTCAATATCGGACAACTGCTCGAAGGCAATCGCCAGAATGGAGCGCATCAATGGCATCATTGGTTTTTTCGACGCCTTCAAAGGCATGGGTGATGAAATGATCGACTGGCAGTTCTCCCTTCAAATGGCGTTCCACTAATTTGGGCACATCCTGACGACTTTTGAAACCACCAAAGGCAGTTCCCTTCCATACACGACCAGTGACCAATTGGAAGGGTCTGGTGGAAATCTCATGACCCGACGCGGCAACACCAATCACACAAGATTCTCCCCAACCTCGATGGGCCGACTCTAGAGCAGCACGCATAACCTTGACGTTGCCAGTGCAGTCAAAGGAATAGTCCACACCCCAGTCCGTCAACTCTCCGGCAATGATTTGTTGAATTGGTTTGTCGCCAATCTGGTCGGGAGAGGAATTCACACAATCGGTTGCCCCTAGCTTCCTGGCCATTTCAAATTTGTCAGGATTGATATCAATGGCAATAATCTTGCTAGCTCCGGCCATTTTGGCACCTTGAATCACCGCAAGACCCTGAAAATGTGTCGGGACGAATGGGATGAGTATGCATTCATTCTTTTTTTTTTCCCGTCCTTCATAGACAGTCACTTTACTTACCACAGCACCAAGCCCAAAGACTGCCACACTCGAATCCGCCTGGACATTGCAAGTATTCCAAACGGCGCCCAAACCAGTCGAAACTCCACAACCAAACAAGCAGGCCTTTTCCAAAGCCATTTCCTTGGAAATTTTGGCACACGAGATTTCCGCCAAGACTGTATATTCACTCATGGTACTGCATCCCATGAAATGATAGATATCCTTGCCATCCTTGTCGTGAAGGCGAACGGTGCCGTCGGGCATGACACCTTGGCCTTGGGTACTACGAATCTCGGGACACAAATTGGTTCTGGGACTCATGCAAAAGATGCACGAGGTTTGGGAACATTGAGGTGTGTAGCAGGGAATGACGTGATCGCCAGGTTTGACAGAAGTGACGCCCGGGCCGACCGATTCTACTACGCATCCAGCTTCGTGACCCAAGATGCAGGGAAATAGTCCTTCGGGATCTTGTCCATCCAATGTATAGATATCTGTATGGCAGAGAGCATTGGCAATAACCTTGACTCGCACCTCCCCTTCCTTGGGTGGGTCAACAATGATTTCTTCTTCGGTCAATGGTTCCTTTGGTGCCCTTGCAACCATGGCTTTGCACTTGATGGGCTTGCCAGTGGTTTCCGAAAAGTCGTAGGAGCTAGAAGACGCTCGCAACATGCCTTGTGCTTTGGTCAGACGCTCTCCATGGAACGCAATATGATCCTTGATAAAGGCAGACACAAAATAGTAGGAATGATCATATCCCGGTCTCATATTCACGGTCACCTTTTGTGCACTGTCTTTTGCTGCTGCCAACAAAGCTTCCGGTTTCAGCTGATCCTTCAGAAACTGGTCGTCTTCTCCTTGGTCAATCAAAATGTCATCGAATAGACTCAGGTCGAGTGCCTTTAGCAACTCTGTAGCATCGTGATCTTTACCAGCGTCCACACTTCCGAGGTATGTACTGAATGCCTTTTCTCCCCATGGAACTTTTGTAGGATTGCATATGGGACTCATAGCGCTGACCGCCGCCCAGCTGCTAGGATCCTTCATGGCAATGGTCAAAGCCCCATGGCCTCCCATGGAATGTCCAGCAATAGACTTGACAGTGCCCACTTGAAAGGCATTTTCCACCAGCTTGGGAAGCTCTTCTGTGACATATGTGTACATTTTGTAGTTTTCGGCGTAGGGTTCTTCGGTCGCATCCACATAAAATCCAGCACCCACGCCCAAATCCGATGTATCTACATCTGGGACACCATCTCCTCGAGGTGAAGTATCAGGTAGAACCAGGGCAATACTTCGTTCTTCGGCAACTTCAAAAGCAGCTGGTCCTGCCTTCATGGCAAAGTTCGTGTCATCACACGTCAGTCCACTCAACCAATACATGGCAGGCGTAGTTTCCGAGACTGGCTTGGTGGCATGTGTGCTCGGCAGAAAGAGGCCAAAAATCATGGAAGTCTTGGTAGAAGTACTATCATGCTTGATGCGTTGGTAGATGCCACCGCCAGCAACCTTGGTGGTACTCAAGACTTCAAAGGCGGCATTTGAAGTGGGTGGTTCGTTCTGAGCAGAAAGGGTTGCAGAATGAAGCTGACTCCCACCAGCATCAGTATAGCCTTGATTGCTGCTGTTATTATTTCCCAAAAAGGCCACCAATAGTGGCTGGACAAGAGACTTGAAATGCATAACTTTTGTGTGATATCAAGCCTTTTCTTCTGATGAGTTCTCGCAGTATTTAGTCCAGCTTATAATGGGGATTTGGGATTGTGAGAGGCGAGATGTTGCGATAGATGATGATGATGATGATGATGAGGGTAATATAATGGGTGCGGTGCGACGCCGTTGGATCTTCGACTCATTGGACCCGTTCTGAAAAATGGTTACTATTATTGAATGAATCGTCTCATCATCATCATTCAGGTACAATCAGGAAGCACAAGTCTAAGTGTAGTATTAAATCGGCATCTATTGAAATGTGTACATCAATCTATATCGCAGTTGCTGCGCGTGGCAATATGGAGCAAGTCTTAGCAGTGGTCGACCTCCTGAGCTGTTTCTGATGGCTGCTCAGCGATGACTGCTTCTCCTTTTTTGGTCGTCATGTCCTCTTCTTCATCCGACGAGCTTCCCACTCGCAATATACCATCACCGATGGTCAAAGTAATATTGTCACCATCCAAACGTTCCTTGGCAGATAGAATTAGAGTTCCAAAAATCCCCAAGATTACCCAAACGTACGAAAGAATGTTGGTGAAGAGTTTTTCTCCTGAGCTTCTCGTGGCATCAATGATTGGATTGCCAGCGATAGTAGTACTGACAAATATTGCCGAAACAATGACAACTACAGTATAGAAAGCAACGTAGGCACTTGCCACTGAAGCTGGCACCCCCCAAGGCAGCTTCTCCTCGTAGATCAAGTACAACAAATTCAACAATTTGAAAAAGCTGATCGCAATTTGAAACACCAGGTACGGGATGTAGTGCGCCGTAAAACCATAGGTATCAGTCGGGTTGTTAACAAACCACAAGTGAAGTTGCGACATTGCAATAAAGTTATAGGGTGACAGAATTCGGCTGACATTGAGCAGCCACTTTGGAACCTTTCCTGTTTTCGCGCTCTTGGCTAGGCGACAGTGCCAAAAAACCGTGTAAAGCATAAAAGGAATTTGAACAAGTGGGACAAATAGCATGGCAGCTATCATTTTGACTGGATTGTGATCGATCCAGTTGCAGGAATGATTGAATCCAAATAGCTCGAAGATAACTGTCTCGGTAGGATCTTCAATGGTGTCGATGCCACTCTTTTCAGTCACAATAGCACCGGCAGCCAGAACAATAAGGAAAAATAGCATTCCATAGAAGCGAAGACTCTCTACATGAAAGGTCCATGAGTAGACAAACGACTTGTTCTCGTTGTCGGTCATCGCTTGTTTTCGTTTGTCACATGAAAACAAATATAAACTTGAAGCCACCCAACTGACCAAAACGATGACTGCAGCAGCAGTGGCAGCAACGGTTGTACTTGTATCCATGTTTTCGAATGTATGAGGACGTAATGAAGAGTCGTTGTCAGAGTTGCAGCTCTCGCAGAATTTATGAAGCAAACGACAAGTTCGGATAAGACTGAAAATCCAAAACTTTGTGTGGGAATTGATGGCGGGTTTCTGAACAAGAAACGTTTTTACCGGCGGTAAAACTACAAGCGTCATGACATCCCGCCAAGCATGAACTATCACACACGTCACACGTGGATCGTTATTATTAGTCGGACTAGTCCAAGCCTCAGTTTGGATCGTCGCGTCACGTTACCCGCGTTATCACTAGTTGCGGCGTTTGATGCGTGCTGCCCGCATCGCGATGCCACTGTCATTCATGTTGTTGTATTCATGTGTTCGTCGTCATGATTATACAGTGAGCAACTCGGAGAAAACAAATTGGGAAATAGATTAACGGCGACAGCTCTAGAAGCAAAGAATGCCAAAACGGCGAAAATACTCGGTTCTTTCAGTTCTTGGAATCTTCATCTGTTTATTTTGTATTTCAAACTTTATTCTCCAGCCGAGTTTGGAACAATCTGCCATCGGATTGCCTAAGTTTCAAAAGATTCAACTTCCAAGACCAATCTTGGTCGTTGGGATGCCAAAGGGTGAGTACAAAAGAGAACCCATTGGGTGACCGAGGCCTCAATATAGTTTTGTCTCATTTTTGCCATTTGATTCTAGTCGGAACATCATCCATCTACGAGTTTTTCAAATGCAATGGAATCAAATCGTCACACTACTGCTGCTGTGGGTCTAATCGAACTCATACACACTGTGGTGATGGACGATCGTTCTCCGATTGTATGCGACAGAACGAAAAGAGGAACAGGAAAATACTGGAGGGTTGCGGTGATTATGATGTCTATGCACAGATGGATGGGGAGGCCGGAAACAGTAAGTTGATTTCTTATTTATTGAAGTGTTTGTCCGACTGAAGTCTTAAATGCGTTAAAGGTATCTACTTGCCTCAGCATTTTGCGCTAGACAACATCCACGAATACAGTCCGAATTCGACTTGGATTTTGAACCTTAGGGATGCGGCTGAGTGGGTCTCTTCGGTTACCAATTGGTATGGGCTAGGTGGACGATTCCTTCGTCGCTTCAAGGTTGATACCAAAAATGCAAAGACGAATAGAACCAAGGCTCTGATAGATATTTTTGACAATCATGTCCAAACAGTGAGAGACTTTGTGCGGGCCCATCCAACGCACCATCTCATTGAGATTGACATCAAATCGAAGAATGCTGGAACAATTTTAGCACACGAGTTCTCGCTCAACGAAGGCTGTTGGGGCAATCACAATCAAAACCCGCGGCGAAAGAATTCTTGAAGCGACGGACAGGTACATTGAACATGTGGAACGAAGAACAATACTGATCATGTCACTTCGTCTGATCTAATTTTGATTGCGACCACATAAGACGATGACCATTCTTGCCGTCACGAGGAGGAGTCATTGGAGGTGATCGTTATGCTTGGAACCTGTGTTCTTGCGGTGTCATTTCTCGATTTTTTCAAATGTGAACCTCTTTCTCGATAGACTTCTTCACGTGTAGTTTGGTCGCCTCAAACAATGGGACCTTTTTTCCCGTGCACTTTCCAGCGGGTTTAAAAGTTCTTCACAGCACGCAGAGCTCCTGCTGGTGAGGAACTGACACACGTATTAGGAACTGTCACTCATCTAAATTAACTTCTAGTGTAGTGACGCAAGTCGCAGATTGCAATGAGAGACGTTTGCATTAGAAGCTGCTCAATCGGAACAAGCTATTTTATGAATAGTCCTAACCAAGGGAAAAGTCCTAGAATTGAAATTTAGAAAAAAATTAGGAATCATCTATAACTTTTTGTCATGCAGCAGGTGCAGTGTCAGTTGTGGTGATGACATTCGCAAGGAAGCCTTGCACGTGGCGTACTCGCTTAGTATTGCCTTGATCGATCAAAAGCATCAGTACGGCCAGTAGCTGCTGAAAGCGTTGCGCTGAGATTTCGTTCTGACCTAAACGTCGATCAATCACTGCAATGTTATTGATAACCACAAAATGAAACAAGAAGTTCGGATCCTCATTGCATACGCCGTGTGCCAGCTCATACAGACGTTTTGCACTCGACAGATGATGTCGCGAGCGGCCACGAGACACCTGTTGTGCACGTAGCTGGTGAGAAAGTGCACAATTGAAAATTAGAATGGCAGCCACCATGCTTGAAACACCATTCGCCGATGTGGGAATCACAATACCATGGTCATAGATGAAGGTATTGTCGGCGTAGTATCTATTTTCATCCGTTCCAGATCGAAGCATGCACTTATCCAAAGAATCATCGCCAGAGGAGGAAGCTTGCCGTGATGAAGTCTGATAGATTTCGCGATGTCGACGCAGCACCATCGAAGAGTTCTCTATAGCTTCTATGAAATCTTGTTCTTGGAGCAGAGCAACAGTTCTATTGTTGAGGTCGACGATTTCCTCGTTGATCATGATGAATGTATTGATTTGCGCTGGATCCGATGAGAAAAAAAGAAGAAGGAAGTTTTTGGGAAGACCAGTCAGTTTCAAAACCTCCCAGCGTGGTTACACACTTGTGAGCGAAAGGTTTATCCGAAACGGAGGACGTCAGCGAACGTCAGTGAACGTCAGTTTGGGCAAAGGTTTGCCCGAAAAGAAAGAGAATGTCATGGAAAAGTACACGTCAGGTCAAACTTTCCAGTGGGTTGCACATGCACACAGTGTATATAAATACCACCGGCCGGTAATATTAGCTACGAAAACAGAGTTCAGTATCTGTTATTCTTTGTCGAGAGCTGCGATTTTTTGTGGCATATATATTATTGACCTTTTCAGGTCTTCGATGACAGGCTTCGCGTTGGGTGAAGATCATTTGCCAAGCTCCGTAGGTAAGTATCTATGATGTTGGCTTCTTTCCTCGACTTTTCCTTATTCCGCCCAAAATATTCTGTTGGTCTTATTGCCGCCTGCGTCGGAATCATAGCAGCATGAGTGAGGTGGGTCTTACAGTTGAATTTAGTAACATCATGACGTCGTAGTCAATGTCATCATTGATAAAACAAATGAAATGGTGATACAATTTTTTTCTCGATCGCTACAGCACTACTGGTACCGGTATGCTTTGTTTGAGGAGGAGGCTTCTGTTGACTCACGCGATTGGTACTAGTAGTCCAGCTCCTCCGCTGATACCACCATTTTGCCCAAGCCATCTGGCGTCATTTCATCGATCGTTTCCTCATCATCGATCATCGTTCAAAAGATGATTTCTTCAACCAAGATGCCCTTGGTTTCTTGCTGTCGAATGACAAGAATGTTTGAAATTGAAATATGAACAATTCAAGCTGCTGAATGAATGCAACGGTCTGTATGACGTCCGTCTGAGCATCTCCATATCACTGGCAAAAATGCAACATGAAACGATGTCGAAGATGGGTTGGCAAACTAAGGCAACCTATTACCAAACATGATAAGCTCGCACTATGTTCCACTTCGTCCTTAAGGTCAAACAATATCCCAACAATTTTGAGTGAAATCTGGTATTTTGGCATGTTCCGATTTGTCACCTCTTCTTCCAATCCCAACATCAAGAGTCCTCTTCGTCGGTATTTGACAGGTTCTCCTTCCAAGAGGGCTCCGAATCACCAATATAGAGCAGTACAATGGACCAAGCTAGAAGCTGAAACCAAAGAAATGCTGAAAAAGATTGAGTTGTCATTGAGACAAGACGGGATTCATTCCACCAAGACTTCTTCCAGGATAAAGGATGCTGTGACAAGTCAAGATACATTCAGACTGGTGGGACAGTGGTCTCAACTAGCATCTATATCTCCCAAGAACAAAAATGCAGCTATTCGATGTCAAGAAGTTCTCGAGATATTGGAATACAAGTGCAAGGATACGACACTCGAACCGAATCGACACTACTATGACTTACTTCTTCAAGCACTCTGTCACACGGGACAAGTGCAAGTTGCCCATGAAATATTATTGAAGCATAGCAAAGACGGTATCGAAACGAAGGAAATGAGTGGGCGTCTTGCGAAGGTCTCGGCCAAAAGCTTTCATATTGTCATGAATGGATGGATCGCCGATCAGCCCAAGCCGAGGCGAAACTCCAGCCGACAGTATCAACAGGAAGTTCTGCAACAAGTTCAAGAGCTGTATCAAAGCCTTGAATCACTGTATCATTCGACCGGGGAACGAGATCAAGAACTGAGACCCAACGAAAGAACTTTGACGGCTTTACTGGTCTCGTGGGCCCAAAGTGAACGAAAGGATGCCCCAAACAAGATTGTTCAACTCTTGCGTCAAGCATCAGAGCAAGGTCAAAAGGTCGATCTAGTACTATTCCATGCGCTGTTGCAGTCTTTAACAAAAGCAACGGCTCCCAAAAGTCGTTCGGCGAATCGTGAAGCTTTCCGTCAATCTGCTGAATTTTGCGAACATCTCCTACACATGGCAATTTCACAGTTTGGTTTGACCCTTACTGCCCAAAGCTACAGCCTAGTCATTAACGCTTGGGCACATTGCGAGGCCATGGAACAAAAGGGCCAGGCTGCAGAACGAGCTGAGAAGCTACTTCGTCTCATGATGCACTCCTATTCCACGGACGGGGCCAATGTGAAACCAAATACTCTTACCTTTACCACTTGCATGGCTGCGTGGTCTCGGTGCAATCGGCCCGAAAGGGCACATGCACTGTTGGAGGAATTGATGGAACTTTACGATCAAACAGGAGATCTCGATTTGAAGCCGGACACGGTCTCCGGCAATGCGGTGGTATTAGCTTGGTCACGGTCTAACACTTCAAGTGCAGTGACGAAGACCAAAGAGGCCTTGGAGAATCTCCAAACCTTTGCTACTGCCGATTTGATCAGCTACAATGCTTTACTGCATGCCTACGCCCGCAGCGGTATGTATCGAGAAGCTCTGACGTTGGTCGAAGAACTCGAAGAGAACGGCATCAGCACACAAAACTCGAGACTCTTGCCTGACGTTGTTTCGTACAATTGCGTTTTGCATGCACTTGTTCGAATCAAGAGGGAAGAAGCCAAAGCCGCTTTGGAGCTTGGAATCGGATTGGAAGCGCAAAAGCTTGTGGAGAAAATGAAAGCGCTGGCCAACAAGAAGAATCGAGCTCAAGTGGCCCCTACCGCTGCCACCTATACTTTGTTGCTACAGGCCTACGCGAAGAAAGGGAATAGCACGTTTGAATACGACAATACATTATCCGAAGCAGCATCCTTGGGAGGTATTCATATGATTTTGGAAGATTTGGGTCTATCGCTTTCTTCTACAAACCGTAAGAGAAAGCATAATGCAACGACAAGATTGGATGCCATGTTCTTTTCGGCACTCCTACAAGCGTGCTCATCATTTCACCAAGTACGCTATCATCATAACGAAGCCTCCACATTGGCCTTTGAAGTCATGGTTAGAGTTTTGGAGGCTTTCTCAGGTGGCCATGGACAGTTGCGACCCATCACATCTCGTTTGCCCACATTGTCGATTCCTCAATTCCCAGCCTTTCGTATTCATGATGACTGGCTCTTCGTGGTGATGGTGGAAACATGCGACAGAGTCATTGGAGCTTCAGTGAACAATTTGGGACCCCCATTAGAACTGGTTGACGACGCTACTACTGCAAACCCGGATGCAACTGATTTGGGACATTCATCACGACCAGTCATTATTAGTGGTCCAAAACTGGAAGATTGGACGGCATTAATTGTTGCCATTGTCAATCGTGTTGAGAAGGAAGGTTACTTGTCACGTCGCGTTGTCGCACGTTTGCAAGGCTTGTCCAAGACCTTGGCTCGGTCCAAACACGATTCCCATTGCAAACCAAGACAGATTGAGGAATGGTTGTTTCCAGACGCAAAGAATGACAATTCTGTGTCTGGTTCCCAGTCCAATGAGCATGATGACGGAAACTCGAGAAGGGAATGGCCACGTGAATGGAGTCGTCGCATCCCTTCAAATCACCGACCTTGAGAGATAATACAATCGAGCCATGTATGTGGCTACTAGTAGGAAAGCAAATAAATAACTCTAAGCTGTATTTTTATTTTTTAACCCTATGGACAAGTAAAATTTAAGGTTTGTCTTCTGGAATTTCTCCTTTTTGTCACCAAGAGAAACTGCGCAGCCATGACTTGGTTCAACAACTTGATACAACGTATGAGTAAAATTGATTGCTTTCGTTTTATACATTCCTCCTGTAGAATATCTGATGGGTTCTTGCGCAGCACTTCTTGTTGAAAGGCGGCTCCTGTTATGAATCACGAATGAATGGATGACTGAATTGATTGTTTTGTTTTGCTTTGTTGCTTTATATCAACTGCTATCATCATCACGGGATTGATACGTTGAGGAGGACACATCTTTTCACAAGCAGCGTGCTGGAAAGACTGGGGGTCGCTGCGAGGGAGACAAACCCAATCGTGGACGGCTTGTTCGAGTGGGTGCGAGTGGAGATGCTGATGGAGTTTTGCGTGAACTGATCAAGGGACTGTTGTATAAAATACTGTCACGACTGTGATAACTTTCCTCCTCTTGCTCCTTTTGTTCTTCAGCATGTTCATTCGTAACAAGACTGTCCAATAGGGAATTCATGGAAATCGAAGAGAGTCCCATGCTGGTGGTAGCATTGGATTCCTCCTCCTCCTCCTCATAAGCGAATTCATGCTCGTCCCAGACGACCTCAGCCGAAGCCTTCCTTTGTGGAGGAGAAGGTGGAGGAATATGTTTGGAAGAACACATGGCACTACGCTCCATGAACTTGCAGGGGTTTTCCATTTGTTCGTGGACGGACAGTTCCTTGTCGTTCGAGTCGTCAGAATAGGAAATCCTTCCGAATTGAACCGATTTGCGCTTGGGCTTGCAAGGCTGCATCATGGTGCTGTCGTTCTGTCCAGTTGTATTATGGTTCGACATGCTTTTAGGTTTGTCGTTGTGGGTGGTTTGTTTGGGAAGACACTAGAATCGTGTTTGACGGGTGGGTTTCCAAACTGTTCGAAGTTTGATTTTGTGGGCGTTGGGCTCGGTGATAAATTTTGGGAGACAACACGTGCCTTTCAGGAACTCACATGAATGGTTACGTAGCAAAGGTACCAGTAAAAGGAGCACGACTGACAAAGACTAACATTTTAGGCCCACCACAAAATCAGTGAAGCACGTTTCTCATAATGGGTCGTCGTTGCGATGGTAACCACGGCCGAAAAGTGATAAATGTTGGACAAACGAATAGTCCTACGACATGTTAATTAACGAAAAATTTGGCGGAAGTGTTCAGACTCCATTTCAACTCGTGGTCGTGAGTGAGCGCCGGCGAGTGAGAATAAGTGAGCGTCAAATGAAAAATGCAGTCGACAAGGTCGATTATTCTTAGATGAAAAAAATCGAGGCTGCATCGCTAAACCGCGCGGATTCATACGCACACGACAGTTGAGTGGGAAAATCAAGAACAGTCTACAGTCTATATACAGGCAGCTGTAGTGCAACAAAAAGGTGTTGATCATGGAGTTGGAATGGCAGAGTCCTCAACTAAACCGGAAACTAAACAGCAAGGCCTGTGAATCTATTGAAATTGAAGGAGATGACGGCAAAAATTGTTCCAATACACCGAAAGCCCACTCCAATAGACTCCCTGCCACAAACGAATCTCCACTCCCTCATTGGAACACTCGACGAGGGAAGCTCTTTGCAGTCAAAGCTTTGGCAATCATATTATTATTGGGATATGTCGGTCACGAACGTGGGCTGTCAGTCGTCCAAAGGGTGAGCTCTGGACGGCGGTTGACCTATGTTTCCCCATCAGAGTTACCCTTGCAACTAGCATTGTCCGTTTCTGTGCCTTCCCGGTTGCCCCCGACTGGTGCAGAGCAACAACAACAACAACAAGAGCAACAACAAGAGGGGCAACAACAGTTGAGTGTAGAATCATCTACCAACACAACAAACTTGCGAGGAATTTCGGAATCTAAAACAAAAACTAGGCCATCTTCTTCAACAACCACAACGGATGAAGATTCCAAGGATGCGAATAGTTTTGTACAAAAGGGCGACTAGCTAGAACACGGTGCTCTACAAGTCAGGGAAAATTATGATCCTGGTAATAAAGATTGACGAACCAAGCGTCTAGATCACTGCAGAAAATGAAATGGATGGTCAATATCCAACCTCACGACATTATTAAGGACTCTTGAAACAAGACAATCTTTGAATTCGATCAGAATCATCTGAGGAAACTTCTGACATTGGTCGGTGTGCGTTCAAGGTCCTGCTCACCATCATTCGCAAGATATTCCCAGCGATCAGCAGACGCGACTTGGAATGCGTTTGGTACTACAGCTTGAAAAAGTGATTGGAACCTCCAATAATTTGGTGATCCCAATTTGACAACCACCATTGACACAGCAGACATCTCCTATGGGAGAGTACTACGTGGATACAATAAGTGGAAACATCTACCACTACTCCACTGCAAATGCTGTAACCAATAAGACCAAATAAGACACAAACATACTTTAGTATAGCCTATTTCACACTCATTATTAATAATGCGTTCGTTCGCTCGTTCATTCAACCCTCAATTATTTGTCCACATCATTCGCTCGTTCATTCAACCCTCACTTATTTGTCCACATCATCACACTCATTATTAATAATGCGTTCGTTCGCTCGTTCATTCAACCCTCACTTATTTGTCCACATCATCACATTAGTTTCTCACATTTCTCACATTTCTTGCTTTGCTTCTTCTGCCTTTGCTTTCTTGTTGGCTTCCTCTTGCTTTGCTGCTTGTTCTAACCTTGCTTTCTTGTTGGCTTCCTTTACTGCCTTCTTCTCTTCTTCTGAAATTTTTATCTTTTCCAGTCGTTCCAGTAAAGTTACAAAAGTGGGTTGCTCCTTGCCATGCTCGTCGTAATATCTTGGATCCACTAGCTTTCCGACCAAATGATACTTGTCACTTTCCGAATAAAACTTTTGCCATTCCAAAATTCCCGTCAAATCAGAATCACTCAATTCGACTGGATCCTTCTTGGCTTCTTCTTTCGTAAAGGTCCCCGACACGAATGGCACAGTGGTATCGGCAGCCGTCAACGAATTGTAGGATTGACCTGGCCCATAATATTCCTTGCCTTCCGTCACATCGTATACTTTGCCCAATATGCTCAACCAAATGAGAGAGCCATTTTCGCCATTTTTGCTGTTGAATATAAATGCATGATGATGATGATGATGATGATTGTGGTGGTGATGGTAATGGTCGTCGTATATATATTATGGTAATTGGGACAGGTGGTTGGATCCACACACACAAAAAAGGGATTGAAAGGAGATGAGTTAGCATCATTTTCTCAACAACAACACATTGTGCAGCAAACCTTGTCCTCAGGACTTGGGATGGTCATGAACGACGACGCACACCCCAAAAGGGCAATCCAATGGCAACCTACGTTTCCAATTCTTCCAGGGTCACCAGCCTTCTCTCACTTGCACCACTCCTGCCAATAATGGTAAAGTATAGGATGCCAATCACGAGTGATATTGAGAATAATATATTTCTTGAGGTCATGGTTCTTTCGTATATTGGTGTATTGATGTGGAGACTCTTGGTGGACGTTATTGTTCCAGGATGAAGTACCTGGTCAGGATTTGACAAGATTGGTTGTTTGGTTGCGTCGTTCTTGATGTTTCTCGCACTTTCCTCCCTGGGTCACAGGTGCCGGATGGAAAACAGACGAGTCCGGGACTAATCGATCACACCATGATTGAGACATACGTGCGTGGACGTGAGTACCGCTTTGTACGAGGAACAAGGACGAAGTCGAAGGCTTCTCTTCCTTGGCGGAAAATTAATTGCAAATCGTCGTACAATCTTTTGTGTCATAAAAAACAAATGCAAAAGAAGAACCACATCACCCTCGGCATTTTTCACACACAAACACACACACACACACACACAAGTCATAAAGTCATATCCCAATCAAGGAAATAAATATCATTTTATACTACAGCACCAGGTACCAGGTACCATGAACCAACAACACCATCATCATCACTCTTCCATCCGCATCAGCTTGATCCTCTTCATTACTCTTCTTTCATCTTTGTCGGTGGTATCCAATGCTTGGACCATGTCGTCGGCGGTGTCATCCGGGTCAGATACTAACAACCACAAGTTTCGTTTACCAGTGCCCAAACGATTTCACAACAACAACAAGTCACAGTCGAAGACAGAAAGATATTTTCGCAATGGTGTAGAAGAGGACGAATCCACCATCGTGATGACACCAACACAACCACCACCACCAACACGACCAGCCTTTGTGCAGTCATCCTCCGTCGTCCAACCAATGGACATCACAATGCCAGTTGTTGTATCCACTGCCGAACTCAGTCCAATAGGAGGAGGAGGAGGAGCCGTTACAGACAATGTCCTCCGCACCATTGACTTGCCCAAACATTCTTCCCCAGCAGCACCTACTACTACTAGTACCAAGAACAACACGATGATGTGGGATTTGGAACTAATCTTGGGACGAACTGCCATGGTGGCAGGACTCATCATGTTGGTGGGAGAAGTCTTTTTTGGAGTCTCGCCATTAGTTTCATTGGTTGGCAACTCGTAACAAGGCAGAAGAAAAACTAAGATGCTGCTTGCCGGTAATGCTGTGCCATCGTCATTATCATCATACAACGACTGTATGATATCCTACAAGCAAGCAGACAAGCAATCATCATTATGGATAATACTGAACAAACAAGGAAACGACGCAACTCAACGAACTATATACGCATCTTTTGCTACAAGAAAGTCATCCATACTGTAGCATTGCAACAAACGAAGACAAGCTGACGATAATGCAAGCTAATCATGTAAAGTAACTAGCAATAGAACAAGAATAAACGAAGCACTGAAAACAACGTTTTAGGACAAAATTGTTTTATTAAGCAAGTATCGCCCAGATTCGACTCCGACGACACTAGATGCAATAGCGACAACACACGACACAGTGTTGGAAGCACTTTCCTCGTCCTCATCTTCATCTGGAGCAGCAACGGGGGCATCCGTTGCACCAGTGATAGGAGCATCCGTAGGGGTAGCGATGGGGGCACCGGTTGGATCATCCACCATGGAAATAGATTCCAACAAACCACAACCCACGCGGCCACCGCTATTGGAGTGAACAATAAAGGCCTTTCCTTCGTATTCCGTCTCGCCAGTACTGATACAATCCATATGTAGGTTGCCCAACCCCCAGCGCTAGTAGACTCGTACCGTACCCGATAATGGCCCATGGATCAGAGTCCATAGTGACCCATTTGGGTTTCGGTGGAGTCACAGCTGGTTCCAGCGTGGACATGGGTTCCACAACCATTGGTGGCAGTGCAGTTGGGACCTTGGTGGGGAGCATAAAAGGCAGAGAGATCAGGTTCCAAATTCATGGCGTATCCCATGTAACAGATAAGATCGGTATCGGCGACGGGCAGAGCCGTGACACTTCCCATGGCAGAAGAATCACCAAGGGATGCCAAACCGGCTCCGAGGTGGCTCTCCACCTTGCTCAAGATACCGCATCCGACACGAGAACCATCTTCGGCGTGAACCACAAAGGCACGACCTTCCAAGTCCACAGTTCCCATTTCGAGCGAGGCACCAAAGGTGGTGCTACCTTCGGCATCAGAAGAATATTGGGCAGTAATCCAAGGATCTGTCATGATGGGGTCGGCAAAGTAGTGACCGCCTTGGGCAGCAGAGTCTTCACATCCCATACCAGAGTGAATGTGGACACCACATCCATTGGTGGCAGGGCAATCAGAGGCCAAAAGCCCTGGTTCTAGCCCCATGACGTGGCCACCGTATCCAACAGTGGTTCCATCGGAAGTGTCGGCGAAAACAACGACCGACCCGCTAAACTTGAGTGTCGACACCTGGAATGGGTGCAATGCATGGTGGCTTGTTGGTACACTTTGTAACTGGGAACATTCGGCGTCGGGGGGGTCGCCGCCACCATCCACCATGGCTCCAGCAGGTCCCAACAAACCACAAGCCACACGGCTAGTACCACTGTCCGAATGAAGCACAAAGGCCTTTCCATCGTATTCTGTCTCGCCAGTGCTGATAGTACAAGAAGCCATGTACTAGGTTGTCAAGCCATCGGTGCTGGTAGTGTAGACTCGTATCCGACAATGGCCCAAGGGTCAGAGTCCATAGTACCAATGTAATAGTGACCCATTTGGGTTTCGGTGGAGTCACAGCTGGTTCCTTCTGTTTTGCGGTCAGGCAGCCAGATGTCAACGATGTCATATATAAAAATGAGTTACGATCCGATGTTCGGTCATCACTCGGTATCAGTAAGTAAGATATTTATATAAAAAATGGTGAGGGACATGGTCGATACGCGATCACGTTAACGATCAGTAAGGCTTTATCCATATCATAATACACAGTATGTACGATTGATTCATTCAAAACATCGAAGTACAGTGTACAAGGTAGGCAATAGGTTATGGGATGAAGCAGAACGACGGACATTCATTCGACACTGATCAGACGACGACAGCCCGACTGACTTCATTGACCACTTTTGAGAAAAAGGAGGCAGCGGATTTTATACAAGCAAAATAAAATCAATAAAAAGAACTCACCATCTCTGAGTGTCATTGCTATCGTTGAAGTAGCTAAAGTCTGGATAGTTTTCTTCCTCATACTGAATTTCTGAATACTGCTGAATGGAATAAGCTCATCAATATGCCCCAGCTATTTGCAATCCAGTCATGTCCCATATTGCATGGTCCTGTCATCGTCTTCGACAGCCGAGATGTGGAAATTCTGAAAAACCTAGGAGTGTCTAGCATTGCGAATGAAAACACTTCCGCATCATCGGATTATTCTCTGGTACGAGACGTTGAAGAAGCCAAAGATAGCCGCAAAGGAGAATTTTCCATCACCAAACAATTGCCTGATATCTTACCAAGATCCATGCAAACAACGGCGGCTGCGCGTGTTCTGAAGAACCGAAGAAGGGTTCCCTTTCAACACAAAACCTGTAACAACTATACGCAAGTGATGAAATATCTAAAGTCATCACCCCCTGCCCTTGAAATCTTGGAGGGTAGGCAGTTTGTTCTAGCCAAACCAACGGTTGGCCCAAGCATTGAAACAGCTGTGACTACTAAACCTCCCAATGTACTGCGGAACAAGAACAAGTCGCTCTCGAAAAACGCTCGAGTCTCTCCTCCCGTCCATGAAACAATTCCATCCAACGACGCAGGTGGCATTGCTATGATAAAGGACCAGGCCAAAGAGGAAAGCGCCAAGGCCAGCAAGGAGGGCACAAATAAGAAAAAGAAGAATGATGCCAATATCGACAAGGAGGACATCAATATGGTTGAAGCGGAGAGCACCATGGCCAGCCAGGAGGACACAGCTATGACCAACGACGAAAATACCAAGGCAAACGAGGAGGATACCAATATGGCCACAGAGGATAGCGTCAATGCCAGCCATGAGGGTGCAGATATGACCGAAGAGGAAAGTGCCAAGGCCAGCAACATTGACACCCTTATGGCTGAAGACGATAGCCCGAAGGCCAACAAGGATGACACCAGTATGGCCAAAGAGGATGATGCTTCCAATATCAACAAGAAGGACAGCAATATGGCCAAAGAAGATGGCGCCCATGTCAACAAGGAGGGCAGCAATACGAACAAAGAAGACGACGCCAATACCAACATAGCCAAAGAGGATGACGCCAATGTTAACAAAGAGAAGACCAGTACGAACAAAGAGGACAAGATGGACACCAATATGGCCAATGGGGATGACGGTAATGTCAACAAAGAGGGCACGAGTATGGCCAAAGAGGATGACGGTAATGTCCACAGAGAGGTCAACAAAGAGGGCACCAATTTGGCCAAAGGGGATGACGATAATGTCAACAAAGAGGGCACGAGTGTGGCTAAAGGGAATGTCGGTAATGTCAGCAAAGAGGGCATGGGTATGGTCAAAGCGGACGGCGCGAATACTAACAAGGCGGACACCAACACAGCCAAAGAGGCTGGCGCCAACACTACCGGCAAGAAGAACACTGATGAGACACCGAGAGAAAGCGATGAAGCCCGACAAGTTAAAAATGTTGGTGTCACTGACGATGACCATACGAGCAAGCAAGACGAAGTAACCAAGACACGGATCACCGAATCTGTCCCACAAGGCAAAGCTGATGTTCCGCAAAAGCCGTTGCCGTCTCCTGTCAACTTTCAAGACGCTCCCGCTCCTATACACAACATCGCCGAATTAATCAAAATTCGAAAGAGAGTCGCATCAACCCCAAAGACTTCGCCAATAATTGCACTAGCTGCTACAGCCGCTCCTCCTTCGCGAAAAAGAGGCAAGCCCCCAGGCAAGGGGAGCCAACCAGCAAAGAAACGGGGTCGACCCCCCAAGCACAAGAGCCTTCCACAAGTAGAACAGACGCAGGCTACCGGACCACCGAATCTTTCCAGCACTGTTCCTGTGGGAATCGCTGTGCCTGCACCCAAGAAAAGAGGTCGTCCGCCCAAAGTCAGGCCCCTTCCAACGAGTGAGCGTACTACAGCTCTACCGAATCCATCCGCTGTGAATCTCAAGCCAGCGAAGAAGCGTGGCCGTCCCCCAAAAGTAAAGCCTGCAGTTGTAGCTGTTCCAGTGGGACCAGTCCCGACTGCCGCGCAAGTGCCAAGCCCAGCCGTGGCAGCGCCTCAAGCAGCTCCCGCTGTCGAAGCTGTTGCTGTGCCACCACCAGTCGCCAAGAAGCGTGGGCGCCCTCCAAAGGCCAAAACTACAGATACAGCCGGTTCACCCTCTCCACCACCCACGAAAAGTGGACGTCCTCCAACACTCGTTGACACCACTACCGCTACTGCGGCACCAGTACCAGCTCAGTTGTCCAACCTTAGCACTGATACTCCTTCCAATGAAGGTACTACTACGCCCACACCTCCGACTATTGCGACGACCACAAATGAAACCAACACAACTGCTCGTGCAGTCGGAAGTGCAACTGCAACCGATGCTTTGGTACTTAGTCCTCCTAGGAAACCCCAAGGCAACATGGCCGACGAACCTTGCACACCGGGCAATGCCACGCTGTCACCAAACTCAACCAGTGACACTTCCTCCATCGGTGAGCTTTTGACTCCTGTTATCGAGAGTCCCATCACTTCGCCCGCAGGTTCGGAGCACTTTAGTACGAGAAATGCCGGAGCCACATGGAATGAAAAGTTTCTAGAGCTATTTCGATACAAGATGCAATATGGAAACTGCAATGTGTTGGCTAAGGACGACGACAGTACTCACAAAGCTTTAGGAGAGTGGGTACGAATTCAACGGTACGTGTCGTCAATGAGCAATGTGGCGGAAATCTCGTTCATGGAGTTCTTTCATTCGTGGGCTGACCTAGTTTGCTTTCGTTGTTCTCTATAGAAAACGTAAGAATGGAAAATCCAAGTCGCTCAAGCCGTTATCTATGGAAGAAGAGGCTAAGCTGAATGCCATTGGGTTCAATTGGAAGTCAGCGACTAAATTGGTGTGGGACGATCGGTACCGGCAGTTGGTCAAGTACAAAATGAGTGAGTCGATATTCTGTCGATTGCAGTTCTCTCTTTCAATTCTACCTCACATTGATTCCGTTTACTGCAACGCCAGAGTGTGGGAATGCTAACGTTCCACTTGACTACAAAAAAGATCCCACCCTTGCAACTTGGTGTGCCACGCAACGAAAACGCTGGCGACAGAAGTTGCAGTTTGAGGAAAAGCAGAATGGTGACCAATCACAAGAATTCACTGTAGACGCAAACGGGAAGAAGCGCAGATTACCAAGTCCAATGACTGACGAAGAAGAGGGGAAACTGTTAGCACTGGGATTTGAATTCTAAAATTGGATTGAAGGGGAAGTTATTCTACTCACATGCAAGAGCCAGAGAAGATACAGAGTACAAGATTTGTGGCAAAAGGCATACCGGGTCTTGGACTGCCTATTCGTACCTGTTTGGGTTCATGGGCTGTCTACGCATTCAAATAGATGCCAAGTCAATTATTCCAACATTACTATAACTGATTATATACCTATTTTCTTGTTCGAGATTACAATCAATCGTCCATGCCAATCATTCCCAGAAGCAACAATACGCAAAAGCACCACATGAGTTCGCGGTCCTATTTTGTGGAGAGGACACAACACATGAATATGAAAGCAGCTCCATATGCTAAAATATCTGTGATCGTGATTTTTCTTGCTGTTCTTGGTGTGTCGTCATAGGTTGGACGTTGTGTGGTAAGTAGCCATTGATATAGACTCGTAGAGTGCTGCGGAAGGGGTCATGGAAGGGGACTCGGATGGTGCCATGGAAGGGGATGGCTGAATAGAGGAAGCCTCAGCAAATTTTGTAAATTTGCTGCTCCCTTTGTGAGTTCCCTCGCAACCCAGTCTTGCCCATTGCCTCCTCGGTGGCAAATGCGGTGTAGTTTGAAATGTTGTGGATTATGAGACGACGATGATGATTTATTGATTTGATCAAACCCTCCAAATGCGCTAGGAGACGCGGGAAGTACTGACTGCAGTGTAATAGAACCAAGACTGTTTCTTTCGACTTTCAGACGCGGAAATAGAGGAGTGTCTGACCTTCGTAGGTTATAAAAGACGGGAAGGTAGAGATAAGGGAAACTGTTGGCATTGGAGTTCGAATTCTAAAGTGATTTTGAAGGGGAAGGTATCCTATTGGCACGAAGAGGCATGCAGAAGCGCCCGAGAAGGTATAACCGACAATGCATGCGAAAGATTGTTGCAAAAAGCATATATCGGCTGCCTTCTTCGTCGTGGGACTACCACTACGGTTTGGTGCGGCGATCATGTAGTTGCCTACGAAGTCACATAAGATATCGAGTTAATCTATTCCAACATCACTTTTAATAATTATAGACCTACTAGTCAAGCATGCACAATTACATGAAACACAAGCATTGGGGGGCACATGGCGTGGAAACCAGCAAGAATGCCCAAAAATATCAACTAAACAATATTCTAGCAGAGGCGTTGGGCTGGGGTGATTGTTCTTGTTGTATCGGTATCTTCATCTTCGTTGGGTGAATTTCGTGTGGATGATTCGAAAGCAGCCATCGTCCTTTCGACTCGTAAAGCGGCAAGAATGAGCGAAGAACAAGGAGCCATCATGGAAGGGGAATCGGATGGTACCATGGATGGGGACTCGGATTTTGTAATGGATGGCTGAGCAGAAGAATCTTCTGCGATGCTTGCAACCCGATGTTCCCTTTGTATTTGCCCTCGCATCCTACAGTGTTCTTGTGAGCCGCGCGGAAAGTGTAGAACCAACAGGGTCCTTATATATTATGAGACGCAAAACTCGCGCAGAAAGCTTGGCGTGTCTGGCCTTTGTAGGAGAGGATCCATCACTTCTATCGCAGATATATTTCTGAGTCACAACAGTATCGTCGCCATCACACACCATCGCAACATCACAACTCTTACATTGGAACCCTGTTGACAGCAGTCAACTACAGTACTGCCTCTCTTTTCTTCGAAATCTTTGTGGATTAACCGCATACTCTACACTCCATTCATTTCCTAGTGAAAATCTTAAAAAACAGGTGAACAATGAAGTTTCAAACTTTCGTTTACTGTTCGCCGCTTTGTCTATTGGCAATGGCAATGGAGTCCAACGCCTTTTCTGGTTATGTTACCAGTAGGAATCAATATTTTCCCTCTGGAGCCACTGTGGGGACTGCTCCACGAGGAAGTAGTCGCTCGGCATTAGCTCTGCAAGCGGCTCATGTTTCGTTCTCCGGAACAGCGACATCGAAATATCCACTCTTTGTAGCCAGTTCCGATGGAATGAATCCTCGACAAGAGAGACCTTCTCTGAGACAAAAATTACAGACTGCACTTCTCTTGCTCTCTCATTGGGTATCCCAACTAGCCCGCAAAGTACGGCTTCCTCTGGCGGTCTTGATGTCCGCTTGGATGCTGAACTTTGGAGGACTCTCGCCACTGCCCGCACACGCCGCCAGGGCAACAGCTACTCCGACCAAGGCAGCCCCCAGCCGACCTCAAAAAAGGCCCAAGCAACAACAGAAAGCATCAGAAACTGAGAAATCCACGTCGTCGAGCAAGGACCGCAACATGAAACGAGCAGTAATAGCTCTTGGATTCGGAGCAAGTCTGTATTCCGTCACCACGAATCGCAAACGTGGTTTTGGACAGGCGCAACAAACTGATGGTGAAGCACCACCCATGAAAGTCGTGGAAAAACTGACATTGGAAGACCTAGAAGATTTGGAACACTTGGAGCATGAAAAGACAATGGAAGTATTGACCACTGATGTGGAAATCGAGGAATCCATTGCGATTACTTCCGAGGCGGAATTCCCACTCACTTCCAATGATGATGATGATGTTGATGATGATGAAATTGTAGCCAAGAAGAAAAAAGAGGAGGACAACCCCATTATCGAATTCCTCGATGCTGTTGGAGCCAATCCCGAAGTCGTCTACGGATTCTTGGGATCATCCTTGTCGTTTATGGCGTCAGAGAATCTTCTCATTTCGGGAATTACCTTTGCTTGGATTTTCAAGCTGTTTAAAGAATCAGAGGCGTCCGACTTCACCGATGATGACAATGGTGATCAAGATGACGAAGAAGGAGTGACTGCAGAAATTGAAGCAGATGACGAAGAAGAAGTGATTGCAAAAATCGAAGAAGAAACGGAAGAAGTTATTGCAGAGATCAAAGAAGAAAAAGTGGAGGAGACCGTGATCGAAACGGAAGCTGTGGTGGAAGAGAATAAATCACATGTAGTTCTTGAAGATTATAGACCAGAAGAACTGATGGCTGAAGCATCCTCTATTGCTGAAGAATCACCCCAAGTGCCAGAAGAAATTCCCACCGAAATAACCGAAGAAGTCGTCGCCGAGACCAGCACCAAAATTGAGGAGATTGAGGTCACAAACGACAGCAGTGATGAAGCAGAAGAAGAGAAGGAAGAAGAAGTCATCCCAAACCAAGAGACAATTGAAGAGGTAGTAGCAGAAGAGGCTTCTGAGCCCCTTGTTCACGAAGAAGAAGAGGAAGAAGTCATCTCAGATCAAATTGAGATTGAAGAGGTTGTAGCAGAAGAGACTACCGAGCCCATTGTAAAGGAAGAAGAAGAAGAAGAAGAAATCATCGCAAACCAAGCGACGACGATTGAAGAGGCTGTGGCAGAGGAGACTGCCGAGCCCATTGTAATCGAAGAAGAAGAAGAGATCATCCCAGATCAAATTGAGATTGAAGAGATTGTAGCAGAGATGACTACTGAGCCAATTGTTCTTGGAAAGGAAGAAGAGACCATTCCAAACCAAGAAGAGATAGAGGACTCTGTACCAGAAGCAAAAATGTCGCTTGGAGACAGGGCGTACAAAGTTGTCGTGGATCTCGGATTGATAGAATGGGACATTAAAAAGAGGGAGAAGAAGTAAGAATTTTTCATCAAAAGCGCCGCATCTATTTCCTTTCAATGAATGCCAAGGATGACAAGATATAACTTCGGCAGTATCTTTTAACCGTGACATGAAAACCTGTCGCAGCAGCTAGCACCTTCAATTGTAGTCATTCGTCATTCATCTCAATTGCAATCATTTAGCCGTATACCAAAAGACAAGGTGATTATGAAAATAATTGCTTCTGTTTAAAAAATAATCCTACAACAGTTTCTTTCACACAAAGAGATACACACACACTGGAGCACAAAATCCCACAACAGTTCGCTTAGCAGGTCTTTTCGTCTATTGACTGGAAAGATCCCGCTTGGGTGTTTTTTTTACCCCCGTCTCGGCATTGACAACTTCCTCACTGCCGACTAAATTATTGACCGCTTCCACAAATTCCTTGGCATCCTCTGGTGAGACTAGCACATCCCACTTGCCATTTTTGCGGCACAAAATCACCCGATGCGGTGGTTTCCAAGTAGTGGCAAACTTGATGCGGGGCATCATGAGTTCGTCAGGTGAAAAGCTAGATTCGTAGGCTCTTGTGACGTCCGTGAACTTCCAAGTCGTCAGCATCGTCTTGATGCCAATGACACCGTCGGAACGAACGTCCACCGTCTTTGGAAGCACCAGCATAAAGACTAGACCAATGAAAAGAACAGACCAGAGTAACGTCCATGCTGTATGAAAGTCTCCATCCCTCAATGCAAAGAAGAGCGGAAATAAGACGGTAGCAGTACTACCTACAAGCAAACAGATCATCAATGGATGATATTTGCTGCTCGTCCTTAGGATAATGTTGGGTGGCTGAAGTGATGCTTCAGAACCAGTGCTTTTGGCGGGTGATGATTTCATAATACTTTGTGGTTTATTGGATGATTTTAGATGTGATTGGTGTCTTACCGGTAGTATGTGAAAGGGAATAAGGTTGAGTTGGTTCGTTGATGAATAAGACAGAACCCTCAATTGTTCTAAGTCACGATTCAGCTGAAATGGAAGGGATATGGAAGGACCGCCATATTTTCAGTCCGTGAAATCACACTTAAGCGGCGTGCTGGCGTTGGACGAACCAAAGGTCTAGTGTTCGGATGAGTCGAAGAAAAAATCGTCAATATTTTAATTTTGAAGTCTGAACTCTTCGTCTTGCTGAATCATCATTGTCCTACAACAAGACAGGAAACCATCTTTGATACGCCTTGTCAAAGACGCAATGTTCAAACGTTGTCTCAATCCTACCGACAAGATGATGGTGGATGAGATTTACAACGAGAAGGACGTCCAAAGACTCCGAGACAAGCTTCAACAGATGAAGCAAAAACGTCAGCAACTTCAGGCTCTGCGATCCGAGGTTTCCAAGTGTCAAGAGAAAGCTCAACATCGTGTGGACGAATTATATCTAGAACGACAACATCTGGTGGAAGAATTGGAATCCATTTTCAAAGAGAAGCGTGCCATTCATGAATTCTTGGAGCTATCTGACAAATGGAACGTCATCAATGACAGCGTGCACATATGGCATCAGGGACCCTTTGCGACCATTCACAATTGTCGATTGGGTTCAGAAGCACCAGCGATTTCCCCTCATCCGCCGACTGAAGCGATGCGACACAAACAGCAACAGCAACGACAATCGGCACCCACAACACCGCCACGAGGAGGTTGGAATCTGTTTGGGTCCTCTCAAGTCGCCAATGACCCATCCCCTCCTTCCGGCAATCGTACAGCCAGTTCTTCTTCTGATGTATCCTCGAATGGTAACGGTGATAACAGTCATGTCGCTGCCTTTTCTGTTCCCAAAGTAACTTGGCCCGAAATCAATGCTGCCTGGGGACATGTAGTCTTGCTAGTTCAAATACTCGCCCAACGCTCTCAAACCACTCTACCACATACCCTCCAACCCATGGGAGCCACAAGCAAGATTTATCTCAATGGCGATGCGAATTCAGGTATTTTGTATAGTGTCCACTTTGAGGAATCTTCGCTGTGGGGACGTTCCAATTTGCGCAATTTTCATATTGCCCTGAATGGAGTCTGCGATTGCCTGTGGCAATTGGCGCAATCGCAAACGGATAAAACAGTGGCGGTTCCGCATCACATGGTCTATGACAAGACGCAAGCATATTGGAAGATTGGGGGAGTGGCCTTGGTGCATTTGAATCAAACCAGCAATAACAACAACAACCAGAATGGCTCTCCACCAAATGGAAATCAAGCGGGAGTGGACTTTACGCGGGCGTGCAAGTACCTACTGACAAACTTGAAATGGTTGGTGGCCTATTCCGTCAAGCATCATGCGCAACGATAACGACATCATATGGGTCCTCGTGAGAGAATGTCAAACTGAATACTACGGGCACCACTGCTTGTGTTTATCTAGTATAGTAGATGCAAAAAGGGAATTGCAACCAACGTTGGTTGTCACTGGGCACATGAGTGCTGTCTCCAAAACAGCATTCAGACTCGGAAATCAAGAACTTGTCTACACACTGTCACTGAAAGTTGGACTATTGACCATGCTCCAAGCAAGGCAATCTCTTCCGACAGTAGTGGTTGGTTGCATATTGAATGCACCAATGGGCACATGAATGCTGTCTCCAAAACAGCATTCAGACTCCAATATCATGAACTTGCCTACGAACTGTCATTGGAAGTTGGACTCTCGATCATGCTCCAAGCAAAGCCAATCTCTTCCAACATTTGGATGCGGTTACGAATCACTTCGTAATTCAAGGATTTGGGCGTTTTGCCCAGATCGCAATTTTTCTTCATGTTGCGTTGGGTGCTGACCCAGCGACCCAGGGGACGGTTTGCCTTGTGTTTGGTGGGGACATGACCTAGTAGAACATGGCAAGAAAAACGTGAGCTGGTTGCTTGGCATTTGGAATGATGGTCAAAGGTGATAGATTCATTCGTTCACTTACAGTCCCCATGTACGCTTTTGTATTCCAACAGCTCGCGAAACTTTTCGTCCCAGGCTGCCTGCCCTTTGGGTTTGGCCCATTCAAAGCCTATGTTTTCCAGCAAATCCATGCGTCGCCGGGTCATGCTGCTTCTGGTTGCTTCCCCATAGGCTTTCATTTCCATGCGTTGCTTATTGACCCAAATTCCCAAGGCGTGATTATCTTCGTATTGCTGGGGAACGGCGGCTGAAAAAGAAGAACAAGACGAAAAGAAAAAGGTGTCAGTTGCTGTGGCTCTGTGAACCATGATCCGCAGGAGACATTCAAGAGCACTTACTGTCACCAAACTTATTTGTGTAATCGACCAATTCATTGAATCGTTGGTACCAACTGCGAACTGCCTTTTGGGCTCGATTTGTCGTTGCTTCCTCCAGTTCCGTTGCCGTGGGACTTTGATGAACATGATTGCCTCGAATCTGTGGCGTCGCTGTTTGGCGACGTGCACCTCGAGCCTTCCTCGATCGGCGGGGCTGTGGTCTTCTGGCAGCAGCTACTGGGGATGGTGGCGAATTGGAGGCAGCAGCTCTGGTCGACGTAGTATTGGAAGCAGCATAGGCGTCAGGATCTCGCGATGCAATAGGAGGGACATTTATTGGAAGTAAATTGGAAGCCTTCATTGGAGAAATCGGTGGTCGACTGGGAGAGTAGCTTACTGCTGCTGGTTTTTGGTCCATTTCGGTTGGCTTGTACATAGCGTGCCATGTTGAGGGAAGGTAGTATTGTGGTTCGAAACGATATACCATATGATGATGACTCACATAGGGATTATGTGGATCGGCATGGTAGTCGTCATACGGCTGAGGATGCATTTGGTGAAATGGGCTGGCAGCGGTATTGGCATAGAATCCAGCAGCAAATGAAGGTGGATGGGGCGGGCTGGCGAAAGGAAACTGTTTTGGGTCTTCCCGCCCTGCATCGTCTGGTGGATCTGTCTTGTACTGGTCATGATATCCTTCAAATGTAAAGTGTTCACCAGGATGTGGCAACACTTCTTCTCCTCGTGGTTCAAATGGATTGCGGAGAGGGAGAGGTGAATTGGAATATCCGCCGTCAAACGAGTTGGTTGTCTGAATGGGAGAAGGTGGAAGTGGTCGCTCTGTATTCGGCCATATAGGAGGAGCTTGACTGATGGGATGAAATGAATGCGCTTGGTAGGCCTCCGCACTGCCACCGCTGCTACTGGAGCTTTGTTCACGATCCTCTTGGAGACTCGTCGGAAAGGGATGATTCATCTTGGTGGTGGTGGTGGTGGTGGTTTCCTTGATAATCCCCACTCCGTTGGGTTTTGATGCATAGAATTATGAGAGAAACTTGGAATTGCTGGGTTTGATGGAGGTGTGTTTCCCAACGATCTACTACAAAATTTCGTGGCGTCCAAGTGACTATTGGTTTGGGTTGGATCATGTGCAACACTCCTCGAGTAGGCATTGGAAGTTTCCAATTGCACCAATATTTGCTGTTGGACCTTGTTTTGAGGTGAAGAATGTTCCAACATCCAGTTTGAACCGTGTTGGTGCAATGCTCGGGGCATGAGAGGGATGGAATGTTCCAACGTAGGTTCGAACGCACCATTCTTCAAGTGGCCCAAGTCCAGTTTTTGTGAGAAGAATTTTCTCGTCCAATTTGAACCGTGTTGGTGCGTAGCGTTTGTTCGTCCCTCCACAGTTAGTCCAGAATGCCAGAAAACTTGAGTGCTTGGATGGAGAAAAGCAGGTATTATATGATATCATGCAATCGCCACAGATATGCGATCGATTTTGATTATTTGACTACGGTACGTTGAACAGAAGCAATATCATATGCACTATTACAGTACCGGTACTGTAATAACGCTAGCAGATCCATCTGCAACATGACAAGAATACTGCAGAAGCAATAATTACACCTAAAGTGGTGTCCCAAACAATAGACAACTGGCAAATATGTTTTGACATGCTCCGTGATAATAATGATGATTATGATGATATGCTCTATGATTGCTGTACTATGCTGCAATTGTTATTGGATCCAGACCCCAAATCCGTTCACATTCAAACAATGTATTGCATTTCAAATCTCGCTTATTCCGTCATGTACTCCAAAACGGCGTCACTGTCGTCTTTTGCCCTATCAAAGGCTTCCGTCCGACACGTCGTCGACGCCGCCAAGTACAAGTCACTAATGCGCACATCACTAAAATTCCCAGACAAGTGTTGTATTTCTTGTTCCACCAAGACGGCATTCCACGCCGCATATCGTTCCTCCTTGTCCTTTAGGAAATGTTCCAAACCTCGCACGCACTTTTTCGTCTTCTTGCCTTCCTTTACCCGCAACGCAATGGCCATGCTTCGATTCAAAATCTTGTCAAAATCCTTTTGTCGAAACCACAAATCAGATCGTTTCGAAGCCAATTCGTAGGTAGGAATGATGGGAGTAATAACGAGGGTCTCGTTGAAATAGACATGGGGGGGATGTTTGAGCTTTGTTGGTAACAATTTGCCTCGTGAACCTTTCATGCAAGAAAGCAAGGGCCGTTCCACTTCCATGGCCTCTGCCGCAGTGTGAGCCTTGCGTTCTGGACTGGCGGAAAAGCCACGTTTGGAACTGGGTCGATCTTCGTCTCTGCCTCTGGACGAGCGTTGACGAACTGGCCCACAGGACAAGCCACGTCGAGATGAGGGTGTCCGTTGCAGAGAGCGCCTCGAGGGTGGAGGTTTGATGACTTCTTCCTTGATGCTGGGCAATTCTTCTTTTTTTTCTTCGTCTTCTTCGTCCTTGCTGTCATTCATCAAACTGAAATCAATTTCCGTGAGCGAGGCATGACCCAAATACTTGGGAAGCTCCTTTTTCTTCTCTTGGACTTTTTTGTCATCATTGTCCTTGTCATTGTCGTCGTCATCATCATCATCATCTTCACTTAGATCTAAAGAAGAATCGGAAGACGTTCTGCCACTCTCACCAAAATTACCAAAGTTAATGCTGTTGTGAAACATGGAATTGACCCCAGCCGATTGACATTCTTCGTGCAACGGTTGGTTTTTTGTGGCAATCATGGGTGCTGCAGTAGTAGTAGTAGTAGTGTTGTTGTCTTTTTCCACCAGACTGGCCCAACTTTCGTCCATGTCGACCGTAGCCGAGGTGGTGTTGGAAGCATTGGATTCGGCAGATTTGCGCTTGTCCTTTTTGCTTGCCTTTTTGGATTTCTTTTTCCGGCTGCTGCTGCGTGCTGGTGTGGAAGAGGAGGAATCGGCCGTGCGTGAGGATCTGCGAGAGCGTCTCGAACTGCCACCATCCTTGTCAGACGTTCGTTTGGAGCGCCGTGAACTGTCTTCGCTTCCGCCTGTTTTTGTGCGTGAGGAGGAACGTTTGGAACGTCTGGAACTGTCATCCACTGTTCGTTTGGAGCGTCTTGACGAGTCACCACCATTGATAATGGAAGCCCTCGTTTTGCGCATGGACGAGACCATTTCACCGCCCATGGGCAATGCTGAGGATGCATCGCCATTTTCTTTCAAGGCTGTGGAGAGTCCCAAGAACCTCTTTTTGGAACTTCGTCGCTTGTTACTTTTGCTCGATGGAGTTTCAGGAGGGGAACAGAGCGAAGAAAAGGAAGGAGATTCGGCTTCTTCGGTAATGGATTCGTCCTCGGAAACGTCTCCTCCTTTGGGAGACTTGAACTGATAATCAATGGCCGACAAGGATTTGCTTTTGCTGCCTTTTAGCTTTGATTTTCGGCTCTTTCTTGTGGATGATGCTGATGATGCGGATTTTCGTTTAAAGACACCAGGCGATGGTTCTGGTGGCGACATGAGTGCTTTGGCCAATTCGCTATTGGGAGGAGGTGGGACGTCTTCGCCATCTTCCAGAATATCATCTTCATCATCGGAGAGAATGTCGAGATCGTTCAAATTGAGAGAACCAGCGACGCTGTTGTCATCACCGTCATCACCATCCGTAGAAGTGTTCAATTCCGCCAAGGTACCCACGGAAGCACTGCGACTCTTTTTGGGCATGCTGACTGGAGTGGAATGTATAGTAGGCAACTCGATTGCTTAGAGCGTTGAATGTGTGTGCGTGTGTTTGATGGATTCTTCCTTTCTAACGACAGTCGCGTTTGTGTTTGCCGTACTGTATGTGTATGTGTATCGTGTGTGTATGCATGTCTTGCCAAACCAACTTGAACACTTGTTTTTGGTTTCCAAAGGCGCATTCTCAATGGCACACCCAACTGTGGCTTCCACGAATACATATTACACGAATAGTGGTAGGGTTTCTACACAGGTTTTCCACGTCGACTCCCTATGCATTATTTGCAGAAATAGACGGCTCGCGTGCTTTGGGTATTTACTCGTCAATTTCTTGACACAATAAATCTTACTCATTCGCCTTCAACTATGGACTATCAACATTGCGCAGCGTTCCTCGCTTGGGAATGTCGCTCGATAAATTTAGCCTAAGTATTCATTTTTGACGCAATCACGAATACTAAGTGTTCACTGTTTGACACTGCAACTACCTATGCCCAGCACGCTTGCTCTGATCAGATTGACCCCAATCGGCGAGTGACCAAAAATCGTCTTGGTGTCCGACCAAAAGTCATCACCTTCGTCCCAACAGCGTTTGGACCAACGCGACTGACAAAATTCGCAGTTCGTATCTGCACCAGCACGGCAGGTGGGATGGAGGGGCCAATCAGAAACATGGATGGTTTCCAATTTCCAGAAGCACCTATCTTGTATGGAATATTTGACATCATCCTCACCCGCAGTATCCCGCCCTTTTAGAATTAGCGTCACATAGAATCATGAACCTGTTCAACAAATCCAAGAAAAGCCCCAAATCCAAATCTAGAAAGACGGCGGACCAAGAAGCGGAAGCGAAATTAGAAGACGCAAAGGCCAAAGCAAGGAAACATCGGAGGAATAAGAAAAAGAAGAATGAGAACAGTAATAGCAGCAGTAGCAATAGCAATAGCAGTTATAGCCAAAGTCCCATCAAGAGCAACAACAAGAACAAAAAAGGCAAAAGCAAACTAAATCTACTGGATTTGAATGCCAGCCTTCCCCATAAGAACAATAATCAAATAGGAGAACGAGGACGTCCCACCCAGAGTCAAAAAAGCCGAAGCCTGGATTTGAATGACAATTTCCCCAACACGGAACGCCATCAAGCTTTGAGGAGGCGCACCCGTCAAAAGCCCAAACAATCGTCCATGAAACGGGAGGATGGTAGAATAGACCGCCGCCGTCGTTCGAGCATTTCCTTTTGCGAACAGTTGGAAGTCAAGGACATTATACCTCTCAAAGATCTGGTGGATGACACTCGCAAATTATGGTGGAACAATCAAGAATACCAACAAATTGTGGAATTGTCCTGTGCCACGGTCAATCTAGCTCGAGTGGACAAGACGACCTATACGAGGGGATTGGAAGATTTGATGCGAGACGATCATGCGGCTACCTTTAAAACGAGGAATGATGTTTTACTGGCACAGAAAATCTTGAGACGAAAAAAGGTCAAGGACGATGAAGCTTTATCAGGACTGTATGGGAGATCAACGGCCAAGTACAACAAGGAAGCAGAACTTCGTGCCGAACAAGACGCCAAAGAAGTGCAAACCTATTTGGCGGATACGAGACGAAAGGCTCGACGAACATGGTCCGTTTGAAAAAGTTGTAGTGTATGTTGTGTTGTGTGTGTGAATGAATGAATGAATGAGTGGTTTGTTTGTGTGAGCAATGGTGGAGCGAGGGCAATTATTTTTTGTAGATGTATCAATAGCAAATGAATATTTTTTAAAATTAAAAATAGATGATAATAATGGCTACTACTAGGGTGGGACTACTAGACAAATACTGTAGTAAAGATCTAAACCATCAGAATCAATGCCACCACCACAAGTGCAGTAGTGCCAGCGTAGCCAAGATGTTGATGAAAGTGGCGCCAGTCGTTCCACCACTACTACTGGCATCATCTTTGGAAGAATAGGGTGCCAAAGTCTTGTCGGATGGAATACTGTCATTATTATTGGCCACGGGTTGTTGCATGGTCACACAATGGGCAATCCCTCCATCCTTGTACAATTCGGTAAAGACAATCTTTTTGATTTCACGATTGGGATACAAGTCTTGCAAAATGGCAGCTGCGATATCGTCATTGGGGTCTTCAAAAATGGGAAATACCACGACATCATTGCCTACATAGTAGTTCATGTAGACGCCTCTGGTAAAGTTGAGGGCTTCCAGTTCCACAGAAGTCTTGGGGAGCTCGACAATCTTGTATGGTGCTCCATTGGCATCTGTAGCATTGGTAATGATATCGTATTCCGATGGTTCGAAAAAGGCATCTCGTCCGTGAAGGACAATGGTGTCGTCATTGGCAAATCGGGCATCTCCATCTAAAAGAGAGAGAAGAAGAAGAAGAAGAAGAAGAAGAAGAAAAGAAGGCAAGATATGCTTGTCAATTCAAGAATGATTTCTGAAACGACAATGGTTACCGGTATATACTACTATATACCTCATCTGCAGTCACTTACCAATATGATCGTCGGTGATATCCAGACCTTTCGTACCATCCACCCAAATAAAGTTGGTCACTCCCAAATACCTCTTGAAATAGGCCTCTGCATCTGCCTGCGACATGCCAGGATTGCGGTTTTCATTGATAATCGAGGATCGCTTGGCCATGAGGGTACCACGTCCGTCCACTTCAATACTTCCTGCTTCGTTTACCATTGGAACGGCTTGGTAAGGATGAGCTTTTTCATCGGCAACACATTCGGGAATGACATCGTCATTGAAATAATCTTGTTTGTCACCCTATAGTTACACAACAAGAGAGAGAGAGAGAGAGAGATTGACAATCGGGGATTGAAATTAGCATGGTCTCATAAATGATATTATCTCAATCAGGATAATGGAACGTACCCATCCGTTGAATATCCAGTCCTCAATGATTCGATTTCCATATTGATCAAATACATACACTGGCCCATTATCTCGGACCCAAACATCATCGGTCTTATAGACAAAGAATCTGATTTGAGTCATGTCTGCACCCTCTGCTACCAGCAGAGTCTCAATGCCCGCCCTGTGATTTTCGTCGTAAGCAACAATGTGGACCTTTTCTCCAGTGTGTAGGGCAAGGGCCATTTCCAGCCAGATATCCTCATATCTCTCTTGATGAATCGGATCCCAACCATAATTGTGTGGCCATTGCAACCAGGTGGCTTCATGCTCGATGGTATCTTCTGCTGGATACGTGTAAATGTTGTCAGGATCTGGAATGGTTGGGAGGCCACTGGCATTAACAACAGTTGCGATGCAGAACAAACTAGTAAGGAGACGAGTACATGTACATGTAATCATGATCTTCATTCTCAACCTTGTATGGCCTTTCTACTGCAATGCCACAATTGTCAGCCATTGACTGCGTTCGCATTTTATCTATGTATATTGTAATGTAATACCGGTACGATACCGCTACCAGGTATTAGGCGTGCGACAATACTTTTTTGAGATGATTGTTGCGGTCCAAAACCCGGATCTTCAACACCGGCCGCATGCATCGCAATATGGTTACAAAAATACGTTTGATCAAGTAGTAAACCATCCCTCGTTCGTTACACTGACATGCATGATCTAATCTTTTAGGTTGCTATTACATCAAATACTACTTCCAATTCCACAGCAATTACTCTTCTTCGTCGTAGAACTCGGATTTTTGGAATTCTGCGTTGATCAAATCCTCTTCCCTGTTTGACATGTTGTGCTTCTTGCCTCTCTTTGCTCTCTTCTTATGCTTTTTCACGAGCACATGCTTGATCTTCTTTGCTGCTCTTGGAGTGCGAACGCCGACAACATCGTACACTGGTGATCTGATCGTGTTCATATCTTGTTGTTCATGATCTTCATCTTCCGATGATGATTCTTCGTCAAGAGCACGAAAGCCACCACGTTCGAAAAGAGAACGGTAACGGTATCTTGTTGCAGGAGCAGAAGTACTGCTGGAGTTGTCGTCGGAGGATGAGGAGGAGGAAGATGATGATGAATCGCTCGCGGTCCGCACCAGATCGCAGCCTCCGGCATGTGCGGTACTAACAGTGTTCACCTCGAGTTGATTGCCGTACATCTCGCAAACGCAAGATACTGTGGCACCACTTCCTAAAGTGATGACATCGTCAGGCGACCTTGTAACGAGCTCGGGCATTCTTGGAATCGTCCCAACCAGATTGTTGGAGTTGATGTGTAGTTCTCTGAGAGCCGCCATATTGACAATCTGTGTTGGAATAGTGCCATTGATTCCTGAATTTGAAATGTCCAAGTTTTCCAATTTGGAGAGTCCGAACAGCTCCGTTGGGATGGTTGTCCCCGTATAGGTATTCTGCGTGAGGTTGAGGCTTCTCAGCTCAGTCAACTTGGACAATTCCGATGGGATTCCGTTCGTCAAACCATTGGAGGCTGCAAAAATGGTTTTCAATATTCTGTTAGATTCCAAATACAATGCATGCAATATCACACACTCTCTGCCAACTATACTTACGCAATGAAACCTTTGTGATGCGCTCATTTGCATCGCAAGTGACCCCAGTCCAAAGGCAAGCAGAGCGACCAATTTGAGCGAAGTTTTGAAAGGATTGGAACATCGCGTATCGATCGGCCCATACACCTTCATCATTGTCTGTTAGGGGCATCCATGTATCATTGTAGCTCAACCATTCGATAGCTGTCATATTATTGTAATTTGGTGGCAACATTCCAATGATAAAGCTCATTCGACTAGTAGGAGCATTTGAAATAGAAGGCGCCAAAGATGGTTCTGATGACAGTGAAGGAGCGCTCGAAAGGGAGGGCATCGTGGAAGGGACCATGGAAGGTTTTGCAGAAGGCGCTGCAGTGGGTATAGCTGACGGCATCCCTGTTGGAAAAGCACTGGGCTTTGCTGTAGGAGCTCGGGTAGGTTGCGGGGTTGGAGCTTTTGTAGGTCCCTTGGTCGGTGCCATGGAAGGTTTTCCAGAAGGGCTCGAGGAGGGCGAGCTTGATGGGGCCCCACTTGGTGCAATAGAGGGCATTCCGGTCGGTGCGCGTGATGGAGAGGAACTAGGGCGGTCAGTTGGAAACTGTGTTGGGCTAACACTTGGTGAAACGGTTGGATCGTTGTTCTGGATTCCTCTCACCACAACGTTTTGAAAGGGAGGGTTGGGCAACCCAAGACTCTTCACCATTGACGGGGTAAGAATGCCGTTGGAAGCAACATCTTCCCGGGTAGTCAACTCATTCAACATCGATGTGATGAGGGACATTACTTGGAACACGCGTTCGTCTCCCTTGAGATAGAACTCAAAGTAGATAACCACATTGAAACAAGACAACAACTGGCCAGAAGTGCTTGCAGCACATTCCACCTCGTTCGTTTTCGTGCCAGATACTCTACCACCAGCTATGACGTAACGAATTTGTTCCAACTCACCCAGTTCTCGGCGCAGAAGGCTGCCTTGCTCATAATTGGAGTTTAGCTTTCGCTGGAAACCTTTCACATCGTCACATCCAGCAAGAATGGGGACCAAAACAGATTCGATCTTCTCGGGAAAGAATGCAAACAATTCGTCTTCGGTCCTGAAGTTACCTCCTGGACGCACGGTGACATCGAAGCTAATATCCATATTACGCGGTAGGAGGTCACTGGCTGTGGTAGTGCGCACATCTTTACCGTCGCTCAAGGCTTCACAAACAGCAAGTTCAGGAGCAGGATACTCAACTGTTGGCATTCCAGTGGGAGAGAAGGTAGGATCCATGGTTGGCACGACTTGAACAAGGGGGGCAGCACCATTGTTACTGTTGATACTCTTCGAATCAGTGTTACCTCCTTTCATCAGCATGTACGTAGTCACAACTGCAATGATCACTCCGACGGTAAATGCACCAATACCAAAGAGGGATGTAGACTTCATCGACGAATGTGGGCTCGTGGTGCTGGACTCCGAGAGTTCGTTGGAGACCTCTTCACTGTCTGAATCTGTAGAATCAACCACCACAAGACGCTTCTGCTGCTGTCCACTTGGGCCATAGGCGAAGGCAGAGCCCCCATTGTGTGGAACAGAAGCAGAGCGGGAGCTGGAACGCCCACTGTGGCCCTTGCTTCGAACGGATCCTTCTCGCTTGACACTGACCCGGCGTTCACTGGAACTTCGGGTTTGTGAAGCGTGCCGTTCGGGTCCGAGATCTTGAGAAGACGATCCATGTCGGCTGCTACTGCTTCGTGAATCATGACGGCGGTGACGATGTGCGTCACCCTGTGTAGAGCTTTTGCTTGGCATCTTTAGTTGCTTGTTGCTTGCTGTTGATGTCAAGCCCAAACAACATGAAACAAATCCGAGCTGCTGAAGATCAGATTTGTGGATTTCGATTCGAGGCGATTTTGAGGGTTGATTTGGAGCTATTTTCTTCGATGGGGCACATGAAATTCGTGTTCTGTGAGAATTCTATGAGAGCTCCTCGATCGGGCCGGACACCAATACTTATAGCAAGCTAATTTTGGGAGCGTGGATAATCATTTCCGATTTAACATTGGTCTTGATCAGCAGATAGTAATTTCCGTTCAAAGATTCCGCCCCAGAAACCGTGCTTCAAGCCGTCCATGTTCGCCTTTGTTTCAAATTGACTTAATGGGGTCGAACTCAAATGTCAGTCAATCGTGGGAGCAAAGCGCCCAAGTTCAAAGTGCAAGTACTACTACACAAGGAACCGAGATCTTGTTTTATATTGTATTCTAATATACTTTGAATCATAAAGGTTTATGGTACTACCACTCATCTGCCCAATCCCAATCATTTTCTTTCTTGATGGGTGAGGGCATGTTGTTTGGGTCACCGAAAAGTGAGTTTTTGCCAGCCTCATTAGTGGCACGTTTGGGTGATGGTGTCTTGGGGACTTGAGTAGTCGTGGCGAGGGTCACATTTGTGTTGGGAAGTTCCATTGTGCTGCGCTTCACGGGGGTCTTTACCTCTTGCGTCTTCTTCATGGTCTCCCGGTGAATCTTTCGCAAATCCGATAAACTCATGCCATCGAAGCCAGGCTTCGTATGCGCCTTCAACTGCGCTGATTGGCTATTGACAACAATTTGTCGTGTGTTCTCAACATCGTGTGCCGTCTTGGTGACCGTTTTCCTGTTTGCGACGTTGTGCTGAACTGCTGTCTTCACCATGGGAGTTTTGTTGCATCTCACAGGAGTTGATGGTCTCCTTGGTTCTAATTGAGCTTGCAAGCGGGCACTTGTTTCGACCCGAATTGGTTTGATCTGAGTCTTCTTTATCTCGAATGTCGACGGTGGATCATTTGGAGTATCCAAATTCTTGAGTACAGCAATTGCATAAGCCGGCAATGGATTAGAAGCAAGCGATTCAGCTTCTCTCTGGGCCCACTTTGTGCGATCCGCTATGCGTTGCAGACTGGAAGAAAGAGAAGTAGGGCTGGACTGAGATGCGAGCAACTGACGAACTCTTGCTGTGCCAGAACGCTGAATGACTTCAAACATAAAAGCTGTAGCATTTCTGGAAATGTGCGCTGTTTTCTTGCGGTAAGAACTTGTCAAAATACGAGATATCCTCCCTCTGGCAATTCTTTGCAAATGAATCGCAGCTTGATTTCTCTTGTGAGAATGATTCTCTAAAAGCAGCTTGTATGCCTTGAGACTTCTCCATCCCTTGAAAGCCCGCTGAATAGCCAGTGCCGACATGTCTTCCTCCTCAATAAGAGTTTGGTCCAGAAGCATATGAGAGTCAAAGCATACATGAAACTTGCGAGAAATTCGTGTTCGTACAAGAAAGCGTCTCACAGCACTCTGGATCACAATCGTGGAGGATTTCTCCGCCTGTGTGACTGCTCTTCTCCAAGCAACGTATGTAGGTGCATAACCGGGATCGTTACCAGCGACCACCCTTGCAAATGACAAGATTACAGGGTTGTGGAAAGCAGAATTCACGTGAACAAGCGCGAACTTGGCTGCTGATCGGACAAGCTGACCGCGAATGCATCGTTTCAGGATGATTGCAGACGACTGCATACTGAGGATTGCAAGTCTCATCTTGAATAGGAAAAAGGCAACTTGAATCTTTCTAGCGGCATCGTTCACCATATCACGATTTGCTCGAGGCAGCCGAAGGAACCAAAACAGTCTGGATACAAGAAACATTCTGACGACTGCTTGAACAATTGTTGCGCCATTGTGTAGTCCTCTAATACGAGAGCGTGCAGTTGCACCGCGCAAGTTCTTCTGTATAATGATGGCAGCGTTGGTGCAATTTTTCAACCGCATTCTGAACAGACGACCCCTTGCGAAGGATTGGACAATAATGATAGAACTGCGAGTCGCGCAAAACAACTCTTGAGCCACTTGGCGACGTGCAAAACTCTGCAAGACCATAGCTGCCTGTGTTCTGTACGAATCCTCCAGTTCTTTCGTCAATATCTCATCCATTGATCGCTGCAAAAGGGCTAGTCGAAGCGAACGATTCCTCCAGAAACGTTGGATAGAGACAGCTGCCTCCCCTCGTCCTGCAACCATATTCCGGGTTAACAGCCCCCGAACATTGGACTGGATCAGTGTTGCTGATGCTGATTGCACCATCAATGTAGCTTGACATAGTTGTCGAGCTCGGTGGCTCCGGAACGACGCTTGGATCAAAGTAGCAGCAGAAGTCGAAAGCATCCTAGTCTTCGCAAATGAACCACGAAGAGAGGCGCCCCGCCATACTTTTTGAATTGGAGTCGCGGATCGATTCAAGAGATCATGCACAACGTCAATAGCAGATATGCTATCCCAATCCACATTTTCGACCGGACTGCGTTCATTCTTTCCATCATTCTCTGGCGTTTGGTAGGCAGTAGAAAGGTGCAGTGCCTGTTTTGCCAAAGGCGTGCGGGGTAGCGATTGCATCCTTGTTACAGCTTTCATCCTTCCAGTTGAAGAATGCTCTGCCAACGAATGGACCTCCTCGGCACTTGAACGGCTTTCATTCCTATCCTCGTTCTCAGGCGTGCGGGGTGGCGATTGCATGTTTGTTGCATGTTCTGCCAACGAATGGACCTTCTCGGCAACTGGGCGGTCGTCATTCCTATCCTCATCCTCTGGTGTTTGATCGGCAATAGACGAGCGAAATGCCGGTTCTGCCACAGGTGTGCGGGGTGGCGATAACATTCTTGTTGCAGCGTTCAAATTATCAAATGAAGAATGCTCTGTCAACGAATGGACCTTCTTGGCACCTGGACGGCCTACACTCCTATCCTCATCCTCTGGTGGCTGATCGGCGATGGACAAGTGAAGGGCCGATTCTGCCACAGGTATGCTGGGTGGCGATATCAGGCTTGTTGCAACGTTCAAATTATCAGCTGAAGCATGTTCTACCAACGACAGGACCGTCTTGGCACTTGGACTGCCTTCATTCCTATCCTCATTCTCTGGTTTTTGTTCGGCAATAGACAAGTGAAATGCCGGTTCTGCAACAGGTGTACTGGGTGGCGATACCATGCGTGTTGCAGCGTTTACATTATTAATTGAAGAATGTTTTGCCAACGACTGGACCTTTTTGGCACTTCTATATCCACGCCAAGTTGTCTGGAAACAAGTAGCTGATTCGTTCCAGGCGCCAATTTTCTTCCGAACCAAGGATCCACGGGTGGTACTCTGGATAATCACGCAAGAACCACGGCAAAGCTCGTATCGTTCTCTTGCTAGCGCACCAAGCCAGTATTTTTGGATTATTACGACAGCTTCCTGCCAACTCTTGATCTCATTTCGAACCAAGGACCCACGGGCGATACTCTGCACGATCACGCTGGAAGCGCGGCACATTTCGTAGCGTTCTCTTGCTTGCGCACTACGCCAATGGTTTTGGATTACAAGAACAGATCTCAGTCTTGAATGATAAGATTTTCTTGCCACATGCATTCGATTGATAGTTTGTATCTTTGTCGCGGCCAGCGACTGCTTCAAGAGAATTGCTTCGGACAGTGACTTGATTTTCTTCACGTTAATGTACCGACACCATGTCTTCTGAACTAAGGCCGCAGACTTATTCCAGATCTTGACCTCTCGTCGAACTAATGATCCACGAATTGCACTTTGAATCATGACAGACGCAATTCGAACGAGCTCGAAACGTGAACGCCAAAAAGAAGCTCGCCAAAATTTCTGAAGATGGATGGCTCCTCGAAAAACTTTCTGATATCGTTTTGCAGCTTTGTGCATGCGCCATTTGGATTGGACACTTGTGGCAGCTTTTTCCATCGTTGCAGTACGGAGTATGCGCACGTTCTGTACACCCACATGTCCACGCCAATTCTTTTGAATGCAAGTGGCTGACTTGCGCCATGTCTTAACTTCGTTTCGAGCGAGTAATCCCCGAAAGGTGCTCTGAATCATCATGCAATTAGCAACGGAGATGCCATATTGTCGACACGCCTGCAGGCTGCGCCAGTGTTTCTGGATCACAGTTGCTGACCGCAGCTTTGCATCATACTGTTTTCTTGCGAAACGATTTCGATACATTGATTGGATCTTTGTCGCAGCCGCCAACTCTTCACGACGACGTCCATTTGAAAAAGAAATGCCTGAAGGTCGATTGCTGATTTGGCTTCGAATCAGCATGCCTCGGACAGCACTCTGAATCAGAGTACAAGCCTTGTGGGTACGTGCATGGGCGCATTGCTGTCGAGCGAAGTCTTTTTGAACGACTATAGAAATACAAGCCAATCCATGGTAAACACAGATCACGATACCCATGAGCTCCACTCGTCTCATCCTTTCTGCCTTTTCGACTTTCGCTAAGCGCTCTTCCTCAAGCAACAACTGAACTCGCTTCGCCCCAAGATAGCCACGCCAGCTCCTTTGAATCTCCAATGAGCATCTGTGCCATAGCTTCGTTCTCGTCCGTACTACAGCCCCTCGAGCGATCGCTTGAATGAGGATGCAGGAGAGTAGAGCTAGTTCAAACTCCTCTCGAGCCGAGAAGACGCGCCATTGTTTTTGGATGGATATTGTAGCATCCTTGACTTTTCCGAACTCCACCCTTGCCACGTACATTCGCCAGGTTGATTGGATGACTAAACGAGCGGCAGCTATTTCCACATTTCTCATTTCGACACGTTCAGCATATTGCAATCGTCCAACGTGACCTCTCCAGTGCCTTTGAACGCATGTGGCCAATATGTGTAGCCCAGCAATCGTATTGCGCACACAAATTCCTCGTATACGTCCTTGTATCATGACTGCCGAAACTCGCGTCTTGGAGTAGTTTTCTCTTGAAAATGCCATACGCCAGTGTGATTGAATGACAATTGCGGAATGTGACCTCGACAGGGCTTCTTTTCTCGCAAGATACCCGCGGATCATAGTCTGGATGTCCAATGCTGATTTCTTCCGGGCAACGAACCGTTTTCGCCAAATGGCTCCACGCCAAGATGACTGTGCAAGAAGAAGGCGAGTATGGAGTAGGCGTTCGTGCTGCCTTCGGGCAACATAGGCTCTTGAATATCGCTGCAACGCAACGATACGATCAGCGCGTTTTGTCGCTAGGATCCTGCTAGATCTCCCTCTCGAAAATCGCTGGATCAGGAGAGCTGCTCGATACTTTTTCGAGGACCGCACTCTCGCTGTGGCACCACGCCAAATTCTCTGAATTGTCAAGAGACCGTTTCGGGTTCGAGTATAGCGCGATCTTTCACAGAAACCGCGCACAGCCGACTGTATCTCCATTGCTGATGATTGCATTCGAAGAAATGATGCACGATGCAGCAACTTCCGCATTGATTTTTGCATAGTGACAGCTGCAGATTTAGCATTGTTCAAACGATAGCTTGCGGCATTTCGCCTCGCGATGGACTGAATGACAATTGAAGCCTTTTTCTGCTCCGTATAGTGCGCTTTATACATTGTACACCTGACAATTGATTGGATCCTTACTGCTGCATGTCGCTGAATCGTGAATTTCGACTTCTGTTGATAACCACGGATAACTCGTTGCAAGGTCCAGACACTAAACATAGCAAAGCTAAACGCATCTCTTGCATGAATCATGCGAAGAAAAGATTGAATTCGAATTATCGATCTCGTAGCAATCTTCCAATTCTGCATTGCAAGGGCCCGGCGGTATGTTTTCTGGATATTCGTGCAAGCGGTCTTTGTCTTCCTGAATGCTGCCGATGAGAGGTGGCAGCGAATCGTCTTCTGACAGGAAACAGCTGCAGCTCTTGATTTTTTCCAGCTCTTATGCGCCAACCACTGACGGGAGATTGACTGAGTAAGAATGACATCCCTTCTCGCCGCCTTGTAACAGCGCCTTTGGTTGTAAGATCGCCCATGAGATTGAATTTTCACAACAGCATCTCTATGTTTCTCAAACGACCGTCGGGATATGTACGCCCTGCCAACGGATTGAAGGCAAAGCGAAGCAGCCTTCGTCTTGAACCAGGCGTTCTGAGCAGTATGACGACGTTGCTGTGCCTGAATCACCAAAATTGACCTCCAAATAATGATGAATGCACGTTCAGCCAGAAGGCGACGAGTTTCCCGTTGAATCACAACGACTGCCTGCAAAGCATTGCGCTTCAGACAAAGACATTGTTGCATTCGACCGAGTGCCTGCAGACGGACAACAGATTGATACTGATGTATATACCACCGCGCAGCGAGATAGCGCCTCCATAAGGCTTGAACCTTCACAAAACCGTACCTCTGTTGCTGATAAGTTCTTAGTGCTCTGTGCTTTCTCAAGGCAGATTGGACAGTGATGCTGCAACTTCGCAATCCCAGGTATTTCCGAGATTTGAAATGGGAACGAACCAAAGCTTGGATCTTGCAGGTAAAATAAATAGACAGCATCCGATTTCGAATAGCACAGGACATCCTCCACACTGATTGAATCCTTGTTGCCTTCAACATTTCCAACTTATATTGCTTCTTCGTGCTGTACACTCGAAAGCGATACTGCAGACTGGCGGTGGCAGATTTTAAAGCCAGAAAGCGCTGTCTTTGTCCACGTGCGCGTGCACAAGTCCGTTGCAACCAAACAGCCAAAAACTGTGCTTTCAAATATTCTCGGGTGGCATGATAGCTTCTCCACTGATTCTGAATCAGAATGGCTGCGAATTTCATCGTTTGGAATTTAGTCTTTGCCGATTTCATTTTGTAAGCGGACTTGATCTTCGTGGCTTTGCTTTTTAACATCCTGCGGTATTTGAATGCCTTCCATCCATGCTGAATCCCCACGATGGCCCACAATTTCTGTCGGTACTCGCTTTCACATTGAAAGCGACGAAAATTGGATTGAATCAAAGTAGCTAGCTTGGTCCTCCGATATTTGCGTAGACCATTTAGATAGGCTTTCACAATGTTGTGGGTCGCAAGTCTGGCAGCGTTGCGCTCAATAAGGTCTCCAGAACCTACCCATAGCTGAAATCCATCGGATGGATCTTTGAATAACCAGGGGTCGTCCTCAATCCAAAGGAGAGATTTCGGAGATGATAAGGCCCGTCGCATGTGATCTCGAGTAGGCGTGTTGTGCTCTATCGCAGATGTCAATGTTGACATCAGAAAGCTTCTTTGAATAACACTAGCTGCTTCTTCTCTCTTGTCGTTTTCTCTATTTTGCTCTCCTTTATCATTCTGTGATCTGACTGGAGTCTCAACTGGAACAGGATCAAAATATCCAACAGGACTCGCTTCCTCGTATCCACTACCATGAGCCAAATCCGCGCCAGATGGTGGAGTAGGGAACAACTCTCTTCCAATATTTACGTCACTGGGACTCGACACCAACGGTTTGGAAGGCGACACCAGGAGTTCTTCATCCGAGTCTCCCACATCACCCAATAAGGATAACTCCTTGCAAATCGGTGTTTCCTGCGGTTCAGTTGATGCCCTATCCAAAGTATATTGATTAGCCGAGTCTTTGGACAGGGTTTCTAGTAGCTCTTCGTCAAGCAATCCACCAGTAACATCCTCCAAATAGAAAGAAAGTTCTTTTTTCCGAGCACCTCCCATAACTTTGTGCGTGGATGAAGGAGTAGTTGCACTTTTTCGTTCGATGTATTTCCTCCTTCTCCACCATCGTTGAATCGTCTGACTTGCTTCCACAAAGATAATTCCCTCGAACTCTAGTCTTGCCGAAGCCAATGCAGATCGCAGGAGCATGCTATTGCTCAACTGCCGCCTCAATTTTGAAAAACTTGGTTTCGCAAGTCGGATTTCAAGCGAAAGCTGTGACGATTCTGCGACAAGGACATTATGGTGTTGCTCTGTCATAAGATCGTGGGGATGCGTCGAGCTGATGATCCGGAGCAACACTCTTGGGCTAGTATCGTGTGCAGAAGGAAAGGTCGTATTTCGGTGCTCGATAACCAAATTTGCCAATGAAACTTGTGCCAAGCAGGATTTCCACCACGATTGAATGGCAATCGCCGCTTTTTCATTCGGAACAGATTCTTGTACAGTGGCTTGTTTAGATCCGATGCTGTCTTTCGGAAATGATACCAAAGGTTGCAACGTGAAAGAACTTTGTGCATGATCCAATGTGAAAAAGCCAGAAGACGCTCTACTTGTAGCATCATCGTCTTCAACATGCGTATGAGTTGCAGTTGATGCAACGGATGGTGCAGTGGATCTTGTGACTTGAGGCTTCAAAATGTCTTCCACATCGCCCAACAATGAGTTCGCTATAGCCGTAGAAGGATTGTACGTGTAAAGTTGCTTTGGTTCCACGGAGGAAGTCTTGCCAATCGATTTACCCACTGGAACATTGGTCTTCCTTGGAGTGGGTGCCAGGTGTTGCTGCTGTTGGTCCAAATCTAGCTGTATTGCTGCCAGTTCCGCCAAGTCTTCATCAATGGATGTCGTACTCCAGTTCGCATTCTTGAGTGCTGTCGGTTGCTCTCTTGGTGCTGCAACTGCCCTTGGACGCAACTTGTTTTCCTTTTCGGATGCAGTTGAAACCGCATCAAGTGTTTCAGCTGCAGGTGAACGAACAGCCGTAGAATCCGTGGTGGAATCTTCCGCCAGCGATGAAGCCGCAGCAGCACTCGCGGTCTCAGAGAGCGGCTCAATGCTGTTGTTCCCCTCACTATCTTCAATTGTCATTCCTTGACTCTTCGGTACAACAGTAGCGGGTGTGGAAGAAATTCGTTTCTTTTTTAGTTGTGGCTTGGATGCGGTCTGAGGAGTGGATGGCGCCGGAATTTTGGAAGGTCGTCGAGTATCATTCTTTCTTCGACCACTTCTCTTGCGGTCTATAGATCGCGATACCAGTTGTGGAGTTGGTGGAGCATGCCACAGAATTTCCGTTCTCTTTTGGTTGCGATACAACCGGTCAAATACTGAGTCCTGAGAGGAAGCGGGCGAAACCTTGGATTCACTATTGCTCCTACTCCTTGTGGCCGAGCTTTTGGCAGCTGATGTTGGTACTACTCGATTTCGAACCTTTTTGGTTTGTTGCTTGGATGCGCTTTTCCTGGATCTAGAAGTGGTTGAGGATACTGATGATGTTGCTGAAGAAGGTGTGAAGAAGTCATTCGTAGACGTGTGTTCCCTTGGCGATGTAAATGGATCTGATGATTTCTGATTCCGCCGCCGTCGCCGTTGCTGACTCGTACCATGCCTATGCAATCGATCAAAGACTGACTCTTGAGACGAGATTGTGGATGTCGTGGAATCCCCCATTGAAGATACGTCATCGTGCTCGTCATTCTCGTCATCTCTTTCAGCTGTGCAGTAATCGTTTAGAGCTGATGCAAAATTTGGCATGGGACTGTCCATAAGATCTTCCATAGAAGGTGTGTCTATGGCTCTCTTCTTGGTGCTTGCGCTTCGAGTTTTGACGTCCACCCAGGAATCATTCAAGCTTTGAAACTTGTCCAAAAGATTGTCCGCTGGAGTTCGCACACTGCTAACAGTCGCATTGTCTTCTTCAACATTAATCTTTCCACCTGGTGTCTGATAATTCGTATCCAAGCCCTCGTGTAGCGCTGTCTTCATCATCATGGGTGACGGCGTCATGATTTCACTCTCTAACGTTTGAATATCAGATTCCAACATGGAAGTGTCAACGAACATGGGCTGTTCCTGCTCGTCTTTTTCCGGTTGCCGTTCTGCAGCTTCCATCTTTTATTGCACTATTCGACTGCAGAGCAGACACATACGAAGTCTATAGTCAGTGGGCGAGGACAACGTCCTGATTTTGGTGAAAACAGGTACCGGTACAGTAGGTCCTCTCTTCCTGTACGTCGCAGTTTGCGTTCCAAGGTTTCAATTTTTCGGGCTGGAGAGGACGACTCGCACCTACCAGTTCTTGTTCCGTAGAAACCTACGAAGGAAGATTCAAACAAAGAAGTAGACTCAGTCGACCACGCGGGCACGGATTCAAACGGGAAGGGTCACAAAATTGGAATTGCTAAATAAAAAGCATCGAACAATTTCAGTCCGACAGTGATAGAAGCATTCATTCTCATTCAATATCCCCTTGTATTTACAATCTACTAATCGTTGCTGTTACCCCAATCAGCAAGCAATAGTATTTTATGGGCCCGTCGGAGGAGCATCTGGTGCCCTCTTCCGCCGCCGTTCTGGGGGAGTTGCCACCACTTCCGTTGGTGGTGCCTCCTTGATAGTTTTGGTGGTTGTTGTTGGTTGGGATGTTGGGAAACAATCTTGAATCATAGTTCCAAGTGATTCGCTGCACCACATGGAAGATGATGAAGTAGGCTCTTTATCAACCCCAACCCCTTGCTTTGCAGTTGCCGTTCTAGTCCCTCGTTTACTGTCGTATAGCCATTCGGAACTTCCACCTACTCGATTCTCCCTTTCTTGGAAGGACTTCAATGCTTTTACGTGGTCCTGACTTTTCATCATGAGTGCCGTGTCCCCTTCTTCGGACATGGTCAGCTCCGAGATTTCCAGTGATGGCGGGGCTGGAAAGTCATAGTAGTCAGGTCGCTCTTGTTTTTTCCCCGTGACAACACCGTGCTGATCCGTGCGGTTGTATTTTTTAGCTGCAGGTTCTCGCTTTCGTGTGGAAATGGAACCTTTCTCTCGCTCCAACCGTCCGGAAGGAAGAGGGTCAATGGAGCGGGTATGTGTTCTGCTTCTGGTTGCTGTTCGTGTTCTACTTGTTGCTGTTCGTGTTCTACTTGTTGGTGTTCGGCCTCGCTGCACTTGTTTCTTTATCATACGATCATACGGACCCCGGATAGAACTAGCCGGCGATTCAAAATGAAAGTCAATGTCCACTTTTCGCGCATCGAAATCTCCGCCATCCTCGGACTGCTGACTATGCGGCTGTAAATAATGCTCAGAACCTTCTTCTGACGAGAACGTAGTAGTCCCACTCAGTAGGTTTCGTTTCGACCATGCATCTCTCTGCGCGACGGACACTGGGTGAACACCCAAGCGCCCAGCTGATCCTGTCCAATCTGAAGATATTGGAGAGAATGGGGTATCTTTTCTCGACACATAATCTCGGTTAGTCATAGGAGTAGACGGATCAAAACTAACATTCATGAAGGGATCCAATTCAGACGACTTAGACCGAAGTGATTCAATCAAGTCATCGACATTGTTTTCTTCGATCGCGATTCGCGCCCAATCATCGGTGTCGTCGTATTCGTGGATATCTGTCACGGCCAAGAAATCATGAAGTGGTTTCTTTCGTGGCGATCTCGCAGTTTCCTTGGACGTCGACTTCAATTGTGCATCGTTTCTCGTATCTTCTTTTCCCTTCGATTTGTCGTCTTCCGGTGTCAAAGAATACTCGTTGCCTTGCTGGAGCATCCGAGTATTTGCTGTCTTGGGAATAACTGCTTGCGAGAAGGCGTTGAAAGATCCTTCCGTCATAGGTGTCATGCAGTCTTTGAAACATGAAGGTTGGCTCTCATTTTGTGTTATCGCAGCGGCCGCTGTTGCAGCGTTGGCTGCTCCTTTCGCCAAAACTAGTTCAAGGGCCTTGACAGCTGCATCTGCAGTACGTTGCATATTGTCATCCAACATTCCATCCATTGAGAACACATTTGGAACAAACTCATCAAGGTTTGACACTTTCACTTGTACTGGTGCTTGATCTTTCTTTTGTCGCCCGATTTTCTTCAGCTGCTCAATCGAGTTGTCACCGTTCGAACTCTTTCCTTCTACTGCCCCCAAACAATTGCACATGCCGCTTGAAAACATTGTGACCCTTGGAACATCCAATTCGCTGACCAATGAGGGTATCTCTTTGAGCTGTAGTTCTCTGATGGGCAGTGCTGTTGATTCGTCATTATCACTTGCCGTATCCTCGTCATCTTGATGTTCAGGCAATCTATCTCTTTGGTTGTCCTTTTCTTCACGATGGATTTGAAGAAGTGATTCGTTCAGGGCCTCAACATCTAGAGGGCTGAAAGGAAAATTCTTTGACTGCTGATGCACTGGAGGCTTCACTTTGTCAATCAAGGGCTCGTTCTTCGATCCATCTTTCCTACTTGCGGCCTCAACAAATCCATGCAGGGGAAGCTGCTTATTAGTAGGTAACTTCAAATGGAGTTTTGAAGGTTTTGTCTGGTCATTTTGCCTGACACCTTTGTATCCTAGCTTTTTACATGGAGAAGTGTCAGTGGGTCGGTCTTTTTTCATCGAGACATTGGATTCAAATTGCGAACGAATTCGATTGATCTTGCTGCCCCCTTTCGATTCACCTTTCGATTCACCTTTCGATGGAGAGTTTGAAATACCACCACATTTTCCCGAATGTCCAGTTTTCGAAACTTTAGGTTGTGACGACTGTGAAGATAGAGAGAGAAGGTTTGGAATTTTGTCGTAGAAGGCCCCTTGTCTTGGTTCTGATGATAGCTTCACAACAGGTGAATCGCATTCGTTGGTCGATTGGGCTTCTAATGAATCTTTCTCATTCGGGTGCGAATGCTTGAAACCTTCAATTACTATGTCCTCGCTCTCATTCGTGGCAGGGGTATCACAAGCCAGCGCTCTTAGCGTCGATACTGCTGATGCTCTCATATCGCCTTCGTCTTCCAATACCACGGGATCAACTCCTAGTATATTCTTTGGACTGGTTGCCGCTTCAAATCGAGCTATCAAAGCCGCCGCATTAACTTTTGAATGGCTGCCATTTGGTTTAGATTGCTTTCCAGGACTCCTATTTTTGCTCAATGATTGAACCCTAGGAACCCTCTTCGACTTGATTGAATGTGAAGGACTTGATGCCAAAGCTGGGCGATTATCTTGGCTTCCGACACCAGCTTCTATGTGGCTTGAAGCCGTTGAGCAACCAACACCATTGAACTTCACAATCGCTGCACGCACTTGTCCTTCCAAAGTATGACTCTCTTCTAGCTTTCGATCCTTTTCTTTAGTAGCAGTAGTTTGTCGAGAAGCATTGCACGGTGAACTGGAAGTGGTACCCTCTTCTGACACAGTAAAGAGCTTCTCAGTTACCATTTCAGACTCCGCTAAATAAACTGTCTCCATGACAATTTTGTTGTTCGCGTCACTTTCATCGACTCTCTTGCTATCATTCCGACGGAAAGATCCAGATGGAGACAAAAATGTCTCCATAATCGTATCATCGTCTGGATCTGGTACAACGCCAGAAGCTGTGGATTTTGGTGTCTTCGAAGCTGAATTCATAGACAACGACATCCCAATTGATTCCATTATCATTTCATCATCTGGGTCTGGAATACCATTTTGTCTTACTTCTGCTAATTTTCTGTCGACGGCAGCACAAATCGGATCCGATTCTTCCGTCTCACAGGAGCGCGTAGTTTCGAGTTGTTGCATAGTCTGTTTGGAGTCTGGCAAACGAGATAACACAGGGGATGTAGGAGCAACAACTAATTCAACAGCTGGATTCTCGTCGATACATTCAACAACGGATGTCTCGACACCATTCCTTTTGATTTGTTTCGGCGTGTCGGCGAGCTCGCCAGCCCCCACGGATTCAGTTTCGCTTATGCCTTCACTAGCTTCATCCGATGGCATTGACTCCAGTGTTGTATCGTCTTGATCTCCGCCGGCGGGAATGACAAGAGCAGGTTGAAGAGACACCATTTCTCGTTCTTTCGGAATACCGTCAACCGGAATTGAAATTGTGTCTGGTTCCTTTTCTCTTGGAATATGTGCAGCTGCACGAGAAATAGCTTCGTTTTTGTATTTCTGTCGAGTCATGAATCGGGATGAAAGAGATACTCCTGATGCCAGCTGTTCGCCCGTGCCTTCAACTTCTCTAGGAACGTGTGTTCCTTTGAATGATGATCGCTCCTTTGTTGCGGCCGAAATGTATTTCGGACCAATATAAGAGCATGATGGTTTGGTGACTGCCTCTCGCTCATCTGACGGCAGAGATAAGAGGTCCGGAAAATTAAGATCGTCATCTTCTTTCTCGTTCCAATCTTTTCCGCACTCTAGCTTTGGTCTAGACGTTGTTGTGTGTGTTGGGACTGCTATAAGGTTCCAAATGTCGTCACACTTTTGCTCTTGTCTAGAAATTGAAGTGTACATTGGAATTGCCGCAATAGGAGTAGCTGCATTCGCTAGTTGGTCAATCGAACTCATTTCATCATCCGGAAACATATCCATTTCGTCCTCAGGAAACATGATGGCATCCAATTGTAGTTCATCATCCGGGAACATATTATTCTCCCATGGTGACTCCTTCGCTGCTTCCAAGCACATTATCTTGGACAATTCTCTGGTTTCCCGTTCAACAGCTGGTGGTGTAGAATCTTTCGTCTCTTGATTTTCTGTTTCAATATCGAATGTCACGGTCCTCTTGGCTGCATCAACCTTGGAAACTTCTCTCTCGATAGTATCTTCAACGATCAAATCTTTCTGGTGGATCCCTTCGATCGAATAACTATGAGAAGCTTCTATATTCATGAATGCTTCAACGACCAGCTGTTCTTCGTGGTCCCGTTCGCTCGAAGCAACTCGAGACACTTTAGCCTCACCAGTGGTTTCAACAACTGATTCATCTAGATACACACCCTCACCTGGCCCTATTGAGGAAAGTTCAACGATTACCGAGTCTTCCTGACGGGTCATTTCGCTCGAAACAGCTGGCGAAGCTTCTATCTCGATAATTTCTTCAACGAAGGATTCACCTTGGTAGATTCCTTTGCTGGAATCAACTGGCGAGACTTCTACCTCGACAATTTCTTCGACAAAAGATTCATCTTGATCGGTTCCTTCGCTGGAACTAACTGGCGAAACTTCGATCTCAACAATTTCTTCAACAAAAGATTCATCTCGATCGGTTCCTTCGCTGGAAGTAATTGGCGAAACTTCGATCTCAACAATTTCTTCAACAAAAGATTCATCTTGATAGGTTCCTTCGCTGGAACTAACTGGCGAAACGTCTGTCTCGACAATTTCTACAACAAAAGATTTATCTTGATAGGTTCCTTCGCTGAAACTAACTGGCGAAACTTCTGTCTCGAAAATCCCTTCAACAAGAGATGCAGCTTGATATGTCCCCTCGCCCGAATCAACTTGGGACAGTTCTGACTGAATAATTTCTTCAACAAATGAAAGATTGGTCAATTCCTGCTCCATATCGTCGTCTTCGTCGCCTTCCATACTATTGCTGTGGTGTGCGTCGATGAACTCATCCCGAGAAAGATCGGTGATGACGTATGCCGCCTCAACCAAATCTTTGAATTCTGGATCATTCGTTTGCAATTCAGCAAACAATTCTACATGATTTGTCTCCTCAAGCAGTCCCTCGACTTCGGGCGGTACTCTGTCGTCAGACCAGTCGTCAATTTGCTCGATGAATGGAGTTTCTTCCGAGTCGACTAAAGCTTCTTGATCTTCGATTGCTGCATTATCATTGACAGCTGTATCACTCGTAATTTCCAACAACTTTTGATCGAGAACCGAAATTTGATTGCATAATTCATCCAATACCGATGACCTTTTTCTTCTTCTTTTTCGCCTGTGTTTTCGACTGGACTGTTTGCTCTCATTTTTTACAGTTTCAGAATTGCTTTGCTGCATCAGTAGCACCGCGACATTTACCAATTCCGAAAGCACATACTCTTGGGAAGACGAATACCTTAGAACTACTGCGGTCGCAGTTTCATTATTAAATTCCAAAGATTTCCGTTGGTACTTGGAAAGGATACGAAATAGAACTGGAACAAAGAACTGTGCCATACGTTGATAGTGCGAATGTGGACTCGGTTGCGATACAGCTCTTCTACGCTTGATGGTCTTTCGCAATACGGTAGTCTCATTCTCCACAGCGGGTGGATCGCTTCGTTTTCCAATTTCATCAACCGCTATGAGACCTGCAGGATCCGATTGGATTCGTCGGTCACGTATTATCGCTATCCTTTCCACTTGAATAGCTTGCTCCTGAAGAAGCATCGATATCTGTTCTTTTATATCTGTTTGCCGCCTTGAACCTCCTTGCGGTAGAATATAGTCGCTGACTTGAGGAATCAGATCGTTGGATACTGACGTGGAAGATGAATTAGAACTGCTGCCACATTTTACGACGGAAGAATATGGATTCTCTGACCCACCGAAACCGAAAGAGGAACCATCGGTTGATGGAACATTCACCGTTCTATTGTGATGAGCCCCGCTTACTTCATCGCTTGGATTGTCATTCCGTAATCTGTTCTTATGAAGTGGCAATCTTGGTGGAAGGCTTGGGTCACTAGTATCGGTTTCATCACTCTGCATTCGTCGTCGGCTAGAACGATTGTGTTGGGCTCTGTTGGTTCGTTCATCTCTTACCGATGGACATTCGTGCAAAGCCATAGTTGCTGAAACATAATCATCGGTGGATGTCGAATACGATTTAGTGGTTGTATCCTCCCGACTGTCTTGACAGTCCAATGGTCGTCGATGGTGTTTGACCCAACTTCTCGAACTATCACTTGTATCACTGTGAGCTCGCGCTCGGGTGTAGCGGTCGAGTTTCGACGCCCGCTTGTCATTGAGGTACTCAGCTTTCTTCGTGTTGGATTCTTGACTGGGGCGGTTCTTCCGACGGAAAAGCTTGTTTTGTACTGATTTAACTCGGTTTGCCATAGACCTGATTGGCGATTTCACTTTCGTCGGTGACGCAGATGTCTTGTTCGGAACCTTTGGTTTTATCATAGGGCGAGGTGATTCAGGGTATTGCATTGCCGTTGAAGCTACTGTTTTCTTGGGATCTAGCTTCACTTCCCGAAAGCTCACCTTTGGAAACGATGCGGGTTCGTAGACAGGCCGTACTTCTTGTCGAAGGCCTTCAAAGGGATTTGGTATGATCGGATCGATAATTCCATCTTCATCCAGCATCATTCCTTCAGTTTCCAAGTACGACTGAGGCAAAAGACTTCCAACTAATAACCCAGAAGTATCCGTCACATTGCCACATGTAGCATCCAAGACTCTGTCAATTGCCTTTTCTACAACGTTTAGCGGCAATTCGTCGGATGGACTCTCCCGTAGATCATCATTATCATCATCATGCTCTTCGAAAAAGCTTCGTTCCCGATGTTCCCTCGATCCTCGTCGATCTTCGTCAAAGGGTGAGATGGCGGCTGCCGCGAGAGTGGCGCCAGAGGATTCGGCAATTTCAAACAACGAAGGTTTGCTAAGGTTTGTTCGGACTTCAGTTTGTTGCGTATGCTGAGAACTATAGTCCGTGGTATAATTATATAAGGAAGATTTCTCGGTGGAAGAAGTAGACCGCTCATCTCGTTGTTGTTGAAAGATGTTTCGTGGACGTGGCTTCTGCTGTTGAGGCTTGTCTTGTTGTGACCGCATTTTCGCTGTACGTCTCTGTGATATAGGAACGTAGCTTTCACGATATCGACCTCGTATTATCGTCTCCCTCGACTCTTCTCTCGTCTCATGACGGCCTCTCCTCATGACGAAAGCTCAACCCCGTTGTTGTGTCGTGACGACCAAATCCAAACCAGGAACGGCAAGGTCGACCTTTCTTCGACGTGGTATATGAATCGCTATATTGATGATTTTTCCGCTGTGAAAA